AAAAAAAAAAAAAAAGCTGTTGCTGACAAAAACCCACACTCGCTCGGTACAATATCATTGATGCCTTGTGCCGCTTACTCATTCCCAAGTCAATCCGACGTTGCACTGCGTTCGCGCGAACCCACAGCCGAATCCCAGAGCTGCGTAGGCGTGCTTGTACCCCGCGCCTGCATCATTGGCACACCCCAGGCCTTCCGTAATATACCTACCAAAGTACTTGGCAAGGTACCTACCGAGGTACCTACCAAGGTACTTATAAACACCAGGCAGGCGCATCACGTCCTCTTGGCTCCCGCCCCTCCCAGCATATCCCACATGCAAGCTCTCCACCCCTTCAGAACAGCATCTTTGGCCACCCGCGCCTCGAGAACCGCGTCCGCCAGGCTCGCCCACCTTTCCAGACACTTCTCGGCAGGCTTCCCCAGGATGGCGCCTATAACGAAAGAGACCGACTATCTGGTCATCGGCGGCGGCAGCGGCGGCCTTGCCTCGGCCCGCATGGCGAGCTCCAAGTTTGGAGCCAAGGCCATGATAGTCGAGGCAGGAAGGATAGGCGGAACTTGTGTCAACGTCGGGTAGGCTCCCTCTCCCTTGCTACATCCCCTGTCACGTCGCACTCTGTCAAGATACTGACCCGTCACTGCGGTCCCTTCCAGATGCGTGCCCAAGAAAATCACCTTCAACGCCGCCGCTATAGCCGAGACCATTCACCAGGCCAAGAGCTACGGCTTCTCCGTCCAGGAGACTGCCCCTTTCAACTGGCGGGCGTTCAAGGAGAAGCGCGACGCCTACATCAAGCGCCTCAACGGCATCTACGACCGCAACCTTGCCAACGACAAGGTCGAGTACCTCCACGGCCACGCCAGGCTCCTCAACCGCAACGAAGCCGAGGTGACGCTGGATGACGGTACCAAGGCTGTAGTCAAGGCCAAGAAGATCCTGATCGCAGTGGGCGGCCAACCGACGGCTCCCCCGCCCGTCATCCCTGGCGCCGAGTTCGGAATCAACAGCGATGGCTTCTTCGATATCGCGGACCTGCCCAAGAAGGTCGCGCTCGTGGGCGCGGGATACATCGCGGTAGAGTTCGCGGGCATGTTCAACGCGCTCGGTGTAGAGACACACCTCTTCATCCGCCACAACACGTTCCTGCGCAACTTCGACCCCATGGTCCAAGAGGTCGTGACCAAGGAGTACCAGCGCCTGGGCGTTCACTTGCACAAGCGGTCGGAGCAGACCAGGATCGATCGCGACGAGGCCACGGGAAAGTTGACGTTGCACTACATGGATAGTAATGGATATGGTCGGGTTGAGGGCCTGGACCATCTCATCTGGGCCATCGGCCGGACCCCGCTGACCAAGAACATTGGGCTGGAGGAGGCGGGCGTCAAGGTGGATGAGAGAGGCTACATCATGGTCGACGAGTTCCAGAACACGTCGGTGGACAACATCTACGCGCTTGGCGATGTTACCGGGCAGGTCGAGCTGACGCCCGTGGCCATCGCGGCAGGCCGCAGGCTGTCGCACCGGCTCTTCGGCGGCGAGCAGTTCAGCACCCTGAAGCTGGACTACTCCGGCGTCCCCTCGGTCGTGTTCGCGCACCCCGAGGTCGGCTCCATCGGGCTCACTGAGCCACAGGCCGTCGAGAAGTACGGGGCCGAGAACATCAAGGTTTACAAGACAAGCTTCACGGCCATGTACTACGCCATGATGGAGCCCGAGGAGAAGGGCCCGACGTCGTACAAGCTTGTCTGTGCGGGGCCCGAGGAGAAGGTGGTTGGATTGCACATTGTCGGCATGGGCAGCGGGGAGATGCTGCAGGGCTTCGGCGTGGCCGTCAGAATGGGCGCCACCAAGAAGGACTTTGACAGCTGCGTTGCCATCCACCCGACCAGCGCCGAGGAGCTGGTTACGCTGAAATAAATATCTAAGCGGCTGGGTTCTGAACCTCACCACCAAGACAACAAGCTTTCCCGATACCCCGCGCGCGTCCGAGCCCGTGTCCCATGCCCCCTATTTTGCCACCCCCCGAGCGTAGATAGATAGAGGGCTGTATTGTACGCATTGGATATCTGTGTCAAGCCTCTGGATATCGAGGGCGCCCTGTTCTGATGGTGCCTGGCTTCCTGCCTCGGCGCCGAGGCAAAAAAAAAAAAAAACCGCCCTCCCGTTCGTCATTGCATCCCAACCTCACGGAAATGGCCTTTTGTCTTGATCAAAAGAAATCGTCGCCTCCTCTGTCACTCCCATCCACCCCGGGGTTTGCTTCAAGAACTTTCCCCCTGTCCAGTGCACACCCGCGGGGGGCCTAGGCTCGAGAGGAGAGAGATAAAGTTTGAAGCCAACCAAGAGTGGATTGCTCACGTCACTTGGGAAGCCAAGCATTACATTCAAGCTTTCTCCCCGCAACCCAACTCCCCGTAACATGACAAGTTCTACGGCCTTTCCGGCCCGACATTTCCTGGATCAGGGGGCTGGGCCCGAGGGCACTCGATTTCCCCCGCCGACTGCTGACTTGACGTCCTCTCCCCGCCGGAGTGACATCAATCAACAGGGGCTTTTCTTCTGAACCGTGGGACTGCTGTACGAAGGCGTCTTAGATTGTGAACTGGCAGGTATTACATTACGACAACACGCTGCGTTTCTGCCGACCGGCCAAAGAAGAGTCCTGCGTGACAGCTCCTCGCAGCAACATCTACCCACATGCATGTATTCATTATCTCTGTCCGTTCGCCCGAAAGTCGGCACCTCCCCAAAACGTCACGACCTATGCCCGAGCTACGCCGCGTTAGCGATGCATGTCCCTGCGCGGGCTTGCCCTGTTTGGCCACATACTTTCCATGTATGTGCCTAGTGGTACCTGCCAAAGCAGTAAGCACACGCACCCCGGCAGATCACCACCCACCGTCCCTCTCCCCAAGGGGTGATCAACTCCCGTGATGGAACAGTCGGACGACGGAAGCCATCCATCTCGGAGGTGCGGCGGGAATGCCCTCTTATGGACACATTATAAATACTCGGCATCTGCTGTCTACCAAGTTTGCTCGACGGGCATGTAAGCCGTATACCAAGCCAAATCGTCCGAACTTTTCACGCTTGCCTCCCAAATATCACAACTCAGTCCGCCCCTTGGCGTTTCAAGTCCAACCTGAATGGTCCGGAGAGAGGGGGTCGGGGTGCCCCCCCCTCTCGCATCCTTGTTCCCCCGTATCCCACCAACATCCATATATATTGCGCCCCGGCTGAGACTTGGCATGTACCTACTGTAGAATGCCTCGCCCCCTCCTCTCCTCTAGCCTCGGTATAAGCGCGGGGTGTGGGCCGCCCGAGCTCCCTCCTCCCATAGTCAGGATAAGCATGTGCTCGGGGGACGGCGGAGCGAGACAGAGAAAGAGAGCCCATATTTCCCTCCCCCCTCACAAACCCCAACCTTGCTTTCCGAGAGCTTTTCGCGGGCGAAGCAGCAGGCTTCTTTCTCCCTCCCCTCCCTGAAAGCGTAGCAGTTAGACGGTCGAGCCGACTATGATGACGGCATCGACGACGGCACAATGATGGCGAGCGAAGATTCCCTAGCACCCCGCGTCGTGGGCGCCAACATCGCCATGATGACCGTGTCGTCGCTAGCCATCGCGGGCCGCGTGACGGTGAGCGCCGTGACGATGAGGAACTTTTGGATCGACGACGGTCAGTGAGGGAGCTCCTCCCCCCCCGCGCCCCGACGTTCCGCTCGTCCTTTCGGCAGCTACATGGCTACATGCGACTATATACCTCTCCATCACTCTATCTGTATCTTTTCTACGTCTCAAAGATCAACTCGCTGACGCTACGCACACTGCGAATTTCCAGCAATGTCGGTCGTCGCATGGGTACGCGAACAGGCGCGATGGGCACCCACATTGGGAGTCGATCCGAGCTCTTTGCTACCTGCTTTAGGTGTTGGAATACTAACGAGCAGTGTCTACGAGTCCCAAGCTGTCTCTGATGGCGCTACTTATTCTTGTAATTCTAAGTAAGTACCCACTTGATATTGATGGCTGGCACGCGGTGCCCATAAGGCTAATACTGGTTGCGATAGTGACCACGGTCGGGTTCGGCTCCCATTTTGAAGACATCAGCCCAGAAATGCTCGAGATGTACCTGCGGGTTAGTCAAGCAGCGAACAATGCTCCTCTTAGCCCATCGACCTTCTCCTTGAGCCCCGCGGGCGGCAGCAGCTAACCACCCAACAATAACGAAAAGTACGGCCTTCCGACATTCTCGCTCTACGTCCTCGGCTCCCTCACGGCCAAGCTCGCATACGCCTTCTACTACCTCCGGCTCTTCTCGGACCGGCAACATACCCTGCTCAACCACGCCCTGATCGTGTTCCTGGTCCTTCAGGGGCTGGGCGAGGGCATCACGTCGCACCTCATGTGCACTCCGTTCTCCAAGGCCCTCGTCCCGACGATACCCGGCACGTGCAGCAACGTGGGCGCTTTCTATCTTTCTTTTGTGGGTGGCCTTTTCTCAAGCTGGGAAGGGATCTCGCCCGCCCTTGCGGTTTGTTCCTTGCCAGTTTACAACCAAGGCTGACTTTGGGCCTCCCTTTGGAGGGCGGCAGTTTGGCATAAAACTCTTCACCGACGTCGTCCTCTTTGTGCAACCCATCCCAGTACTATGGGGGCTGAGGCTGTCGGCCGGCAAGAAGACGGCCATGTTTGCCCTGGTATCCCTCGGCATGTTGTAAGTGGCCTGCTTTTCAACATCATGTCGTCCGACGCAACCACACGACGATATTCCTGGAAGCAAGAACCGGCAAAGACTGACTTGAAACAAACAATTCACACAAACCAGTGTTTGTATCTTCTCAGTCGTCCGCATCAGACTCGTCCCGCTTCTTTACACGGGCGACGACCCAACATGTAAGAACATGACCCGAGGCCGACACCCCATCCATCCGACAAAGTCGGCATTCTCCCCTTGGCAGACCAATGCTGACAAGATGCCTTGGGGGAACAGACACCATCGTCGACGCCATGCTCTGGTCCGAGGTCGAGATATTCAGCCTCATCGTGTGCGAGTGCGTCCCCGCGCTGCGGAAGCTCGGGGCGCGGATGGGCCCGGTGGTGGCGGCGCTCGTCTTCGTGACGGCGACGGCGAGCAAGCCGACCAACGCCAACAGCAACGACCAGCCGTCGGGTGGAGGAGACGCGGGCGACGGCGGGTCACGGCGCAAGCGCCGGGGCGGCAGGTGGCGCGGGAGCCGCACCAGCTCAAAGTACGCGGGCGGCGGCGGGTCGTCGGCGTCGTCATCGCGGGGCAGCAGGTTCGGGGTCACGAGCCTGGTGTCGGCGACGAGGCGGTCCGACAACAATGACAGCTTCGGCGTCGGCCAGTTGTCGGCCCGCACCATCGTCGGGCAGCCCGAGCCGCCCGAGCCGACGCACGGGTCCATCATGGTGACGAGGGACATCGAGATCGGCATCGAGGTGAACGAGAGCGCGGACGAGGATGACGACGACGACGACGACGACGACGGTGATGACTACACGGAGCAGGGCGACGACGACGTGTCGGACTGGGAGGCCGGCGGCCGTCGGCGGCGCCGTCCATCGTCGCTGTCGCTCGGGGCAAAGCCCGTGGAGCCGCTAGAGCCCGTCTAACAGGTACGGACTGTGTGTGGAGTTGGGGCGTGTATAGGCTCCCAACAGCAAGAGAGAATGGAATCTTGGCCTCAAGGCCCAGCACCTCACTGGGCACCTCCTATTTACCTCGGCGCATGTTGGCTTGCTGCATTCTTGCCTCTTTAGTGCTGCCATTTTCTTCCGCCAGACATGCTCATGTCCTCCACGCTGTAGAGAGACTCACATCACTGCCACCTACGCAAGTCCACAACGGTGATGGAAGCCCGGCCGAGAGGGACGAGGCGGGGCCACGGCATGATGGCAACCACAACCCCAGATATGTAAGATAGAATAGCGACAACGAACACGCTGATTCTTTTGCTCGTGGAAGCCAAAGGCTCCAATATGTACGTTTCTTTGCGTGACTGGTAGCGACCAAGACACTGGCGGGCAACGGGGCTGAAGGAAGCCATTCACCTTGAGTTGAAGATCAACTAGGTTCCTAGAAATTTGCAAGTATTATAGATATCAGCTAGGGTCGTATGGCACGGGAGTTCTCTCTCATCCCCTCTAGCGTACCATTCTATTCTCTCCAAGGCCAATTGGGTCTGGATTGCTCTGCCTTCTTTTGAGCAAACAGCGACTGTGCGACACTGAGACGGGAGAGCTGACACATAAAACGTCCACATTCTCTCCATCCACACCAGCAACACGGGCTGATTTAAAACATCTACGGGCTACAACCAGGGGGGTTATGAGCATAGGGTGGGGTTCAATATAAAGAAGTGGGGTGCGAGCCCTGCACGGTTTCCCGTCCGAGAAGAAGTTGAGGCAAGCAGCTAGAGATGGCGATGGAAGGAGCCTATAGATATATACAGCCAATACCAATAATCCCCATCTCCTCTCTATTGGCCTGATTCGACTGCTGCCAACACCCTCCCAACCCTCCCAAAGAGCCCATCACACAGCCCAGGGCGGGCGCTCACGGCGACCCAGCGGGCAACTCTTCCCACCATGCCTCGCCCCAAGGCCCTAACAAACGCTCAGCTCCAGCAGATCGCCCAGGCCTGCGGCGTCGCAAAGGCGGGCACCAAGAGCGCCCTCGCCGCCCGCATCGTCGCCGCCCTGGCCGCCCACAAGCCGCCCCCGCCGGCCGAGCGGATCCTCAGCATCGACATGGGCCTGCGCAACTTTGCCTTTTGCCACTTCACCCTGGGGGCGCCGCCGCCACCGAAGCGCCGGGGGTCCGCCGCCGAAAAGACCATCCCTTCCGGCTTGGCGGCGGCGGCGGCGGCGGCGACATCACCGCCGCCGACCCGCTCGGCTGGGGTGGTGGACCTCACCCTCACCGGCCCGGTGCTCACGCTAAACTCGTGGGAGGTGCTCGACCTGACCGAGGTCACCCCCGGGGCCGACGCGCTCGACTACGGCTCCAAGGCGGACCTGAGCGCCGTGGCCGTGGACGTGGTGGAGCGGCACTTGCTGCCACTACCGCGGGCGCCGACGCGCGTGCTCATCGAGCAGCAGCGCTTCCGATCTGGCAGCACCTCGTCGGTGCTCGAGTGGACGCTGCGCGTCAACACGCTCGAGGCCATGCTGCACGCCGTCCTCGCCACCCTGCGCCGCCGCGGCCACTGGGCCGGCGCCGTCGAGGTTGTCAACCCGCTCCTGTCGTCCGCACACTTCTTCAGCGGGGACGAGGGCGGCGGGCGCGTGCCGACGAGGGTGCTCAAGGGGATGAAGATCGACCTGCTGGGCGGTTGGATCTGCGGGGACAGTGCGGGCGGCGGCGGCGGCGGCGGCGATGGCGATGGCGATGGCGATGGCGATGGCGATGGCGATGGCGATGGCGATGGCGATGGCGATGGCGATGGCGATGGCGATGGCGATGGCGGTGGCGGTGGTGGCGGTGCGCCCGCCGCGAGCGTGACCATGGGGAGCCCCGAGGCCGAGCGGACCGCGGCTGTGTTTCTTCAAAAGTGGCGGCCGGACAAGGAGGTCAAGAAGGAGAGGAGGGCCAAGAAGAGTCTTGACGATGGCAATGATGCTGCCGCAATAAAGCCAGGGTTGCGGGCCAAGAAGCTGGACGACCTCACAGACTGTGTCATACAGGGCGCTGCGTGGTCTAGCTGGCAGGACATGAGAACAAAACTCTCTCAAGATGGAACCAAGGAGATGCTCGAGCAGCTCATATGAAACTAAAGCCACTGCTGGGGTTTCCGGGATATAACGGTAAACGGCGTGTTTGTATTTCTATGATACCCGTCCATATCATCACAAGCTTGGTTATGTTGAAACGATAGTCCTGTATCAGGTAAGTACCTAGGCAGGCCTGCTAAGATTTTCATGGTGTTTAAATTCATCCATCCGAGTGTCATCGTATATGCGACATCAAATGACTGATGTCAGGTTGGGAAAGCGACGTAAACATCAGACAGTGTTTCGAATAATAGAGCTGTCGCAAACGGATATAGACCCACTTGGTAGCTACCAGCCACTAAGCGGGGGCCTTCGCTTTTGGCACGGTGGCCCAATTGGCTCGCAACAAGAGCGCAATAACATGAGACGGGCACCATATTAATAACACCAACGATGGGTATCGACATCCTCTATGGGAGGGGGTATCCAGCCAGCCGAGTTCCCAAAAGAACACGGCTAATCATATTCGTCGTATCCGTCATACATGCCTTCCTCCCGCTGCGTGCTCACGTACTCCTCGCTCGCGAGCCCGCGCCTCATCCTCTCCCTCAAGTCCTGCGGGTCCTTGTGCCAGTCGCAGGCAAAGTCGCAGTCCGGCGTCGCATCCTCCCCAAAGTACCTGCACACGGCCGCGTGCCGACAGCCGCCGGTATTCTCGCAGTAGGCCACGAGGCGCTGGAAGCTCTGCATGCGGGCCGCCCTGCTCTCGGCGGACGACGAAGAGCCGGAGCTGTCGCCGCGCGCCACAAGACTCCAGGTGCGGTCGCGGTCCTCGCGGCTGTAGTACAGGAAGCAGTACGACGCCCTGCCGTCGCGGCCCGCCCGGCCCGCCTCCTGGTAGTAGCCCTCGAAGGACTTTGGCACGCGCCAGTGCACGACGTAGCGCACGTTGTCCTTGTCGATACCCATCCCGAACGCCGTCGTGGCCACGATGACGTCGTAGCCGGGCTTGCCGGCGATCCAGCGGGCCAGCGTCGTCTCCTTGACCTCTTTGGTCAGCTTCGCGTGGAAGGGTTGCGCGCCTATCCCTTGCTCGCGCAGTGCCGAGGCCAGCGACTCGCACTCGCCCCGCGAGATGGTGTAGATGATACCAGAAATGCCATCGAAGCGCTCGCCGAGCTCGTCGAGCTCCTGGAGCCGCTCGGCCTCCTTCCTGCGCTTGTGAACTCCCCGGAGCCAGACGAGAAAGTTGTCAAAGCGGTCATTCGCCTCGTCGCTGGTAAAGCGGACCTCTATGTGGAGGTTTGGACGAAAGGCCGTGGTGGAAAAGGTCTTCAGTCTGTCCGGATCGCTGCCTCCCAGAAGGCCCATTGTGGCCAAGACGTCGCGGCGGACCTGCTCGTTGGCGGTTGCTGTAAGACACATGATGGGCACATCTGGGAACGCCTCTCGGAACCAAGAGAGGCGCTTGAAGTCCTTCCGAAAGTCATGACCCCACTCGGAAATGCAATGGGCCTCATCGACAGCGACACGGGCCAGCTCTTTCTGTTTGTGCACCAACTGGAGCTTCTTGCGGAAATAGTCCGTCGAGCAGAGCTCCGGCGTTACGTAGAGCAGTCTGATCCGTGGATGGCCAGACGCGAGTTCCTGGTAGATGTGCTCCTTCTCATCACGAGGGGTAGTGCTGTTTAGCGTCCTAGCATCTACATTGGCAGCCTTGAGTGCCTCGACTTGGTTCATCTGTACTCAATTGGTTCAGCCGCCATGTTTCTAGGTAAAATCATGTATGGGTGTGCGCGGGAAGTTGCCGGAGGTTTCAAGCCTAGCCACACACCATCAGACTTAGTAGCGGTGAAACCACGATTGTGACTATCACGTCACGTCGGAGGAGCTGTTAGCTGCCATCGTAAAGCGACATCTGGGATCGCTCTGTTCCAAGACCATGATGCGGGGCGGTACCTACTCCCGTGGTCTATTACCGCTGGGAGCTGGAAGCACAGGCTCTTCCCGAACGAGGTGGCGGCCTGGACAAAAACATCGTGTCTCTCGAGTGCGGCCACTATGACTTCCCTCTGGGTGGGCCTTCAGCCTCGCACCCGACGTCAACATCCGGAGAATCCACAAAAACGGCAAAGCAGACAGTGTGTGGACAGGGACAGGCGGTGATCTCGTCGGTACCTAAATGCTTCTTTCTTGAATTGACGCTTCAGCGTAAAGTCGATGTCGGTGCAAGAGCCCGTCCTTCTGAGGGGAGCCATGGTGGAAGTGTTCCCGAGCAGCCGACGAAATGCAGACTAGCAACAGGCAAACCATCAGACGCAGCAGCTGTGCTCGAGCGCTTGCTGTGCTTGGCCTCAAGGGAGCGGGGTGAAGAGCCTCGGGTTCGTCGCAGGAGTGTTCGGGCCAGATGACGCATGCATGGTGTTGTTCGGACGCGGGCAGACGGTCCCTTGGTGGGGAGGAAGTTAGCTGAGACTCTCGCGGGTTGGTTGACCCAGCATGCATAGCAAGTACTAAAGTGACAGTAAGGTACCATGTGTGCTGTCTGATCTCAAAGGCGGACGGAAGGCGCCACTGGACCCGCCCACGACGGCCAGATAAGAATACTACAAAATTGATCCACAGTAGTCCCATGCGGCCCCAACGACACGAACCTGTTCTAGAGAGTTATTTCCTTTTATCTCATTTGGCTAATGTTTTTTTTTCTCGGTGATGTTTCTTCCTGCTCCGTGCTTTTCTTGTTTTCTCTCTCTTTCCTCTCCCCAGAAGTGCAGGCTTTTGCTTTGAGGAACGTGCCTCCAACTCGGTTGATCGACCTCAAGTCTCCGAGACCCCCCACTCCCTCTCCCTTCCCAGTGAGGCGTCTATGGATGTGCGGGGCCTGCTCCACGTGATAGACCCGCCCAGAAAATCCGGGTGCTTGGAGCAGCAGTGAGAAACAGAGATGAGAGAAACAAAACATGGGCGGCAGGGTTGTTGTTTCGCCAGCCCGTTTCAGCTGGCCTTTAGCGATGGCTGAGCTCGGCATGCTTGTCTGTGTGGATTGTTTGAATAGTCGGGCTAATTGCTCCAAATCGTGAATGTAAACGTTTTTTTTTTTTTTTTTTTTTGCGTTGGCAGCCTGCTTAATAACTTACCTATACAAAGTATTCTACGCTGAACCATCTGCCTCTTTGAAGCAGTCCAGTGTCTGCCCTCCAGCTTTGCATCGACGATGCACAATAGTTTCGCTGACATCAGGAACTGGAATGTCCTCCATACAATACCGCAGGAAGCCCTGCACCGTTGACTGCTGACAACGAACTGCATAATAAAAGTAATTAGAACCAACAATGTCAATGTGACTCGGCCACGGGCGACACGCCTACTCGTGTGCTGTTTGGTGTATATGTTCTGGGCCAACACATCGGCAAGCTTCCGACTCTCCGTGTTGGCCCAAGTGTCGGACTGGATTCCCCGCACAATGAGGCTGCAGGGGAAGGGGAGGTGCTTGCTTGCGCAGTCACGCCAATCGTGTGCCCGACTGGGAACTCTGCAAGTGCAAGGGCCGCCCATGGCGCTCGACCCGCTACGCGACACCAGACTTGAAGTTGGGAGGGGCTGACAAAAGACTCAGACGAGCTTTCGGACAGGCCTCTCTTTTGGCCAGGGCAGCACACGTTCAGGCGAGCCAGGGCACGGATCTGTTCCATGTACATAGGGTCGTGAGAGGACAGACAGCTGTTAGTCGGTGTGCAGCAGCAGCGCAGCAGCGGTGGAGCGAGCGCGCCTCGCAGGCGGTGATGGCATCAGATACGGCCCACCACGCGGCACGTCGTTGCCAGCGCTCGGTTCCTTGCAGGCGTGCGGCACGCTAAGGGGTCCAGGAGTCGGTCCAGTCGCCGAGCTGCAGCAGCGCCCAGGCTGGTGGCGACAGCGGCATCTCCACTTCCTGCAGTTGAGCGGCGTTACCGCACAGGTCCTAGTGGTAAATGTACCCACGCGCCCCACGCAGTCCCGAGGTGCTTGCCCGCCCTTTGGCGATTCCCTGTTGCACATACCGCCCGCCGCCCGCCGGGGGGCAACGTCGAATCATGGGCCCCAGGCGGCTGGAGCCCCCGTGCCCCCAAAGGAGGCGGTCGACTGACCCCTTTTTTCGCTTGGCACCCCAGCTCCAGCGCTGCGCGACCGCCAGTTCCCAGATGGGTTTGATCGTGGCAGCCGAGAAGGGGAAGGATGGGATAAAATAGGGCGGGAGAAAAAGAAAAAAAAGAAGATGAATGATAGGACGGGGGTAGCTAAACGGCAATGACAGAGCGCGCAGGGGATTTTCCGGGCTTGCGAGGCTGCAGCGGTTTGTTTGTTTCAATTTTTCCTTTCTTTTTCTACCGCCCATTCCATTTCCATTCTTTGATTTTCCAACCCGCCTCTCTTGGCGAGCCTAGCACTGTGTAGTATCGTGACTGGTGCTTCTTTCCTTTCTTTTTATTTTCAATTTTGGGGTTTCCATTTGCACTCTGCATTTTGAGTTGGTGACGTCTCTGTGGGATTTAGTTCGAGATCGCTCCGGTCCAGCGCCAGACGCCACTGTGATGCGGCAAGTCGCCCGCTGCATAACCTGCCGCAGTTACTGCTGACCGTGCTACCCGCCACTGCTTTGCAGGGCCTGCCTCCTACACCCGGCACACGCTCCGACCCGCACATTGGATTTCAACGCTCAAGCAGGTGCTTGGAAGTGGGCGGGCGCCCATTCAATGAGATCGGCCGCATCAGACATTCACCGTCCATCGCAGCCCAGGCAAAAACAACAAAGCCAATTCCACGCCCGACGTCGTCTGCGCCTGGTGCAGCCCTCGAGTCCCTGCCGCCAACTCGCTCGCCATCCTCCATGCCATGACGGGCTCGCGCGTTTTATCCAGTGTCAGATCGCACACCCTTCAATTGGCCTGAATCCTCCGGCTCGCCGGCTTTTTACCAAAACTACGTATTTCCCACTCCCGCTCCCCGCCGCGCCTCTTTTCCAGCACGGCAGAGCTCCAGAACACCTAGTCGTCGAAACAAACCCCCTCGACTCATCGTCTCGGCTCCGCGTCATCGTCCTCCATCCACCCGCAAACGCCCATCAAGGCGTCGCTCGCCCATCCAGCACCGGGAGCTGGCCATAGACATACCCGACCTCACGATCCTCGGACATGGAGCGCGAAAGGCCCATGGGCCCCGGAAGGGGCCTCCCGGAGAATCCAGCCCAGGGACGACGAGCCGCGGCAGCCTCGGGCAGCTCGCTGAACAACGTCCCAGGTGTACCACCCATCCCAGCATCAATAGCAGGCATTCGCGCCGTGCCCTCCAGCTCCTCGCTCTCAACCACATCCCCAGTCTCCGCCGGCCAAGTCATCACCATGGCACGCAAGGCTATGGCTGAAGCCTTCAAGGACCACGAATCCCAAGCCGCCGAGGCAAGTGGCGTTAGCAACGAGCTGAAGCCTGGCATCACCATCAACCTGAGCCACAGAAACATCCAGGATCTTCCAGACGAGGTTGTCGATGTGATCAAGCACGAGCTAGAGAGGTATGTTGCCCTTCTCTTGTTCAGCCCGCCCGCGCAGCTGATAGGACGGCTAGCTAATGTCTGCATCGTCATCCTTCCAGGCTCGCCCTCTCGCACAACAAGATCCAGTCGTTTCCCGCCAGATTCTCCGAGTGCTCGACGCTGCGATACCTCAACGTCAGGAATAACGAGTTGAGAGAGTTCCCACTACCGGTATAATACCACCTGAGCCTTGTCCTGCATCATACTTTTGGCGCTTGGTCCAATGCTGACTCTTGACGTGGCTCGCCACAACAGCTATGCGATCTGAAAAGCCTAGAAATCCTGGATCTGGGCCGGAACAAGCTCCAATCACTCCCTTCCGAGATTGTCAAACTCACGTCCTTGAAGGTGTTTGCGGTGCAGAAGAACCGTATCAAAGAGCTGCCGCTCTGCCTTGCCGACATGAACTCTCTGCAAATGATCAAACTGGAGGGCAATCCGATCGAGTTTCCGCCCCGAGAGATCCTGCAGGTGCAGGCAAGCAGCCCACCGAACGAGCAGCTGAAGGAGAGCGAGGTTACCGAAGTCACCGTGACTCTGCATATCAAGAAATACATGAAGCAAAGGGCCATGTCCATCAACACGAGCACGCGCGCCGAGTCCGATACGGGCGGTGACGAGTCAAGCGAGGGCACCGAGACGCCTCGAGTTCCTATCAAGCGCGTTGTCAGTGGCCGTTTCCCCGTCAGGGTCAACGGTGCCGGCCTTCCCGACCTGAGGTCACCAGCTCTGGGACGCCCGCCCCCGATTCCAACACGGTCACATTACAGGGGGCTTTCGCAGCAAAATACAGCACCACGCAAGCCCGGTGTCATGCCTCTCACGATCGGCAACGTCAACGAACGAGTGCGGAGCAACTCAGAGACGCTTCTCCAGGCGTCAAGGGGCGAGAGACCCGGCGATCGGTCACGGCGCATGGGAATTGTGCAAAAGGCCAGCCAGCTCGGGACGCTTGACGAGACACAGGCCAACAACCGCTTCTCGCACTACCGTGGTCTTAGTCACGGCTCAGCCATGCAGCAGACCAACGGGCCCATCGCTAACGGAAAGCCTCCAGTAAGCCCCGCCGAGTCGATCCTACAGCGGCCGATATACGTGCGGCGCTTGTCCGTCCTGCCCGAACGGAGGCGCGAGTCGCAGTTTATCGACCCGGTACTAGAAGCTGCCAAAGGGATACTCTACTCGATATTCCAGATCCACCCCATGATCCAGATGCTCATGAGCTTGACGAGCGACGGCACAGCTAAGCGCTCTAGCCTCGAGATCGTCTTCTATAACACCAACTCTCACGTAGAGGAGCTGGAGCAGGAGATCCAGAGGCACGAGGCCGACGAGTACAGCACCCACCTCGACAACGAGAACGTGCAGCGAGCCTGCATAACCCTCGTCAATGCCTACGCGCACGTCTGCTCCCTGCTGGCGAGCAATGTCGAGCTCTTCATCGACAACGGCGACCCGCGGTACATCCGGACGCTGATGATGCAGCTCTATAATAGCATCACGGAGCTGCGAGTCACGACGTCACAGGTTGGCTCCGACGAGGGCCATCGCAGGGTCACTAGCAGGGGCTCTGTGAACACAAACACGATCCGGGCGCGGTCCGGCTCGACCTCGGCGACGCCGACCGCCGACAGGTCAGGTGGCATTCCGCGTAATGCCACGCGTGCCAACCTGGCCCCGACCAATCTCAGGGTTGCCACCGACATGCCGTTTGCCTTTATTAATGGGAGCGGCCGCACAGCCACCATTGTCACCTCTGCTACCCCGCGGTCTGGCGAGTCTTTCACCTCGACTGGTAGCCGTGCGCTCATGGGCGAGTTTAGCGAGGAGGACCGCACGTTCGAGGGCATTTTCCTGGCCCTGCAGAGGTCATCGGAACTTGTCATGCGTCTCCTGCCCGCTTTCAACAATCAGTGCGGCAGCTGGCTCCAGACCGCGGCGGCGCAGCGTAACACGCGCGACCTGCAGCTCTGGAGGATTCTGATTGCCAAATGCACCACGGTCATCACCCAAACCGAGATGCTCAAGGAGCGGATGTCGGCCATCAAGCTCAAGGAGCCTGGGATCCGGACCCAAGGCGACTTTTGGTCCATGTGCCGCAGCTTTATCGACTCGTGGACCGAGTTCGGGTCGCAAATCAAGGCCTTCGACAAGCCCCTCTCGCTTCCCGCCGATATCAAGGTGCGGCTGCGGCCGATTCAGAAAAGTATACAGGAGACTACTGATCTCATAATACGCTCACCCTGGGGCTACTCGCTCCGGTCGTCCTTTGGCGGGACCATGACCTCGCAGCCCAACGGCATGCTCTTCAGCCCTGTGGACGGCCCCAGCGGCCATGGGCGAGGCGGCATGAGCGGTGGTATGAACGGCAGTATGAACGGCAGTATGAACGGCGGTATGAATGGTGGTATGAATGGTGGTATGAACGGTGGTATGAACGGTGGCATGAACGGTGGCATGAACGGCGGCATGAACAACAGCATGAATGGCATGAACGGCATGAACGGCGACATGCACCACCACCACCACCACCACGGACACCATATGCAGCTCCCCATGAGTCCGCAGAGCGCGGCTCTGGGTCCGGCTGTTCAAGCAACGGTGCCGGCGACGCCACAGAGCGGCTCGTTCTCTGCGGCGCTTACAGGCAACGTATTTGAGCGTGCTGATGCGCTCATGTCTCAGGGAGGCCCGTCCATGTCACGGCATGGCACCTTCGCATCATCGGCCTCGGGCTCGACGGCGAGCATGAACTCGATTCTCTCCTCGTCGAGCGGCGGCTTCGGCTACGGCTACGGCAACGGCTACGGAGGAGACGGCGGTCTAAATATCATGAGCCCAAACGGTTCTGGGTCGCCGATGGTCAACTTCCCGATGCGGATGCAAAACGGGAGCAAGGTGGTCATGTAGTTTGTGCATGATACATCTACGCGAACAACCCTTTGCTTGGGTCGTCTTCTGAGCACGCCAAGCTCGTGCTTTGCTTTACCGCTTGCTCATAGATGGCTACATCTTGACCTGTCGCCTAGAAGCGTCTCCCCTCCAGCGTGTCATCATTTTATCATCCTCAACCTTTCCCTTGTTTTCTTGCTTCCTTTCTTTCTCGCTCTCTATTCTTTTTCTTCGCTCTTCGGTTTTGACGAGTCCAGGCAGGCAGGCAGGCAGGCAGGCAGTGGGAAGGGAAACAGGACAAGGCAGGAGGCCCATCGCGATAACAACGGGGGCATGTCTATTTCTTAAATCTAATGTGCGCGTACCTTGCATCTTTTTCTCTTTCTTTTTCCTTCTTTCTCATCACATGAACTTGCGAGCCTTTATTTACCCCAGCATTTTCCTACTTCGGAGCTTTATTTCGACATCATTGCTCAGGGATCGCATTGCAAAGGCGTTTGGAAGCAAAATATTAAAGAAGGGAACCCGGGATATGGACTTGCGACATCTTACAGTGGGCATGGGGAGCTTTCCATCCAAGTAACTAGACTATTCCCGTACATTTTTCACTTGTCAATCTCACGCTTGCTAGGTTCTGCATATACGATTTTGGCATGCCTGGAGCATGCCACCATTTTAGGAGAACCTAGATGCCCTCAGGCCCGCATGTATAAGGTCTACATCGGCTCTTCGATGAATCTATGTAGGTGATGACATCGGACAGCCAAATGTTATAGGGCGGAGGCACCAGAAGATGTGGCACGAGAAATGAAACGAAAAATAATAGAATCAGTCGATCCAAGTCAATGATAAATCTCAGACAGAAGGATACAGCAGGCAGTTACGCACATCTTCACCGGCAAGATAGCGTTTTATCCTATTCCATGCAAGCGAATAAGTAGCCTCCAATGGAGCCATTAGTAAGAGGCGAAGGAATATGGTTCGTCACAAGAAGGTAGCTGTAAATACAAAAGATCAGTGCAGGCAAACACTCGAGTCGTCCAGGCGAAAGGAGCCTATTACATTGAAATCCCCAGATCCATGATGCCGATGAATCACCAACATCTGCGTCGACGAATCAGTGCACAAACATGTTTGACGCCTTCAAAAACGAAACCAGCTCGCCCAGGTCTGAAAGGTGTCCCACGTGGGCGGCGTAGCCGTCCGGGCGGCAGAGGACATAGCCGGGCCTTTTGGAGAACCCATAGAGGGCGTGGAGCGAGCCGCCGACGTCGCGGAACGTGCTGCCGATGGGGCGGCCCGGGGTCTCGGTCTTGAAGACGTCGTCGTCGTCGTCGTCGTCGTTGCCATTGCCGTTGTCGTTGCCTCCGTCACCATCACTGCCGTAAAAGATGGCGAGGGCGACGACGTCGCTCCTGGCGCCGGCCACCTCGGCCGCGGCCAGGGCCAGGTCCCGCGGCGACGCGGCGGCAGCGGCGGCGGCGGAGAAGAGGAGCAGGTGGTGCGTCGTGCCGCCGAGGAGGCGCTGCAGCGTGGTGGCGTCGCGCGGGAGCGCGACGCCGCTGTCCCTCCTGCCACCGCCCTCCACGGCGGCGGCGGAGGCGGAGGCGGAGGCCCACCCGACGAGCGGCCCGTCCGGGAGGCGGTCGCCGCCGCGCACAGGACCACGAAAGCCGCACGCGGTGGCGACGATGCCGCTGCTGCTACTGCTACTGGCGCGGTAGTGGACGCCGAACTGACTGACGAAGGTGAAGAAGCGGCGACGGCGGGCGCGCGTGCAGAGCGCGACCAGGCGGACCCAGGGGAGCAACAGGCGGCGCAGCCAGACGACGACGGGGCTGCGGACGGTGACGAGGCGGAACATGCGGTCCGTGGTGCGGATCAGGTTCTCGCCCACCGGCCGGCGCTCCTCGTCGTACGTGTCCAGGAGGGCGTCGGCGACGGCAGAGGTGGTGGTGGTAGTGGCGGCGGCGAGCTTCCAGGCCAGGTTGATGGCGTCCTGGATGCCCGTGTTCATGCCCTGGCCGCCGAGCGGGCTGTGGATGTGGGCGGCGTCGCCGGCGACGAAGAGGCGACCCTCGCGGTAACGGCTCGCGCAGCGCCAGTGGAGCCGAAAGGTCGTCAGCCAGGTCGGGTCCGAGAGCGTTCCCGGGTCGCCGTACGTCTCGTCCAGCAGCGTCTGGAACTCGGCGAGGGTCGGGGGGACGTGGCGCTCGAAGCCGGGCCCGCGGTCGCGGGCGCACGCCATGCGGACGACGTCGCCGTCGGCGGCCGCCAGGGGCATGATGAGGACGAAGCGGTCGCCCAGCCCGACCTCGATGTCGCCCTTCTTGAGCGAGCCGCCGACGAGGGTGGCGTCGCAGAGGATGAAGTCGTGCTGGTAGGTGCCGCCGTCGTACCGGATCGAGGTGGCGGCCTTGCGGACGGCGCTGTGGGCCCCGTCGCAGCCGACGACGTACCTGCACCGGACCGTCTGTAGGGCCGGGCTCGCGCCGCTGCCGTCTTCGCCAGGGCTGGGGGCCTTGGACAGGGTCACGGTCACGCCGTCGGGGTCCTGCACGATGGCCGTCGCTTCGACGCCCCGCTCGACCACGTAGCGACCGCCGCCGCCGCCGGGGGCCGTGACTTTCCCCAGGCTGGACTCTAGAAACCCCTCCATCTCAACTTGGGAGAAGGTGACGATGGACGGGAAGTTGGTGCCGACGAGCCCGGTGTCGGTCAGGTCGCCGTAGGTCCGGCGGGTCTTGCTCAGGTGCCAACGGACGCCCCGGATGGCGCTCGACTTGGCCATCATCTCCTCGCGGAAGTCGGTGTGGCGGTCCAGGAGCTCCTGGGTCCGGGGCTGGACGACGATGGCGCGGCTGGTCGAGTGTCGCTCCGGCTCCTTCTCGACTATGCGGAACGAGGCGCCGTGCTTGGCCAGCTCCAGCGCCAGGGTCAGCCCCGTGGGGCCGGCCCCGACGATGAGGATGTCGGTGGCTTCTTGCATTGCTGGGTGTTCTGGGCTGTGAGGCAGTATGGGGTGGTTTGCTACCACGAGGCTAGAAACTGAGAACCCCGTCTGTTTTAGGCCCCCCGTCCGTCTGTTATATGCCGCAAATGCCAGCTGAAGAAGCGGCCAGCCCGTGGATACATGTTGCACAAGCTTCGCTGCCAGCTCAACGGCGAGGGCCCGATGCTAAGGTGTTGGCACGATGTGGCACGCATTAGTGCTGGTAGCTAGGTAGGTAGGTACCGTGGTACCTAGGTAGCTACCCAACTTCTTCAAGTCGAGCCACCTAGAAAGTTTGGACTGGCTGATCTCGGACAAGGTAGCTTTTTGAAGAAACTCGAGCTAGCAGATCAACCAAGTCGGAGGTAACGGGGAAGGGAGCTTAGATCGAGACCGAGGACATCCCTACCACTTGAACCAGAGTAAGGTACCTAGTATGTAGGCAGAAAACACACACTAGCTTCTCTCCCCGCGAGAAAGCCATCAGAGGTGGTCAGGCGGGCATCGACGGCGACCCGGAGACTCGCCGTCCTCGCGGCTTCGCGTGTTTTCAACGCGCGCCACTTTCGGTCCAAGTCGGCGGACAAATCCCCGACGACCTGGAGTGCCCATGCAGCCCTGATTACGGTACCAATGTTAGTTGCCGTGGCCCCTCCTCTCCGCGTGCCGAGCCTGCAGGACATGGGTGGACCAACCACGCGCTTCCAAAGTCTCCTCTCCCACATGGAAGCCAACCAGACCAGGCCCCCCGAGCTGGTAGTCGATGCAGAGGTGGATGCGTCCAATGGCAGCAATCACAAAGACGTGATTGACTGATCCAAACACCCAGACAGAATCGTCTGTTCGCTCCCGCTACCGGTCTGGTTTTCCCAGCGTCCAGTTCGAGACAATATCTCAAAATATCCCGAGAGCTGCAGGAGTGGGCGATACCCCGCACCAGACGCCGTCCCATCCCCGTCAATCCTGGCCTCCCCAGTGCTGCCCAGGTTGTACCCCTTCCAGCCCGAGCCGTCAACTGAACTATCTTCCGCCGGGCCAGGCCATCTGCCATCGGCCGACCAGAGTCGCACCTTGAATCGCACTGCCCAAGACATTTCTTCTGGCCGCCGCAATGTCCTCGGTAGCAGCGCCGCCGCCGGCCGCACCGTCCCCTGCCCCGTCGTCGGCGGCGGCGGGCGCCGCGTCGGCAACGACATCCTCTTCGGCAACGACCTCGTCGCGCGGCACGGCCGGCGCCTCCCCGCCGCCCGCGCCGTCGACCGCGTCGTCCGTCTTCTCCGCCGCCCCGACCTGGTGGCCGCCGTTCGGCCGACGCACCGCGGCCCCCGCAACCGTGACCGCGAGCGGAGCGACGGCAACCATGATTGCGCCCCGGGGCGGCGGTGGCGGCGGCCCGGCGGCACCGTATAGACATCCCGCCGAGCCGTCGGGGGGTGGTGAGGCCGCCGGCATGCCGAGAAGGCAGCTGAACCCGACCCTCCCACCTCTGCGGCAGGGCAACGCCAACAGCACCGATATCAACAACAGAAGCGGCGGCGGCGGCGGCGGCGGCGGCGGCGGCGGCGGCGAGGGCGACCGCAGCAACGTGGCCGAGGCGCGCGTGGCGCTCGAGGCGTCCATGGCCAATATCCTGGACCGGGAGCTGGTGCCGCGCGCGCAGGCGCTGCACGCGGGCGAGCGCGTCATCACGCGGCAGCAGGCCGACGTGGCGCGCGCCACGGCGGCCCTGCACCAGACCAACCAACAGATCGCCCGCGTGGTCGAGGACACAAGCTGGAAGCTGCGTGAGCTCGGCCACCTGCAGAACTGGACCGAGATGATGGAGCGCCGCTTCCTCACCGTCGAGGAGACCCTGCGCCTCGTCAGGGAAGGCGGCGGCAGCGGCGACGAGGAGGGGAGCTGCAGCAGCTGCAGGTGCTCCGACTGCTGCTCCGACTGCGGCGCGAGCTCCGACTGCGGCAGTGACGCCGGCGGCGAGCGGGGCGGCCCTACAGCAGAAGGCGCGGGCGCTGACGACAAACCGGAGATTATCATCCACGATGAAGCTGCTAGAGAATCCTCAACTTCTGGCTTCCGGTCCGAACATGCTCCCACCGGAGGACCTGCCTCAAGTCAGGCTGTACCTTCACCCTCTAACGCCGTTCCTGAGGAGTCTGCACACGCGGCCAACGATATTGGCGTGTTGCCACCAGCCCAGACGAGTGTGCCAGCTAGTGCCCCTCAAGTACCCGCTCTCGGTGACGCCAAGGCACCTTTACCGTCGACCAACCTTCCCCAAGTAGACCCGTGTCAGGTGCCGCTGCCTGCGGAAACCGGCAGCCTTTTCGAATACGACAGGATGGCTGCTGCAGACAAGCCGACCTGAGGCAGGCCATTTGCATGGGCCGGGTTGAGTGTTCCAGCCTCCATCACAACTCGGATCTTCTTTTTGTATTCCACCTTGCTTTTCGCACGACTGATGATGCATGAACAGAAATGATATACCAGGGTGTCAGCGAGGCGACCTCCTCTTGTGTGTTTCTTTTCCAGAGTTGTAGCCATTTGATAAACAGTGGTGTACTTTAAAAATCTGTTGGCCCGTCCTAGCCACCCGTTTTCTTGCCATTAATGTTCACAAGGCAAAGCGGCCAACCTAATTGGCATCTGGCTCTTTGGAATGACCGCGGGGTTACAGAATGCCCGTGTAGAAACACAGCAGCCAGGCAAACCTCAGACCTGAGCCAGAAAGGCTTAGACCAGGCCAGGAAGCATGGTGTAGCGCTTCTTCTTATACTTGTCGGGGAAGAGTTGCCTCAACTCCTTTTCCTTGCCCCGCGACCACATGCGCATGTACAAGGATCCAAAAAAGATGGTCAAGGCAACGGCCCAGCTGCGCGACACGATGATCATGCCCACCCAGGCGATGATCTCGAACATGTAGTTGGGACAGGTGACGAGGCTGCTGCCCACGCACGACGGAATGCCCTTGCCTGTGGTCCCCGGGGCGCGCAGGCTCGCTAGGTGGAGGTGGACGACGCCGTTGAGAACCTCGCCGTAGGTGAAGATGGCGATGCCGAGGTGATCCAACGGCATCAGGCCCTCACGGACGATGTTGAAGATGGGCACGAAGCCGAGGAGCTGGTAGCCCGCGGGGGCGTATATGACGAGGCTGCACAGGAGGCCGCCGCCCAGCCAGTAGAGCGCACTGTTTCGGAACAGGTTCCAGGCCGGCATCGTGTTGGCCGCGAACCTGTGGACGAAGAGCGTCTCAACCTCGCGCTTGAGGAAGTGCAGCAGGAAGAGGGCGAAGCAGGCCCACTGCGTCGTCGTCATTGCCGGGATGTCCCCGACCTTGGCACCGGGGTATGTGCCCGTCAGAGGGTAGATGTACTGGCGGGCCGCCGCGAACAGGACGTGGAACAGGATGGGCCCGAGGTACTCGATCACGAAGACGGTGCGCCAGGCGATTTGCGTGCCTGTTGGGTGGTAGATGCCGGGTTCCCTGGTTAGTGTCGGTGCGTCCTCGGCTGGTCATGGCCGGCTAGCTGCCCGCGGTGCTGAGGGGAGAGGCGGTTGTAGAGGCCATCTTACCGAGATCCTTGACCAACATCTCCCCGGCCGACACGACATTTTCGCAGTCCTTGATCAGCGCCTTGCGGTCCTTCAGCGTCTTGTTGGTCGTGGGGTCGTAGAGGCCGAGGCGGTTGAAGTCCGAAACCTTGGCCTGCTTCGCGATGGCCTTCTTGGCGTCCTCGACGCTGGCATTGAGCGGAAGTTCGATCGACTCGGGCAGCTGTTTGATGCCCTGCTTCTTGGACCGGCTCCGTAGCCGGACCGAAATTGTGCCTGCCATCTTCTTATCCTGTCCCGAACGGAGAGTTGGTTCCGACTGTCCTCGAGGTAGACGACGCGAGCTAGAGATTTTCGACTCGATCCTGCGGGAGACGCGAGCCGGGTTGGAATCGCATCCAATAACTGGTGAGTGAAAAGGAGGAGGATCTCACATTGAAAATTGCGCCACAAAAGCCAGCCTGTCAACCCAACGAATTCATTGATGGGGCTCGAGTCCCTCAACCCCTGCGCCCAATTACAGCGCCGAGGACCCTGTAAGTGGAACAGTTAGCCGCAAAACCTTATCCCAACTGCTTGGGCAGTACAAGAGAACCAGAAGCCCTACCCAAGGGTTGTGAGGCAACATTTCCGTGGCCTACGAATCATGAGACTGGTGAACGACAGCTGACAACATAGAAATGTATACTGACACAGATACATGGGTGAAGACGGGAAGGCTACAGAAGTCTGCGCAAACACTTTGCTTGTCAATTACATTTATTTCGAAAACTGCGATACCAATGGCGATACCCTATCAATAATATGGACACAAGAGGTTTTTGGTAGGCAGGTCTACCACCGGAGGGGATTAGATATTCATTGGCCGTTATACATTGGACTGGGAGGCATGCGCACAATGGTTGCTGTATATGATTAACGGTGAATGGTCTTTTGTGATGAACAAAAAAAAAGCATTGAGCGTTTTCCTTATTGCAGAGTCACTGAATCGTTTCCAGCTAGCTGCAGGTGATTTATATCAGGACCTCTAACCACCTGCACATTGCGGCAGCATCGCTTGCGACCCCCTGCGCTCCGGCCGCACGATGGAGCGAGCAAGAGTGTGGGGTCCGCAGACCTCAGATCAACACCACCGCTCCGCTTACATAATGAACCCGACCAATTGGTCCGTGCACAGTCCCTTAGGGCTTGCTACCGCTAGGCGGAAAATCCGCCCAGCCCACCTCCATAATTCCACACAAATCCTCCAGCGAACTTTTCAGGCTCTCCCCACCAGTTTTTCAGCGACATCGACGACCACCCAGCCCACGTTATTTGATTGCAGATTCTGGTGAACATCTACATCATCAGGGTACGTGTTTTTGGACTGGCATCGGCTGGGCTCATTGGCGTTGGGACGTCTCGGTGCTGAATGGACTTCTGCCCTCCTCTTGTCCTGCGCCTTGAGACGCCGACGAAACCCGACCCTCTGCCAAAAAAAAACAAAAAAAACAGCCTGTTTTCAGAAACCGCCACGCGTGGCCGACAATTGCTGGATAGTAGGCTAACAAACCTCTCGATTTCTTTCTTCTTGGTGTAGGAACCGCAATCATGGGTATCTCACGAGACTCTCGCCACAAGCGCTCCGCCACCGGTGCGAAGCGCGCCCACTACCGTGCGTTGCCCCCCCGAATCGAAGACGATCTCCCCCCGTGTGCAAGGCGCAAATTCCGTGGCATCTTGCAGGCTCTGACCTAGGAGACATTGCGTTTTACAGGCCAGAAGCGCGCCTGGGAGGCCGGCCGCCAGCCCGCCAACACCCGTATCGGCGCCAAGCGAATTCACACCGTCCGTGTCCGCGGCGGCAACACCAAGTACCGGGCGCTCCGCCTGGATTCCGGCAACTTCTCGTGGGGCTCCGAGGGCACCACCCGCAAGACCCGCGTTATCGGTGTCGCCTACCACCCGTCCAACAACGAGCTGGTCCGCACCAACACTCTGACCAAGAGCGCCGTCATCCAGATCGATGCGGCCCCCTTCCGCCAATGGTACGAGGCCCACTACGGCCAGGCCATCGGCCGCAGACGGCAGCAGAAGCAGGCCAAGGAGGCTGCTGAGGAAGTGAAGAAGAGCAAGAGCATCGAGGCAAAGCAGGCCGCCCGCTTTGCCGCCCGCGGCAAGGTCGACCCCGCGCTGGAGAAGCAGTTCGAGGCCGGTCGCCTGTTCGCCGTTGTCTCGTCTCGGCCCGGCCAGTCCGGCCGGTGCGACGGCTACATCCTGGAGGGCGAGGAGCTGGCTTTCTACCAGAGGAAGCTGCACAAGTAAACGAAACGAAACGAAACGAAACGAAATGATGGACAGGGGGGAGCTTGTGTCTGCGGAGGTAGAGAAATGGATGGATTTCTTGCTTGCTTTGGTCTCTGGTGGGTGTTCAGGTCTTGATGCGCCCCATGGTGGATTTTAAAATCGGTTTTACGGGAGGGAGTCTCTTCCAGTCTGGGTCGGCCCTCCGCAGCGACCGCTACCACCTTAGGTATTGGCCGCTTCCACAAATGCATTGCAACTGGGTGGTTTTAGGGTCGGTAAATAAAATCCAACAGTGATTCTATGCTTGTTTCCTGTTTCCATGCTTCCCAAACTCGTGGCGAGGAGTGCCTGCTAGTAAGGTTTGCCCAGTTGTGCCAGATCCATGCCGTGCGGTAGAGGGATGTGCTTGGGTACTTTCGACCGACCTCTTTCCTGGGCAAGGCTGGCCGATGTCCGTGTGCGCGCGTCCACTGGCCCCCACGGCTGGCGTGACACTGAGTCCTTCTGCCCCGTGCGTGAGTGTAGGTACCGAGAACCCCATCTTTCCGGGCGCCGCACTGTGTGTGCGGGCAGCGGGCGGAAGTGCTCTCGTAACACACAACTCACGCAGCCTGACCCACACCAGCCGGGGCGGGACCTGAGGTAGCTTTGCCGTCATCCACATTACGCAAATGTTGGGTTGACTGACCTGAGCTTCCATGGAGAGGCCTTCGGTTCTCTGCCTTTCCTAATTTTTCTTCCTGCTTCTCCCGCCGCCACACGCTCTTTTTCCCTGTTTTCTCTCCAGCAGTTTCCAGCTTGACGAACTTGGAGAGCGTGCCTATTCTAATCCTGCCATTTTCGTGTGTCTTCTCGCCCCTCGTCTTGCGGGGATAGCTGCAGTCTGGCGACTTTGGGGTCCTGGCAATCTGCACTTGTCTGGATCTTTTTTTCCCACTGCTCCGAGGCTGCCACCAACTGCGACCCCGACCTTTCCGTCAACCACCACCATTTACGCACCACCCCTCGAACCCCACCTTTGCTCAAGAAAGCAACAAAAAAAAACAAGACGACTGCGACGCGTCCTTTTGCAGGCAGCGACGGGAGTCAACAACATCCCACCCCACCATCCGACCTGGGACACAGCTTCTCACCGCTCGTGCTGCATCCTGTAGGCGGTCCTAGGCGGCGCTTTTTTTCGCGCGCCACCGAGCTACCTGTCGGCGCCAATACGTCACCTCAGCCTCCCACCGGATCACACTCACCCATAAGCCTGGAGTGTCTAATCCCCGGGACACTCCAAAAACCGAGGCAACACTGTCGTCGCGATAGTGACCTGTGGGTAGTGGTGGGGGAGTTTCGATTTTCATTTCCGGGGCTCGGCCGCCCCCACCTTCAACATGGGAAAGATAGTGAAGCCCCTGCAGCCAAAACACAGGGAGACGCTGGTGAGTTGACATCTAGACTGACCCTGGCTTCGCTTCGGACTTGTTCAAACACCCACTAACCCGTCTACTCGCTCAGTCTCCCTGGTTGAAGGAGTTCGTCGCCAAGGTGGCAGATGCGCCGCTGCCAAAAATCCCCCAGCTCCTGGCTGACTTCCCGACGACATGGCCCTTCTCGCGCGGCGACTTGTACCACTGGATCCCCCTTCTGAACCGGTTCGACAGCATTCTGGAGTGCTTCTGCGCGACCTATCGTCTCGCTGATGGGCCGCAGGCCAGGGACTTCACCTGCGAGGTTCTGCTCAACAAGGGAGCCCCAGTCGAATACTGCGATAACAGGACGTGGACGCAGGCGGATCTGCAGGCTCTCGGCTACGGTCAAGATGGAGACAGCGCCTTGATAGTGACGATATTGAAGTTCAGTGGCAAGCTTCTGGAGCACTGCGGCAACCGCAGCGTCTACTCATCTAGCGCGCACCTGAACGATCTGCTCAACTCTACCTCCTTGGCTGTGCTCCGAGCAACACTCGAGGTCGGCATGGAGCTGGCCCAGCGCTACCATGCCTCGGTCAAGCGCATGGCACACCCTTCCCGCCAGATCGGAGCTGCTCTACTGGCCAGCCACTATAATATTGATCTAGACAGGGTACAACAGCTCTCGCAGCCATTCGTCAAGACGCCCATCATCAGCTTCTCTGCCGACCCCATGTCCACCACGCCAGCATCGGCGAGTAAGGGGAAGGAGAAGGAGAAGGAGAAAGCACAGATTCCCGCGGCTAAGAACGCGGCGTCAATGTATGCGAATGACCTTGTCTCCCTAGCCACATCCGAGCCACAAGGTGAGGGTCGGTGGAATGGTTGGGGCGACATCAAGGTCGTTTACTACCCGAAGCCAGGCACCCAGCCGCCTCCCCCCGCTCCTGCCCAACCTGCGGCGGATAGGGGTCACTCGACCCTGCCGACCACCCCAACTCCGCTGCGCCGGAGCAGCACCATGGGCTCCGTCCAGCATAGGAGCCCACGCGTCGAGCGTGCGTCTGGCGATGACGCCTCGTCTCCGGTGACTCCGCACACCTCAAGCTTTGGTAACGAAGAAGCCGCGAAATCCCCACAGAAGACGTTTGAGATCGCCCAGTCCACGGTCCTCAAGACGCCCGTATACGAGCTACTTTCGCGTTTCCCTGACGATATGCCCCAGTCTGCACGCTACGAGGTTCTCAACAGACTCAGGGTTGCCAAAGCACTCTTGGAATCGACCTCTGCGCGGCAAGATGCTCTGGCTGTCCGGCTTTTGGCCATAGCAAATCTTTCGTACATCCATCAGGAGGTTTACTTCCTGGAGAAGGTTCTGAAGCAGGACAATGATGAGCCGCGGCGGTACCAGCTCGTGTATCAGCTGGCTGAGCTCATCCACCCCGTCCAAGACGGCCGCCTTGGCGTTCCTTTGTGGCTACAGACCATTACCTTCCAGCTGCTCGAGGCAATCTCGCACTTCACGTCCAAGCAGTCCGACGTCTTGTCGGCGCTAAATGCCAACGTCAATCACGGCATCCTGCTCTACGTCATCAGGAAGGCCGTTGCCGGCATGCGCGAGGACACCGAGGACGAGGGCGAGACTACTGGGACCGAGGCTGACGACTGGCGCAACAGCCTCTTCTCCCTCACCCTGCACATGTCCGTGTCGGCTCGCCTCGGCACCGAGATGATTGGTGCTGGCATAATGGAGAACTTGGTGGAGATTCTCAACATCCGCACACGCGTTGCCGATAGGAATCATTCCATGTCGCTCGCCTTCCTCGACGGGTTGATCTACAGCTATCAAGGAGCATTCCAGTCCTTCGTCGACGCCAAGGGCCTCGATCGGATCTCGGAGCTGACTGTCGATATCGTCAAGAAAGCGACTGAGATGACCAAGGCCGGACATGGCACCCCGCCTAGCCTGCGTTCTAGTGTCGTCGACTACGAGATCCCCTTTTACCAGCAGCAAACTCTCAAGTGGTTGCTCAAGTTCATCCATCACATAATGACGAGCTGGTACTCATTCGGCTCAAACACCGATCGTCTTCTGCGTAACCTAGTCGACAACAGCGAGCTCCTCGGCAGCCTTAGCCATGTCATTGAGAATATGAGCTGCTTTGGGTCAGTTGTGTGGACTAATGCCATGATCATCATCGGCGACTTCATCAACAACGATCCCACAAGCTTTGCCGCCCTGATGGAAGCTGGTCTGATCAAGAGTTTCCTCGAGAGTATAACTGGGCGTGAGGTGAAAGCCGAGCACCCGAGCGAGCGGAGACATTCCACCCCTCAGGCCGCGGACGACGTAGCCGCGGACGAGGATGCTGGATCTGCCGAACCCGACGATTCTGTCCTGTTCGAGCCCGATGATAGGCCTCATCCGCCAGCGCGCGAAACCCTGGAGGCGCCGCGAAGCGAGCCTCTAGCGCGGGGTATCCTCCCTTCGTCCGAGGCCATGCTCGTCATCCCCACCGTCATCAACTCTATTTCTCTTAATAACGCGGGCATGAAGATGGTGGTTTCTTCGCGCGTCATCGAAAGCTACCTTGAAATCTTCGAGAGCGCCAAGCATGTTCGCTGCCTAGATACCGATCTGGACCATGCCACGAATATCGGAAGTAGCTTTGACGAGCTTGCTCGTCACCACCCGTCTCTTCGCCCAGCCATCTCCAATGCCGTTCTGGACATGGTTGCGCGTGTGGTTCATCTCGGGAAGGAGAAGGCGGCCAAGCAGTCGTGGGGTGCATCTCTGTCGGTGTCCAGCCCTGCGGGTGGGCCTCTAATTGCGGATATCTCGCTGCTGGACAAGTCTGGTCCCGTCGAACCCCAGGGGCAAGATACTGTCATGGCCACCAGTGGGCCAGACTCGCACGACAGCGGCGATGCTGAGCAGTCGGCGAAGAACTTCACTCCCTACGTGACCGCTGTTGCCAACTTTCTGTCAACGTACACGGGCAACACAAGTCTCAAAACGACCTTGATCCACAAGGGCGGGATCGAGCTGCTGCTGGACATGTCGGAGCTGCCCAGCCTGCCTCACGACTTTGCTGACTCCAAAGGCGCCAAGATGTTGCAGCATGTCGTCTCGACCCTAGTGGAGAACTGCCCGATTCTTGGCCTACCATCTCTTCTCAGGCGTACCCAGGCGGCAGTCGACGCCCTCCAGCCACTGGTGCAGCACAAGGGACCGCAGCCGTTCTTTGCGCCTTTTGTGCGGCCCGACTTGTCTTTGGTTACCGAGTCGGGAGAGTGGGATCAGCAGGTCATCCAGCAGATCGCCCACGGAACACAAGCCGTGAAAGCGCTGCTCACTACGCAGTGCTTGGTAAAAACCCTCTACAACAGCCTCCCGCAATCCAACAGACAGGCAATCTCATTCCCGGCCGTAAACGTGTTCGACTTCTATGCTCGCCTGATAGAGACCCTGGGTCCTCTGCTCCGTGCTGTGCTGGCTCAAGAGATGAACATTGCTAAAATTGTCCCATCGCACTGGCCAAACAGCACAGCACTTGGGGAGGATCAGCCTGTGGCCAGCGTAGATGCCACCACAGGCGCTGCCGCAAGTACTGCGCTGCTGGAAAATCAGAGCGCCGCTGCAGCTGACCCGTCCGAGACCCGCGTCGGCGCGCGGCCCAGCGAGCCGGCTGCTGCGTCGACGAGCGGGAAGTCTGTCTCCCCCGACGAGGCCAAGTCTGTCAGCTACAAGAACTACGAGGTCCTCAGGGCCCTCCTCCACTCCATGATGCCAACGTCGTACCCTTTCTTTCAGGGCCTAGGCAAGGCTCTTCTTCCTCGGCGTGAGAGAGATCCTTGGACCCGGTCGCAGCATCTCTGGATCGCTGAGATGCTCGCAAAAACCATCCAGGCAAAGTGGGAGAGCAACAGGGAACTCACCGTCAAGGACATCCATTACTCGGTGGTCATGCTGCACAGCGTCGACGAGATGCTGACCGACAGCCCACGCCAGTCTGACCGAGTCTCCGCCACGGTTATTATTCCTGTCCTCGTCGCCTTCAAGGAGAATGGCGGTTTCGATACTCTCCACGCCATGCTCCGCCAGTTTGCCGAGGTGGCTGCCAAAGAGTCAGATGCGCCGCCTTCCGACTCGAGGCCAAGGCTGGCAAAGATCGGCATGAAAAAGATTCTGGAGCTGTACCTTACCGTGGTATCAGGAAAGAACGTCTGGGACTCAGTGCAGCAAGTGAATCTTGCACAGCGCCCAGACCAGCGCCGTGACACGAGCCCCATCGGTGCCCAGCTGCTCGTCGAGCTCCGCATGTCTATCCTTCCTGTTGTCCGGGAGCTATGGGAATCCCCGCTGATCGAGAAAGCCGACGTCGGAGTGCTGAACAGAGTTGTCAACATCCTCAAGGCCATCGCGGACGTCAGCTGCGAGGCCAACGCGTACAAGAAAACCGATAAGCAGCCCCCTGCCTTGTTCAAACGTGAAGCTGTCCCGTTTCCGTGGAACGATCATATTAGGACCATGAATCCCCTCATAGACAGGGGGGAAGAGGCCAGTCTCGCAAGGGAGGCCGTCTACCGCGCCTTTGGATCACCCGAGTGGGCTGAGGAGTACATCAAAGCCCACAAGGCCGGTATTGCAGGAGCACGCAACCCAGTCCCACCACAGGACACGTATCAAGAAGACAGCCCGTCGGAACCTGCACCTTCCGAGGGCCAGGCGCCTGTCCTTGCGGGGCCCGTCATCGTGAGCGGCGATCCCATGGCTGTGGACTCGACCCCGGATCTGGATCGGCTCATTGCGGTCTCTGACACGCTGAGCGAGCGACCTGCTCCGAGTGCTCCAACAGACGATGCTGCGGAGGTTGTTCGTCGTGCTTCGGAGGCTCGGGAAGCCGGTGGAGCTTCGTCAAGCTCCACGCGCCCCTCGCAAACGCCATCCAAGGCACCGTCAACGCCTCAGCCTCCTGCCGTCACAAAGGAGGACCTAGACGTGGAGCGGGCCAAGCTGCGAAACGATCTAATCGATCGCTGCCTCGATGTCATTAGGGCGCATCCGACGTCGGTGTACGACGTTGCCGACCTCATCAGCATTACTGTGCCACTCAAGTCGGATACGAATGAGGAGGCACGCCAAGAAGTTGGAGAAACCCTGGCGAATGCTCTGATCTCGTTCGACACGGAGGATAAAGCAAGCGCTTCTAGTATCGCCGCCTATGCTCACCTTCTATCCATCCTGCTGCAAGACTCAAAGCCGTTCTTCCGAGCCTGCGTGGACACTCTCAAGATGAACGTCGGCCAATACCTCGGGTTTCTGAAGACGTCGGAAGAATCCTCTATTCCTCCATGGATACCCTACATCTTGCTCATATTCGAGATTGTCCTGACAGAAGACGAACAGCCAGTTGAGGTAAAATGGCCCGTTCCCAGCGCCGATGCCGAGGCGATGCCGAAGCTTGAGTTCGTGGAGAAGGAGCCCATCGTCAACCAAGAAGAGCGTGCGGAGCTATTCCAGGCTGTCATGGAAATCCTGCCGCGAGCCGGTGTGAATGATATGCTAGCCATCGCCATTCTGAGGATCTTGCTGATTCTCACACGGGACCGGGAGTTCGCCAAGGCCGCCGGCGAGAAGAAGCAGCTCAACCGCATCTTTGCGATGGCGAAGCAACTCTCAGGGCTCGGCTCCACACGGTTCAAAGAGACCAAGATCGGCATATATGTCATGACAATCCTGCGCCACATCGTCGAGGACGACGACACTCTCCGTCAAATATTCCGCTTCGAGATTCGTGCCTTCTTCGATGCTTCCCAGCGGCAATCTCGGAATCTCGAACTACACACCTACCTTCGGAGCCTCTCCCCCTTTGCTATGCGGAGTCCGAGAGTGTTCATTGAGGTTACCGAGGAGCTCGTCAAGATACCAAAGTGGCCCTCGAATGCTGAAGACGGACAGGCAAAGCAATTTACGGTGGCACTCAAAGACCCCCTGGCTTCGGCGTCGGCCAATGAGTCACATGCTTCCAAGGACAAGGATGCCCCCAAGGACGATTCGGTTGAGCCTGCCGTCCAGCAGGCCACGCAGGATCTAAACATCAATGATGTGAAACCAACGACCGAGTCGGGCGACAAGGAGATGACCGACGCGCCTAAGACGCCGGGAGCGGAGGCTAAGCGTCCAATCGTGGAGAACCCGGACGGTGTCATCAACTTTCTTCTGGATCAACTCCTCAACTTCCAGAAGGTGGATGCGGAGCCAGTGATCGTTGGGGCACCACCAAAAGACAAACCCAAGGAGGCCGCGTCTTTCACGGCCGCTGGTGTAGGCAGCTCTTCTTCATCATCCTCGGCATTGACGCAGCCAGCACCTATATCTGAGCAAGGCCTCGATGATGGCAAGGACAAAAAACAGCCAAAGCCCCAATTCAAGGCAGAGGAGCATCCCATCTTCATTTACCGGTGCTTCCTGCTGCACTGTCTTTCGGAGTTGCTGTACAGCTACAATCGCGCCAAGATCGAGTTCATCAACTTCAAGCGGGGAGCCCCGCTCCTGACGAACACCCCCGTGAAGCCCAGGTCGAGCGTTTTGAACTACCTCCTGAACGATCTTCTTTGCGTCAACAGCCTCCAACCGCCATCGGACAGTCTTGCGTACAAGAAAAAGGTCAGCACTGCGGACCAGGCACGCATGGTCCTGGTTGCCCTTGTGGCGAAGACTAGTGAGAAGCCACTCAACCGCCATGCCCGCCGGTTTGACCCCAGCAACGAGGCAGACTTGAACTTTGTGCGCAAGTTCGTGCTCGACACTGTGCTTCGAGCGTACCGCGAGGCTGCCGGCTCCGGCGAATCTTTCGATGTCCGATACGGAAAAATGCAATCCCTCGCCGAGCTCATGTATAACATGATTGACGACAAGGACTCCAAGGAGCCCATCCGCGTCAGCCCCGACGCCCCCCGGTCACAATCGCAGATCAAGCGCCTCATGTACGAGAAGGGCTATATCGCAGCGTTGACCTCTTCTATTGCCGACGTAGACCTCACCTATCCCGGTGTGAAGCGGACCATCAAGTACATTCTCCGCGTCTTGCGATTCCTCACCAACACGGCCATCCTTCTGAGCGCCGACGGAGTTCTCCCACCATCCTCTACCGATAGCGTCGAGGACGAGATTCTCTCAGCCTCCTCGCTTTCTGACTTGGATGAGGAGCGCGAGGAGACCCCTGATCTCTACAGGAACTCGGCTCTCGGCATGCTGGAACCTCGAGAGGAGGATGACTTTAGCGATGATGAGTCCGAAGATGGTGAGTGGAGTCTCTTGGTGTTTTAACTTGGGGGTATCAAAGCTCCATTTGCTGACCAAAACTCGTACAGATGACGAAGAGATGTATGATGACGGGTACGCCGACGAGGTGGGCTATGACGAGGAAATGTCCGAGGATGACGACGAAAACGTTAGTGACGAGGACGAGGAACTCGGCGAGATGGGCCATATTGAAGGCTTGCCCGGCGATCCAGCGGTCATGGAAGTTATCATGGGTGACCAGGATGACGAGGATGAGTCCATGGACGAGGACGACGACGACGATGATGATTCGAGCGAAGACGACGATGACGACGAAATCTCGGATGCTCTGGAAGAGGTGGAAGACCATCACGAAGTCGTCAACGAGAATGGGAGCCCGGTCGATGACGATGGAGCATCTGAGTGGGAAAGCGATAGTGACAACGAGAACGACGAGGGAGAAGAGGAGATCGACTTTGAGGCCCAGGTCCAAGATCTCGACGAAGTTGGTCCGCTGGGACACTTTGGCAACATCAACTACTCCGAGCCCCGCTTCACGCATGACTTCCTCGGCGACTTTCCGGGAATGGATGATCGTTACGTGGAGGAGGATGAGGCGGACGATGGTTGGTTCACCTCTAGTACTATACTTGCACATATCGCACTGGTGAATGCGTGCTGACTGATATCGCTCCCTAACAGATGAGGAGGACGAGGAAGACGAGATAGACGAGGACGTCTTCATCTTCGATCGGGACAACATGGGTAAGGCTTTCAGCTGTGTCTTTCTCGCTTTTTGCTCTCAGCATGAGCTAACTCGCTATTTCTCCCAGGCGACGACCAACCGCAGCCAAGCATCGCCCCGGGTCTTGGATGGGACTCGCTGGTCATTGACCAGCCGTCTGGGGCCCATCGTCACCGACATGGCGGGATTAGAAGCCCCTTTCCCGTGGCTCCTCAAGCTGTGGTGATTGGCGGCCCGCATGGAGACCGTCTCAGCGGTATGTCGGCCCCTGTCGATTTTTTCCATGACATGATTAACATGGGCCTAGTTCAACGGCTAACGTCACAAGGCGCAGAGTTCCGGAACTTCTTCCGGCCGCGGGGCGGTCCTCCGCCAAACAACCACGATGACGGCATCAATCCGCTTCTCCGCCGGCAGCGCAATGGCGGGCGCGACGCCTCGCCCCGCCCGGGAATGGCACCTACCTTCCGTTTCCCTCCCTCATTTTTCTCTGCTGGTCACGATAATCCCATGTCCCTCATCAACGACTTGATCACCTCCATTCCCCAAAGCATGAGCGGCCGAGGTGGAGTCTTTCCCTCCTTCCAACTTCATATCTCGCAGGAGGGCCCCCATGGCGAAGTCCACGAGTTCCACATTCCCGTGCCCGCAGGCGCAGCTCCGATGCGAGACTCTCGCAACGATGCCAACCGACCGCGGGATTTCTATCATGAGCCACAGCACGCCGTGTCCTTCATGCCAGCATCCACCGTCGAGCGGTGGCTAGAGGAGGCCAAGATATTGTTTGGGCCTGCTCACCACGAGAAGGCGCTGAAGCTCTTCCTGGTGGTCCTATCCAAACTCGCGCCGCAGGCCATTGCAGACGACAAGGAGGCCAAGCGCAAGGAGGCAGAGCGCAAGCGCGAGATTGAGGAGGCGCGAAGGCGGCAGGAAGAAGAAGAGCGGAGGAAGAAGGCTGAAGCCGAGGCGGAGGCAAAAGCTGCTCGTGAAAAGGAGGAGGCTGAGAGGAAGGCCAAAGAGGAGCGAGAGGCGGCCGAGGCTGCCGAGGCTGCTCTGTTGCAAGCATCCCAGTCTGAGGCGCGGTCTGCCAACACCACCAGTGACAACCAGGCGTCAGAGCCCCAAGGCATGGAAGGCGTCGAGACAGCTGAGACGGCCCAGTCTGGCTCTCTCGCCCAGCAAGGCGGCGACAACGAATCTCAGGAACGCTTGATGACCAGCATCCGCGGGGAGCAGATTGACATCACCGGACTTGGAATCGACCCCGAGTACCTCGCCGCGCTGCCTGAGGAGTTTAGGGAGGAGGTGATAGCGCAAACTCTCACTACGAGGCGGTCTGAAGCTCGGCAGCAAGCCGAGAACACTGGGCAAGAAACCGAGGCCTTCAACGAGTTTCTTGACGCGCTCCCTGAGGAGCTGCGCCAGGAGATCATTCAACAAGAGGCCCAAGAGCGGAGAAGGCGTCAGCGTGAGGAGCGCCAGCGCGACACCAACGCCAACAACAATGCGAGTGTTCCCCAGGAGATGGACGCGGCCAGCATCCTCTTGACGTTTGACGCGACCCTGCGCGAGGAGATCCTCATGGACCAACACGAGGAGCTAGCTGAACATCTGCCTGCCGACATGGTGGCCCAGGCCCGCGCTGCAGCAGAACGGCGGTCTGCCACAGCGGCGTCTGCAGTGTACCGCAACCGCGAGGCTGTCCCGCGTGAGGGGCAGCGATCTGATAATTCGCGCCAGGCGGTCGAGGCGGCCGAGGAGGTTGAAGTCAAACCCACGCGGCAGCCGGTGCCCCAGATGCTCGACAAGGCCGGCGTGGCCACACTCCTCCGCCTCATGTTCATTTCACAGCCTGCTGCCATAAGGACCCATCACTTTGGCATCCTCTCAGATGTTTGTGAAAACCGACAAAACCGACTGGAAGTGATCAGCACGCTACTCCAGATTCTTCAAGATGGAAGCACGGACATGGACGCTGTCGAGCGGAGTTTCGGCCAACTCTCGCTCAAGGCTAGGCAGCCCAAGGAGAAGGACCTGCAGAAAACTCCCACCAGCCTTAAGAGGAGCTTGACCGGCATCAACCCAAGCATAGTCATCCAGCACAACTCGGACGTCTCCCCGCTAATGATCGTGCAGCAGTGCCTAGACCTGCTAGGGGAGCTCTGCCGTAACCTTCACATCCCCTCTCTCTTCCTTACAGAGCACGAGATTCTTGGCTCATCGCTGAAGCGAACCCTCAGTCGCAAAGGCAAGGGCAAGGACCTCAAGGCGAACAAGTACGCTATCAACTCGCTTCTCAGCCTCCTTGGTCGCAGCCTTGTGATGGAAAGCTCCGCGGTCATGCAGTTGCTCGCGGACCTGCTGAACAAGGTCACTTATCCCCTGCAAGCCCTAGAACGGCGGCGCCGAGAGGCCGAGGAGGAGGCAAGGAAGGCGATGAGTACCGGACCCGCGGCCCACTCCACCGGAACCGCCGGGGCACCAACAACCGAATCTCGGGCTGGCCAGTCCTCGTCCACAGCCACGGACCACACCGAGGCGGCACCAATGGCCACAGCCGGTCCCGCCCCCGCTGCCGAACAAGCCGATGCAGACGCGGACAAATCAAAGACCGAGGAGGCCAAGACAGCCGAAGCCAAAAAGTCAAGGCAACTGCAGCCTCCAGTTATTCCTTTCCACAATCTCACCCTCGTCGTGAACATCTTTGTGGCTCGGGAATGCAGCTCCAAGACGTTCCAGAACACCATCTCGACCATCAAGAACTTGTCCAATATCCCGGGCGCTAAGGTCGTCTTCGGCCAGGAGCTGGTGCGGCAGGCCCGGCTCTTGAGCGAAAACATTGTGCGCGATCTAGACGACCTTCTACCGCATATACTCAAGGCCGAGTCTGGCACAGAGATACAGGGTGTTGCCCTCGCCAAATTCTCTCCTGGTGCATCAGAGCAGAACAAGCTCCTTCGCGTGCTCACTGCGCTCGACCATCTGTTTGACTCCAAGGCCAAGAAGACGGAGGACGAGTCGGCAGGTAAGGAGTCGGAGAAGCAAGAGTTTATCAGCTCGCTGTATCACAACTCTACCTTCGGTACCATGTGGGAGAAGCTCAGCGCTTGTCTCAGCGCCATCCACCAGCGGGAGAACATGGTCAACGTGGCGACCATCCTGCTGCCGCTCATCGAGTCACTCATGGTGGTCTGCAAGAACACCACACTGAGCGACGCGCCCGCGTCTCAGAGCCAGATGTCCAAAGAAATGCTGCTCTCCAGCCCTCCGCCCGAGAACCGCATGGCCGGCCTCTTCTTCAACTTCACCGAGGACCATCGTCGTGTCCTGAACGAGCTCGTGCGCAACAACCCCAAGCTCATGTCTGGTACCTTCTCGCTCCTGGTTAAGAACCCGAAAGTGCTGGAGTTTGACAACAAGCGCAACTACTTCAACCGGAGCGTGCATGCCAAGTCGGGCAACCAGACGCGGCCCTCGTACGCGCCATTGCAGCTGTCGGTGCGCCGAGACCACGTGTTCCACGACTCGTTCAAGTCGCTCTACTTCAAGAAGGGCGAGGAGATGAAGTATGGGAAGCTAAACATCCGCTTCCACGGCGAGGAGGGTGTGGACGCCGGTGGCGTGACCCGGGAGTGGTTCCAGGTGCTCTCGCGACAGATGTTCGACCCCAACTACGCGCTATTCATCCCAGTATCCTCGGACCGCACGACGTTCCACCCCAACAAACTGAGCAGCATCAATGATGAGCACCTCATGTTCTTCAAGTTTATCGGGCGCATCATCGGCAAGGCGCTCTACGAGGGGCGCGTGCTCGACTGTTACTTTAGCCGCGCGGTCTACAAACGAATCCTCGGCAAGCCGGTATCGGTCAAGGACATGGAGTCTTTCGACCCGGAATACTACAAGTCGCTGGTGTGGATGCTCGAGAACGACATCACTGATATTATCACGGAGACGTTCGCTGTCGAGGAAGATGCGTTTGGCGCGACGGAGACGGTGGACCTGTGCGAGAACGGGCGCAACATCCCCGTCACGGAAGATAACAAGCACGACTATGTGCGGCTGGTGGTGGAGCACAAACTTCTCGCGTCGGTCAAAGACCAGATGGCTGAGTTCCTGACGGGCTTCCACGACATCATCCCGGCGGAGTTGATCGCCATCTTCAACGAGCAGGAGCTGGAGCTGCTGATATCGGGCTTGCCCGACATTGACGTGGACGACTGGAAGAGCCACACCGAGTACCACAACTACACGCCGTCATCGCAGCAGATCCAGTGGTTCTGGCGTGCTGTGCGTTCCTTTGACAAGGAGGAACGGGCCAAGCTGCTGCAGTTCGTTACTGGCACGTCCAAGGTGCCTCTCAACGGATTCAAGGAGCTCGAGGGCATGAACGGCGTGAGCCGGTTCAACATCCACCGTGACTACGGCAACAAGGAGCGGCTACCAAGCTCGCACACATGCTTTAACCGTAAGTTCCCGGCCCGCCCCATCGTAACGTGCATGCAAAATGCAAAACACGCCCGGATGATCCGATACTAACTACGCGGCACCGTCCCCTCTCTGTTTTAGAACTCGATCTCCCTGAGTATGAAAGCTACGAGATTCTCCGTGCGCAGGTTATGAAGGCCATCACTGCCGGAAGCGACTACTTCGGATTTGCATGAATGGATGAACGCAGCGCTCGTGGACTAGCAAACGCAGGAGCTACGTTGCACAGAAAATTTCAGAGATATGTTCTTTTCTTTCTTTTCTCTTGGGAGGGAGCAGTGACATACAAGGAAATGGCTGGCATTTTCCCTGGCGTCCGGAGGTTGTGAGCTTATTTCTACTTGGCGTTGTTTCCGGCCGCCTTTTACGACTCTCTTCGCCTTTTATTTTTTACCTCTTCTCTTTCCCTCCTGCTCTTGGACCTTTTTTCTCTTTTTTTACAGTCGATGTTGCCTTGGTCTTTGGCAGGGGAGATGCCGATTTTTCTTATTTATTTTTTCTCTTGTGCCATGCACAATCCTCTTTTACCCCCGGGGCTCGACAGTCATTTCTTCTTGGCGTCGACAAACTTTGGGGCGCAGGAACATGCCGGTAGCTTGACGCTTGCTGGACCTCTTCTGGTGGGACGCGGAGTGCAGACCGGGTCTCGGCATTGGGGCATCAAGCTGAAAAAGATATGGCTTCCGGGTGCAGTGTCTGTTTATTGTGTAGAATAGCCCATAATATGTCGTTGCTTCCCGAGATGTTGTGGTCCCTCGAGCTAATGCAACAAGAAGGCCTTTTGGCCAGCCCCTTTTCTTGCTGCGTGGAGAAAGAGCCGCAGCCAAGGCCGGGAGAGCTGCCACTGGGAGCGGTGTAGCGCGGGCCCGCCTGGGAAAAGGGGTCCAAGGGGGGCGTAGAGGAGGGCAGTAAATTGGTTGGTCCGTGGCCAAGCCATTTGTCCGCAGCGACGATTGGTACTGTACTCGGGCAAGCAAGGGTGACGCAGGACCTGACCAGATGTGCCGGTCCTCAACTGATGCTCACATTGACAGGGTGCCACGAAAGGTAGCGAGCTCAACAACACGTCGATCGGCCTTTGCGATGCGCGGCAGGATGGAGAGAAGGGGGGCAGTTTTGGCCACCATTGCTGGCATCCCCACCTCCGTTTGGACGCCGGTCAACTCGCTCGGCACATTGAGGCGGGGTCACTGGAATACATGTACCAGCCTGGTATGGTATGTATGCAAAAATCAGTTGACGTTTTTCGTTCTTTTTTCTCCTTCTATTGTTAGTTAAGGCAATTCTCTAGCGCACGAGGGGTCCCTAGACTCTCTTATCCGATCGTTTCAATGGGCCAAGAAACAGCCATGGAAGAATGGGGGAGTGCATGAAGGGGGTGAAAGGATTGCTGACGGCGGTCATGATTGGATTTGGACGGGAGGCCTAGACTCCAGCCACCTTTGGCGGTCGAGGACACCGATGGCTGCTCCCCACCTTATAATAAATACAAAAGCGGACGCAAAGCACGGAAAACGCCCTCCAAACGAAGGCCAGGCCGGGCCGTGATTGGTCTGATGGAGACGGCAACAGTAACAGAACCAGAAACAGTGTTCCATTGCTAACGGAATAATTACTACCGCGTGGTGGGTGCGTCTGCTGTGTGAAGTGGAAGTCACAAGTCTACCTCTCTCTACAGGAAGCCTACAGGACAGGTGCATGTGCCTTCCCGGCCGCCAATCCCTGGCGTGTCCCACAAAAATCTGCTGGGTCCTAGATTGATTGATTGATTTGATCGGCACAGCGCTGCGGACACGGCACAGCGCAGGGCACAGGGCACAGCAGAGGCAGGCACCAGCTGCAGCGCTTGCACGACTCTAAAGGCAGGCCGGCCGCAGCGAGCCGCCAGCCTCACAGTCCGCCCGCCCACCTCCTGCAGCCCGCCCGCGCTAGTGCCGTCCTGAATATAAGCAACAGCACGCTTGGGAAACCGCCGGGCTGTCCACTCGCATCCGCCACAGACGTGCTCCTTTGCCGCTGGTGCTGTTTCGGGGGAGTTTTTTTTTTTGCTGCTGCTGTGCCGTAAAGAAGTGTCTGCTCTGGTGCGGAGTTGCAGTTGTCCAACCCTCTTACCATCCCACCATCCAACACACCAGAACAGAACACACATTCTGCCCAGACCGAGCGACACAGACTCTCTGACGACACCGCTCAGCACCTGAGGTCTGAAGTGCCCGCCTACCTAATCGATACCACAGATACCACGACACCGCAGTGGCACGACCTGGCCTGCTGCACCTACCCACCTGCCTCTGCCCACCCCGTCCATGCTGCCGACGACGGGCAAGATCGACCACCAGCGATAGCGGCCGGCAGCAACCCCCCCTGGCGGTCACAGCTAGCCCTCTCCTGCAGAAGCACGCACGCACGCCCAGCCACCACCACCACCACCGCGAGACGCTGAGACAGGCAGGCCAACAAGACAGGGAGCACGCTCAAGGAGGGAAACACATTCCAGCCAGCAACCATGTCGGCTGAAGTAGAAAAGCCAGTAGCCGCCGAGTCGGGAGTGACGCAGGAACAGAGACCACTCTCGCCCTCGAGTGACTCGGAAGCAGAGGTATGCAACCTTTATTACCCGTCCATCCGTCTGGTATTTTCTGGGCCCATCTTCTGCCTCTTCGGCCCAACACACCAAATCCTTGTTTGAGTCGGTGCATGGACTGGTCGCCCTTTCCTTCCCCGCCTACAATCTCCCCTCAAGCCAGCCTCTGCTCGAACCACGAGAGCGCTGCCCATTGCCATTCTCTCGACAGAACCATCGGGGCAGCAGCACCATGACCCTGGCACGCCGCCACACATGACTGCACCTCGAGCAGCACCACCATACCGACACACCTCATCTCGCCTTTGCTAACCAGCCCCCACGATGCCTTCCCGACAGGACGCCTTCGAGGACGCGCCCGACACCGCCTCGATCCGCTCATTAACCAAGAGAAAGGTCTCGGTCCCGCGACCCGAGAGCCAGCCGTCGGAGCTGGCAGCAGCCTTCCAGAAGATCAAGGAAAAGAAGTCGGTCAAGGGGCAGGACGCCACCTCGCCCACCGCCGAAACCACCCCAGTCACGAAGCCGAAGCAGCAAGACGAGCCCGACACCAAGGCCAAGGCCCCAGTCCTAGCTCTAGACAAGCCTGCCGTCCCGCCCAAGGACGACTCGGAAAGCGACTCTGACGACTCCGACGACGACGAACCCGAGTCCCCCTCAGGCACCACCCCTAACCGCCTGCCCAAGATATCTAACGGGGCTCTGGACAATGTCAGCCTCCACGAGGATGCACCAACGACCAATGGTACACCGCCCAGAGGCCTTTATGTCTCATCCTCGCACACTTTCCCCGTTCGTGGCCCTGCTAACACCCCTCATTCTTAGGCTCTCACAAAGGTGGCGAGAGGAGGCCCAGCCCCACCGACCGTCCAGCCCCAAAGACCTTGTCGCTGAGCAGTATCACACACGCTCTTCCTTCCATGCCCTGGTCCCCTCCGGCGAACGAGTCCCCCAGCAAGACCGTACCCACCGCCCTAAGCCATGCCCCGGCCGCCGCCATGGTTCCTCCGCCCCCTGAGCCCATAAGCCGGAAACTCACGAGCCCTTTCTCCTGGCTGTCGAGGAACACGTCCAAGGACAAGGATGCCTCCGTGTCCCCAACTGTGACGTCCCCACGCAGGAACACGGCCAGCTCCATCGCCACGCCGACGAGCCCGGATGAGGAGAGGGGCGGCGCAAGAAACAGTCTCAAGGATCGTTTCAAACTCGTGCGCATGCGCGAGGAAGCTGGCATCACATCGCTGCCCGAGGAAGACGAGAGTGAGGCCCCTGAAGCGACCGTCAAGTCCACGGCCAACGCGCTCAGCCCGGCCGCCTCCACACCGGGCGGCGCAGGGGCCGATGGCATCGATAACGGCATGCAGCCCCCGTCGTCTCCCCTGCCCAAAAGCCCGAACCCGAGCCTGGCACCAGGCACTGTGTCTGGGGTAGATGCCGGGCCATCGCCGGCCGCTGGCGGAGCACCCGTAGACTGGGACCTGTGGCAGTCGGTGGTAGACGAGGGCCCCGCGGCTGTGGCACGGACGAGCTCTGAGGAGCTCAACACGGCCATTGCGGTCGGCATCCCCAACGTCATCCGAGGCGTGGTGTGGCAGGTTCTTGCTCAGAGCAAGAACGAAGGTCTCGAGCTCGTCTACCGCGAACTTGTAGCCCGGGGGACCGACAAGGAGAAGGATCGCCACAGCACCAGCTCCCTCGGGACGTCAAGCAACAGCAACCTCAGCATAAAGCAGCGCGGAGAGACCGCCTCGTCGGCCTCGTCGGTCAACTCGGATGGCGAGAGCACTGGCAGCAACTCGGTCAAGGATATCAAGGATGCCGAGGCGGCCGCTGCCGCCGCCGCCGTGACTGCCAAGAACCAGGCCATCGCACTGGCGGACCGGAAAAAGAGGGAAAAGGACGAGAAGACGGCGCTCCAGAAGCTGGAGAAGGTTATCCGCAAAGATCTCGGCATGCGCACTAGCTTCTCCAAGTTTGCTGCCTCGCAGGGGCTCCAGGACGCGCTCTTTGGCGTGTGTAAAGCGTACGCGCTTTTCGACGAGGCTGTCGGCTACGCCCAAGGCATGAACTTCCTAGTGATGCCGCTGCTCTTCAACATGCCCGAGGAGGAGGCCTTTTGCCTGCTGGTTCGGCTCATGAACCACTACAAGCTGCGTGACCTCTTCATCCACGACATGCCCGGGTTGCACAAGCATCTGTACCAGTTCGAGCGGCTGATCGAGGATCTAGAACCGGCGCTCTATTGCCACCTGCACCGCAAGGGCATCTCGTCGCACCTATACGCTACGCAGTGGTTTCTGACGCTGTTCGCCTACAAGTTCCCGCTGCAGCTTGTGCTGCGCATCTACGACCTCATCTTGTCCGAGGGTCTGTCGGCCATTCTCAAGTTCAGCGTGGTACTGATGCAGAAGAATGCCGCCGCAATGCTCCAGATCTCCGACATCTCGGCCCTGACCGTCTTCCTGCGGGATCGGCTGTTTGATGTCTACATCGACGCGGCACCCACCGCGGGCGGGTTGCTTGAAAGCGGATTCTTTGGCTCCTCGTCGGCCGGCATCGACAAGGAGGTCTACCGGGCGGACCAGATGGTGCGTGACGCGTGCGACGTGCGCATCACCCCCGAGATGCTGGCGCTGTACACCCAGGAGTGGGAGGAGAAGACGGCGGCCGAGAAGGCTCGCGACGCCGAGATCACGCGCCGCGATGCCGAGATCGAGGAGCTCAGGGGGTCCAACCACGCGGCCGCCATCAAGATCCGCAAGCTCGAGGAGCAGCTCCAGGCCAACGACTCGGAGCAGACGACGCTGGCAACGCAGGTGGTGCACCTCAAGGTGGAGAACCAGGAGCTCCGCGACGAGACGGAGACGCTGCGCGAGCAGGTCAAGACGCTACGGGAGTTGCTCCAGGATCAGCCGGCCGAGCTCGAGAAGGCCTGGCTGGATGAGCGCGCGGGCCTGCTCGAGCGCAACGAGAAGGTGGCCCAGGAGAACAGGAGGGTCGAGCGCGAGATGGCGGATCTCGAGGAGCAGCTAGTCAAGACCAAGATGGAGTACGCTGAGGTAAGAACAGAGTCTCTTTTGCCCCACAACCGATCCTCTTTTTTGTTGTCCGTCTCATACTAACTGCCTTTCTTGCAAAGATCAATTCCCAGCATGAAACCCTCACAAGAAGGTGGACTGATCTCAAGAAACAGTTTGCTTGATGACGGATGACTTTTGATGACTGCCCTCGGGGATGTCTTACGGCCGTGTTTCTACTTATTTCCCCGCCAATGATGATTTTCAATTCAAGACGAAAAACCTGTCCATTCATGTTGTTTTTCTCCCTCCTCCACCCCCCTTTTTCACGCCCGTCGCCACACTGTTTCCAATCCATGTCATGTTCCAGCTCCGATTCTGTTTACCATCCTACATATTCTTGCCCTTTTCTTTTTTGTTAATATTCACGAGCCAGGAAATGGATGTGGGCGTTTTCTTTCGTTTTCTCAAAGCATTGCATCACCATACCAAGAGGACGAAGGAGGTTTCACGCACTTTTTTGTTCTGTTTTATGATGGAAAGACCGAAAGAATCAGGAAAGAAGAAAAAGAGAACGGACTTTGATGAACAGGATAGGCAGAAAGAGATTGGAGATATGTAATCTGCTTGCTCGGGGACGCGAAACCAGCCAGTCTTGGTTTCTCGTTCCTTCCCCTCCTCATTTCGGTTTTTTTTCTTCCTTTTTTTTTCGTTTTCTGATGGTACTTCACTTTTGTTGCATCCCATGATGTTCGTCTTTTCTCTTCCCTTGTTGTGTCGCTCCTCACCTACCCCCCAGGCGGGCCTTTAGGCTATCAAGAAGAGCTCTTTCATGTTTCCTCTCCTGGAGCGTGCACAACGCAGAGTATCTTACCTACCTACCTTGTATCGACCCAGCCCAGTCCAGACATACTATCGAAACACGTCCCTTGGCAGAGATACATTACAACGGCATCAAGGCTGTGTGGCCTGCATACCGCAGAAGGCAGGCAGCCCCGTCACAGCACAAGTGCAGTCAGTCACGTGGAGGAGTCGGACCGGGCCGCAAAGAATTATCGCCTTCCAAATGCAAGCATGAAAACGTGAGAGGCATGAACCATCTCCCACGCTATACCCCATGACGTGATAACAAGTGCCTAAAGGATGCCCATGGGCAAGCGAGCCGAAAATTTCGCCATACCGTTCCTGCACCCTAAGCCGATTGTCTTTTCTTTTCCCAGAAATGCAAACACGCGAACCCGGTTCCTATTCATAAGACCACAAAAACGCCACCAGCCCACGCTTACTTGCGCATGGAGCTGGCCCTCCGCTTGCGGGCCTCCGACTTGACAGCCTTGGCCTCGGCCACACGCTTGGCGAGGATCTGGGCGTACTCGTTCTGTATTGGCAAAGCATCCCGTCGAGTTAGCAGACCGCATATGTGCTGGCAAGGTGCCTGTTCGCGGGAAAGGCAACACGTACGGCAGCGTCCTTGACCTTCTCGGACTGGCGCTTCTTGAGTGCGATGCGGTGGCGCTTGTGCTGCAGGCGCTGGGGGGTGACCAGGCGCTGGATCTTGGGGGCCTTGGTGTAAGGCTTCTTGCCCTCGCCCTTGGGCTGGACCTCGCGGCGGATGACGTACTTCCGCACCTGTTGTGAAAAGGAACGAAAAAGTGTCCCGCATTAGTCTCTTGTCACGATGTTTGGTTTTCTTTTTCGGACATGGGTCGTGTCTCGACGTCGGCCCGGCGTAACCAGCCTCTTCCTTGAACTCCTTTATTCCGTTCACCAATCTCTCTATCCGCAGCGGCGCGGGTGGGAAAGCGAAAGGCGGAGAAGAGGAGGCGGTTTTATACTCAGACTCTACTCGTCGAGGACCACCTCGCCGCGTTCAGTCGAACGGGTGGGCGGGCTCGGCGAGCAGGCGAAGACGGGGACAGCAGCATAAGCAGCAAACACGTACATCGTCTTCCTTGCTGAGGTCGAAGAACTTGCGGATCTTGGTAGCGCGCTTGGGGCCGAGGCGCTTGGGGTGGACAACGTCGGTGAGGCCGGGGATGTCCTGCTCGCCGCGCTTGGCGATGGACAGAGCCAGGACGGACAGGTCCATGCCGACGATGCAGCCGCGGACCGACTTGCGCTTGCGCTCGCCAGTGCGGCGGGCGCGGTAGCACGAGTGGCCGTCGGCGAGCAGAAGGCGGACACGGTTGGGCAGCAGGACACCCTGCTTCATGGGGAAACCCTGCTTGTCGTTGCCACCGGTGATCTTGAAGATGTAGCCCTTCCACTCGTCGCCGAGAGCCTCGGCAGAGACCTCTGCGCCCATCTACAGAGGAAAAGAAACAAAGTTAGCTTCTGTAATCTTTTCCAGGCCCTCGGCCATGCAGTGAGTGCAACTAGTAGCCAGAAGCACCGCCCATCAACCACTCTGCCATGCCGAACCAGCGGGCAGCCCAGCCACCAGCCCACCCACAACCCGTCCGTCCAAGACCCCGAGCCAGATCTCCGATAAATCCACGGATCACCGGGCATTCTATCGGACGGCGAATTGAGGGGAGTGTATGGCTGGCGGCTGGCGGCTGGCGGCTGGCTAGGAGAAAGTCGGTCGGTCGGTTGGATTCGTCGAGGGACAACGTACGCGCTTCTCCATGAAGACCCTCAGCTTGCGCTCATCCTCGACCTCGATGAGCTTCTGAGCTCCGGTGCCCGGGTTGCTGATGTTCAACTTCATCTTTGCAGCGATTCCTCGTCAATCGGCCTACTGGAGGGTGCGATTGAGGTCTTTGGGCGGGTGGTCGTTGGTGATATTTTTTCGCTGGGTGCTGGAGTGAAAAGTTACAAAGAAAGTCGGCCGGTCGCTAGAATTTGGTGTGTGGGCTCCTAGGGCATGCGAGGGGAAAAGTGTTGTGGCGGTCCGTGCACGCAAGCTTCTGCTCTGAGTGGTGGGCCGGCACACGATACGATACTCCACCCCTTCGATCTTATGTAATCGGACTGCCTCACGGCACCACCAAACTGAGAGTCTTCGACTCGTCTATGGAGATACTTTCGGCACAAAACGGATGGCCTGAATGACATGAAAGCCAACAACAACGCTCACAGTTTTGTTGTGAGGCAGGGGTAGATACCCACAGATTCTGGACTCAGACACCAGGTCATTCAAAGCAAATATCATAAAAGCGTTCTGAACTGGCGCTGATGCGCATAAAATCAGGCAAAATCGAGTCGTCCTACACGGCCCCGCGAAAAGCCCCTAATGCGACTTCTCAGGTGGGGCAGATGATCCAACACCACTTCCAAAGACTCTATCAAGCACCCCTTATTCCCATCTTGCACGTGAATCTGGGCACCTAATCAGAGGTACAACCCATACGCCTTCGACAATGGAAGACGACCGCGCCCTGGTAGATGTTGGCATCGCCGCCGACATCGAGCAGAGCTACGCCCAGGCCAGCACCCCGGAGCAGGTGATCAAACAGCCCAAGAAGAGATTTGTAGGCAGGAGAACGGCGGCGGCGGCAGCAGCAGCGCAAACGTCACAGACTGCCTCGGGCCCTGACGATGCAGGGAGCGCAGAGAGCGGGGTTATCCAAGGCAAGCGAGAAAGCTGCAAGCCAGCGGACCCCTGGCTGGAGAGTAGGATCACTATCCATCTAACAACAGGCCTTTCTCTAATAGTGGCGCAGCCAAAGAGGCCGCCGCGGCTGCTCAACCAGGTGCCGCCTGAGCTGCTGGCCGATGCCGAGCTCAAGGCGGCCATCGCGCTGCTGCCGGCCAACTACTCGTTCGAGATCCACAAAACCATCCACAGGATCCGGACGCTGGGGGCCAAGCGCGTGGCGCTGCAGATGCCCGAGGGCCTGCTCCTGTTCGCCACCACCATCTCGGACATCCTGACCCAGTTCTGCCAGGGCGTCGAGACGCTCATCATGGGTGACGTGACGTACGGCGCCTGCTGCATCGACGACTACACGGCGCGCGCCCTGGGCTGCGACCTGCTGGTGCACTACGCCCACAGCTGCCTCATCCCCGTCGACGTGACCAAGATCAAGACCCTTTACGTCTTTGTAGATATCAGTATTGACACTTCGCATCTGCTGGCCACGCTCGAGCGCAACTTCTCGGCGGGGAGCACCATCGCTCTCGTCGGCACCATTCAGTTCAACGCCACCATCCACGGCGTCCGCGCCACGCTCGAGAGGGCCGGCTTCGGCGTGGTGGTGCCGCAGATCGCACCGCTGTCGCGCGGCGAGATCCTGGGCTGCACCTCCCCGGACCTGTCCCGCGCGGCGGCCGACAAGAAGGTCGACCTGATCCTGTACCTCGGTGACGGCCGCTTCCACCTCGAGAGCATCATGATCCACAACCCGAACGTGCCGGCCTACCGCTACGACCCCTACTCGCGGCGGCTGACGCGCGAGGAGTACGGCCACGCCGAGATGCAGGACCTGCGGCGCGCCGCCATCACGGCGGCCAAGAAGGCGCGCAAGTGGGGGCTGATCCTGGGCTCGCTCGGCCGCCAGGGGAACCCGCACGCCCTGGCCCTCATCGAGCGCCGCCTGGCCGCCCTGGGCGTCCCCTGCGTCAACCTGTGCCTCAGCGAGATCTTCCCGGGCAAGCTGGCCGCCATGGCCGACGTCGAGTGCTGGGTCCAGGTGGCCTGCCCGCGCCTGAGCATCGACTGGGGCTACGCCTTCCCGCGCCCGCTGCTGACGGCATACGAGGCCCTCGTGGCCCTGGGCGAGCGTGAGGACTGGGGGTCCGGGCCGTACCCCATGGATTACTACGGGAAGGAGGGCCTGGGGAGGACGAAGCCGTTGGCCACTGTCGGGGCGGCATGAGGTGTTTTTTTGTGTGTGTATGATACCGTCCTACATATGGAGAAAAGGAAGAAAAACGCAAAAGTCAGGGACCATATCAAGTTCGCTGTGTGAATGTCCTACTTCTTTCTCAGAGTAGACAAAACAAGAAAATTGAGCTTCATCCGTAATGTTTCCTCTTGGAATCTATACCCGCAAAATGTCTCCTTGGTGTCCTTTCGCCAAGCATGGTTTAAATGCCATCCCAGAAGCCTCACTCGGCCGGGATGCCTATCGGCTCGGGTCGCTGCGAGAACAGCAGCTTGTAGCGGACAATCTCGACCACCTCAAGTTCGCCATCCCCGCCTCCTCCTCCCCCCGCCTCACCATCATCACCATCTTCCCCATCCCCCTCCCGCCTCCTGCGCCGGATCACGGCGACGGGCCGGGGCAGCTTCTTGACCTCACCCGTGAGGCGCTGGTTGAGCCCGACGTAGAGGTACACGCGCTTCATCCACGCGCCGCCGTCCTCGGACCGGCCCGGCACGTACTCGGGGAAGTCGAGGCGGCCGACCCGCGTCGGCCCCGCCGCGCCGCCGCCGCCGCCGTCTTCCTCGCCCGTGTTGATGACGCCCTGCAGCTCGAGCAGCGCGAGCCCCGATGGTGTGTGCAGCAGCGGCGGCAGCGGGCTTTGGGACCCTTTTGAGGCCGAGGAGGGCTGGCGCTGTGGCGGGTGGAGCGTTGCGGTTGACGCCGACATTGCGGGCGAAGGTGGTGTTTGTGTGTTTTTGGCCGTGCTTGAGGATTGTCGACCACTTGAAGGGCTACCTGTGCCAGTGGATCAAAGGCGATTAGGTTGTGGTCTGCTTTCGGAGGGATTTATGATGGACTCGACAGCAAGCAGTATTAAGAATCGCCTGCTCAGACGCGCGAGAAATTCAGGACAAAGTTGGGATTGAAGCTTGAAAATCGTCGAAATTGATCAAAAGGAGAAATCGACCACAATAGCACAACAACATTAGCACTCGGTTTCAAGATGACAAGGAAAAAATAAAAATATCACGCAAATTTTGTTCCATGGTAATTAATTATTCATTATGAGATAGTTACAAACAAGCTCGTCCGTGATGCAATGCCAATTGATAAGGCATGCGTGCTTGCTAGCTTTTATCACATTCATTTCCATTTTCGCCCCTTTTATTCGTCTTGTCCATTCACATCACTTCATGACACGACCCAACCAACGGAAAACCCTCGAGCAACCCCCTTGGACCTAGACATGACTGAACCTGTAGCTGGCCTGGAGGACGTACGGGTCGTCGCCGGGGCCAAAGATCTGCTTCTTGCTGCGCTGCCAGCTGGGCTGGTTGATGGCGTCGATATAGTCCTGGACCTCGAGCACGATGCAGCCGTCCTTGGCAATGGTGCGCGGGAAGTTCGGGTTGTCGTTGATGCCCTGCGTCTTCTTGAGCGGCATGGAGCCGTCCTGGCCGCCGCACGAGTACATCTGGAACGCGTCCTGGTCCGAGAAGATGTCGAGCCGGATGCCGGACCAGTCGGACCAGACCGAGGCCACGGGGCCCGAGGTGCGCCAGTTGTAGGGCCCGTCCTGCGCCCGGTTGACAAGCCAGCAGTTGTCGTAGCCGGTGCAGTTGAAGCCGCAGTTGCCGAGCATCCCCGGGCTCGAGAAGTTTGCGCCGATCTGCTTGGGCGCGCTCCAAAAGTCGTTGATGGAGTGCTTCTGGTTGGCCAGGATGTCGCCCGTCGGGATGAGGATGTTGTCCACGTCGACGCGCTGCCCGCCGTTGGGGATATGGAAGGTGTGGTTGTAGATCTTGTTGGTCTCGTTGTTGGAGAAGCCGTCGAGGTTCCAGTAAGCGTGGCTGGTCAGCATGATGGGCGTCTTCTTGGTCGTCGCCATAGCCACGATCTTGAAGTCCCACGTCATGTTGCCCAGCGTGTACGTCACGTACGAGACGACCTCGCCGGGAAACCCTTGCTCGCCGTCCGGGTCGACGATGGAGAAGGTGATGCTGTCGTTGCTGTGCGAGACGACAGTGAAGTTGCGCCAGTCCCAGCCTTTGGGCCCGCCGTGGAGCGTGTTGAGCCCGTCCGGGTGCTCGGGCGTCTTGTGCTCGTTGGGCAGGATGTGGAACGTCTCGCCGTCGATCTCAAAGGTGCTGTTCCTGATGCGGTTCGCGTACCGGCCCGGCACGCCGCCAAAGTGGTCGTGCTTCTTGTCCTCGCTGAAGTGCGTGGCGTTGTCGAAGCCCGTCACGATGTCCCGGCGGATGCCGTACCGGTCGTTGACGAACACGTTGGCCACCGAGGCGCCGTAGGGCACAAAGGCGGCCGAGATGCCCTGGCCGTGGATCCAGTACTTTCCGTCGGCGTCGGGCTGCGGCTTTGCCGTGGCCTGCGCCGAGCAGAAGGGCAGCAGGCATGCGCCCAGTGATAGCAGAGAATGCCTCATGGTTGCTTGGCGGATAGGCAGACAAGAGTGCACCAGGTATCGGCGGCAGCTAACAGCAGGTATCTGTCTGAGGAGACTGGGCCCGGAGGGTAGACAGAGAACGGACGACGACCAAGGCGGAAACTCAATTCTAGAGACCGAGGGAGCCGAGGTTGGGACGACATCTTTATACCCAGAGGTAGGCATGCAGGTACGGCAGCATATTACGTTCCCACACTGGTTGCGACTCATTGCCAGCCCGCCGCTTTCCCCTCATCCTGCTCCTCGTCCGGTCATGACGGATGCCTCCCCCAAAAACCCCACAAACTAGACCGACGTGGTAATCGGGTAGCGAGATACGCGGTGGGGATCGCTTACGGCCTCCTGATAATTTGAGCCGGACCGTTGGTAGGCAAGGGCTTGTCGTGAGGAGGTGGGAATGGGGTAGACGAGGATGCGGGCAAGCTTTGAATTTACCCCAATCCCTAGCAAGCTATGGAAGAACGCATCTCGTTCTCCACTCCACCTGGGCCATTGTTGCCACGGGGTAGCCATGCATTCAGCGAGGGAGGGTAACAGCAGGGGATTCGGAGCATGAACCGAATGATGGGCAAAGGAAGCGTCAGGGTAAGCGTAGCAAGTGGCCCCTTTTGACTTTCTGAGCTGCAGTCCCTCGTAATAGCTTTGTCTCAAGGTCAGATAGCAGTCACTAGGCAAGATAGGCTAGAAGGTAGCTGTCGCTGCTCACCCGTACTTACGGGCAAGACAGTTGGTATTGTTATTGTTATTGTTTGTTTGGAAATGTCCCTGTTGGCAAACCGTTCTCTCCCCGTGGGGAAAAAAAAGGAGAAGATGAGGGTAGCGGCCACGGTGGAGCTTCATTCAACGGGTGGCTGGGGAAACCCGGGGAGATCTCGTGATGGAGCAGGGAAGCGGAGGAGTTCCTGGAGGATGCGTGTGTCGACATTCAAGCCGGATCGGAGGTGAATACGCGGTCCACTCATCGGTCTGCCCGCACGGGGGTTGTTGAATGTGCGTCTTAGATGGTGAGTTGGCGAGGCAGGGAGAGGCGAGGCGGGGGTGGTGAACCCTTGGTTTTCAGGCCATACAGTCTGGACTTTAAGCAGATGCAAGGTGGTGGGCAGAGAGATGAGGAGAAAACAAATCGACCGGTCGACATGGGAGGGCCGAGGTTGCACCGCGAACCACTTAACCGAACGTTACAGCACGAGTTCGTTGGGCCAGCCCTTGTCAAGCCCTTGCTTATCAAGCCCTTGACCTCTGGCTGGGCATGACGGACGAACAAAAGTCCGCCTATACCGACCTGGCGGTTAAAGACGAGACGATGCCTGCCTGTCTGCCTAGGTCTAAGTAGGGAGGTATGTAGGTACCGTGGTACCTACCTAGAACAGCAAAGACGGGAAGGAGTCGCGAAGGAGTGTGAAAAGCAAACATGGCTGTCTGCAAATTGAAGACGGGATTGATCGAATGACGTCGGCAAAAGGTTTGATCCATCTCGGCCGGAACTCGTGCGCTGCCAGGGACCCGTCGCTGTAGCGCGGCCCATGATTGGTGCGGCAGAGCCACTGTGCGGGACGACCCCAACCCCTGGCCCCAGCCGCCAGTGCTCCGCCAAGATGCGGGGTTTTGATTTTCGTGTTGACGGAGAAATGCTTGGAGACACAGGTGAGAGAGAGAATGACATGACCCAACGCTCGTGTCAATCATACATCTTGATGGCCCCTGGACCTCGGATTACTACCCGGGCAGCCAGAGGTGATGTTGATCATCTCGAGAATAAGCATCATGACAATCGCTTCCATGTTTTAGGGTTAAAAATGATCATTGTTGGTGCCTTGGAAGAGTTTGTGAAGGATGAGAGCTTTTCCAGGGCATTGCGACTCGAGGCTTTACCCGTCCTTTCCCACAACATTCCAACATGGCGGCGCTCAGGGATACCTGCCCTTAAACTCGTACGCACCTGACGTTTGCCAACACCTGCAAAATCACAGCCTGCCTAGAGACTGGGCGCAGGACATGTCCAAAACTAGATCCTCCATATTTCTTGTCTAATGTCCACTCAGGGGCCACACCCATGTTTGAACAACACAATTCCATTGCGCATAAAATATCAAAAGTGCCTACTTAGGTAGGTGCCCATCACCAACCTATTCAAATCACACAATATGCGACAGCTAGAACCGACAAAAGGACACGGCTTTATGCGTCAATCAGGTTCTCCTCAGCCGCCCTGTCCTCCGGGTGCGCCTTGCTCTTGCCCTTGCGGTCCGCCGTCCTCTGGTAGTACTCGTTGATGACCTTGGCGGGGATACGGTTGAGCATGTCCTTGCGGTAGATGCGCAGCAGAGACCAGGCCAAGTCCAGCGATTCGAAGATGGTCCGCGACTCGTATGGGCCCTGTGCCACAAACGTACGCTCGAACTTGTCGAGGAACTCGAGAGAGAGCTTGTCTTCGGCCGACAGCGCCTCCTCACCCACGACAGCCTTCATTGCTGCCGCGTCACGTCCAATGGCGTACTTGGCATACAGCTGGTTGGACACATCGCCGTGGTCCTTGCGCGTCATGCCCTCGCCGATGGCCGACTTCATCAGCCGGGACAGGGACGGCAGCACATTGATCGGCGGGTAGATGCCGCGGTTGTACAGGCCTCGGTCCACGAAGATCTGACCTTCGGTGATGTAGCCAGTCAGGTCGGGAATCGGGTGCGTGATGTCGTCGTTGGGCATGGTAAGAATAGGGATCTGCGTGATGGAACCGTTGCGGCCTTCGACACGGCCGGCACGCTCGTAGATGGTGGACAGATCCGTGTACATGTAACCTGGGAAACCACGACGGCCTGGCACCTCTTCACGCGCCGCCGAAACCTCACGCAGCGCATCGCAGTACGCCGACAGGTCGGTGAGAATGACCAGGACGTGCTTCTCGAGCTGGTAGGCGTAGTATTCCGCCGTAGTGAGGGCCAACCGGGGGGTGATGATACGCTCGATCCTGCGAAGCCAAGGGGTCAGCGCAAAGTATTCCTCAGCTGGCGTGCGTGTATACCGGCATGGTCATCATCGGCCACCGTCCCAGATGCATATGCTTCACGTACGTTGGGTCGTTGGCGAGGTTTAGGAATAGCGTTGTGCGCTCCAAGCTGCCGTTTTCTTCGAAATCGCGGGTGAAGAATCGGGCCGTTTCCAGGTTGACACCCATAGCAGCAAAAACAATGGAGAAATTCTCCTCGTGGCCGTCGTGGACGCCCTTGTTGGTGATGCCCTCCTTCTGCACCAAGCCAGCCTGTCGGCAAATCTGGGCGGCGATCTCGTTGTGCGGCAGACCGGCTGCCGAGAAGATGGGGATCTTCTGTCCACGGGCGATGGAGTTCATCGTGTCGATGGTAGAGATACCAGTCGAGATCATCTCCTCGGGGTAGACCTGAATTGCATCCCATCCACTGTCAGACCTGAGCACCGCGGAGCCGGGGGTAGTCGAGCTGGGGCCGACTCACCCGGGAGTAGGGGTTGATGGGCTGGCCGTTGATATCCAGGTAGTCCTCGGCCAGCACCTTGGGACCCTTGTCGATGGGGCGGCCGGAACCGTCGAAGATGCGACCCATCATGTCCTCAGAAACGCCGAGCTTAAGGTTCTCGCCAGAAAACTCAACCTTGGTCTTCTGGACATCGATACCAGACGTGCCCTCGAAGACCTGCACAATGGCTCGGGATCCTGATCGGAGTGGCGTGTCAGCGGGACGGGGCTCGATGTCGACAAACGCGGGAATGCGGCTTAGGGAGATAGCTCCTCACCTCGGGCCTCGAGCACCTGGCCCGACCTAACGGTGCCATCAGGCAGAGTGAGCGAGACAATCTCGTTGTAGCTGGGGTTTTTGACCTGGACTAGCTGTCAGCAACGGAGAATCCAAAGGGGGCGATGCGCGGCGACGTACATTGTCGAGGATGACCAGAGGGCCGTTGACACCACCAATGGTGTTGTAGTTGATCCTCGGCAAAACCGAGTAAGACGACGACTCTCGCGGGTCCGCCATGGTGGCCAAATCGCGCGTGCGCGGCTTTGCAAATAAGGACGTAGTCCAGCCCAGTCGAGAGGATCGTGGAGAAGCTGCAGACGGCTTCGCGGGATGTGAGATGCGGAAGTGAGGATGGCTGAAGAGGTTAGCGGTCGGTGTCGTCGAGCTGCCGCTTCCCGAGCTTGGCCCGCCGTGGTTGAGTCGTCGATGGAGCTCCTCAGCTGTCCCGAAGGGCGGACCAATCACGTGGCGTGACATCATCTACAATGCCCCACTAATTCAGCCAGTGCCTTGTCTCGGCTTGCCCGACGCGACTTGGGAAAGCGGCTACAACGGCCGATCGATTTCGCGAATTGCGTGAACTGATTCTGCGTCAAAATAAGAACAACCTACGCCAGACGGGCGTCGCCCGTTCTATGCAGCCACCGCAAGCCCCGGCTACCTCTGCATAACGCACTCCCGTCCGTTCCAATCGCCGCTCGCCATCATGTCGGCCATCTACAACACCGAGCCGCAGCCGACGGCCTCGGTCATCCTCCACACCAGCCTGGGCGAGCTTTCGGTCGAGCTTTTCGCAAAGCAAACCCCTCTGACTTCGAGGAACTTCCTCCAGCACTGCCTCGATGGCTACTACGACAACACCATCTTTCATCGCCTCGTTCCCGGCTTCATCATCCAGGGCGGCGACCCGACCGGCACGGGCAACGGCGGCGAGTCCATCTACGACGGCGGGGCCTTTTCGGGCGATCTCGAGCCATGGCCCACGGACCAGAGGAGAGGGAAGAACGCCGGGGAGATGGGCATCGGTTTCAAGGACGAATTTCACAGCCGGCTGAAATTCAACCGACGCGGGTTGCTTGGGATGGCCAACGACGGCACCCCTGATTCCAACGGCAGCCAATTCTTCTTTACTTTCGACAAATGCGACGAGCTCAACGGCAAAAACACCATTTTTGGACGGATAGCGTAAGTATACAAGCCCCTATCTCCTCGGTCTCCGTGTCTGGCTCCCTTGGCGCTAATTACAAGTTAGTGGCGATACGATTTATAACCTGGCAAAGATGGGCGAGGCTGAGTTGGTGGAGGGCGGCGAGCGCCCCCTCTACGCCATCAAGCTCCTCAAAACAGAGATACTAGTCAACCCATTTGACGATATGAAGAAGAGGGAACGCATTGCGCGGCGGGATGAGGTGGCGCCTGCCCCTGTCAAAAAGTCTAAGAAGAGAAAGGGCGCGAAGCAATTGCTCAGTTTTGGCGACGAGGAAGGAGATGCCGAGGAACTCCCACTCCTGAAGAAGCCAAAGTTTGACACCAGAATCGTCATGGATGTGGACCAAGAGGAGCCTGCAGCCTTGCTGCCCAAGAAGAAGGACAAGAAGCCCAAGGCCGTGCCCGAGAAGGCTGCGCTCCCTGAAAGAACTTCGCCAGGTGATAAGTCAGCCTCACGAGATGTTCAGGATGGACCAGAGGCTGGGGGCTCTCAACCTCAAGGACCGCCCATAGCGCCACGCGTGCAACCAAGGTATAAAAGCCCGTCGCCTGAGGCGCAGGAGACCAAAAAGAAGACCGCTCTGGAGAAGGCAAACGAAGAGATTGCCGCATTGAAGGCTTCGATGCGACGGACAGTCCACGCCGAGCCGGTGCGAGAGGAAAAGAAAACGGCTCTTGAACAGATGATGCCAGAGACTTCCACTAGGGGCAGGAAGCGGAGACCAGGGGCGAACATGACGGACGCTACAGAGGAGCAGAAGACATTGGACCTACTCAAAGCCTTCCAGTCGAAACTTGTTGAGACCCCGGCAGCAAAAGGCTCGCAAAAGCACGAGCCCAGTGGTGCTGGCGCTAACGGCGGTGGGGAACCACAGGACAAGAAGCCCTCAGCAGACGAAGAGGGAGAAGTCTGCGACCTGCACTTCATCCTCAACTGCCAAAGCTGCAAGGCCTGGGACAAAGTGGAGGGCGGCAAGCAGGATGACGAGGACGACGGTGATGCGGGTTGGATGTCTCATGCACTGAGCTTCGCTGCCGACAAACTAGGCAAGGACCTGAGCTATCGGAAGAAAGCTGAGGAGGAGCTGGTTGTCATCGACCCCCGTGAGAAATCGCGAGACCTGAAGGAAGGGAGGAAGCACGAGCGGGAGACACGAGCGAAGCACTCTGGCGGACGGGCTTGGGATCAAGCCCGCAGCGCGCAGCTGTCGAGGACATCGGCGGCTGTAGGGAGAGGCGCCAAGTAGGTACTCGCGATGCCGTCATTGGCATGTTGATATATGTAAGTAGGAGGTAGTTAGATACCCAGACGCATGGATTTATCGAGACGCAAAACCTGATCCAACATCGAGTCTTATCGTGAGCTACGCTAGCTGTCCAGCACCACCCCGCCCGGTCCTAGTTTAGGTGCCTCGGTGACATGTACGTCAAGCCGGTGGATTGCAGCCACACCCTGACTGGCTGTCTCAGCACCCGGAATGCCACGTGTGCGGCCTCCGTGCTGGGGCTGCACATATTCGCCCGGAACAGAAGCTCCGGGAGAAGCTAGGGCCCCTGGACTTTGGCTCCGAGCCAGACGGGAACAGCTTGTCCTGTGGGGACGGCGTGCGTGCCGAGTTGGGCCAGGAGGGAGGCGTGTGGAAAACGGGCATGCAGAAAAAACAGAATGGCGGCCGTCAACAGTCGGCGGGCTTGGTGACAGTTTGGGCGACCAAACAGGCGGCACGAGTCGTCAAACCCAGGCTGCATGGCCATGGTGGTGGGACTGCGTGTAGCCGGGCCCCACCCAGGCTGCGGTAGAAGCCGATCGCCTTCTGATTCTGCGATCTTTGGCTGGCGGCGGGCTCCACTGGACTGGTCCATGCGATGCTGGCTAGGCGCCGCAAATTGGGAATTGAGCTCAGCAGCTTTTGGCCAGTGTGGGTCCGGGGATCGCCTCATTCAAGCTCTTCTGCTTGCCTGTGCGCAGACAGTAATGGACGGTGCTTCGCGCTGGCGGGAAGTCTGGACCGGACCTCTCCCCCCGCCAGAACATGACGGTCGAGAAGGCCCGTTGGCAAAGGACTATAAACACGAGGCACTTACCCGCCGCTGCTTCAAGGTCCAAGAAAGACGGGATTTGCCTCTGACGCCTGCGATTGATTGCGAGACGCGCCGCCCAGAAGCTGCCTGCTGCTGCTGTTCAGGCGCAAGACGAGAGACATCGAAGCTGTCGTCGCGAAGAAAAAGACCAGGGAAAAGAGAGCTACAGCGAAGACTTACCTACCACCTACCTAGACAACAATTGAAGAATTCCCCTTGTTTGATTTAATCCTTCTATCCATCCTTCATCTCTATCCTCATTATTCTCTTTTCTCCGTACCCTCCTCGACTCTTTGTGGCTGCATCAGCGCTCGCTCCATCCTATCACGGTCCCACGTCTGGAACAATTTTTTATGCCCGGCCATTGAGCTCGGCCAGCCCCAGGTAACCGTAACCTCGCAGCAACCCCACTTCCAACCCTCAATCAGCGCCTGGCGGCTTGGCTAGCTCTGGTCGCAGCGGGCGGCAGAATCCGCTGGTCGTCTCTACCCGGCGTACACCGTCCGCGGGTTGTGAGCGGCGGCCTCGTCCATCTCTGAGGCTCCAAGAGCCCCAGCAAAGACGCCAGCTCTGAGCACCGCGCCCTCCCATTGTGCAGCTTTGTTTCCCACTAGGAGCGCTGCAATCCCGAGAATCCGACGATAGAAGTGTATAAATCGACAGGGCCACCGTGGCGGACGAAATACCGGCTCGACATCACTTCCATATCACCTCCACGTCACTCGCTGTCACTCGCTATCACCCGACCCAGCCGTATTCTATCCGACAGCAGTGTGTGCTCGCCCGCCTTCGCCCCTCCCCCGCCGACAAGGCCAGTCGCTTCGCCGCCCCGTCGTCGCCTTCCACCGAATCCTGCCTGGACCAGGGCGCGCGCTCCAGCAGCCAGCCCGCCCGACTGCTCCGAGGCGCGACGTCCTGCCAGCCTTGCCTGCGCCCCGGCGCCTAAACCCAGCGCTATCCGCCGGCGACAACAACAACACGATCCCCGGCCACGTAGATACCTTGGGCACGCATCCGCTCCGTCGGGAACGACACAGCAGCGAGCGGGTTGCTGGACATCCCCTCCCCGTCTATCGCTTCGCGACTTTGTCGCGCGAGCGGCTGGCCGCAGCAGCCGCAGCAGCCCATAGTCCCACCCTGATCTCCCAGCGGTCCGAGGCCCCCGGCTCGCATGTACCTCTCCATGTCTCCGCCGAACCCGAGGAAGCGGGCCCTTCCAGATTCCGGACCTGTCACTGTCCCGGTCCAGCCGTACCAGTCGCCCTACGCCTCTCCCCCGGACCAGTTCTCGCGCTGGAACCCCGCAGGCTCGGATGCCGACTTCGTCGTCTCCGACTCGTCCAAGCCCGCTACCCCCACCATTCCGCCTTTCATAATGTCCGCCCCGAATCAGTTCCAGTCCGCCCAGGGTTTCCCCCAGCCCACGCCGACCCCCTCCAATGTCGTCGCCCGGCGCCCAGCCGCACGCGCCCTCGTGCCGACTGCCGGCCGACCCCAGTATGATGGACTTTCCGACCCATGGCCCAGCTTTGGGGACGACGGCGCCCTGATCCCGCAGCCCGCCTCGGCGGCCCCGGTCGATGAGAACGACAACATCCAGCTTCTTGAGGAGAAGGCCGCCAGGGCAAAGAGGGATGCCCAGGCGAATCGGAAACAAATCCCCCCCTTCGTGCAGAAGCTGAGCAGGTAAACACCTAGCCCCATACCCTCCTCCAAACACACCCCGGCTTTAAAATCGATTCCTTGGCTAACCCGGCTTTCCTCTGATCTTGACAGCTTCCTCGAAGAGGCCAAGAATACAGAGCTCATCAGATGGTCGCAACAGGGCGACTCGTTCATAGTGCTGGATGAGGATGAATTCGCCAAGACGCTGATTCCAGAGCTCTTCAAGCACAACAACTATGCCTCCTTTGTGAGGCAACTGAATATGTATGGCTTCCACAAGAGGGTCGGGCTGTCGGACAACTCGATGAAGGCCAGCGAGCGGAAGAACAAGAGCCCGAGCGAGTACTACAACCCCTACTTCAAGCGGGGTCATCCGAACCTGCTGTGGCTGATCAACAAGCCCAAGAGCGGCGGCGGCAAGAGGAAGGGGAAGAAGGACGATGGCGACGGCGACAGCGAGGAGGAGGTAGTCACCGAGGACACACACTCCCAGGCCTTTGTCGGCCCAGCACAGCCTGGCCCCACGAGGCCAACCGGCTCGGCAGCAGACGCCTCAGCGAGCGCGCTCCAGAAGAAGGACCTGCAACTTGTAAGAGACCAGGTCGGCCAGTTACGCAGTCAGCAGCGGGCCATCCACGATATGATCCAGCGGCTGCGCTCGGACCATAACCAGCTGTACCAGCAAGCCGTAGCGTTCCAGAACATGCATGAGCGTCATGAGAATTCCATAAACGCCATTCTCAACTTCCTCGCCAATGTGTTCCGCAAGTCGCTTGAGGAACAGGGCGGGTCGCACAGTGTGTCGGACCTACTTGCCAGCATCATCCCAAACGCCAACATGCCGCAAGGGAGCGTCGTCGACCTCGGCGACTTCGTCCACCGGCAGGCGGGCGACCACACCAACGCGGCAAGCCCTCCTAAGAGGCCTCAGCGACTGTTGCCCCCCATTCCTCGCTCGGGGCCAGCCAGCATCGCGGCCTCGTCCCCAGCCTCGGCAGCGTCGCCAGCCTACGGCGGCGGCGGGCCGCGCATGGGTCAGGTCACGGAGTTGCTGGACCTGCCCACCGACGCATCTGCAGCAGATTTCCTGAAGCATGCCGTCGGGAGCCCCCAGGAGCAGATGATGAGGATAATCAACGACACCAACGCCGGCGCCGCGACGGGCATCGACCTGTCGGATGTGGCGGCCAAGACGCCTGTCACCATGAACAGCGACCAGCGCAACCAGGTCATCAACATCATGGCCCGCCAGGCATCGGTGCCCAAAACAACAAGCCCTTCGGTGTCGGCCAGCATGGCCACTGCCGGCCCAACGTCGACCCCTACTTCCTCGAACCCCTCGTTCATGCCGATCCCGTCTCGGGAGATAAAGGGATCCCCACCACCTCCTCCACAGCCACGGATCCCCACAAGCGCGCCTCCTGCCCGCAACTCGCTCTCTCCCGTCATGCCGTCGCTGACACCGCCGCCGCCGCTGCTTGACGAGCTGGGTAGGTCACAAGCGGAGTTCGATGCGCTTCACCGGCTCCAGGAGGACCAAGACCACAAGATCGACGAGTTGACGCACATACTAGGTCCGCTCTCGCCATCGGGCCACATCCCGGGAATCGACAACGCCGGCAACCCGACACACAACGCCGCAAGCGGCTACTTCCCCGAGAATATAGATATTGACCAGTTCCTCGATCCCAGCGCGTTTGCGAACCCGTTGGGCGGCTTCGATGGCACTGACTTTTCGGGCGTGAACCCAATGGACGGCGACGAGTTCAACTTCAGCCTCGACGCACCGTTCGACGGTGGAGCGGCGATGGCCCCCCAGCACGGCAACATGGGCCCTGGGATGGCCATGCACAATGGTACCCCCAGCCCGGCGGCAACGGAGGAGATCTTCCGGAATGATCTCAGGGACAGTCCTGCCCCAGAACCAAAGCGCCGACGTGTCGGCTAGTGGTTAACGGCTTTGTCTTGGAGACGGCTGCCAGAGTAGGGCGTGCGTCACATGGCGCGGCGTAGCTTCTACCTACCAGCTACGTACTCACATACTTGGAGGATCAAGTTATGCGATGACGCGGCCTGGCTGATCAGTCGACTGCGCCCAGGTCACTGTCCGCCACCCGCACACTATGAGTCTTTGCATCTCGCCTCTCATTGTTTTTTCTGTCCTTTTTCTTTTTCTTTTTTCCACACAACTCTTCGTCTCCCGAGTTTGGAAATCTCGGAGGATGGGATTACTCCCCATCATCGCAGGGCAGCAGACCACGCGCCTAGCAACACATACCATTTCAATGTCATTACTTCTTGAACCGCCAACGAATCTCGTTTGTCGGCTTCTCTGGCTCGGGGACGGACTGGCAGGGATCATGCGTATTCTGTTCCTATTTCGTCTTGATTGCCCCCCATTTCTCATCACCACTCCTCCCTTGTCATGTCCTGTAGGGCAAAAAGACGTGCTCTTCGTGCCTGGGTGGCTGTTTTGAGCTAAATTGGGATTTTAGCGGTCTGAAACATAAAAAAAAACTTTGGCGAAACGGTGCGGCTGCGGGTGTTTTCTCGTAGAGGATTGGGTCGCACGCCCATCGCTTGTCTGTCGGGAAGGACGACGAGTCAGGGCAGGGCATTGCATATTGAATAGGGAGCTTTTCGAGGCTGGGTACCCCTCACGGCGACAGCGGGAGCGCTCACATCTAGAAAGATGTCTGGTCGAATAGATGGATGGGGAGTAGAGGTTGCTGAACAAGTCGGGGAAGAAGAGGAAAATAGAACGGCAATGGCTTACCAGGCTCTACATCTTTCTATCACCCATTGAAAGGTAACACCAATACACTTCGTACATGTGCTTGAAGGTTGCTGACGAGGTAGAATATTTCTTGGGCTGACGTGTGATGTGTATTGTACATCGTGATACATTGTAAGGGTATCAAGTAGTCGGTGATGAACGTTCCGGCTGATCCTTCAAAACCTATGGATACTCGGGCGTCGGGCGCAAGAAGCCGGCCCACTGCGCATCCAAACATCACCGGAAAATACAGGTATGGTATAGTATTCAGACTTGTCTGCGGACACAAACTTCTGTCCACGCGCCAACGGACGACACCACCCCACCGACTACCGGATGGAGTCTTTGCCTAAGATGAAAAGGAGGTGGAAGGAAGTAATCAAGAGGCAGATATGCTTAGCTGTCCAAAACAGAATAGATGTAGAAGTGAGAGGGAAGAAGAGAGGAAACAAAACAAAAGAAGCCCGCTCCCGCTCCCAAAACCACCTAGGTGCCCAAATCATGACAAAAGCTCAACCGACGCCCCAGCGGAATATACGCGCCACCCAGGAAGAAAGAGAAAAAAAATTGTAAATGGTGCGTAGAACAGGGAAGAAGATATCAGTGGTAGGGGAGATAAAAGAGTAGAAAACGAGAAGGACAGGTGGCCGGGATTGACTCCTGCCCCCTATTATGTCCACCAATCCCCGCGCTCCGAGTCGTCGTGGTCTTCTCTGCCGCAGTCTAAAGAGTCCCACACCGTGAATGGGATCGGTCGCGAGAAGAATCGACAACCGGTCTGACATCGCCGGGGCCGAACCATCTGGGGCTGCAAAGCTGCGATGCCTCCTTTGCCCTTCTAAAAGCGGATACCTACTCATTCACTGGCTGTGCCACTTTTGTCCCTTGCCCTTTTGCTGATTCTGCTGCTGTTGCCGGTAGCTCGGCTGGTCAGGCGCTTCAGACTAGCGCGCAGGACAACTCAGCGGGCAGGTCCTTCTGCCCATTCCCTCGAAACGCATCATGGGGACATAATGTCAGTGACATGGCACTCCAGCTCCGTTTCATTTTTGGACCGGTAAGTCTTGTGTCGGATACGGGATTGAAGCGACGGCCGCCAATACAGTCGGACTATTGGCCAAGATAGCTCAGAGCGTGAGCCGATTTCGCGTAGGCTGTCATGCTCGAACGGCATAAACAAGCTCACATCGGGAAGCGCAGGGCGTCTAGGCAGTGGCGATCCGATGGGCGAGGTAGGCCAGATGACATCTCGAGGTGGGATAGGATGAGAGAACGCTCGGCATGGCCCCTCATCTATTTATTAGTCGTATAAGGCTCGAAGCTCATTACTCGATTAATGGCTTTTTCTTCCCACCAACGAGGCAGAGGCCAAGGTGCCGTAGTGAGTCTGACTGAGTGGCGAGCACTATTGTCCTAGCAGGCAGGAAGGGGTTGTTGGCATCGACCATGGACGCATCTCTTGCTGCAACTTCGATGGCCTCAATCTCTTCCTTACAGCCTTGTTGGTCCAAGGGGCAGATGACGATGGGTTGCCGTAGTACGATGTCACGTGCGGAACTCATAGAAGCCTTGTCACAAAAGAGTCAGCATGTTAGTAAAGAAGGAGGAAGGGAAAGGGACCGGTTTTAAAGGATAACATGGCAGTAGGACACGAACCTTGACCGTGAGAAAAAATTCAATCTTATAAAGAGTAGAAGTGGTGGTGAACGAAGTCACCCCGTAGTTGGGAAACCGTGACGGCTCGCCCCTCCGCATGATGCCCTCCGAGTCCCTCAGATCGCGTGAGGGGAAGACGAGACCGAGATTTGTGGTGTAGCCGGCCTCGGGCATCTTGGCGCCGACGTTTTGTGTGCGTTTGGCGATCTTGTTGACCTTTTTGGTCGGCTCGTCGCCCTCGGGGTTGTACGTGATCTCTTCCTCGATGCTCAGCGTGATCTTGTTTATGGTGACGCGCCTGGCTTTGTTCATCCAATCGGGGTTCGGTGCCAGCTTGATATAGACGGTTATGGGGTCCTGGGGGCCGTAGCTCCAGCGCGGCAGTGACGTGGCGAGCGTGATGATGTTGTCGGCCGTTGCAATCTTGCTTTCGGGCCGGTTATACATGCCAAAAGTCGAGAGCGTATCGTACCTCTGCAGCGGCAGCGGGAAAGCATACTTGAACTGATCGCTGGCGCCCTGTTGTACCGTGACGATGAGCTCGTAGAAGGTCTCGGCGGTGCGGCTGGGCAGCTGCAGCGATGCGGGCGGTATCCTACGGTTCGTCTCCTCGCCGCCGCGACCAAATGGAATAAAGAGGACAAAGGGGAGGTCCATAGCAATGACGCTCTCGGCCTCCTTACCGTCCTGGCAACGGAATAACAGATGCTCCTTGCCCACAATGTCGACAGTCTCGCGCCTCGGCGTGCCCAGGTGCTTCTTGGCCATGTTGTCGGCGGCAGGATGTATCGACTCTCTCCTCTGGAGGCATATCCTGACCAGCGAGATGCCAACTGGCATCGAGTATCCTTGAGATGGCCTGATTTCAACCTTGCCTTCTATTCTGGGCTAGAGCAGGAGTGCGCCGGTGAAGGCATGCCGTTAGCCGATGCAGGGGCGTATTTGAGGGGTAGACACGGCCGGCCCGGGACGAGTGAGGAATGGAGAGAGGAGAACCGAAACGGCATGACGCATTCTTGATCTCTTTCGGGAGGAACAGCGCGACGGCTCTCCCCGCGACAAGGGAGCCTTGTTGGGTACAATCAAACGAGAAAGAAAGGTACACCAGAGCAGCTGTCGACGCCGCAAAGTATAAGGACTCACCAGTGTTGCAGATATTCCTGGGTAGCCCACCAAGAAACTGCTGTTGGGCGGGCCCGAGATCCTGACTGAGGCTGCCATTGTCCGGGCTGGGGGTCAGCACGGAGAACACGGCGGTTCTCTGTACGATGTGAGGTGCGGCTGAAAGAGACGACGGCCGTTCTCATTGAATTCAGAGCTCGAGAATACCCCCGAGCTGGCCGTTTGCGTGGCGCACCCCCCCGGCCTCCCTCGAGGGCGGTCGTCTGGGATCGGGGCGAGAAGACCCTCCCTCGCTCACGGCGGACGTTGGCCTCGGCGGTCGGTATCCAGGGGCTAGATTCAGACGCCGGGATGGCCAAGGGAGTGAGCGTGGTTTGGCAGCGGTGCTCAGGCTGGCAGGTCGGTCGGTCGGTCGGTCGAACGCTAGGTCGGGAGAGAGGGATCCAGCGGCAGGGGGGTGCTGGGGTGAGGATTGCCTGTCAAGGCGATTTAGTCCGGCTTGGAACGTGGGGTCCAGGGCAGGCTCGCGCAAAGGGTCGCGATGGGCGTCGGAGCCGTCCGGTGGTGATGGTGTGCTCGCGTGCGTGCGCCGACCAGTCCGAGTGGCTTCGCGGGCGGAAGGAGGCGGTGGAGGCAGCAGCTGTCGTCAATTAGGAAGGCAATGCGACAAGCTGCCTAGCGTTGGCCCTGACGGGTGCTTCGCGGGTCTGGCAGCATCAAGCGGCTAGCTCAGGAGAGTGCAGGGCATGGACAGCACGGTCCAACAACTCAAAGATGTCCTGTCGTGGTTTCCAGCCGTCGTCGGCTGCTCAGTAAGGATGCGCCGCCCGTGTTGGGTGTCGCTTTTGTGGAAAAGTCGTCGCGGGGGCTGCGGTCGTCGGCGAGGTGGTCGGTCGATTTGGGAGGGCTAGTGGCGGCAAAGGACTAAGGAGGGACAATGATGACGGCAGTAAGCCTAGAGAAGGGGAGCGTGGTTTGAGGAGAGACGAACGACTGGGCCGGGCTGCGTGTGTGCGTGCATCCAGCACCCAAGGGATGCCGTGGATGGGTCGGTGCTTAGGTCGTTCGCAAGGAGGGCAGGCAGCCAGATGCGGGCAGGCGGGCGCGGTGTGTGGTGGGCAGCTGGTGGTGGTGGTGGTGGTGGAAGAGGTCTCCTCCTGTCTGTGCTGCCGGCTCGGTCCCGCTCTTGGAAGGAATCCACCAGGCACTCGCATCAAGTGGAGTTCCGGGGGGTTGAAAGCTTTGCTTGGCTGGAGGAAGGAAGCACCGACTGGTTCGGGCAAAGTTCAACCACACCTCTACCTGCACCTGTAGCCGTACCTGTAGCTGTACCTTTGCATGCTAGCTCAACAATAGAAAGCCTCACTTCACTGACGGAAGCGAGGCGCCTCGAAGATTGCGTCTCGTCGGGGCTCAAAGGGCCATACCGCTTTCGGTTGTCGCTTCCCCTCCATTGTCTTAGATGCCCGTCCCTCACCTTAACGCCAGCCTTGGCCTGTCCAACTGACAAACGACAAACATGTCAGAAACAAATGATTGCCCAGTGCGCGTGACCACGATTCACCCCATGGAGCCAATTTGGTGGACGGCTGGAAGCCGAGCCCCGTCAGGCGTCGGGCCAGGGCTGAGTCCTCCCGCTGTGATGAGCGGCTGGCACAGAACTCGCTCACTAATGCATGCATGTCCGCTTTTCGCTCCAGGTGAACCCCAGCCGCGGCACCGCCTGTGGGAGGATCAGACCAAGGCCAGCTGTGTCGGCAGTGCCAGCCAACTTCAGCACCCCCTCTCCCCTGAAGCGCGCAGCTGCAATCAGTCCATGCTGGCGCTGAGAGTGCCTTCTTTGGACCCTTGTCACGTCGACGGACAATGCCAGGGCTCGGGGTTGGCCCAAGCCAAGCATGCCACCATACTGCCTGCTGTATAGCAGGAGACAATAAGCAGCGCCAGACATGCAGTGATACCAGCAACAAGGTGGGCCGCGGCCCCCAAGATGATGATTGATTTGCGCAATGTACGACGCGTGGGTGGACAATCGAACCTGGGGGCTGAGCCCGTCCACGCAAACCAAATGATGTGGACGGGCCAAGCCAAAATCAAGTTGGGGGCACAGCTGACATGCAATCCTATGGCTAGATGCCACCGCTTTCGCGTCACCGTTGCGCAGTCTGTACCTTCATTGTCTGTCAGGACCTGGGAGAAAGCGTCTATCCTACCAGCATCTGGCACATGTCTTGCAGAGATGTTGTACCAAGAGGAGACATGGGGCGAAAGCAGACAGACAGGCCACGAGGTTCGGACAACGACGTGCATGCAAGGGAAAGCTCATGGAAAGAGTGGGTGGAGGTTCCCCGTCTTATTCAATCACGTCCTCCAGCGATTGGGCTGGTACCTGTCGATTTGATGTCTCCACATAGGCAACTTGCAAAGGCTGACTCAGCTGGGCTGCCCTTGGGCAATCCTATCTGATGGGCTGACGGACCAGAGGCGAGAGGCGGGCTGCCCTGGCAGGATGGCGGAATCTCTCTCCTTCCGAGATTGAAACCGCTCAGGATTTCCATCTGTTTACAGGTCGTGGAAAAGGGCCCGCCGTCCACCCATCGATTGATTGTCTGCTTTTCCCCCCCGGGACAGGCAGCCCCTCCCATCCATTCTTGGACTGGACCCCGCTTCGACGAAGTCGCCCTGCAGGATGCCGGGCCAGGGTTGAGCTTCTCCCCGGAATTTTGTGGTTGGCTGGGATCGCTCGTGCGCAGCCGCGCCACCCTATCCGGAGCTCCAGACAAGCTTCGCACTAAAAACACCTTCTCAAGGGATTCAGCTCCGCACCCAGGCACTGTCTCGAGCAGTCGCGTGCTTGCATCATCGCCTTCACTCCGGTTGACGATTGATAACCCCACCCGCTTCGTACCCCCGGCCTCATTCTTGGACACGCACAATCATGTCTGTGACGCTTCACACGACGGTTGGGGACCTGAAGATCGAGGTGTTTTGCGAGAGCGTTCCCAAAACAGCAGAGGTAAATGCCTAGCCCCCGATCGCTTGCCCTTGGTTGCCTTGGTTGCCTTGGTTGCCCTGTGCCATATTCCGCGCCTAACCGCCTACGCACCTCCTTGCGCAGAACTTCCTCGCTCTGTGTGCATCCAAATACTATAACAACTCACCCTTCCACCGTCTGATCCCCGGTTTTATGGCCCAGGCCGGCCAGCCTGCGGAGCCGTCGCCTCCCGAGAACCCCAAAGGCGGTCGCTCTATCTGGGGCGGCATGTTCGAGGACGAGATCCGACCGGCGCTGCGACATAACGAGAGGGGTGTCGTATCCATGGCCAACAAGGGCCCTGGCACCAACGGCAGCCAGTTCTTCGTGCTCTTCGACAAGGCGCCCCATCTCGACGGCCTCAACACCGTCTTCGGCAAGACTATCGGCGACGACAGCCTGCGGACCCTGGCCAAGATGGAGGCTATTGAGGTTGACAAGAAGAACCGACCCAAAGAGAAGATTGTAATTGAGAGTGTTACTCTACATGCAAACCCATTGGCCGGCTGAAAGAGGAGGAATATACCACGATGAAATGGATGAGCAAAGGCTAAGGTGTAGCCACCGAACGACCGCCTTGACGAATCAGGATGCAGATGCTCCAACTGGTAACAGCTCCAAGGCTGCTGCTATCGAGTGATGTCAGCTACCGCCAAGACGAGGTGTTGCTGCCATGCAATGCTCCTCGAGCACTCTTCGAGGTGAAGACATTGGGGATCGTTCTCAAGGTCTGTGCCGGCTGAAGGGGCGGTCTGACCAGGACCCAATAAGCGGGAAGGTTTCGATGCTCCATTTGCGCATCGACCGTCCTGCAGGTATACAGATCGAGCATGTCGACAAAACTGACGGGACCAGTCATGTCGCTCGCATCTTCCAGGCTGACGGGCAATCTCGGGAACCCGTCTCATTTCGAGGATGTCAAGCTGGAGGTAGGATCAAGACAAATAAGTCAAGCCATGGCGGCCATCACAAGCTCTCCCGGGGAAATGGCGGTCGAAATGTTTCTAGGCAATAACTTTGTGGCGTCCTGAATGGAATGCTAGCGCTGTTGTGTTGTGATTTTGATGGTCAATGACGGCGCGATACGATCCTGTGCGGGTTAGGGTTATTATCTGTATCGTGAGCTGAATGGGAATATGTACGATTATTTGTAAACATCTGACTAGTCGGACAGTAAAGGGGTTGTGAGTAGACTCGGAGGTCTCTCTCCATCTTTCTGATCTTCACTGCTTCTATTGGGTGTACCTATCAGGTTGGCAGGTGCGGAAGTAGAGATGGATGTCGGGGGAGTTCTGACTCCGGTTTCCAAGAATCACAGGCCCGCATTGCCGCCAAAGTCGTCGAATAAAAAAAATTAGCTACGAGCAGGCGCCTATCTGCTAGGTAGGTAGCTTCGCGACGCCACCAATCGGTGCAGAACATGCAAGTGTCAAATGCCCGATCTAGAATATCCGTACCCCGACTGACATGGATATGATCCAGAGAAAGTAGTCCACCAGGCGCGCCGGGCACAGACGACGCGAAGCCATGGCCTTCGACGACGACGCAGCGCCGGCTGCGCCCCAGCTCAGCGATGGCGGCGCGGCGGCGGCGGCGGCGGCGGCGGAGGAGGAGATTGAAGACGAGGTGCAGGACTTCAGACAGTTCTCTTCCGTGTTCAACAAGAAGGGCTTCTCGAGCCAGAGCATCCGCAAGGGCGAGAAGGACTTTGAGGCACACGGGACGCGGGCGCAGGAGACGGCGCTAGAGCAGAGCCGCCGCGCCATGGAGGAGGTGCTCGAGTACGAGAGGGTCCACAAGGCGAGCAACTGGTGCCGGGGCTGGTACTTTCCCAACGCGTGGGCCGACCACCCGGAGGACGGCGCTGGCGGCGGCGGTAGCGGTAGCGGTAGCGGTAGCGCCCCTAGGGCGGCGCGGGACCGGGACGACGCCGAGCAGAAGCGCGAGGTGTGCCCCCGCGACCGCGTCGTGGCCCTCGAGGCCGACTCGGGCCGCTGGCTCATCTCGACGGGCAGGCACATCCCCAACGTCAGCAAGACCCAGCCCGGGTGGAACAAGCTCTGGCTCCTGCCCGAGGAGGCGCTGTTCCTGGTCGAGCGCGGCTCGCTGGACCTCTGGTGGCCGATCCGGCCTCTAGGGGAGCTCTTCCCGGGCACGCAAGCGCCGCGGCGTGCCTCTCCCGAAGGTGCCGAGGATGGCGAGGCGGCCGCGGCAGCAACCCCGGCAGACGCCTCCGAGGAGGTCAAGGTAGACGAGTACGACCTCGGGGTGCCGCTCAGTTTGCAGGCGGCCTACTCGCTACTGATAGGGCACGAGGGCGAGCGCGGAAAGGTGACGCTTGAGAAGTACCAGGTCTACGCCAACTTGAGGAGGTGTGGCTACATTGTACTCAGGGCGCCCCTATTGCCACAGAGAACCCCGCAGCCACCGACGCCGAAAGCACATGCTACGATATGGCAGTGGTTATTCTCACTCGTTCCCACGTTTAACGGGGGAGGCGCAGCAGCAAACCCACCGCCAGCGGCATATGGGCCGCTGGTCCGCCCCGGCCTGTACCGGTCATACGAGAGGGTGTTTGAGCAGCTGCACGTCGTGCCCCGACACGTCCCCGCGGAGCACGCCCGGGATCCGCACCACCACCCGGGCGCCACGGACCCGTTCCGGATCCACTACCACGTCTGGAAGGCGTCCAACTCGGAAGGGTTCTCCAAGACGCGGCCGGGCCCGCCCGACTTCCACGTGGCCGTCGCCGACGCGCGCGACACGGCGGTGCCGTCGCTGGCCGAGGCCGACGCGCTGTTAGCCTCGAGCCCCTGGGACCCGCCGTCGCGCCGGTTCGGCGCCGGGCCGGGGCTGCTGTACCCGCGGCTCAAGCACGGGCACCGCAGCGTCGTCGTGGCCGTCGTGGACCGCGGGCTCGTCAACTACGTGCGCCTCGCCGAGGCCGCCTTTGGCGAGGAGCCCATCTCGCCGCGCTTCGACGCGGCCGGCCCGCCAAGGGGCGGCAAGCTGGGTGGGAGGGGAGGAGGGAGGGGCGGCGGCAGAGGTGGCGGCAGGGGGGAGGGGCCGGGGAGGCGGGCGGGGACGTCACAGGGCGTGAAGAGGCGGGGAAGACACGCCGTCCTTTGATATATGCTTGGGGGTAGTGACTCTACATGGGCAGGTTGGATAGATGGTTTATGGGTTGGGTATGGGTCTGGATAGACTCATAGCAGAACCAACACATTGATGTGAAACCCCATGGTGGGCTATCTATCTACCTGCTCCGTGCGGTTATGAAACTACGACTCACTTTTGCCGATAGCTCTCTCCAAGTCGCGGTATAGCCCCACAAGACTTCGGATTGGTAGGAAATTAAATGCTTGGCTGAGTGTGCGTGTGTGCAAAGCAAAATGGCCCGTTAGCGTGCATATCGCGGTGGTGGCGACTTGATTGAGTTCAAGGTTTAGGCTGATGACAGCGGGAGTCAAGGCCGGCACACAACGATTAGGGTTGCTCAATTCATGGTAGTGAAGCCGATCGGTAGTGATGGTTTCCCTTCTTCTGGGAAAGCCCCCCCCCCCCCGTCTGCGACAAGACGAGTTGAAGTGATTGGATTGGCAGGAGGCCTTCCATTGATACCAAGTGAGTCAGTGGGCCTTCGGCTTCCACTTTCACAAGGCTGCCCCGTTATGGCGCGCATCACAGTCTACAGGACCGGGCGTGCGGTAAAATGTGACGTTGTGAGCGACCCAAGTCCGTTTGGGCGCAGCAGGCAACCCGTTGCGTGTCGGGGTTGCGTGATGGGATCGCATCTGTCGGTCGCATTCGAGCTCGGGCCGAGCGTCTTGCTCAACCGTTCTTCTCCAAGAGGGCAAGGCCCACACTGGGAATGACAAGGCACGCCAGATGCCACCACCAACCTTTCCGAGAGATTGGGTGACGGGGCTCCACCTGCCTACTGCCTATCGGGATCAGGATCAATACACGGTAGGTGGTGCTAACGGTGAGTCCTGATTGTAAGGTGATTTACGAGGAGGTGTGTTGTCCACATGTACAAATGACGAGAAAGAAGCACAAGCCAAGTGGGAAAGAGCACTGGGCCAGTTGGCCAGATGAGAATCTTGGATGGATATGGATTGTTTTGCAAATACGGGTGGCTGCTGTTAGGTAATGTGTACCTAAGGTGTGTTAGAGTGGGAGAGAGAAAAAGAAAAGAAGGGGAGAAAATCAATCCCAGCCAGCGTCTGTCATCCGGCCCACGCTCCATCCCCCTGCTCGCACAACCAACCAGCCAGCCCAAGCTCGGCCCTATAGGCGTGAGGCATGGAGGTTAAGTCTGGGTTTTATGTCGCAAGTTACTGCCGGAATTAATTTCCTGAAGACCCAACGCCCAGCACGAAACTCGGCAGCCCACCGCGTGGTCGTGTCTTCTTTCCTTTCTCTCTTCTCTCTTCTTGCTCTTCTCTTCCCTCTCGCCCATCTCCACCCTTCCCCCATCAATCATCAGACTCTTCCTGCCAACTGGACAACTCGCCCCCCTCCGTCCTAACCCTCCACAGACGGGGCTTGCACTTATAAATTATGCTCACCCACCCACTGTCCCAACTCGACCGGCCGGTTTCGATTTGAGAACCCTCTTGCGCTCGGTTGCTGACTTTTCCAACCACCAACATTGTCGCTTTTCGTGCGCTCGCCGCAATTGTAATTTGCTCTGCGCCCCCCTTCTCTATCTCCTGAACGAACCGCCTTTGCCACCTTTTGTTGCCAGAACCAGCAAAAGCCTCCTGGCCGCAGTCAATTGCCAGATTGCATCTTATAAACGCGACAAGCACTCCGTTTCCCCTTTTGCGCATCTGCCATATTTTATCACTGTCGGCAGGAGAATTTGCGCACGCGGGCCGCGACAAGGGAAGAAAAAAGGAAGCTCCAAGGTCGGCCAGCAACAACAAACCAGAAACAGGCAGGCAGCCCAGGGGGGAGACAGAAAAAAAAAGAGGAAGAAAAAGCTGGTTATCGCGCCACGCCTCCTATCTCGCATCACACAACACACACACACAACCCATCAAACCTCGCCTAAAATGTCTGCTGATCCGGAACATGCACCACAGGCTGTCTCAGTCGCCTCGGCCCCCTCGACTGCAGTCTTTGTGCCCATGGATGAGGACCTGCCTCCCAAAGAGTCTGTCGAAGAGTAAGTCCAACTCTCTTCGTTCTGGTTCGCGATGGTGTTTTGTCTCTTTTTCTCTCACTTGTTTCTTCTTGCTCTTGGTCTCCCATCTTTTTCTCATTGGCCGCGCAATGCGCCGCAGCCACCGGTTTTTCTCTCTCCCCTTTTACCTGATGGCCACACAGAACCCTGAACACGCACCCAGCCCTCCACCCTGGAGTCGTTCCCAGTCGCGCCTTCCTTCCAACCACCCCAGGCCCATCACTCAATTAGGCAGGCGCTCATCGTGATGCCGCCCCATATCCTTGGTCTCGTCCGAATTGACGCGCCTACCGTCACCATCTTCTCTGGCACTCGATCCTCTTCGATCCATACATACATTCAACGCTGCTGTCACCACCCCCAAGGAAGCTTTCCCTGTACTCGATCGGCCCCGCAAATTAGAGTTGGTGGGCTGCACAGCATAGTTTTCCCTATCTCCAGTGACTCTCGCAGGCCCCCCAAGCTGGCAGGTACATGCTCACGCAATCGAGTCCTTCTTTGCCTTTTCCTGGGTTGGTTATCTTCAGTCCCAAACACCCATGTCTGAGCGTCAACAGGGCTAGGTAAGGCTCGATCCGTCACCCAGTATACCAATTCCTTCGGTACGTGTGACAGCGTCAACTTGGTCAGTCGTACCGAGTTACAACAACAAACAGCCAGGCTCACCTCCTGGTGTGTTGTTCACTGAGCTAGTGCTGCCCTCGAAATTCCATCTTATTACCCACTCCTTTTTCCGCTTCTGATTTTCCCTCTTCGTTTTTCTTCTTTTTTTTATGATCCAAATCCCTTTTCGTCTTCTTCCTTTCTAATTCAACTCCCTTTTCGTTTTCTTCTTCTTTTGCCTATTCGTTTTTCTTCTTCCTTTCTTATCCAACTACCCCGCGTCCTCTTTGGCGCGTCACTCACTGTCTTTGGTCTAACGCGTCAAGCGACGCCCTGGCCCTGCACTTCCCAAACCAAGGCCCTGACTGTGGGCTATAGACTCGATTGTCTGGACTCAAGCCGACATAATTTGAAGGAAGGAACGGCCACTAACTTGGTTTGCTAGTATGAGCCCAACTTCGGCGCCACCGAGCGTCGAGCCAGTCGCCGACAAGGACGACGACTCCAGCCACGAGGACAACGACGACCTTGACAACCTGACGCCGCCGCCTGACTCCCCTAGCCCTGTGCCTACCATCCCGACTGCTAGCAACAACCTGCAGGACGAGATCGTGGTAGGTACCAAGGCCAACGGCGCCAAGGCATCGCCAGTACCCATTGCCTCTGACCCAGAGGACGCCGAGATGGAGGATGTTGAGGAACAACAGCCCTTGTCCTCGCACTATCCCAAGCGCAAGCGGAACTCGTTGTACAGCTCTCTGAACGAAGACTCCAAAGACCTAGACATGTCGCCCACCGTCGTGTCCGAGGATCCTATAATGCATGCCAGCAAACGCACCCATGGCACTAACCAAGTTAGAGGTGTGACTCTTGGCTACTGGCGCGAGTCTCAGGTCCCGGACAAGGCCGACAAGCATGCCGTTATCGGATTTATCGATGTTCGCGACCGCCTCCGCACGCGCGTCCAGCAAGTCTCGCGCACCGGTAAACTTGTCATCGATCGCTACCCGCTCCCCCCCGGGCCGGGCGGTAGCTGGGTGACGTTTGAGCGCATCGTGTTTGAGGAGCACCTCGTTTATCTCGACCACGACCAGGTCAAGGAGTACGTCAAGGTCCGCGTCGAGACGTTTGGCACCGAGAAGACAGAGGAAGAGGCGCAGAAGAACAATGCGGATGCCGTCAAGGAAGCCATGGCTCGCGTGTCGGCAAAGCCTGCTCCCGAGACCGGGCTCGCGCCCGCCATCGCTTACGGCGAGTCCATCCCGGAGCAGGTCAAGCAAAATAGCCTCCACGAGAAGAAGAAGCGCCGGCTCAATGCCAGCTTTGCCGGCGCCGCGCAGTCTCCTCCGACCATCGTTCCCGGCCCGCTCGAGGGACAGGATGGTGCGGTGCCTGGACCTCGCATCGTAAGCCGTGCGCCTCGGGCATCCATCGTCGACGACCTCCCCGGCACGAGACCCACTAGGATTCTGGTCGGATACTGGAGCAACTCCAGCGCTGAGGACGCGCTCGATAAGCACGCAGTTATCGGTGTACTTGGAACCAATGATATGTTCAGGGTCAAGTTGACCAGGCAGACACGTGACGGCCGCGCCGTCTTTGGCAACTTCCCCCAGGGCCCCGGAGCGCTCTGGATCTCTTACGAGGATGTGGTCTTTGAGCCGCACCTACGCGATCTCTCCCGCTCCGAGGTCAAGGAGTACTGTCGTGTCCGCCAGCACCAGCTGGACAGGTTGGGCGGCAAGGATGAGGCCCCGGAAGAGCGCATCGCAAACGAGACCAAGGCTGTCTACGACGCCCAGCTCCGCGTCGCCGCAGGTCCCAACCCACAGTCGGGCTCGGGCAGCATGGCGGCCGTAACCGAGGCCGTGGTCATGGCGCACCGAGAGAAGCTGCGCACCGAAGAGGCGGATCATGAGCGCCGGGCTGAGCAGCAGCGGATTGAGGCGCAGGAGCGCGCCGCGCGCGAGGTGGTCAGCGACGACAACTATGACGATGACGGCGGCCCGAACTTCAGCCCCGAGACCTCCTTCAACGGCCACGACCTCAGGCAGGCGCGACGTGGTGCCGCGGCCCTTAAGGAGGCGACGCGGCCGGCGCGGCACTCGCTGCCCAACTCGTCGGATCTGCGTGCAGCCCACCGACCCAGCAACAGCGGCCCGGGAGACAGCAGCGACCGTCTGGAGCGTGTCGACTCGATTGCGCGGCAGAGCATTGCACGCGCCGAGGCGCACCAGTCACGCATCGACCAGCGCAACAACCGCGCCGGCTCCCTCTCGCGCGAGGGCAAGGCTGCCGCCTTCAGCGACAACATGAAGACACTTAATAGGGTCTGGCAGTCGCAGGAGTCTCACCGCATGAGGTCGGGCTCCTCTAGCGCGGCCGGCGGTGCCGCCGACGATGCAAAGACGTACGGCGGCGTCAAGTACGAACGCAAGCAGAACGGGCCCTTTGCTGGCAAGCTTGTCAGCCAGGGCACCATAATATCCATTGATGGCGAGGACTATGTCGAGTACCGCGTCCTGACCAAGCCCTCTTTCTTCTAACCGGCTTGTCTGGCCATTCGTCGAGGGGATTCATTCCCTGTCGATGTGCGATCAAGTTACCCAAGGCATGGGTGCGGCGGGGTTTCATGTGTTCCAACCACGCCGAGAACGACACAACTGCCTCGCGAGACAAGCAAAGCTGTACGAGTATTCGCGGCCCGATCAGCGCCTTCCATCGGGATCTACCTCTCCTTGTGCGCTGTTCTACTTTCTTGTCCATGTTTTTTTTAATGCGTTGGCGCTTCCTTGTCGATGATGATATCCTGTCAGGTTTTTGCTGTCCATTTTCTGCGCTCGCTTATAGCATTGGCTTATCTTGGGGGCGTCTTCCCACTCAATTCACCCGGGTCTCATGGGCTCGCATCCCTCCCGTCTTCTTGTCTGGGTCTTTGGCATGGTATTTAATCAAGGGGGCTGCAAAGCGAGCGCAAAGCTGGCAACGATAATGATTGATTAAATATTTGCGCGCGCGCGGGTAATCCCCAAGACGCATATGGGTACGGTAACTGTACTATATGGGCCCTATATTGGCACAGGAGAGCTGCGGCTGGGGGGCGATCCGAAATGCGACGGCAATGGGGTTGGGTTGGCCGAGAGAGAGAGGGAGGGGGGGGGGGACAAGAAGGAGAGAGATGGGTGCCTGTTGTTTGGCCAATGGAGAACCACAAGAGCTACGTCTCTCGATTTGCTTTTTTTCGACTGGGACCTACCGTTGGTCACCTCGATAGTTAGCGGTAGTAGATGCATATCATGATGGCAAAGTCTTTGGTATCGCTCCGCATGGCCCCTGTTTTCATGGCATCCGTGTCTTGTTTATATACCTAGATAGGTACCTACCTAGCCACGCCCACCACAAAAAAGACGGCACCGACACAAATAATAAAATGCTGCTAGTACAAGTTACGGGGATTAGAATTGATAATGCGGTGGATAGTTGCGTTTAGGAATGGGAATAGAAATGATAAAAAGAAAGAAAAAGAAAGCTCATAGGAAATCTCACATAGGAAACCCATAGGAAAGCCACATCGGAAATCTCACATGGGAAAGCTCACATAGGAAAGATTATATAGCACTAACAATTTTACTTCAACTTTGTGTCCGGAGCTAGATGAAGTCAACTTGGCGATCGAGGTGCAATATCAAGAGTAGCTATCACGCCCATCGCAAGAAGGATGGCAGTCTTGCAGGTCCCAAAGGTTATGGCGCATCCACTCATAGACTCCAAGGTGTTGGGCACATTTTAGATCGCTCTGATGCCTCTTTTCATGTTTGCTGTTCTCTATTTCTTTTTCTTTTTTTAGTATTTTTTTTGAACGTTATTTTGATTTTGGCAGCCAGTATGCGTCCCTAGCTACCGGCCGCAGCACCCTCACCGGCAGCTTGTGCCTGGTCGCCGGCGCCAGCCTCGGCCTCAGCCGCCGCAGCCGCCGCCTTCTTGCGCTCCGCCTCCTCCTTTGCGGCGTCCTCCTCGTAGCCCTCCGTCTTCATGTCGCGCAGGCCCAGCTCCTCCTCCTCCTCCTCGGTGCGGTCGTAGTCCTCGACCGTCATCTGGCCGTCGGGCTGGCCGGGGTCGTCGGCCAGGCTCTGGACGTAGCTGCTGGCGAGCGGGTCCGTCAGCACGACCGAGAACTCGCGCTCGCCCGCGATGGCGCGGTCGAGCTCGGCGAAGAAGGCCCGCCACCTCGTGCGCTCCTCGGGCGCGAGCGAGTCGCCGCCCTCCATGGAGACGTGGCCGTCGGCGTTCCCCGGCTTGGGGGTCGCGTCGGCCTCGAAGATCTGGGACTTGAGGTCGTTGCGCACCTGCGTGAGCAGGCCCTCGACCGTCGTGAAGCGGCCGCCGAGCGTGCCCGGGTTGACCGACAGGCTCAGGTCCGGGCACTCGAGCGCGCAGCTCTCCGACTTTAGAATATCACGCGCCAGGTCGACGGTGCCCTTGACGAGCAGCGTCAGCCTGCGGCCCTTCTCGGGCACGGCGCCGCCCGTCTTGATGTCGTTGGAGCGGTAGCCGCAGCGGTCGCAGGCGGTGCTCATGAGCACGACCTGCTTGAAGTGCGGTATGTCCACCATCTTCATGTGCGTGACGCAGGGGTGCTGGCAACCCGGGCAGCTGGCCGGGAAGCTGTAGACCTCGTCCGGGATGATGTTGTCGCCCTCGTCGAGCCGGCCCTGCCCGCCCACCGGGATGACGCCGTCGTGTCCCGATGTCATCTGGCCGTCCGTGTCCGTCAGGCCGAGCGCCTCGTTCTGCTCCTTGGTGCGCACAAAGTCGCGCCTCTCCCACTTGCCGACGCCGTCGCGCATGTCGGGCTGGATCCACGAGTTGCCGGCCGGGTCGTCGACGTAGAGGCGGAAGGGGAAGGAGTCGCCTGCGAGCATGGCACGGCCCTTGTCGATAACCTCGGCCACCTTCTCGGCCACCTCGGGCTGGGCGGCCCGGCGCTGCTCCTGGCTGGACTCGAGGTCGTCGACGACGCCCGAGAGCAGCCCCTCGACGTTGGTCATCTGGCCCCGGCCCGACGGGATCTCCAGGTCGAGCTCGATGAACTTGACTGTGGCTGTGTCGGCCTTGACGACCTGGCGCGAGAAGTCGGCCATGGACGTCAGGCGCAGCTCGATGTGGGAGCCGCGCGGCTGCACAGAGCCGGCGGCCTGGATCTCGTTGTTGGAGAAGCCACAGTGATCGCAGTGGAAGGACATGATGATGATCTCGCGGAAATAGGGGATGCGCGTAAGTAGCAGTCGTGTTGTGCCCTATGTTGAGGTGCGAGCAAGGCGATTTGTTAGAATCAGGAACGCCTTTGCGCGCAAGCAAACTAAACAATAACATGAGTTGGTCTGTTCTGTTGGGAGGGATGGGTGGTTTACATTTTGCTCGCAGTTCATGCAAAGAGACTCGATCTGCTCGACAGGCTGCACATCGTCGTCGGCCTCCGCCTGGTTCTCGGTGGCGCCGGCAACTCGGTCGACCTGAGCACCGATGGATCCGAAGAGGTCGGGAGCCGCTGTCACGGTGCCCACCGGCTTGGCCTCCTCCGCGGGAGACATGGTGGTTGTTGTGTTGGAGTGATGTGTGCGCGAATTAGTGTCCATGAGAGAGTTTGTCTCTGCGCGTTTCCTGGTATCCTTGTATCGTCGGGGCAAGCTGAAAAATTAACAGGATTTGTGACGGCGCAAAACGGATGATAATCATGGCTCTCAAAAGGAGGCGGCTTTGGAAATCGGAGGGGCAACGAAAATTTTGGAGGGGTAAGTAAGGCCGCCGCCAACTTTTTAGTGGAGCATATTAGGGGCCGCCATGCTGGGATTATGTCATGGCATGTGCCTACGCGGGGAGAGCAGTGGAAGCTTCAGGAAGCATCCAGGGGCTAGCCGGGATCGCTTGAGTGAGGAACACCGTCAGAGATTTCATGATCAAGTGTCTTTAGGTCTTCAGCGGAAGCATGCTGGGAAGCAAATCTTTGCTATCTCGCAGTGCTAGTATTAGGTGCTAGGAAGAACAAAGGACTCTCCTCGGGCTTGGCGTCCTCCCGGTATAGTCTTGTTGTGGGCGTTAGCGACCAGAACATCAGGTAAGGATCACTTCTCTCGCAATTCCTTGGCTTCCTTGCCAAGCGATTCGAGGGCATTCTCGTACTCGGTGACGCGCGCCTCACTGAAGTCACCGCGCACACCACCCTCCATGTCCTCGGCCGACCTCCTGGCTGTGATCTTGACCGTCTCGACCCTCCTCGAGCGCGCGATGGAAGGCCCGCTACTGCCGCCCGCGTTCCCGATCCTCTTCCCTGCCTGCTGGCTTGCGACCTCGGCAAAGAACCAGCCGGCCTCGGTCTTGGTGAAGAAGGTCCACGCCCTCCCGGGCCGGCCGGCACGCGCCGTGCGGCCCACGCGGTGCACGTAGGCCCTCACGCTGGGCGGCATGTCGTAGTTGACCACGTGGTCCAGGTTGGGAAGGTCTAGTCCGCGCGCCACAAGGTCCGAGGCGACAAGAACCCGCAGCTTGGCTGAGTGGAAGGCTCGAAGCACCTTTTTGCGTTCTGATGTGCGGGTAGTCGACGTGAGTGTGCCTATGCGCGACGCAAGACGACTTGGTGCCATTATCTCGAGGAGACGGGATAGACGAAGCGCTGTCTCGTTGGACTTTGTAAAGATGAGAACCGTGTCCATCGTGTCGTCCGCGGGAGACAAGTCCGAGTCCGAATCAGATCCCGATGGTGAGGTATCGGAGGCGTCCGACTCGGAGCCTGATGAAGAAGTGTCAGACGAGTCGGGATCGTCAGAGTCATCGCTGCTTTCATCGGCAGTCTCCACGTCGGCCTTTGCGCGCGGCATCTTCCCAGATTCGGTCTGGCAGATACCTGATCGCATATACTCGCCAGTCAACAGGTCGATCAGGTACATGGGCTTCTGCTCCGGGTCGCGGATCTTGATGGCAGACTCCTGGAGTAGCTCTGGCAGAGCTAGCTCATAGGATGACGACTCGGCGGGGGCGCCGTTGATCTCGCCTCCCTCGAGGACAATTAGTTCGGGTCGCCGCAGCCTCAGCTTGCTTAGCAGGCTGACGTTCCGCGTCATGGTTGCGCTGAGGATGACTTTTCGGACACCAGATTTATTCTGAAGCGGGAAATCCCTGGCGCCCGGGAACTCCACCGCGAGCTTCTCCATGACCACATCTAGCCATTGCTGGTAGCTCTGCTCAAGCAGCTTATCAGCTTCATCGACGACGAGCCAGCGGACGTAGCTCAGGTCAAATCCAGGCGTCCGCCCGATGTGCTCGACCAGTCTGCCGGGCGTGCAAATGAGAATGTCCACCTTGGAGACCACATCTACCACGTGGTTGACCAGCGGCAGAGGCTTGTCTACAAGATCCAGTAGGTCAAACTCCAGTTCCTCGAGCTCGCGCTTTCTCAGGTTGTCCCATTTGCGAGCCTCAACTATGCTTTGGTAGCCCCGCGGGTCATAGCGCAACTCCTCGTCCACCAGGCTCTCCTGCTCCCTCTTGAAGGCCTGGTTGCCTACGGCCGTCCCGATTTTGACCGCTTTCCGCCCCGGCTGCCGCGCGTAAGCGGCGGCACAGATGATACAGACCTCGTGGACCTGCCGGACAAGTTCTCGAGTCGGAACCACTATAAGGGCTCGCAGCTTCGTTACCGAACCTAGACTCACGTCCCGAATCATGGGCAAAACATAGGCCAAGGTTTTGCCTGACCCAGTTGCTGCCGAGATGACAAGATCGCCTTGCCTGGCAGGTGTCGGCAGAAGCCTGGGGATGACGGCAGTCTGCACCGCAAACGCCTTTTCGTAGCCTTTGGATTCAAGGAAGCTGGCAATCTCGGTCGAAATACCCAACTCGGGCTTGAGTCCCAGTGTCGTCCAGTCCGCGCGCGTGCTCTGCGAGACGTGGATAGGATTGCCCAGCCAAGGCGGTAGGGTGTCGTAGGTCGGTTCCGAGGTGTCTAGAACAGCGAAAGCTGGCTGTGGCAGCGGTTCCAGCCCGTGGACTCCGGATCCATCATGTTCCAGATGAGCCAGGGGCCCGTCGGGCTCATCCGCCTCCACTGGGGCATTGCGAGCTCTCCTCAACGCTAGCTCCTTCTTCTTGAGTACCGACTTGTGCCTCGAATCGACGGGATCCGTGTCAGCCTCGTCTTCCTCCACATCGGGCTGGTCTCGCATCTTGACGTCCCCGTCCCCATCACCCTGGTCTGCCAACTTGGCCCTCTCTTTCTTGTTTTTCCTTTCTCGTTTCTCCGGCTTTGGAGATCTTGCATCCTCTTCGATTTGGGCTGCGTAATCCTTGGGCTCACTTTTCCTCTTCTTCTTCTCCTTCAGTCTTGATGGCTCCTCTCCCCCGTCCTTTACGCCGTCCTTGACCGGTTTTCTTTTTGATTTTGCGCTGTTGGGCGCCTTGTCACTAGTCTCGTCTGGTTTAGCCGGATGCTTAGCCTTTTTCCTCCTCGGCTCGTCGTCCTCGCCACCAACAACACTGGAGTTGTAGGGAGTGAGCTTCGACTTGGGGGTAGGCGTAGCAGCAGGCCCGTCGTCACCGTAGTTGAAGACAATTTTCCGGGGCTGAGGCGTCGCTCCCAGCACTGCCGTCGCGGGCTGCGGTTTGGGAAGCGATGGTGTGTATCTGGCGTACGGCGCCTGTGCCTGAGGAGTTGTCGCCCCTGTCGAAGGCGCAGCAGTGCTTTGGGTTGCCTCGGCTGAGGAGGCTTTGTCCCTGGCGGGAGGCACATATCGCGCATACATCTTGAGAGGTAAGCACCGGGCGTGGCTCCTTGGTGTTCTTGGTACTGTTTTCCACGCTGCGCAAATGGGCTGTCGGATCGAGCGTGGGCGATTCCAAAGACCTTTTCCAGCACGCGACAAATGAACAAGGCAGCTTGACTTGCAACGCGACGGCCCAATTGCTCCAACTTCTAAATTTTTGGCGGGGAGCTCTGTCCTGCCGCACCCACCGCCTGCCAGAATTGGCTTATCGCGGAATCCGATACTGCAGTGGAGTGGGGCCCAGGTATAGGTGCCCGGATTGATGGCAGACTGCTGTCGTCGCATCTAATCAGAACCGCCAACCGCTCGCAGTTAGACTCTCACTAGCTGTATAGTTTCTGTGGTGTCCCTCTTTTCAGTATGACATATTAAATCTTCCATTCGCCTAGCTTCCTTACCTTACCCCCTTCCGTTCTCGCTCAACTTTCTGCTTTGTATATCGTTTTTTTTCTCGTGTCTGTGAGGCACTAGGGGTTCTCATCATCAATACGTGGGGTTCCAATTAGCCTCCACCAGTGCCACCCTCCAAAATCATACTCTTGCCGCAAATCAGGAGATGCACCCCACGACGCAGCTCGTGAAAGTTTCAGTCGACATCCGCCACGCATGTTTGGCGCAGAATCCTGTGCCTCTTAGCCCATAGCTGCCTTCGAACTCTTCTCTCGCACACCGCGCAGCGGGATGAGGCGACTTCCCAGGACGCTGCCTCGCCTGCCCTGTCGCGGCAGGGCACCGGCACCCAGCCCCCTTGTTCGGCGGCCGTTCCATACCAGCCCGGTAGTCAGACAGCAGTCGGAAACAGGCGCAGATGCCGACACTGGAGCGCCCTTCCGTCCCACCTCGGCACCCAAGAGGGTGATCGATATCAAGCACATCCGCCAGAATCCAACGCTTTATGAGCAAAACTGCATTGAGCGTAACTACAAAGACTACAGTGACATTCCCGCACGTATAAACTTGCTCCATGAGCAATGGCAGGCCAAGCAGCGTGAGGGCCGTTCCCTGCGTGAGCGCTCCAACCAACTGCGTGGTGAGCTGGCCACCCCGCCATCGTCGTGGTCCAAGGCTGAGGCCGAGGTCTTCACTGCCGAGCGTCGCGAGAGTATCATCAAAGAGGCCCGCGAACTCAAGGAGGAGCTTTCGGTTATCGAGGATGCGGAGGCGAGCCTCACCGAGGAGATGAGCCGCCTCGCTGAGGTCCTGCCCAACCTGACTAGTGCCAGCACCCCGCGCGGCGAAGAGCCGCTAGTGCTCAGCTACATCAACGACGACCCCGAGCAGGAGAGCGGCAGGCCCTCTGAAACGGACCGCGTGTGGCGCTCGCACGTCCATATCGGCTCGGAGCTTGGGCTCCTGGATTTCGCCGGCGCCGCCTCCTCCTCTGGCTGGGGCTGGTACTACCTGCTGAACGAGGGCGCCGAGCTCGAGCAGGCCCTGGTGCAGTACACGCTCGCCGTCGCCACGCGCCATGGCTGGGGCCAGGTCAGCCCACCGTCCATTGTCTACTCGCACATCGCCAACGCCTGCGGCTTCCAGCCGCGTGACCAGAACGGCGAGATGCAGATATACGAACTGGCCCGCTCTGCCGCCGACACCGCCCGCGGGAAGCCTAGCCTCTCTCTCACCGGCACCGCCGAGATCCCCCTGGCCGCCATGAAGGCCGACTCCCAGCTCGAGGAGTCGGAGCTCCCGCTGCGCCGCGTCGCCGCGTCGCGCTGCTACCGCGCCGAGGCGGGCGCCAGGGGCGCCGACACCAAGGGCCTCTACCGCGTGCACGAGTTCACCAAGGTCGAGATGTTCGCGTGGTCCGCCCCGAGCGAGGCCGCGGCCGAGGACGTCTTCGAGGAGATGCTCGACATCCAGACCGAGATCCTCGGCTCGCTCGGCCTCCGCTGCCGCGTGCTCGAGATGCCCACGGCGGACCTGGGCGCGTCGGCGGCGCGCAAGGTCGACATCGAGGCCTTCTTCCCCTCGCGCCGGCAGAAGAACGACGGGTGGGGCGAGGTCACGTCGGCCAGCGTCTGCACCGACTACCAGACCCGCCGCCTGGCCACCCGCGTCCGCTTCGACGGCAAGATGACCTTCCCCTGGACCCTCAACGGCACCGCCCTCGCCGTGCCCCGCGTCCTTGCTGCCATCCTAGAGAATGGTTGGGATGAGGACTCCATGACGGCCCACATCCCCGAGGTGCTCCGGCCCTGGATGAATGGCAAAGACAAGATTGTTGGCAGTCGCAGGAGGAAGTGAGGAGCATGTAGCTTTCCGGGAAGTCTTTTGCTGTGGTCTTTGGTTCAAACTGCGTACACATGACTGGGTTCTGCCGCTTGAGCATGGACAGGACCTTGCGGTGGTCGACAGGAAAATGGCTCGATTTGGGACCCATGACGGTCCATGTACTTATACTCAAATCACCCAAAAGAATCTGTTTAATATCAACACGATACCCTCTAGATGTCGATCTCCAGTTCTCATTTTTCGGGCCATCATTAGTTATAGATATATTAAGGAAGTATTAAAGGCGACAACGCGAAGCCCGATTCCCCAAGAGAGGGACATTCACTCCTGCGTGAGAATAACTACTTGAGCAGGTTAGGCACATACAGACAGAGGATCCAAAACCTTTGATCCCTTCCTTGGTTAGCAGTGGTTAGACTGATACAAGCTAGGTATTGATGACTCTTAAGGCGCTCCGAAATATGAGCCACCATCTTGGCTCCCGGTGAAGAATCAGACAGTCATGGCTCTTTGAGGTTCCAGGGAGCTGCATCAGCATATAAAATATTTGGAAATCACAGAGTTAGCAAAAGCAGGCGCTGAAAAGCTGCTTGTCGGAGGTCACGAGTGGCATGGGGCTCTCAGAGAAAGTTGCGTGGGTTGGTTGCTTCACCAAGCCTTTTTCCTGTCCGAGACTCTCTGTAGTCACGTTCTACCAAAAGAAAACGGGTTTCACGAATAGGGAAGAATGTGGAAAGAACGGAGTGACTTTTGTCCATGTGCAAATAAGAAAATCCCTCGAGAGGGAGATCCTTCCCAACATGGTCATCCGAGCCGAGGCGAGGATGACTGGGATAGGCAGTGATGGGCCAAATGCAAAATAACGAAACCCATGAAAACCGTTTCGCCCGTCCAACGAGAAGATGAAAAGACGAGAATGACGAGAACCGTTCCGTCTGTTAAATGAGAAAAAAACGAAATGACGAAAATCATGAAAAACCACATCGTCCGTTCAATGAGAAAACGACCGAGCAGAAACATGAAAACCCAATCTGCGACTTTCAACGACTGGTCAAAAGAGCTCCTCAGAAGTCTTTCTCACTCCCTCAGTAGAAACACCCAAGACCCACTGACGTCTTCGTATTGGGAATACAAGCGACAAGATAGGAAAAGAAGTGGCGTCTCATCGAGAGAAGCTTGGGGCATACCATCGGTTGCTCAAAGGGGATTTCAGCATCGTGCCAGTACCGCCTCAGGACGTTCTCGATCCGAAAATTTCGCACCGGGCTGTCAGGAAGTGAGCAGAGGCGAAGGATCGAGAGGCTGGGGCTGATTTAGACGTAGTCGGTCGCCTCGTAGTTGGCGACGCCGTAATCAGCCGTGCCGAAGTCATCGACCCTACAAAAAAAGATGCGGAAACATGTGTTAGCAAGCCCGCCATGTCTCCAATGGGAATGATTGGGAGAAGAAGATGGTGGAGACGCACTCTTCCTTGAGGCCCACCAGAGGGTCGGTGTTGTCCTCAACTTCGGCCTCGCGCTTGGCCTTGGGCTCACGCTTGGGCTTCTTGGACGGAGTGAAGTAGTCATCGCCGAGGTCATCGTCGTCCTCAATGACGGGCGCGGCCTTTGCCTTGCGCTTGGAGCTAGTGGCGCCTCCGCCGCGGCCGCCGCGCTTGGCGGGGGTCTTGGGGCCATCGCCGCCGGAGGAGGCGCCGCCACCGTTGTCCTTGCGCCTGAGCTTCTGGAGATGTTGACTGTATATGCTATTAGCTAAAAACGTACAAGGAATCTTCAATGATGCGAGACTGGCTGCTATGTGGCTTGGGTGGGTGCGGGTAAACAAGCCGGCTTGCTTGTTGCAGGAGAGACGTGGGCGAGGTTAGGAGGAATGATGGTTGATAGTACGTTGCAGCCTTGATGGTATACTGATATCCCATGGCCTGGATGCGGGAGATTATGTTGAGCCACTCAGTTGGGTTAGGATTGTAGCAATCGTAGATCGCCCAGAAGAGGTCGCGATCGGCCTTTTCATCCCATTTCTGGATCTGACGGCCGGACATCTTGTGATGGAATGAAGAATACAAAATGGCTTTGTGTCTTTGTGTATAAAGAGAGAATGTGGCTGACTTGGCCTAGGTGTAGTTCTTATTGTCGGCGAGGTTGCTGTGAGGAGATGGAGTGTCGGTGTGTTGGTGTTGAGAGTAGGTAGGAGATAAGAGAGATGAGGCGGGTTTTCTTTCCCCAAAAGGAAAGAGCGTGTGAATCGGTGGAAGCCTAGGGTTTTGCACTAGCGGCTCCTAAAGAGTAGACCATGGAACAAGATAGAAAGAGAATGGGATATGGGAATTGCATACATGGCCGCGCCCGGCGTGTAGTTGTAACCCTGGGCCTGTACGGCCTCTATGATTAGAGTCCACTGCTCCGAGGTGGGAGGAGCATGCTTGATGACCGCCAGAAGCAGAGCCAAATGGGTCTCCTCGTCCCAGATGGTACGTCCTGAGGCCATCGTAGCAAGTTGAATGGGTCGCACGTTTTGATGATGAGGAAGGAGGATGATAGAGATTGGGTATTCGCGTGGGCGTATGTTGATGGATGATGGGATGAGTAGAGCAAGAAGAATCCCAGAATTCGGGAAGAATGGATGGGTGTGGGGGTTGGTTGGGCTAAGCTTGAAAACGTGAGCTGGCAAGGTGGTGAGCGAGGGTGAGAGGAAGGTGAGTTCGAGATGAGGCTGGTGTTGTGTGGGCGAAGGGGAAGGTCGGGTTGCATCATTACTTTAGGGCTCGCTTGGTGAACCGGTATCCGTACGTGTGCATCTCCTCCACGAGCGCGTTCACATTATCCGATGTGAGTACGCCCCGAGCCACGAGAGCCCGGAGCATGTCCTCGTGGATTCCGGGCGCAGCCCAGTCCTGCTGGAAGGTTCCGGACTTAGGCATCTTGGCCTCGAGAGGGGAGAAGAGAGATGTGGGAAGGGCTGGCAGATGATGCGTGTGCGAGACGCGAGGCGTAAAGATAGAAATGAAGGGCTGAAAAAAAAAGCTCGGATCTTGAGAATTTTTTGCTTCGTGGGAGGGGGTGTGTGTGTGGGTGTGTGTGGTGTGAAGTTATGTGAACGGGAGAGTAAACATAGCAGCAAGCAGCAGTGCGTACCGAATGGCGTCCCACGTCATATCATGACCTCTCTTCCTCAGGAAGTCGACAATCAGGACCTGCTGATCCTTGGTGGGCGGGTTGAGGTAGAAGAAGGCCTCCATGAGGTCAGCCTTGATGTCCTCGAATCGCGGCATGATTGATGTATCGCGCGAGGTCGTCGTTGACCAGCTTCAGGGGGCTTAGTGTGGATTAGGGGTCGCGAGTTATTTGAGAGATTGGAGAGCAAGGCTGGTAGATAGTTGATGCTGGGGTGTACAAGACAAGAAGCGGAAAGTGGGTTGGGGTGGGAGTGGTTTGGGTGCGGCTCGAGGGGGAGAGACAGAAGGAGATGGAAAAATTCTTTTCGAACTGAGGGAGCCTTGGAAGGCAAGAGCCGCGGAAAACTCGGCAGTCTTAGCGGCACTTACCGGATTCCGTTCCAGGTGACGTCCGGATAGCCGCCTGATTTTATCAGGGACACGACCTTGTCCTTGTGCTTCTGGCTCAGACTCTCGGTGCTCAGGACACCCATGATGGCAGTGCAGAGACACGCCATTGCCTTCTCGTCCCATTTGGTAGGCATTTTCAAGAGTTCGTTGACTTGTCGTGGCGGTGATATGAGTGAGGCGGGAACTAGGATGGGCTTGCTGTGATAAAAATGGTGGTAGAATTTGGCTGCGATAGCAGTGGTTGTCTTTTCTTTGCTGGAAAGTGTCTATGGTAGAACATTGAGTTCTACTAGTTCCAGGAGGGACTCGGAGGGCAAGGGGTGGGTCTAGGAGACAGGCACTGTTTGGGCGGGCCTAAAAGTGGTATCTTGGTCCACAGCGTGGGCTAGCTACTAATACGGGAAACTTCTATCGCTGTTCGATCCTTATCTCTTGCGTTCCCTATCAAAGCCTTCGTCCCCTATATTTCGCCCAATGTTTGTAAAAGGCGCAGATGGAAGCCAACTGCTGCCGCTTGGCAGAATTCCTAGAAACCTGTCGTTGCAAACTGCATTAGAGATGGATTTCCTTTTCTAGAGACCTGTGCCCGTCACGGCACCCTTAGCCGTCGCATGCTTATAGACTCTGTGTTGTCGATCCAACCCTTGCTCGTGAGGCTCGCTTCCAACGTGCGGTCGTGGGAACATCATTTAAATTAGGCACGTGCCCGAGGCTGAAGCCAAGAAATGGTCAAGGCAGGTACAACAATAAACAAACAAGCCAGGTAATGGCGCAACACCTTGCGGTACACAAGCCCGCGAACCTTTACTCCTTGCATCCCTCAGCGACATAAACAAGGACTGGGACGTATAAAAGAGAGCACCACCCCTTGACGGTGTGGGTGGATATAAGTAGTGACACTATAACCATCAAGCATCCCCATAGCCGAATCTAGATGGTGCGTCAGTTCGTTGGAGAAACACGCCGGTCTGGGGCAGAGTAGAGAGCAACGGGAGTGCAAGAAAGCGGCGCTAGCGGCAAGGGGACGGCTCACTCCTGTGCATAGTGATCAACTGTAGACTGGTTGTTTGCGGCAGCCAATGCACTCAGAACGACAGCTTCGTCTTCTAGTGAAGGGTCGTTGCCGTCATCCAGGCGAGGTCTCTTGATATCGTGCTCGTCGGTTGGGTCGTCTGTGGGGTCGAAATCGAGCACATCATGACCGTGCAAGGGCGTCATCATTGGGGCCGGAGGCGGGGCCGGGGGAGGTGGACCCGCCGCCACAGGAGTCAGAGGGATTTCCGGTTCCGGTTGGACGACCGCCATCGTCTGGTCGGGGTCCTCAGACTGCTGACCCGCATTCTTCCGAGGTCTCCCTCGGCCCGGGCCTGGACGCCGGGTGATGGGGTTTAGGGTCGGATCGGCCCTGCGAGGGCTGTTGTCACCTAGCCCGTTGGTACCATCTGCCTTGTTCTGAGCCCGCCGCAGTCCCTGGAAATGTTGGCTATGTGGCGCGGGATGCTGTGGCGTCAGCAGTGTTGGGAGACAAGGGCTGGGTCAAGCATGGTGTGGATTTAATGAGGCAGCTGATTTTTTTGTGCATGTGTGTTCTCTCTCCTTCTTTTTCTTTTTCTTCTTTTCCGTCTTTCTTTGTCACGGCATTTTGCGGATGGAGTCGGGGGCCAGCTCTAACAGAAAATCAATACCAGACAACCAAACACCACCATCCAACTTTATCTGAACACTAATTGCAAGCCGCACTCACGGTCCGCAAATCCAGCCATGAAATGTTGCATCAGGTTGCGGTACAGGCGCGGGGATAGATACATCAACAAATAACAGGAGTCGGTGACCAACAATGTGGTGCTTGGCAGCTGGCAGGAACAGAGGCTATTGTGCAGTGCAGAGCTGTGCAGAGCTGTGCGTGCGTGCGTGGACAGGCTGCGGGTGGGTAGGTGGGTAAAAGGCCTGGGGCTAGCTCTGTAGCAGGGAAGGGCGGGATACCAGACGCGGTAACAGCACTTACCGACATCCCTCGTTGGTGAAGCCGTAGCCCAGGGTGCGCATGTGGTTGCCAATTGTGGTCCATTCGGAGCCGCTGATGACGCCGATGTTCTTGACCGAGAGGATGGTGAAGAACAAGTCCTTGTCGGCCCTATCGTTCCAGTTCTTGTTCATCTTGTCGTGCGCTCCGACCGAGGGCGGCGATGGGGGCGGCCGATTGAGTCGTCCACCACGTGCTGGGAATTGGTAAGGGATTTGGTAGAGGATCGATGGAGCAGCTGGAGCTGAGGACGGCGCCTGATGCCGTGCCGCGAGAGAGAGAGGGGTTCAACGGGCGGGCCTGCGACGGGGCCCGTGCACAGCGCACCCATCACGTGCTAGTACTGCTCCTTGTGTGCGTGCTGACTGAGCGGGCGGCCGTCGAGGAGGCACATTCCTCCCCTCGCCTCCTGTCTATCGCTCATACTGTCGGTGGTGATTCTCTGTGGGTGGCATGGCAATTTCCCCTGTTGCGACACCGATGTGGCCCAAAATACAAGGCAGCAACACAGTCAGAGACAAGAAATCCATTCATCAAAAGGCTCGACCTGGCCAAGGTCATCAGGCAGCTTTTCAGGCACCCACTCTGCCCATTAGCACCCCTGCACCAGATCATGTGCTTTGGTGCCAATATCGCGTTGCGCCAGCGTTTTCGGCGCAGCTTGACGGCGCACAGTGTCGCGTCCAGACCCGCCAACCCCTCTTTTTTTTATTATCGTTGCTTTTCATTCCCCAGCCAAAGCGTGCCAGACCGCCCAGCCTCCTCATTTCGGACAGGGCCCCTTGCGCACGATGCATCAACGATGACTCGAATGAGTCACTGGTTTCAAGTGACGGCTCTGCGCAATCATCCCTCGCAAGCCTTGCCAGGGGGCCGTCTTTGATTGGAGGGGAAGCTGCTGGGCGGGACTGTATGCGCCGTTTGCTCGTCTGCTCCTGCGCCTGCATTCGATATCTTTCTCGCTCTGATCTTCACGGCCCCGTCTCGGCCTCGGCCTGCTTGCTCATTTGTTTGTCTACACCCGATGTCTGTCACGCCCTGCGCATCCCTTAGGCCTGTGGAGTGCGTGTGTGAGTGTGGAGTGTGGGATGCGAGTCCTCCTTCGCTGTTGGACTACATGTTGATGGCCAGCCGGCCGGACTTGGAGGGGGGTTACCAGCTAGACACGGAAAGGGAAAGGGGTGTGCGTGAGTGGCGACAGGGGTTCCATGTCGCGGACCACCTACCACTTTACGCGGGTGGCGCGTCGCCCACTCCCTCACCCCACCTCGTGTCCGTCACATCGGTCCTTTCGTCGGCCTGCCTTTGCCTTTGAGGGGTGCGACTGCGGTTTGCTGCCAGGAACAAGCGTCGCACGCCGTCGCCACCCACACCTTGGGCTGGCTGCCTAGACAACCAAACTTGGCCCCTCGTCGAGTATACAATGACGGTCCAAAGACGGCTCGAGCGGGCTGTTCTTCCTCGTCCGTCCTGCCTGTGAATCGGGATCCTGCCAGGTCTTTTGGCGCACGAGGCAAAGAGCCCTGTTTAGAGTGCGCCGGCGGCGCATGCAGGTTGGGCTCCTACTGTTTGGCCACTGCTCCACCTGGGGCCAGCTCTGCCCTCGTCGCAGAGATACATACTACCCCATCTGGCGGTTCCGGACCCGCGCTCCCGTCCCGACATTGCCTGTCTTTTAGTGCAAGAACCTGCCCTTGGCCTAGTCACAGCAGTTCTCCAGCACTGTGTGTTCCAGGGGAAAGCAAAAACGAAAGCACATATCTTTCAGGTGTTCCCCCATCCTTTCAGCCGTAGCACCCATCATACCATCTGACAGAGCGTCTGCCTGCTCTGTGGCTTTCTTGCTCTTTATAATCTCCCCTCCCGCCGCCGTTTTTCTTCCCCGTTGCCTCAGGCTGGATCAACCTTCCTCGTCCTCTTTTCTCAACTTCCTGTTCCTGTCCCATACTGCCTATCTATGCGACATCCACATCTGCCATTTCGCTCGTAAACGACCCGCACAGGCTGCTTCCCTGCGAGGCGTCCACGCCGTTTGCCAAAGGCCGGAGTAATATCAGTCATGACCGGCAACACCGACAACGCCATGGCGAGGTTCCTATTCGCAATCCTGCGACAGAAGTGTCTCAAGGATGTAAGTGATTGGAACGGCTCTCTTACCAACCGCTACAGCCACTGTTCGAGAATTTATGAGTATCGTCCTTCTGACATTGCACCCAACTACTTTAGATCGACTGGAACAAGGTCGCTTCAGATCCTGTGCTTCTTCAGCCAATCACAAACGGCCACGCTGCGAGGATGCGATACAGTCGCTTCCGCTCCTCGATGCTTGGTATCGAGCCACAGCGTAGGAACCGTACGGCCGGCAGCGGCTCACGTGTCACCAAGAGCAAGAAGGACAAGGACGCAAAGCTGGACAAGGCGCCCAAGACAAAGAGAGACGAGAACCTCGAGGGTGCCCCCGAGACTCAAGAGGAGGGAGCTGCGGATTCTGTTCCGAGCCGCTCTGCTCCCGTCAAGGTCAAGCACGAGATTAAGCCGCTCGTGCTGGAAAGCCAAGTCAGCGCTTGTTCACCACCATCCACTACCATTGGTACATTTCCCGACAGCCGCGTCCAGTTCCAGAACCGACTCATGACCCCTTGCAGCGACACCGACGTCATCATGGCCCCTCAAAACTATGCCGGCAGCCCGATCAGCGATGTCTTGCAAACGGAACCATTCGACTTCCCTGCGCCGGCACACTGTGGCAACAGCAACGACCACGGAGCATGGCACCACCACAGCCCGACATACACCACCTTTGGGATGGCCTACGAATTGGACAACTATCCCATCAACTTCTCTGAGCATCCTAGTCCGCAAGACCAACATCGCACTTACCATCACCATCACGAACACTCCCAGGGGCTGTGCGACCCTTCAGCTGTCATGAGTCCTGATCACCACGCCAGTGTGAAGCAGGAGGCCTGGGACAGCCAATTCCATATTGTCTGAGGTGGACGAAGCGGAAGGCGGGCACTGTGTCATTGATTCCTCTGGCGACATCTAATTTGATCCGCTCTGTTGTGCAAGGGGTCTACCCGGGTCGCTCTCCTGCCCCGCCGTTGCTATTTTCTACTGGTTTCCTGTTTTCCCATATCGGTGTCCGGGTTTCTTGGTGGGTTGGTTTCAGATGTTGGTAACGTCATGGTCCTTTTGCGTCTTACGAATTCCCATATTTTCCTGGCTTGTGTTGGTCTAGATCAAAACCCCATCCCCTTGATAGATCTGTACGATTATGCGGGCGCTATCTTGGCACCTAGTCGAATGATGAGATATGCCGCGTTGGTTTTGGAGTTATTGATTAATGTGGTAACACCTGCCATCTTGACACATGGTGTGAAGGCCGGGATGCAGTGGTGAAAACCACGACTGCTTTTGTGGTTTGGCCCCGACAGCATCTCGGCTCTTCAGGACTGTAAACGCCAAAGATCTCTGTGCTTATTCAGGACCTACCTCTTGGCTCCCTCATAAGCTCGCTTTGGTTTTCTTTGTGACCCCTATTCTCTTGGGAACTCTTCCCGTTTCTCTCTGGTCCTAGAAGAGCAAAGTCGCCGTGAAGCTACGCTGCGCCGTCCAACTATGAGACCCATCAGGGTAGCATCTGAGCCTCTGTCTCTATTTCTTTCTCCTCCTTCGTTTACCGGGCTGCTTTTCATTGGAATATGGAGGAATATCCACTTTTTCGATGTCAGAGTTCGTATGTCTGCACAAAAGAAACTGACAGGACCCGCGTGCCCAGAGTTGTAGCCTGCTGGCAGGGAACGACTACATCGCGCACGCGGCTACATGAACTGCTCGCCAACATTCTTTTTGTCGACCCTCAATCTGGCAATATCTGTATCCCAACGGACCAGCGAACAGGTCCGGAAACATAGAAGTGCGTCCCGCTGTTTTTCCTCGAGTGTTACGTGCGTAAGTGGTAGGCGGTGGGTTCTAGACAGGGAAGGGCTCCCAACGCTCCTTCCTTACTTTTCGCACCGGATTCCAACAAGTTTCCTCTTTTGGTACCCACTCAGCCCTTTCCCATGTTCGACATTCCTCTCAACCCACTATCCCGCCGTAGTTAAAGACCTTCAGTTCTCTGCAAAATTCGAGCAGACTGCCCACCTAACCTTCTACATCCCAAAACCTCACCACGATTCCCTGCCAAATCTTCTCGTTTTTTGACATATACGTCAGCTCATCTACCACATTCGCGTACAGTCGCTTCCCTATCAAGCGTTAAGCTGAGCTCCACACAGAACCTATCCCGCCGAGCTCCAGCAACCGCGCCTCGCTTTGGTAACCATCTCGTCCATATTCACGCCACCAGTGAAAATCACGAGACCGACATTTGAGCTCAAGCTCCAACCGCAACCATGGTCGCCCAGACGCCCAGCAAGGGAGGAGCGCGCACTGCGCGCACACCGCCAGGTCCTAGAAGGATAGATCCGACTCCCCAAGAGGCCTACTTCTTCTTGTACATCCTCAAGCACTGCAGGAACAAGCCCGATGTCGACTGGGACGCCGTCGCTGAAGAGGCCAACTTCAAGAACGGCGCGACTGCCAATGTGAGTGCCCGCTGTGCTGTGATATATCTCTTCCCACATCAACCCTCTGCCACCCGCTGACCGAGCCACCCACAAAAAAAACAAAGGCCCGCTTCCGGCAAATTAAACAGAAGCTGGGTTTCCATACGCCTTCAACCCCCAAGAAGGCCAAGAACTCGGGCGAGGCAAGCGGCTTGAAGACGCCTCGCTCCGGCGTCACCAAGAAGGCGGCCACTCCGCGCAAGCCCAAGGGCAAGAAGATTGTCGACCGTGCCGACGACGCTGAGCGTGGCGATGATGACGAGGACCCGAAGCGGGAGACCGCCCGTCTGGTAAAGGTGCAACGCCCGGACGAGATGGAGAACACCGCAAGCCGCATCAAGGACGAGGAAGACGACGAGGACCAGCAGCCACCGTTCTCTTCGTCCATGTTCGCCGACGTGAAGTGCCCCGACCTAGCCTCGCAGTATCCGGTCTAGATAGTCTCGCGGCCACTGTCTCCCATTTGATTTGCGACTATCTCCCATTCTCTTGGCGGACAAGGTACACCGGTGGTATACCTCTGGGCCGTCTGGCACTTCTTCTTTCCTTTTTTTCCTTCGCCAACACAGGCCCGCCGTCTCTTCAAGCGAGACCCTATTCCTTGTTCCCTATCGACTTTCCCCAAGGAAATCTTCACGTACCCCAAGGTCACCACGCCCTTTTTCTACCAGCACGCCCTTTTCTCGTTGGATTTTACTTAGCAGGGAGCTAGGACGAGGCTTTGCCTGTCAGCTCCGTAGTCGAGATGGGCGGACAACTAGCGCCTAGGAGGCAACGGACATGCCTCTAAACACCAAGCAGTCCACAAAGATGGAATATCCGGGCGTTATTATCAGTCTAGAGACACTTTTCCCAGGTCTATCCCGCATCAGCCTTCCTGTTTTGCTGATGGCATCTGACACTGAAACACTGCGATGCCAAGCACTCTTGGTCCCTTCGTTTTATGGTAACATGTGACCATGGTCTGGCATGCTACCCTCCAGACCGCCGGAACTGGCAGAAAAGTGCGCCATCTATCAGAGACAAGTGAGTGAATGTATCGCGAAGTAGCACCCAGCCTACCATCTGGCATGCTTGCAGAGACCGGAAGACTTGGAGCCATAGCCTGCAGTGTATGCAGGAATGCAGGCACGAGCACGTTGCACATGATAGGCGTCCACGAAAATTGAAACAAGAGCGATACACAGTAACAATGCTATTATGAGTATGTCCGTAGTGACCCCCCCCCCCCCCCCCCCCAATCCAGACAGATGAGCACAGAGCAAAACTGTATTTGTCAAAACTACTTATGGCTTCTGAGCGCGAAAGCCAATCCGAGAGCTGGGGTACAGGATAAGAAGGCGCGGAATTGTCCATGATACAGGAGGACAATTGATATGTGGCAACAGTGCCCAAGTGAGAAGATCAGAGTGGCAGCGCGCGACAAATAGTAATAGCTGACTCGTTATCCATGAAACAGGTCAGTACATGCGTGTATCTCTACGGGCCTTCTTTTCTTTCAAAGACAATTCTGGCGCTCACAGGAAGCTGGGAGATTGCATATCGCTCCAAGTCGGACGGCTGAGCCGCTGACAGGATGTGAGGCAGCGATGACCTTGGCGCGGCGGGTAGTCTAAACGACCACATCGCTGTCGTCGTTGAAGCTATCCTCCTCGGTCGAACCGTCCTTGTACGACTCCGACTTGGTCGCCGAGCGGCAGGGGTTAGAGCGCCGGAACAGTGCGGTCGGGGTCCGCTCCGGAGAGGGCTTGTCCTGCTGGCCGTGGCCGGAGCCGTGCGCGACGTCGACAGGCTCAGACTTGATACCAGCCTTTGGGGTCTTGGCCCGCTTGCTTTCGGGCGTCTTTGGGCCCGTGACCGTCTTTCTCTTGGGGGTGGACGGGGCGGCGGCGGCGTCGTCGTCGTCGACACGCTTCCGCTTGCCGCCGCCGCCGCTGGGGCTAGCCTTGGCTGCGCCCTCCGGCCCCTCCAGGGCCCTGTACTCTTTGAGGATCTTCTTGAACCAGCGCGACCTGACAGACTCTGTGGGTTAGTGTGACCAGCGTGCTTGCAAGGGCTAACGACAGCCGGAGTCTCGATGAGAGTAAAACTGCACGGCATCCGCAGGGAGGGCGACTTACTTGATGGCTTCGATGGTGAAGCCAAAGCCCCGGGCTTCCATGATGGCAACTGTTTTGTTCCAGTCGGGCTTGAGCGGCCCGACCGAAGCCGAATGCCACATGGCCAGTATCATCTCTTTCTCCGCATCGCCACTCCACGACATGTTTGGAGCCATGTCGACGCTGACAAGGATTAGTTGTTGACAATGATCAGATTGGGTGCTAATAGAGGAAGATGAGTGAAGAGTGTAGAGAGGTGATGCTGCGGGGCCAGACGGTTTCAGATGAATACAGCACGAGATACTCATGGGATGAGATGGCGGGGTGAGTTGGCCTTGTTGTGGGTTCTAGGAAGCTGCGGTGGTGGAATATGGCAGCGTCCAGAGTGTGAGAGATGTTTGCACTCTCACCCTAGCCTCAGAACCCCATCACAATAACTCTGGCCTATGCACAAGCCCGAGAGGTCCACCGTTCCTTCCTGTTTCGGACTTGATGCGAGAAGGAAGTATGGCTGCTGCTCTTCAGGTCGAGAGCCAATGTGAACGTGCTCTGAGCGTCGCCCTTTCTACTTCGCTGGGTTTTAGTCAATACTTGGCAGCTCAGATCAAGATCAACTTAGCGGAGGACGGCTGAAGACGGATTTCTCACATGACAATACGCTTTTGAAGTGGATGCCACTCTTTGAGGTTCAAGATGAAACAGTGATTCTCCCCACACAGGAGCACAAAGCTCTTTCGTCATTATATGTTGGGCAGCAGCCTTTATCGTGCGTTCGACATCGTTTTTTTTATAGCAAATATCTTCTCTTTTTTGGGATATCTTTAAGCATTACTTTATGAGCTGTGAGGCCGGACGTCAACGGAACCTTGAGGAACTTCAGGCAGAACCCCAAGAGCTTTTGAAGCTTGCTATAGGTAATTTCACTAACTTAAGAATAGAAAATCTGGTTGTGGACTAAATAAACGGGCAGAAGGAAATGGAAGTGTTGAGCGTGACAATACATGCGAGCGGAGCATTGCTCGAAGATCTACTCATGGCGCGATTAGTTGTATACGCGGGCATTGCCATCATGATTGTTGATTGTGTAGTTTCCGAATGACATACGCGGGCAAAATCTCGCGCAAAACCTATAGATGTGACTCGGAACAGTACATTTAGTAACTACTGGTACCAAGCATAAAGCATTAAAATCAAAGCAAGCAAGACCTCGGGACATATCGAGGGCCACTGCGACAATACATGAGGCCTGTAGCCCAAGCGCCTGTGCAAGTCCGATGTCCATGCACGACAGAACCCTGAGCTTGTCCACTTTGCTGATCTAAGCAATTCACCACGACGTGGACAAAAATATAGCGTACTCTGGTGGCGGTGGATAAAATACCTTGATACCGATTTACCGTTTGCTGTCTAATGTCTGGCCCTCGCCTGGCTTCTTCTCTGGTGTCGGCGACGGATCATCGTCCTCACCCTTGCGCTTTGCAACTCCCCTGAGGGTCTGCCCCTGACCGGCAAAGTGGGGCCGCTGCGCATTCACCTTGTCCTGCTCCTTGTCGGCATCGGTTTTTACCGGCTTGACTTCGTAGCCGAAGAACAACTTGTTTGGTGGCAAACGCAGCGGCATTGGGCCGTTGGCCCACCTACGGGGCTGTGCCGCTGCGTCCGGGGGGTTGGCTGACGTTCCCGCGACCGGCGTGGATGGCTTGGGGGTCGGAGCCTTACTGCTACCCTTCTTGCCGCCGATTCGTTGGCCCTCGCCCAGAAAGTTTGTGGCGGCCAAGGCGGCGCTGTTGGGGGCGATGGCATCGTAGTTGATAGCCTGCGCCATTCCGCCTTGGCCGTGCAGCAGACCGCCAGCCGGGAGGCCGCCACCGCGAGTACTCCTCGGAGTACTTGTGCCGCTGCCCTTCTGCCGCTCCGGCTCTACGTAGCCCACAGGAGGCGCAAAGTCCACCGACACGTCCGTCTCGATCATGCTGACACCCATCTTGGCTGACTCGGGCTTGACGTCGAGAACAGCCATCTCGTAGACATCGTCGTTGTACTCGAAGCTGAAGACGTCACCCTTGGTCAGAGTGGCGAAGTTGCGGAAAGCCTTCTCCAGCACCGCGCGCGGGTCGCTGATATCCAGAAACTTTGTGGACTGCGGTTGCAGCTTCACGAGGCGTGCAAGGTCCAGCGATGTGGATTTGATCTGGATCATGTCGCCGACGTCGAGAAGGAGCGTTTGCATCATCTGCATGATGAGACGTCATCTTGTCAACAAACCGACTCGAGCCAGCGGAGCTCCCCGTGAGAGCGACTCACCCACTGGGGCAGATATGCCCTGCCTTCCTCGGCAACAAACTCCAGGACTCCCGAGTGCGTGTGCCGGTCGTTCTCGCCATTTATCAGCTCCATAAGCAGCGGCCACTGGACGTGCAGCTTCGAGACCTTGTCGAGGGCGGATGCCGGGAGGAAGATCTTGGATCCGTGGTTGAGTTCCGGCCGCTCGGATCCGGGCGCCATGATCATGGGGTAGCACCGGTAGTATTCGTCGAAGCGCTGGGCGATGGGCCGGCGGCCCCCGCGCGCCATCTGGCCGTACATGGTGGTTCTCGCCGGCGAGTCTCAGCCGCCAAGGCGCGTGTTCTCGACCAGGAGGGGCGGGTTCTGGGTGGCGGTCTGCGAGGCTGTCTGGAAATGGCGGTTCTGGGGGGCTTTGGGCTTTGAGGATACGGTTACGAGCGAGGACGGATCCTGCTTTTGCTTTGTGCTAGCAGTTGTCTCCGTTGTTCAATATTTTGGTCGAACTTTGGGTTTCGCCGCTGTTCGGGGCAGGCAGCTGAGAATGACGAAACCGCGTCCAGATGACGCCTAACTGGGCTGGGTTGGACGTGGCTGCGGCACCTGTTCGTACCCCGCATCCGGCCCACAGAAGCCGCAGGCAAGATATCCACTCAAGCACTGACGTCGCGGAGCTTTGTGGGTTTCGCAAAGCTCCAGCTAGAGCCATTCACAATTGAAACCGCGACCCGTCACTCTTTCATACCGACTGCCATTCGATACCAGTCCAGGCCCCTCTGGACAATTCTAATTCGCACAAGAACACCCATCAGCTACACGGCTAATGTCTTCAAGATTCTCAGCGGCGCGCCCCAAGCGCGCTGGCGAAGCTTTCGCCCGGTCGCATCACGGCGAAAGGGCGGGATCGGACGGGGAGGAGGGCTCGGCCAAAAAAGTCAAGTTTGATGTGCGAAACCCGTCAGCGCTTGTTGCGGACGAGCGCGAGGAAGACGACATACTCGACGCCGACGTTATAGGAAAGAGAGGCGGCACCGCCACCAAGCGAGGCGCCGTCAACATCGACGGCTACGACAGCGACTCGGACAACGAAACCTTCCATGCCCGCGCCCAGGCCAAGTCAGGCCGGGACGGGGACAAGCCCGTCAACATATTAGACCAGCTAGACAACTATGACTCGAAGCTGAAGGGCACCGCGCCCGCGCCCGATGACGATGATGACGATGACATGTTCGGCGGTGGAAATTCCGACGACAAGCCCGCGGCCCAGAACAAGACTAACGAAAGTGGGCGCAAGAACAAGGAGGTCCGCTTTCTGGATGCGCGCGACATAGAAGGTGAGGAGCACACCAGCAAGAGCGGCGGGCAGGTGCGGCTGGACGATGAGGAGAGCAGCGACGAGGAGGACGAGGAGCTCGCGATCCAGGAGGAGGATGTGGACGACGAGGTCGGCGCCGGCGGCCTCAAGCGGCACGCCCCCAAGATCGACGCCTTCAACATGAGGTCCGAGCAGGAGGACGGAGCGTTCGACGAGGCCGGCAACTTCGTGCGCAAGGCGACCGACACGGACGCCGTGCACGACCGGTGGCTCGAGGGCATCAAGAAGAAGGACATGAAAAAGGCCGCCGAGGCGCACGAGAAGCGCGAGGCGGAGCTGCGCCGCCAGCGCAAGGAGGACGACAGGGTCATCACGTCAGACATGATTAGTTCGCTCATCCTCAACCTGGAAACGGGGGAGACGCCACTGGAGGCGCTTGCCAGGTTAGGCAAAAGCCAGGCCAAGTTCAAATCCAAGGCGAAGAAGGTGCCGCGGTGGAAGCAGAAGAAGCAGAGCGCCGCCGAAGACACAATGGACGTCGACAAGGACGCGACGCCAGAAGACGCCGCGTACCAGCGAGTCAAGGCGGCCATAAACCAGGTCACCGAGGCCGCAGACCGTCTGCTTGGAAGGGAGTTCCCGGAAATTTACGACACCGAGAGAGAGATACTTGTCAGGGAGTATAGGAAAGAGACGGGCGAGGAGTGGATCGAGCCCGCGCGGCCGGATAGTCTAGAGGAGACATCGGCGGCAGGGGCGACCACCGAGGGACCAGAGCCAGGAGGGGAGCAGTGGGAATATCGCTGGACCGATGGCAGGGACGGCGCCGCCAAACAGGGCCCCTTCGACACCGCCATGATGAAGGCCTGGCATGCTGCTGGGTACTTTGGCGAGGGTGTTGAGTTCCGGAAGGCCGGGGATGACGGACCGTGGACACAAACAGCTCCCTTCGCCTAAGGAACAGGTAATGGTAGCTCGGTCGGCGTATTGCTTTGTCCATGCGACCAGACGTGAGCCAAAACATGTGTCAAGCCTTGTAGTAGGTAGGATCCTGACGACTCTCTGGATAGCTTGCGTCCCCTTCAATGTGCAGCTCCACAGTCTCTGGGTCAACAATGGTCGCGTCCTTTGCGGTAATCTTTTCGGCGGCTAGCCGTTCCAGTAACGTAAATCCCAGAGACATTGGTTAGACGCCATAGGCTAACCTTTTGACTGTCCGTAACGCCCGGCCGATCATACAAAAATGGTGTACTTCTTCTACCAGGTCTGAAAGAAGGGACCAAGATGGGAGGCGAAGGAAATGCGGCAATGAAAAAGAAAACTGGTCCCCTGGATTGGAGATTATTGAAAATAAAATATGAAAACACATACACCCACCAAGCTATCATTAACCTGCTTTGTTTCAAAAACAAAAGGTAGAGATGAGAGAAGACAAGATCACGTGGTGTCCATCTTCTCACCATTGCTGTTTGGAACGGAGAAGTCAACGGCGCCGTCATCGCCAATCAGTCTCTTCTCGGATTCGCCAACAAACTTGACGCTCCTGGCCGGGTCGTAGAAGAGCCTGAAGCTCCTCTGCACGTCCTGGACGTCGACCTGCTTGGATTTCCGCTTGGCGCAGACAAGCTGCGACGTGGCGATGAGATTGCTCGCGTAGCGCAGCCCGGCCTCCTGGCCGATCTTGGTAAGCAGCACGAGTGCGTCGGCCGTCAGGTCCACCTCTTCCTCTTGGGCCCTGATACACAGGATCTTGTTGATCTCATCTGGGGTGTAGGTCTGCGTCGCGATGATCTGGATGCGGTCCAGGAAGTCCAGGGGCAGCCCGTGGGGGCTGCGGTAGTCGGTGCCGCGGATGCGCGAGTGCCCCCTGTTGCTGGCCATGATGACGATGGGCGCCAGCTCGGCCTCGAGAGCACGATTGATGTACGAGAAGCACTCGATGTCGAGCATGTGGACCTCGTCGATAAAGAGCACACCGGGCACAATCTCGGCCTTGCCCTCCTCCTTCCACTCGCCAACCTTTGTGTTGATCTGGTCCCGGATCTCGCTGCGAATCTCGCCCGTGTCTCCCGAGAAGAGGGCCAGGAATCCTTGGGTCCTCGAGTTGATGACGTCAATCTCGTGCAGGGTGACTGTGTGGACCACCTCCTTGCGCTTTTGCAGCTCGCCATCGGGGCATTGCAGAAACTTGGTGTCGACCCCCATTGCGTCGTAGTCGCGCGAACGAGCGTACGAGCGGCCGAGCTTGGCGATCTTGCCAGATGACTTGTCAATCGAGATGATATCTCCTGCCATGACACGCTCTTTGGTCATGGCGTCGATCATCTTACTTCCCATATCGTAGATGGCCTCCATGTCGGTCGTCTTGATGGTGAGCTTTCCTTGCTTCGCGCCGCCTGTGACGCTCCTGTCGATCTGGATCTCGACAACCTCACCCTCCATTATCTCGCTCTCCTCCTTAATCCGCACGCCTATGGACTTGCGGAAGGCCTGCGTCAGAGCTTCGGTCTTGGACATCTCGAGCGAGAAAATCTCCGACGAGGCCAAGCTGGTGAAAGGGACATCGGATCCCAGCGACTGCGCCATGCCCATGGCGATGGCGGTCTTTCCGGTGCTTGGCGGGCCGGCGATCAGGACCGCACGCCCTGCGATCTTGCCCTGCTTGATCATTTCCAGGATCACAGCGGCGGCCTTTCGCGCCTTCTCCTGGCCTACCAGGCCCTGGGAGGATGCTCGCGGTTCGAGGGTGTCCGCATCGACGCCGAGCCCGCGGATGTGTGAGTGTGCGGCGATGAGGTTGAGCCCTCGCAGCTCTTTGGTCTCCGAGACCGTCAATACGGGTTGCTGCTAGCGCGCCAATCGACGCTGCGGTGTCAGTGAAATATGCAGCCTTTGCAATCACAGGGCCAAAAACATACAGTCGCCATGGCGTCCTATATCGTGGGGGAGCTCGAGGGCCAGAGCGTGCCCGATAGAGGGCTGCGAATCAGGTGTCGGATCGAGATGACAGAGACAGTCGATTCGCAGGGTTGAGCGCTTGCAAGCGAACAGCGAGATTAGATCTATAAGGGTGGTGAGGGCTGTGCCAAGGTTACAATCAGATGCTTTAGTAGACCCGCGGTTGGATGTCGCGCCTCGGACCCAACCAAGCATCCAACGACGCATGGGCAGAACGACAGCTCAAAAATTTGGCAAATTATGGCGGTCTGGCGCAGCCACCCAGCCTGCCGTTGCACCGGCTGCACGATAGTGGTGCCGCCGGCCCCCCAGTGGGGGCAAAGCTTGCGGCGCCCCTGCCCCTGCCTGTTCTTAGCTCTGGAGCTGGGGAGGAAGGTGCTGACACCAGGCATAAGTGAGGCACCTGCAAATGTTTGGATGGCTGCATCAACCAAACCCGACTGCGGGTGCCTGCGCATGCTGCACTTTACTTCATGGTACCTACTACTTGTGTACCTAGGTACCTACCTCTAGGTACCTGCCTACGTAGGAACCTTCCTCCAGCGCCCTGTCTCGTCCAGATAAGCCAACCATGTATAACGATCTGCACAAATAGTGATAAAAACAAACCCAATGCTCCTACCCACTTCTTGTATTGGGCTGAAGTGCACGCTGTTCCTTCCTTGGACACACATGCTGTGGAGCCAACGTGGGGAGGAATGGGGCCGCAACAACTCTTCTAGCGTATTCCCCCACCCATCCCAAAACGCGTTGAAGTCCGGATGGCTTGAAAGTGCTAAAAACCCCGGGCGTTTTTTGTTCCCCCTGCGACTTCGCTGCCCGCTGTCTCATCCAGCCGCCTGCCTCCCTCCTTCGCCAGCTTTGCACATTTATGGTTGGCCAGTCGGCTCCCGCCTGCCATTGCCGCCTGGACTACAAAACGTCCGCACCGGTAGAGACGCTTTGCGGCGAGCTCGTTTCAACCTGCCGCTGCATGGCATCCAAGATCTGCACTTGGAAGGAAGCCACCGCAAGCGGAGGAGACGCAAGCCGCGCTCTGCCTCTGTCGCAAAAAGCTTCACCAGGTCCACTTGTGGGTTGAGACCGCTGCCGCACCCCAGTATTGGGTTCTTGTTCCGCCCACACATCTCGCGCCTGGAGTCGGTTGGCGTCATCTGTCTCACGCTCCATCCCTCACGGACCGCCGACATGTCGCGATACTCATCGGACCGCCAATCCCTCTCGGGTGCCAACGAGAGGACCTCGTCCGGGCGCTCGCGTGAGGATTACTCTGATCGTGGAAACCACGACCGCCGAGACTCGAGCTCTCGCGGCACCTACCGCCGAAATGAATACACAGAGAACCGCGACCATGGCTTCCGCGATCGTCCCCGCCGAGAATATAGTCGCGACGATCACGACCATGGCTCCCCCGATGCCCCCCGCCCCGCCCCTCCGACCGGCCCCAAGAGGTCAGCACCCTCTACACGCCCTGCGCCGGCTCAGGTGTCAAGCAACGGTATGTTTGTTTGAAACTTTCTCGCCAAGAAAAACAGTCGGGTACGAGATACTAAAACGACGTCTAGGAGCAACTTCCATCTCCAACCCTTTGGGAGGCAAGCAAGACCGCAGCTCACCGTCAGAACAACTGGTCCAGCTCGTCTGCGACTGGAGCGCATCCGTGTCCAAACAAGCGGCAGCACAGCTTCGAAAAGACGAGCAGAACAAGTTCTATGAGCAGAGGGAGGAGTCCTACCAGAGACTCAAGAGATTACAACGGAACGACTATCCCTCCATCAGTCAACAGCACGAGCAATTCCGGGACCGAGCTAAAGTCGACCTCGACACAGCCACGAAGGATTACGAGTCACACAAGAACAAGACACTCGAGCTCGCCGATAAGTTTGCAATGGTCATACACACAGCTCTTCCGGAGACCATGGCTGTCCAACGATCAGGTTCCCTTTCCGAAGTGGATCGAAACACTGTCGAGAAGAATATTATGGATGCTTTTCACAGTAAATGGAACAATTGTCAACAAAAACTCGATAATAACATTAAAAAGCTTGGAGACAACAGCTACGGCCTCGAGGTTATGAAGAGGGAGCATGAGGCCATGAAGAGGGAGCTTGAGATCGTGAAGAGGGAGAAAACCTCCCAAAAGGAGGAGCTTGAGGTCGTGAAGAGGGAGCAAATCTCCCAAAAGGAGGAGCTTGAGGTCGTGAAGAAAGAGCAAACCTCTCAAAAGGAGGAACTCGCGGCCCTCAAATCGGCATGGGACAAGGAGAGAGAAGAGCTCAGGAGAGAGAGACACGAGCTCTGGTCGGCCTGGGCGAAAGAGAGATCAGAACTCACGTCGGCCTCGGCGAAAGAGAGATCAGAACTCACGGCAGTGTGGGAGGAAGAGAGATCGAAGCTCACGTCGGCCCTCGAAGGAGAGGCGAATGGGCTCCAGAGCCTGAAAAGCGACCTGGATAAGCTGAGAGATCGAGCCACGCAGCTTGAGTGCGCGACCCGGGTGCTCGACAACGACGTCTTCGACAGGTGGTGGGATTTCGTCGATAACCAGCTACCCATTATCACCAAAGACATGGAAGAAATCAAGGCCATGCCGCGGCCGGCTGCAGACACCGCCGGGGGTGCGACCCACGTGTGCGACGGCGCCAAGGCAGCCGAAAAACTTCAGGCCGAGTTCAGTAGGCTTCAAGCACAAGTCACATCGCTCTCAAGACAGGGTTCGGCGGCAGACATCCAGGCAAAGATAACGCCCCATTTGGACGCGATCATCGGCAGTTTCGGACAACTAATTGACGGTGTGAAGAACCGGCTCGCGTTCTTGGAGAACGCATCACGGGGCCAATTCAAGGACGAGTTCAAACAGCTCGCCGAGGAGCTTATGCAGAAACACACGAGCCTGAGGTCGGAAGTTCAACAAAAGTTCGACCAATTGGATCTAATCATCACCCAGCTCGATTCTCAATACCAAAACATCACCACCAAGCAGATGGCCGACAGAATCGCACAGTACTATCACAGCACGCAACCCCTGACCGAACAAATATACACGGACATCCGGCAGGTTGCGAAGCGACAAGATCGGATGGAGGAGCATATCAAGAGCATTTCCGAGGAGCCCAGGCACAAGCGCCCAAGGATGACGCCGAACGCGGGGATGCAGCCTATGCCGAATGGCTATGGCAGTTGAACTACACCAACATTGCTCTTCGATCGTGGTCTTCTTCTCCATCTATAGAGGTCGCTAGCTCCCTAGCCGGTAACGCAGGATTTAGGGAGCTGAGCCAGGCACCTGTATTTATGTATTCTCTATTATGAACGGGCTTGGGGATACTTACAAATGGATGACGACCAACACAATGCCGAGAACGGTGTGCACTTTAAGGAACGGCAAAGGGGCGTCTCTGGGCAAGGAAGCGTTGGGGGCTTTGCGGCTGTCTTTTATTCTTATATTTTGGTTTAGCTTTGATCTTCGGCTAGCGGAAACTCTACGACTACGATACTAGCTGCAATGGGCAGGTTGGACTTTACATTTCACGGCAGGTGGCAAGTGCCGAGTTGCCTCTATTGGTCGGGTACGGTTGGTTCTTGTGAAAAACAACGAGAGGCAGGGACACATCACTCAGAAAGACAGGAAGTTTAGATGTAACTTGTGTACATTGGTAATGCTACATGTGGAAAACATCCGGCCTCTCGCCCGTTGTCGCAGCTGGTCCCACGAGTTCTTGGTGCATTTTCTTCCTCTGTGGCGGCCCACCTAGGTTTGGGTACTTACGTTGAATGGTATCAGCAAGCGAGTTGTTGAGCTTGGTCGCCTGTTTTTAGGCTCTGTAGGGCTGGACAGACTGCGTCATGCCCATGCAGGTATTGTGCTAACAGATGGGAGCGAATGCAGGTGCATCGGTATATCCATAGCAAGCAACCGGAGATACACACTGTACCCCAGCCGGGCTGTTTAAAAGCTGGGGAGACGAACAATGGGTTGATGGGCGCTTGCACCCCAGCCCAGTCGTCCCCAGGCCTGCTTAGCTAACCGCTGTAGACGGGACCCATTCGCGTGCGAGAAAGGGTTCTGGGGTGGCGCCTGGACAGCTACGGCAAGCTTTATTGGACGCTTGATTAGGTCCCCGCTTGCGCTTGCGAGGGTCAGCTTCCAGCAGCCAGCAAGCCGCAGCACGACTCCACCCCCCCCCCCCCCCCAAAAGGACGAAGACTGCTGCGACCTGCTACCAACCCTTGGCCTTGTCGCGGTGAGAAGGAGACGCATCGCCTTGCTTGGGCACGACCGAGTCCACCACATCGCCTGCCACGCGCATCCGAACACCCCCGACAGCGCGCCGCTGGATTGCCGCCGGATTGCCGCATGCATCGCCCTCCCTCGCACCGCGCCCTGGTACGGGAGAGGTGTGCTTCCCGCGTCCCGTCTTGCAGAGCGTCGCAGTGAGGGCCGTTGACGGCACCGCGCGCCTGTCGCCTGTTTGCCTGTCGTCTGGTCCTGCACTAGAAGCTCGAGCGACAAGCCGCATGAAATCCCCGAACACCGCCAGCCAACCAACCACGCCCTCTCCGCCATCACGCCCGTCGCGCCTTTTTATCGTCTAGCCGGTGTACTGTTAGTCTCTCGTCTGCTCTGATTGCCGCTGTGTGCGTCTGGATGTGTCCGTCTGTGTTGCGCATTCGAGCTGCCGGCTAACCAATCGCTGCGAGCGCATCCGCCCCAGGCCCAATTGCACACCTCGCCCATCACGGTCACGCCCCATCGTCGCGCGACCAAGAGGAAGAAGGTTCGTCGCTCGCCCGAACCGACCAAGCGGAAAAACAAGAGAACTCTCCAAAATATCACAACCACGCACCCACGCCCAGCCGGCCTCTCCAACACCCTCGCGCGACGACACCGACCGCGCACCCGTGCCCGTTCTCGATCGCAGTCGCTGCCGCAAACACCTCCCCCTTGCCACCTCGGGCTCTGCCGCGCAGCTGGTGCGGCCGCATTCCACACTCGCCCTTTGTCCGCTTCTGAGACACCGAGGCACAAACGCCCATTGCCGGAACGAGCAGCAGTCCCCCGACCACCACCCATGACACGCCTCCTAGAAAATGGATCTTGCGGCGCAGAGAGTCCATAGTCTTGCCCAGCGCATCCTGCCCGAAAGGCCACACCATCTCGCCCTGCTCCCCGACGGAAAATACTCTGTTCCGCCAGATTTCTGGCAGCACCATTCTCACCTTCAATACTCCACATTCCTTTCCGACACGGACCGCGGTATCCTCCTAACTCGCCCGTACTATGAGATCATTCGGGAGGAGCCCGATCAACTCTCACGCAGTCCAGCGATCCCGGCATCGAAGCCAGAAGCCAAGAAGGCTGTGACCAAGATGTCTTTCAAGGACTACCAAAATAGCAAAAAGAAACTCTCGTCTTCATCACCAGACTCCGCCCCGCAGCCGCGACAGGACGCGAAGCAGGCCGGCGCCGAAGGGCCCAGGCAGGCAAAGCTCCCTATACCCAAGCCTGTCGACGGCAAGAGGAAAGTGTCCGACGTGTCGGCCAGTGCCGGCTCGACGCCCAAGGATGACCTGATCAAAAGGTACGAAGGAGGATTGGCCTGTTATGGATCCTCCCCTGGCTATCTTGCGTGATTCGCTAACGATCAGCCTGCTTGCAGACCCAGAGTACCGTCGAGGGAACCCCCAAGAAATGGTGTGAGCCCATCTCCACACAACGGCAGGAGATCGCCCGATTTCCCCGATAGTGCTCGCCCTCTCAAGAAGATTCGCATGGCCGATGGTGCGAAGCCGGATACATTGCGCACGCTAAGGCCAGATGTCAGTGCCAACAAGATCTTGCCCGCCTCCACCGACAGGTCCGGGGCCTCCAGAGACGTCAAAAGCGGCGGAAGTGCTCTCACCAACGGCCGCATCACTTCGGCAAGCAGTAAAGCAGCCTCGCCCCAGAGGCAACCTGTGAACGGGCCTAAATCTTCCAGCATGGTCAGGTCCGAATCATCTGGGAAAGCATCCGTTCCTCCTCTCCTATCGCCTCTCAGGATATCGATCGACGATGACCATGAGGTCAAAGCCAAGGGCCCAGCGAAACGGCCGGTAGATGCGGGGACTGTCCCGAAGGTATCTGGCAAGGGGGAGAGGGCCGAGGGGCTAGCGATCAAGAAGCCGGCCAGGCCGTCGTTGCCTCCCTTGCTTTCGCCCACTCTTCCAGATATTGTAGAGCAGGAACTCGCGCGAGGCGAGACCACATCACCAAAGGGTGATATCGAATCTACTAAGAGTCGGGCGATAGATTCTCCGAGCGTGGGAGGGAAGACGGTTCCCAAGATCGAGGACGAGCCCGAGGTCGCCCAGCTGATTGTGCACCTAAAGTACAAGAAAAAGAACTCGCTGCGTGTCCAGCGACTGCTGGCGTTACAACCCGCTTCCAAGATCGAGGCGCTGAAGAAGGAGCGATCGATGAGCGTCGAGGTCAACTCGCCTCCAGCCAAAAAGCGACCACGAGTCGCAGAAGCGGCCGCGACGGAGCCGGTGGCTGGCAAGCGACCCAGGACCTCGATGGATAGCATCATGGTTTCGAAACCCGTCGCCCCTTCGACGCCACTTAAGACGGCCGCCACGGCCATGTCTCGAGTGCCGTCGACCAACTCCCAGGCCCAGACACCAGGCGGTGCGATAACGAAGGGCCTCACCCCCGGGCCAGGTGACCGCCCCCCGACGAGCTACGAATTCGACCCTACCAAGGGCATGTCGTCGGCCACTCTGCGTCGAAAGGGCGGCGAGTACACAGGCCTGGGGACACAGCTCAAGCACAAACGGGATGGAATCCTCAATTCAGTTGCGGGAACCAACAAGGCCGAGGTGTTGGGGAATATGACCAGCTCAGACAAGAAGCGAGTTGCAGCCCTGAGCCTCGAGATGGTATTGTCCTACATTGTCGGGTTCGACGCCATGAACCAGTCCAGGAGTCAGGACCGGAAACCTGGCGACTACCAGCTGTGGGAATCTCTCATCCCGCATCTGGGCGAGCTCCGAAACTTCACCCGCTCCTACAAGGCGCTAGATGGGATTGCAATGCAGCTGCATGCCATCGTGGTCGAGGAGCTGATCAGGGTCTACTACCACCACGACTTCACGACTGTCGGGACCAGGATTGTGCGCGTTGGCAAGAAGCTCCACGAGAATTGGGTGGAGGCACACGGTTGTGTCAGTACCATTACCGAGCCGTCCATGAAGGCGGATCTTGGCCCATGGTCGAGGCCATCAAGCGCTGCGGCTCAGGCGCTCCAGGTGCTTCACAATTGGGCGCAACGCGAAGTTGTCGACTGGCGAGCCCAGCTCTCCCTAAAGATGAGCAACGGAGTGTAACCTCCAGCCCCTTGTGTTCAACTTGGCCTCTTGGTCGCAACTTTCTTGGCTTTTATTCTTGATGTCCTTTATCGTGTCACGATTTTGCCTTCTCTGCCGTTTTCCCTCGAGTCTCACCCGAGTTTTCTCTCCCCAATCTGTCTACCTGCTAAATGGCGAAGATAATGAGTCACAGGCGTGCTGGAGTTATACATCGGTGTCATCCCTATTACATACCATGATATCCCGGTTTTTTCTTTCGCTTTTTTTTCTGTATCTGGAGCTCCCTCTATGCAAATATTTCATCTCACTCTGTTTCTTTGGTTCTTATCACCTGACTTGAAAGCTTATTATTTTATTGTCATGCCTTTCTCCTGCTCATGGAGTCATTGGCCTCTTTCCAGCGTTTCTTGTACGAACCACGAATTTCCAGTGAGAGCCAAGGGGCCACATTTTACTACTTTGGCGATTTTTGTTGGTGGTCTAAGGGACCGTGGGGCGTCTTTGGTGTTGCCGGCCAGAAAACACGACTCGAATGGGTGGAGGTGAGAAGAATACCAACCTCGGTATCTAGATGGTATACCTAAACCTCAATATTCCAGAGGCAACGCCTTCGCGTTACAGATTACGCGTATATGCCATCATCGCTAACGCCGTGCACTTAAATCTTGTCATTGGCTGAAGCCTCCGCGTTGAGCTCAGAGTCACAGTCACGAGCGTTCCTCAGCCACTTGGTGTCAATGACGAATGCTAAATACGTCCTGGTCGACTTATTTTTTTCTTTTCCTCAATCAGATGAAGAGAAGCAACCTCTTGTCTCCTTCATCCCCCGTACCTCCTGAATACCTACCTACGTACTCTTGTTATATATACCCTCTATCTCTAGGTTCTTCTCCAATTTTGGCAGCGGGCGTGTGCGAGGTGCATTCGTTGTGACGGACGTCTGAAAACAGAGGCCTACACGCATGCATCAGTCAAAGGTGGGGCTCAGAACAGCTGATGCCCCACCAATGCCACTTGGTTTCCTCTCGCAGCCGCACCTAAACCTTGGGCTCCAGCTCTGATCAATCTCCAAAGTACAGCCGGCTCTCAATCGTCACCAAACACGGAACTTCGGCCCTCTTGGACCAATGTCCACACTTTTGCCTCGTTACACCCACAGCCTACTTGCCGGCCATCGGACTTCCCGGGCAAATATCAACGCCTGCTGTTTGCGCTCTCGTCTAGGCAAGGTACCGTCCTAGCCAGTCCGACTGCTCCCTCCCCCCGCTCCGCTCGCATCGTGTGACAAATGGCGCCAACACGTTCCCTCCGCCGCGCCCCACCCCGACAGGCCAAGGAGCGGTCGACGGCTGCGGCTGCGTCGCCCCGCCCGGCAGGGCTCGGGGCCCGTCCACAGCGTCCACAGCGAGTCACACGAAGCTCTACTGCGGCCACGCGCCCGCCGCCCCCGCCCTCACCTTCGCCCCCGCCCTCACCTTCGCCCTCACCTTCGCCTTCGAGCGAACATGACCGGTCGCCGCCGCTCCTCGGCAAACCCCGTGCCACGTCGCGCCTGGCTCGGAACCCCAGGAGCGATCGTCCGCCCTTGGCCACCTTGGGCTCGCAGGGCGTAACCAAAAATCGAGGCCGGCGTCACACACCCGTCGGAGCCAGCAATATCCACGACGGCAATGCTGCACGTCCAGCTGCTGGTAAATCTGCGGGCCCGTCGTCCCGGCCAGTCACGACGGACGAGCCCGCAGAGCTGAGCCCAGGTGCTCGCCATCTGCCATGGAGTGAACTCCCTTACATGATCCTGGTCGATGTCTTCTCGTTTGCCGCCGGCCCGTTAGACGATAACGCATCGGTGCGCTGGTTGGTAGAGGCAAGCACCACATGCCGCTCATTTGCCGAGCCAGCGCTGACGGCCTTGTACCAAAATCCACCACTGCTCAGCCTGGCCATGGCACATGGCTTCGCCGATCTCTTGTCTCTGCCTCCTTCCGTCACCATGTTTTCCTACCGCCAAAAGGTCAGGTCCCTCTCCATCGATGTCGATTCCATAGCTGCATTGACCTTCAAAGGTCAGAAGCTTGATGTCGGTCGCATGGTCCTCCAGTGTTACCAGCTGGCCGAGCTGGACTTATTCCGCGAAAATGACATGCCGCCATATCGGGCGCTGGACGATCCCCTCCGATGGGCATATCCTCGCCCGCTTTTGGACTATCTCGCTTACGGCAACATGCCCGAATTGACGTCCGAGTCTCTCCCGGAGTCTTCTGCCGAGAATAAGCACCGGCTCCCACTCATGCGGGCCTGGCGATGGAGCGCAAAAATGATGGGTCCTGAGCTCGACTTGGACCAAATAAAGTCGATCCATCTCTCTCACGGGTTCTCTAGCTTGCGCAAGATAACTTTTGTCAACTTCCAACAACCGTCGATCAAACTGAAGAACGCCGATGACTCTCGGATCGCTTGCGTGGACCAGGAGCATGCCGCTGGCTTTGCGGAGCTTATCGAGGCGCTTCCAGCGCTGTCACATCTCGTCCTCGAATCATGCGGCGTTGCAAATCAATATCTTTTGCCTCTCCTCCCACCGCGTTTGAAGAACCTGGAGCTCATCAATTGCCGGGAAGTCACTGCGGATGCACTCGCCGATTTTCTTGCCTCGCACGGCCACGATCTACGGCATCTCACTCTCAATCACAACCAATCACTGAACTTATCTTTTCTCCCCCTCCTTGGATCCTGCTGTCCGAAGCTTCAAACACTGCGAATCAACCTTGCATGCTATTCGGAACACATAACCATCAATAGCTCGAACCCTTTGTACGAGGAGTTGCTGCTGCCAAGCCAAGTTCCAACATGGCCCCGAAGCATCCAGATCGTGGAGATACAATTCATGCGTAAGTGGACGCCGGAAGCAGCAGAGGTATTCTTCGCGTCCTTGATAGACCATGCGCCAAACATGCCGGACCTTCGCCGGCTTTGTCTCGGAGCAATGCTGGATATCCCTTGGCGACAGCGGTGCGAGATCAGAGAGACTTGGGAGATGCGATTCAAACGATGCTTTGCCCGGAAGTCAACGTCTCCAAGGCCCTGGAAGTCCCTAGCCGACGTGACGCTCGCGCATGAACCCGAAGTGCAGCCGCGCAGGAAGACAAAGCGCAGGCCCCTGGCCGAACATAGCGGTCCATCACGCCGCAGCGGGCGGATATCGGCACAGGAATCCGGTCAATCCTCACGTGCTAGCAGCGTCGCGCGGGGACTGAGGAGGCTCCATCGCGGCCACGTCTCCTACCGAGAGCCAGACAGCGACGAGGACATGGGCGAAGCACCCGAGGAGGAGCAGGAGGGCGAGGATGCCATGATGGGAGGCACCGATCTTGGTGTGCCGTCGCCAGCCTCCGACATCTCTCTGGAGTTCGTCCAGGGGCTCTGCGAGGTGGTCGATCTCCGGTTCGACAACCAGAGACCCATTGAAGTGCAGTTCCACATGGACGATTTCCTGGATTACCTCGAGGGGTGGGAGGATCGGGATGCCGATGTCGATTGGAACGACGATGCCGATTGGAATGACGACCTGTACACCTAGTGGAAGAGGGCCGGGAGGCACAGCGACGACGCTGCAAACATGTTGCGGTTGCGATGGATCCATTATATTGCCCTGGCCTAGTCACATGCATCTAGTTACATGGCACTAGAAACACACGTTCGAAGCTGTCGTCTTCGCAGCTAACCGAGTTATAAAGACTGCCCACTTGTGCCTGATGTGAACAGTTAAAGGAATTGATGCGTGACCACGTGATTGGCAAAGCTCTGGGCGGTTGGTTGGAGAAGGTGCACCAGCAATGGCAGGAATGGGTAGGTGGGTCTGAGCAGGTGGCCCCTGCAGGTGCATGGAACCTTAGGAACAGGAAGGGTCGTCGCGATGGAAGACCGACGTCGAATCCCCAGAAAATTGGCCCCATTTTCCCACTTGGCTTGGCCCGCAGGAACGCGTCTTGCTGCGTGCATCCGTTTCCGCACCTTTTTCCTCAACTTCCCTCGCGCGCGACTGACTTTAAACTATTGCCCGCCCAGACGCAATTGCAACAGGCCTTGTCGGTCGGGTTCCTCGGTGTGGCTGCCTGCCTGCTAGTTTCCCACCCCAATTCATTTGCATTGGGTTCTTATTTGGGAATTTTTGCTTCGAACCTACTATTTTCATTTGGTCCCATCTTCAACCCTCTTTTTCTTCTTCCCTGTCTGTCACCTTTAGCTCGCGTTCACTCACTCCTCAATTCTCCACACACCTTCTCTATTCCCCTTCTCTTTTTCTTCTTCATCTTCACCATTAATTTGCACTATACCCGTAATTGTGTTGCGATTTTTTTATTCCTTCCTTCTTTCACAGCATTCTGCCGCCGTTGTCCCCTGCCAACGACTCCACACAGTCAAATGCTCTGGACTGTCTTGTAAACAGACACAACTAGAAGTGGTGTGCATTCCTGCACTCACCACTTCCTTCCTTCCCTTTGCGCACATTCTTTAACTCACTGCTCTTTGTTGTTTGTGCAGCAAACAGCAAACTAGGCTCTTTGGACTTTGGGTGTTTGGGAGTCGGCAGGTGGGCTAGGGCCGCGCACGCACCTTGGTTATTTACGCCTCACCCTCATTCGAAAGGCGCGGCGCAACTCTCGGCTCTGCACCTTGCGCCCGCCCTTGCGCGCTCGCGTTTGTCAGCCTTGTGCCTCTAATTGCCAACCGACCATTGTTGGGAAGCCAGGGTCAGGTCCTGGTCCATTTGGGCACCAGGGGTCTCCTTCAGGCCGGCCCGGCTTTCGCGCCAGCTGCGCGCACCCTCCCAGCCAGAACCCCCATCTCGCCTGGGCTGGCTCGGATCAACATCGTGCAGCGCGAACGAAGGGGCTGTCTGGCCGTTGTCGTTCCTCACACCGCCCACACACCCCAGCTCTTCATTCGAGCCAATCGCCCAACTTGGTGCGTCACGTCAGCAGCGGGGCGGACGGATCGGCCTTTGAACGACGCCAGCAACAGGGCCGTCGCCAGGTAGCGTCACGGCCACCGCCGCGGCAAATCGGTGTGAACTCCTCCCTGGGTTTGGGGCCGGGAGGCAGGCAGGTCGGGCCTGGGCCATAGACGGAGCAGCCGCCACGCCCCGTGTCGGTGCTCGACGCACCTCGCATGCGCCATGTCGGCCACGGGCGCGAATGGCGTGACGCACAACATGCCCTTCCTGCACAGAAACTGGGTCTCCGGCCTGAACCAGGCGCGCGGGCTGACGCCGTGCGAAGACCACCCGGTCAAGAAGCGCCGCCGTCTCTCGCACGAGTCTTTCAAAGCCAACGGCCATCCCAGGCCCCACGGCGGCGCCGACCTGTGTCTGCCCGAGGAGCCTGGCAACCTGCAAAAGGCTCTGCGCATCGAAGTGCTCCGCATCTTCCACAGGGACACATCACGTGTCAAGTACGACAAGGTCTTCAACGGTAGTTCTGTGCCCTATGCCATCACTTCACGGGCGCGCTGCAGAATCACCATCGAGAGCGAGGAAGATGGGGACAAGCAACTTGTCTTTTGCGACAGCCAGATCTGCGACATCAAGACGTACAAGAACCCAGTCGGGCCCTCCTACATGGCCAGGATCCACCTTCCCAGGCCGTTCATAGTCCCTCATGAGAAGATACTTATTGCCCGCAGGGATGACTGCGTCTTCGATCTTGCCGACTCGTACACGCTGCATCTGGAGCTTGAGGGCGCCGGCGACCCCAAGTGGCCCCCTCCCAACTTGCTCGGACTGGATGGGGACGAGGTGTTCCCTGGCATCCCGGACGCGTCTCGTTTCTGTGTGCTCGCGGCGACTCTCGACGACATCTTCCCGCGGTCGAGGTCGCTGCTTGGAGTGACTTTCAGACACCGGGCTTGGAACGTTGAGCAGCCTACTGACTTTGCGATGGACGCCGACATCCGCTGGACAACTGGCTTCTCAGACGGACTGATGAAGAGACGCCTGGAGAAAGGGGTTGCCCAATCTATCACCTTTATCGACCCAGACGAGGACTTCATTTCAGTCAACGGCAAGCTGAACGGGCTCGTGAACGGAGATGGGGTTTCTAATGGACACCATGCCGGGGATGCGTGCAGTACGAGTGGTCATGCTCTTAACGGAAACGGCCATCAGCATGCCAATGGCGACGCCGATGACTATGACGAGGATGGGGACGGCGATACGACGCCGAGGAAATCACTGAGAGCGAGGGGCACAGGCAAGGTTTACAACCTCAAGGTCCTGAGCGATAAGGCCCACGGGAAGGACCGCAAGAGGCGCAGGATGTTTGATAGCAAAGACGAAAAGGGAGCTGACGAGAGCTGCACCGTGCTCTACACCCTTCCAACAGAACACGTTGTCATCGAAGGGCTTGTTTGCTGCGTCTGTGGCATTCTCAATCATTCGGTGAACGAGCTCAAAGCCCACTTTCTTTGCCATCCACGCTACGAATTTCACCTGGAAACCCGGCTGGGCAAGGGGCCGTACACGGTTGACGTTTCCATTGCGGAGGATGCGGTCGATTCAATACTCCCAAAAGTCTATCAACTGGGTCGGCCAACCAAGCTGCTAGATCTTGACAGTTATATCGATGGAGACGACTCCTGGGTCACTTCTCGCTACGGCCCAGAGAACGATACCACGGTAACTGAGAGAAATCTAGCGCCAGCATCAAGGCGTGTGCAGCAGGTAAGAATCAAGGAAAGAGTTAGGAGGGACACCTGGCAAGGGTCCACTGGTGTAATCAGTATCATGGTGCCGAATAAACTAACCGACCATCTCTGGTAACAGCCAAGGCCCGTGGTAAACCGCGTCAACAGCAGGCCCGTGGTGCCCAAGGTGAAGAATCGGCTGTTTGATCCACTAAGCAAGGCAGAGCTGGAGCCTGGCGCGGAGGTGCCCAAGTTGGTGTCCGACGACGCTTGGCTCATCCAGAAGCACCGCGACCACTTGCAGGACTTTGTGGACATCGGGCCGAGCGAGAAGGAATACATGAAGGAGTGGGACGCCTTCAACTTCAAGAACCGCATGTCCTCCGAGCTCTACTTCAAACCGGCCTTCGTCTCGTTTGTGACGGCCAAGGCCTCGTGGCTTGTCGGGTCAGAGTCGAGGATGGTGGAGTTTGGCAAGCACCTCGCGGTCCTCACGGCCAGGGGCGTCATTGACGATTCTGTCATTGAGGAGGCGCGACTTCTGATAACCGAGGCCAAGAACCACCGCAAGGCGACGGCCGGAGGGTCCATGGGGTCAGAACCAGTACCGAACCCCGTGCAGGATGCCGTGAACCGGAGGAGCTCGGCAGGCTGCGGCGTGTGCGGAAAGCCGGTGAAGGGGCCACAGTTGCTTGTGTGCGCCACCAAGGTCAGTACTTCTAAGTGATCCCCCTGATACTTTATGATCCGCCTACCCAGGCCCCCAGGCGCTCGCTTGGCTTGGAGCGGCTGCTAACGGAAAACGAGGAACTTCCCAGGCCTGTGGAAAGCGCGTGTACCATAAGCGCTGCGCTCGCCCGACCACAAAGGGCGACGTTGAAAGCGTGCATTGGCGTTGCAACGCATGCGCCGCCCGTTCCTGACGGAACCTTCTAACCGAGAAGGACCGACCTCCTCTAGACTCGATTTTGATGAAGATGTGTTCAGGAGTCGAGTTGCTTTGATATGATTCACACATGTCTGTCGGTTCTTATGCGTACGAATCCTCAGGCCGCTGGCCTTTTTGATCCATACATGTTACAAGGGGATCTGGGATCGGCTTGGAGAGTGCTCAATATATTGATAATTTCTCAAGGCCTCTAGGAGATGCTTAAAGAAGCAGAATCTCCGGCGAGGACCTCGAAAGATGAGCCCTCCTTATATAAGCTGTTTGGGCGCACAGGAAAGATACGTACTTGGGTCGAAGGGAACAAACTCCCTTTCGACCGGGCGCGTAATGCATGCGGGGTTTTTGTAACCCCTCCAACCGGCCCAACCAACGCCTAGCTTTTTATCGCTGTCTTGTAACTCGTTTTATTGGCCGTCCGTTCGGCCTTTTTGGGTTACCCGTTTAATCCCCGTATAATACAATCCCCCCCTTTTTAAAGGCACGTTTTGGGCTTTAAATACGGGTATCCCGGGCCTTTCGGGGATACCGGCGGTGGAAATCCCTAACCTTTTTTTTACCGTTTTACTTTCGAAATTTTCCTATAGCTTCCATATTATTTTATCCTTTTTGTTAAAGCCTAACCATTTAACGAAATATTGTATTAAGCTATCCTTTTAACGGGAATTTTTAACCTTTTCCATTTTAAATACGTCCAGCAAAGGTAATGCGTTTTTTAAAATTTGTTCCGGGTTGGGCCGTATTTGGATGCCGGCCCGATACGGTTTAATTAAAAAAGCGTAAAAAGTAAAGTGGATTTTCCATAATGGTAAAAGCGCGAATCGAACGGTTAAAGGAAAAATAATTTTAGTAATTTGGAAAGGGCCGAAAAGCTTGGAATTAAACTTTTTAATGGGGCGCCGGGTTTTAATATTTTTAGCGTTTAATATAACGTATTATTTTTTTGTAAAAACGGGCAGGGCTTGTTGTTTTTTATCCGCCCATTTTTTTATTCGTTTTCGGGCGGCGTCGAAATATTGTTTGGTTTTGTTGTAAATGCCGTGCATTTAATGGAAATAAAGCTTGCTAGCGGGATAGGGTTTTGTACGCCCTGGCTTTAAAAGGTTATATACGGTTGGTTCGAATTTATAGTTAGCAAAAAATGAAAAAATTAAGGTATTTATTAATAAAGTATTATTGTAAGCAAATTTTGTTATTGGCAGCAAATTTACCCAATTGGACATTTTATAATTAATAAAGGACCGTAAATAAGCTTCGAAGTTTTGGTTAAATCGTTCCGTTTGCCCGTTTATTTGCGGGTAAAAAGCGGTGCTTATCCGGGGTTTAATCCTTACGAAGCTAAAAAAGTCCTGCTACAAGTGCGCGGTAAACCGTAAATTTCGGTTTAAAATAATATTTAACGGAATTTCGTAAAATTTTTAATATTTTCGGGCGAAAATGCGGATAAGGTTATTCGTTTTTTTTATTCTTTTTTTAAAGGAACGAAATGGCCCATTTTGGTAAACGGGTCCACTATAACCCAAATGGAATTGCAGCTTTGGCTATCGGGTAAATCGGTAATAAAATTTATGGCGATAATATTTTAAAGGCGGTAATGCAATTTTATAGGCTAAAACAATCCGAAGGGAGCGTATTTAAGCGCTTTGTTGCGTTAGCATTCCAAATAGCTTTTTACGTAATTTCGAACGTTTTTTTCGATGCTAAGCTACCAAAAGTAGCGGGTAATTAATTCGAAGGTTTTATTTATGCTTATGTATCCGGCAATTTTAGTATTGTGCTTAAATTTTAGGATTTTGCGCTTAAATTTTAACTATATTGGGATTTATAGCTTATTGCGGTGGTATAGGAGCTTGTTGCTAATTTTTTCCTTTTTGTAGGGAATTTTTAAATGCTTTTGGTATTCGGTATCGGATGTAGCGGTTTGCTTAATCCTATTTGTAAATATTTAATTTTAGCGCATGGTTAAAATGCTGCATAATTTTGCCGAAGCTAAAAGGAATAAAGGTGTTTGTAAGGAAAGGTTAAAGTATTTTTTTTAAAAAACCGTCGTAATTGGCTGGTTTTTACTCCCCCCTTTTTTAAGCCTGTATTGCTCGAGTTTGGAAAGCACGTTGGCCTTTTCGTTTTGTTTGCTTGGGCGGTATGTAATTAAAAACCAATAGCTTAAAAGCTGTTAAGCCCATTTTGCTTGTTTTCGGTTAAGGACTTTGGCCGTAATAAAATAAGTTAAATTTTAATGGTTTGTAAAAATTTTAATTTTATGCTATGCCTTTTTAAAGTAATGCTTCCATTTGTTAAAATTGTTTACGATAGCGAATAGTTTTTTATCGTGGATTTCGTAATTAATTTTTGCTAGTATTATTTTACGGGAGTAAAAGGCTACCGGGTGGAGCTTGCCGTTAATAAGGTTGCGTTAAAACAATATTGCGGTTAGGGCAAAATCGGAAGCATCGATTTTTATAATTATTTGTAGCGTAGGGTCGAAATGCCGCAGGATGGGTGGCGAGGTAAATGTTTGTTTTAAGGCTTTAAAAACGGTTTGCATTTTTGCTGTTTATATCCAATCCTTTTTTAAAAGGGCATTGGCTATTGTTAAAGGTTTAACGATTTTGGAAAATCCTGCAATAAAGCGTTGGTAAAAATTAGCGAACCCGACCAGCGATTAACATTTTTTTAATTATTTGGGTGCTTTTTAGTTAAGGATCGCGTTTACTTTGTTTTGGGATATCCGGATTCTTTCCGGGCCGATAACGTGTTCCAAAAACTCGATTTCCTGGGCTTTTTAAACGCATTTGCGGGGGTTAACGGCGAGGTTGTATTTGGTTAAGCGCTTTAATACTTTTTTAACAAGGTTGTTATGCTTTTCCTTTGTTTTTGCGTAAATAAAAAGGTTATCGAAATAAATTAGGAAGCCGGCGTTAATAAGGTTTAAAAATATGTGGTTTATTATTCGTTGGAAAATGGTTGGTGCGTTAATAAGGCTTATAAGCATAACGGTAAATTTAAAAAAGCTATATTTGCAACGGAACGCTATTTTCCATTCGTGCTTTAATTTTATTCGGATTAAATGGAAGCCGGTTTTAAAATCGATTTTGGTTATTTACCGGGCGTTGCGGAAACGGTTTTGGAGTTTCGTTATTAACGGGATTAAATATCGTTCCGGGATTGTTTTGCCGTTAATATTGCGGTAATCGATAACCGGGCGTAACGGATTTTTTAAGTCCTTTTTTTTAGCAAATATTAATGGTGTTTTAACCGTTTTTTCCTTTTATATATCCGTTTTATTTCGAAATTTTTAATAAACCAAAATTTTAAAACGTTAAATTTTTTTTCGTTAAAGTTATATATGGGTTTCCAATTAAAAATGGCCCTTTTTTTAAATGTATTTTGTAATTTTAAAGCTAATGGTTTGGTAAGCGCATAGCTGCTTTTAAAAATATAATTAAAAGGAATTCGCGGAACTTTTTTGGAATATTATCGAGCTCGTTGGTATTGTTAAGCGAAAGTTTTGTCGATATTAATTTTTTAACCAAAGCGACGGTAATTGGGTTTGTATTGCAAATGTTTGCCGGGTTGCAAAGGTTGGAAATTTTACGGGATTAAAATTTGCGGCACGATTTGCATTCGTTCGTATTAAAACGGATATTTTTATAATCCCGTTTAAAAATTCCAATAAAATAATGGCGGGTTATTTATTAAACGGGCAGCAAAACGTTGCAGTTCGGATTTAAGTTTAATACGTTAAAATTTATGCGAAAGCGGTGGTTATAGTGCCGCAAAGTAACCCGGGGTATATAATAAATTAACGGATCCTTTTTTTGTTCCGTATAATTGGATATGGGTTTAAAAACCGTTCGCTTGGTAATATATAGCTATAATTTGGCGGCCATTTAGGTGGAAATAAAAAACCCGTTGTTATTGCCGCAATTTAGGAAAATTTTAACCGTAATTTTTTTTTGTCCTTTAATTCGCAAGGCCATGTTTAATATGGGTTTCGTAATTACCCGGGTCGAGCCCGTTATTCGGGCTTGCAAAAAAACGTAAATAACGGTTTGGGTAACGTTGTTGCTTTTTTAAAACCTTTTGGGTAGCGTTATCGAAACCTTTAAATTTTAGCAATCGGAATCCGTATCGATTTTTTTAAAGTATTAGTTATGGTTTGGCTTAAAAGCGTGCTTAGCCATTTTAGCTATTTTAATTTTTTTGCTAAAACGCTTTTTGGTTTTTTTTTACCGGCGGGGGTTTAATGGCGGGCTTTTTAGCACCGGCGGCCGTTTTTGCGGGTAATAAAGGAAGTTCGGTATTTGCGGTATTTTTTTTGGCAAAGCATTTCCGAATGTAATGGTTGTTTCGCCCGTATTGCTAGCAATTAATACCGTCCTTTTTTCGGGCATTAATGTTTTTTTGGTTAACGCTATCGAAAACGCCCCGGGTAATGGTCCAAATATTGTTTTTGCAAATTTGGCCGGGGCTCGTTTTTTTGTTTGCCGCGGTACGGGAATTTAAAAATGGGCCGGGGGTTTTTTTAAAGCTTTTATTGCGGGGACGGCCCGCGTTCGAACGTTTCGAAATTAAAGCGGGCTTGCTTTTTCCCTTTTTTTTGGGCTTTTGGTTTTTGTAATGCTTTTGGAATGTGCTTTTATTTGCCGCTATAAATTCGTATGTAATGCCGGCTTTTTAAAAAGATTTTAAAAATTTTTCGTTTACGTTAAGGATGCGCCTTTTATTGGTATAAACGAACCGGTTTATTTCGTTAAAAAGTTTTTTTTTAACAAAGTTTTTAAAGCAAGTACCGGTTAGTTTAATTATTGCATTAAATTGGGTTAATTTTATAAAAAACCCGACGATATCGTTTTTGTATTTAAAATTATCCAATTTAATAAAATTCGTGCGTTTTTTGTTAAAGTTATGGAACGTATTGGCCAGGAACCCAAAGTAAGCGTTTTAGGTATCGGGGAGTCCGTAGGCTTTTAATATCCGTACTTTCTTTACGTAAACGCGTAAAGCGGTTTTTTTAAAGTAAAAACCTACCCAAAAAATTTTGTAGTTGTTGCTCGTAAAAGTTTAAAAAACGGCGCTTATAAAAGCCCGTATTAAGTATTACCAATTTTTAAATTTCGTTTTTTTTTCGTTAAAAACGGGGGGTAATTTAAGTAAAACGGGATTAATTATAAAAATTGCTTCGTACCGGCGAAAAAGGTTTTTGCTTGCCGAAAATAAGCCCGTTTATAGGCGGGGCGAAAGCTTTAAGGGCTAACCGTATCCATTTTTATTTAAATCGAAAAACGAAAGGTTATTTTTTGGTGGTATAAAGGGTTATTGTAACGATATTCCTTTTGGGGGGATTTTATTAATTATACCAAGCATTTGGAAGTAAAAGCTTTTTCGGGCTTATCGATGCATAGCGGTTATAAGTTCGGCAAGGTTTTTTTGCATTGTTTAGCGGTATATCGAATTGGATTGTTTTAAAACGGATGGGGCTATATTAAATGCCGAATTATTTTCGGTTCGCGTAAGGTTGGTTTAAAACGCGAATAACCGGGTAACCGGGATTTGGGCAAAAAAAACCGGGATTGGAAAGGCGCCGGTAGCAGCGGGGGTAATTTAGCAAAAGGCTTAGCAAAAGGCAATTTGTAACAATACGGCCGTTATATTTATTTGCTTGCTTTTGGTTAATCGCCGGTTAATTTTGGCGATAATGTTTTTAGCAAACGCTTGTTATTATTTTAAAGTAATTAAAGGGTAGGCCGTTATAGCTTTTTATTGTTTTTCGAGGTCGTTTAGCCTTTGCTTGGTATGGGCGATTTTATATTCCGTATGGCCCGCCCATTGTTCGACGGTTTCGATAATGTAAGCAAAGCAACGGTGCATATTTTTAATTGCCAATTAATAAATTTCGTAAATTTTGGTTATTTTACTGTAAGCGTATTTGCGGGTAACGTTATTGCTAACGGATTTGGCAATAACATTTTATACTTTGGCGGCAAATAAATTGTTGCTTTTAATTATTTTTTTTTAAAATTCCGGGTTTATGCTTTGGAAATGGTTACGCCGTTTTGGACGATTTAAAAAACCGTTATGTAATTTTGGCGGGTAAAATTGTATTGTTAGCGCAATTTTGCCATTTAAAATTAAACGAGCTCGATAATTTGCAAAAGGTTTTTAATCCCATGCCAAAAGGCCAAAATTGTTTAATAAAATGTTTAAAAACCGTTATAAATTTTTTTTATCCATTAAACGTACGTAAAATCCCCCGGAATACGTAATTGGTAATTTGGCCTTTGGGTAACGAGCAAAAGTTATTTTCCGCCGTTGCTTTGCTAAAGCTCGTTAAAGGTAAAGGCAGTGTAAAGTACGATAGCTCCCGTATTTGGGTTAAGCATAAAGGTATTTTGTTTTTAACGGATTTTATTAAGGGTTTGTAAATGGAACCGTTTGGAAATAGCGGATGGTTTTATTAAGCCGTTCCGTTTGGGCTCCGGGTCGTTGTTTTTAGCTTCGGGGCTTGCGGCGGGCGGTTAAAGCGGTATTTGCCTGCAAAGCTTAGCCGCGGGCTTTTTATTGGTTATAATGGTATTAAAAAATAATGGTTCGATTAAAGGTTGCCGGTTTTCGTTGTACGAAAGCAAAGGTTTTGGTAATGTAATGCGGGAAATTTGTTGGAAATAATTTTGGTAAAGTTTTATAATTACGCCGAAGCTGTATTTTAAAGCGGTAATGGCGTTATTTTGTTGCTGTAATTGTTTAAAATTGCTATTAATTTTTTTGCTAAAGTTATTGCAACGCTTTTTAATTTCGTTAAAAGGCGTTGTATTTTTAAAGGTGGCTTTTATTGCGTGCGTTAGGAAAAAAAGCTAGGTAATTTTTTTTTTTAGCAATTTGTATTTTCGCTTTCGTAAAGCAAGTTTTTATTTGGTTTTTTCGATGGTTTTTTTGTGCTTTTTTCGGAAAGCGGAAATTTGCAATTTGGTAGTTTTGCTTTGGGCTTTAACTTATTGGGTAAAAGCGGTAAGGTTTTTCCGTATAATGTTAATTTGCGAAGCAAAATTGTTAAATGCTTAATTTATTTCGAATTGCAAGCGCTTTTCGATAATATTAATGCGTTTCGCAATAACGCTTTTGTATGCAATTCGTTTTTCCTTTCCTTTTTTTAAAAATTAAACAATGGCTTTGTATTATTAATTTGTTTGTGTAAGGACGGTACGGGTAAAATTACGAGCGTAATCCAAATTTTTTGTTAAAACGTTAACGCGTATTGTAAGGTTTTGTTTAAAATTGCTTTATTGTTTTTCGATTCGGGTAAAACGATTTTTACCGATAAGTTCGAGTTTTGTCGCAGTAAATAAGGTTATTTGCCGCGGATTAATTGGTTTGGAAAGAACGCGTAACCTTTTAAAAGCAAAAGCAAGCTTATTGCTTAAAGCAATAAACGGGTTAAAAGATTTAACGGTAAATTTGGTAATTGTAGCAAGCGGTTGCGGGGTAACCGGTTGCGAAGGCTTGTTAAGGTTTGTTATAACGGCGACCGACGCCAAAATCGGTTTTTAACGTAACTATTGATCGCGCTCGGCTTTTGTAAAGTAATAAATGCAAGCTCGCGAGCTTTAAACGGCAAAGCGGGTGCAATACCAATAGGAAAATATGGGGCCGCCAATTTTAGCAAGGTTTTTTTCGTTTTTAAAGGCAGATTTTGGCGAGCCGGTTTGGTTATTTGCCCAAATGCGTAAAATTGCGGCAACGTTATTAAGGATTTGCGCAATAAAAAAAAGAATTAAACCCATGGAAATAGGTAATGGTTGGAAGTAATTTGGATTAACGATACCCTTTTTTAACAAAGGTATAAATATGCTAAAGCAATTCCGGAATAATAAAAAATTATTTATTACAAAGGGATTTGGGATCGGTTTGGAAAGTGCTTAATATATTAATAATTTTTTAAGGCCTTTAAGAAATGCTTAAAAAAGCAAAATTTCCGGCGAAAACTTCGAAAGATAAGCCTTCCTTATATAGGCTATTTGGGCGCACAAAAAAGATACGTATTTGGGTCGAGGGGAACAAACTCCCTTTCGACCGGGCGCGTAATGCATGCGGGGTCCTTGTGACCCCTCCAGCCGGCCCAACCAACGCCCAGCTTCCTATCGCTGTCCTGTAATTCGTCTTGTTGGCCGTCCGTTCGGCCTTTCTGGGTCACCCGTTCAATCCCCGTGTGACAATACACTACCCACAACACTCTACCTAGTCAGCGGAGCTGTCCACGATGAGGCGCTCTCTTCATGTCCATCTTAGCCCCTCTAGCTGTCTCTGGCATCCAATCATGAGATTGGGTGCACATATGCCTAATTAAACCGGGCATACGTATCTTGCACCAACACCATTTGGTGCATTCCCTGCTGACCCGGGGGACGTGGCGTCGAGGCTCAACATGCAAGCCGGCCTGTTCGCTTGGTATTCCCCGACGAGGAGAAAGCAGGGAGCGAAACTCGCGCTGATACTTCATCTGTTCATAATAAATACATGCCTACCCAGGTAGCTACCTACTTGACTGCCTGTTCTTGGTTTTTTTTCCACGTCACTTATAACTGAATGTCCGACTATTGTCTGGCGCCTTGCGTGTCAGCGTTACTCTTTTTTCCAAATCATGCCTGTCGCACAGCCCCACATGTGACATTGCCCAAACCGAAAAAAAAAAAACTAAAGTCACTGTCGTCGCTCGCTCTGCGGTGGTGCATGCGATGAATTGACAGTCTGCCGCGCAGGCAATGCATAGAATGAGCTGCATTGTCTGTTTTATTGCCTTCTGTTTCAACGCCGTGCCTTTTGCTGTTTTGCCGAGTCCGTGTGAAATGTGACTGTCGCAACATGGAATATTTCGCTTTCGCCTCACCCCGCAGTTGGGCATATGATGACTTTTCAAAGGCTGTGATTGATTGAATAAACATTCGCACAGCTTCCCCGGCGGTTCCCACCTATCTTCTTCTACGCTTGCCTTTGCTTTTTCAAGTGCCGACTTCGTACTCTCCCTTTCCTTTTCAACCCATCTTGGAGTTTCATGCTGTATTTATCAGTGGAAGTTTCGAGCCGACAAGATTTCAAATGCGTGTAATGAAAATATGAAGGTTCGAGTAGTTGATTTACTGTACTCTTTTTGATTCACTGGGGTGGTTGTTGGGTTGTTGAAAGCATATTGTATCATCGCCAGTGTTCTCATCATCACTCGCACAGTTTTATTTCAAACCACAAAGGAGTTTCCTCGATAAAATGCTGTCATATGCTGAGACAGCATACCAATATCAACACTCGATAGCGAGGAAAATCTTGCTCGGACGATATAGAACAAAGTGGTATACAGCAATCAAAAGTTTGAATTGCACATCAGTTTAGCTTGTGCCCTGCTCAAGCGCCAAGATCCGAGTCGTAAACCAGCCTGGCCAATATAAACCACGAATATCGGCTCTGTGAGAGTGCGGCTTTACAGCAACCGAGAAGAACTTTTCAAACTGCCTGAAAGAGTCCTATTGCTTTGTCGGTTTGATAAATCAGGTTAGATCCCAGCTAGCGCATTTTACTTGTCACACAATCGTAGTTACACTGACCAGAGTTGGGCCCATGGCAAGGAGTGCTCGGTATATTGACCGAAATTTCCATTTGAATGTCGGCGGCGCACGGAAATGTAATCTCTGGACTAGATAATTAAATCATTAACCGTTCATTCTCTTTTATATATCTGATTATGTCATATATCCGTGTCCGCTTTGACTCCTGACATCGTTATACGCGTCGGCGATCAAGGGGTATTTCGTCCTCTGCGTATTGGCATTGTTCGCCGCAACGCAGCGGAAAGTAACGATTGGTGCTCTGACCTATCATGTTTTCAATGCCTGGGAGTCCCCAGCTCAGGCAACCCAGCCCAGAACGTGCCTATGTAATTACGGCATCCATGGTGCAGCAAATGTCTCTGTATCCCAGAATGAGAGAAGCCACACTAGGGTAAACACCAAATAGCAGAGGGCAAAACAGAAAGACAAAGAATACAAGGAGCGAAGACGCATGTACCCATTTTCTATATTGCAACATGGTGACCCGGGCGTAGGGTGCATGCCCAGCAGGGAATGTTCCCACGCCGATAAACCAGGCGAAAAAAGAGAAACCAAAGAAAAGGGAAGCATATGCAGGAACAATTGGCAAAGCAAGAATGCATGCTTGCCTGTGTCTGGCGAGCGAGAAGAATTGTTTACACGCCATGAAAGCGCCCAGGGCGGATCGCTGTCCCAAAAAAAAAAAGCAAGCGAACCCCAGCTGGCAGCCTCAGCGAGCCTCAACCTCGGGCCTGTCGCCGACACGCCATGTGTCCTCCTGGCGCGTCCCGGGCGGCCTCCACGCAGACGTGCTGGCACCTCTGCTGCGAGCGCCGCGGCCGGGCAGCTCGTCCGACTTCTTGTCATCGGTCGACCTGGGCAGGGCGTAGCCGTTTACGTAGGGCCGGGGCGGGGCGCTGTTGAAGGCCGGGTGGCTGGTGGAGACGGGGCTCTCGAATATCGGCCCGTTGGCGCCGCCGTCGAGCGCAGACTTGTTGTTGAGTGGGAGGATGGGGTTCTTGGCATCCGCCAGGGACTGGGCCTTGCGGTCGGCCTTGTTGCCCCCCTTGGTGCGGTCGTAGAGGTACAGGCCAAAGACGGTGAGGGCGATGCCGAAGGCCTGCACCTTGGTGGTCGGGCTGCGGAACCAGATCAGGGCTATGGCGATGACGAAGACGCGCTTGATCAGGCTGGCTACCGAGTACGTCACGGGAGACACCATGGACAACAGGACAAAGGCCATGATGTTTTGGCCAAAGTGGAACGTCCCGTTGAAGACAAACTCGACGAACAGGCGGCCGTGGTCAAACGAGCCCGGAGTCGCGTTCAGATCCACCGAGCCGTCGTACAGGAAGTCGCCCAGGATCCCGATGCCCTCGTTCCAGGCCCAGATGGGCACTGTCAGCACAAAGGCCATGCCGGACGAGTAGCAGAGGAGGTTGAGCTTGTCAAGCTTGCGCGAGCGGGCGCCCAGGCCCTCGGCTTCGGCCCGGGCGGCCTCGTTGAAGAGGCGCTTGGAGAAGATGTTCTGCGTCACGAAGATGATGGTGGCCAGCAGGGCGTACAGGATGCCCAGGAACTCGCCGCCCCACTTGTGCTTGCCAGAGCACGCGAGGATGACGCCCAAAGTCAGGGGGATGAGGGACAGGTAAGTGGCGGCGGGGTAGCGAATGTTGAAGATGAGGCGGTAGGCGAAGACTGTGAAGAGCGGGGAGAGGCCCTTGATGGTGTGGACGAGCGACACGGGGATTTTCGAGGTGGCGGTCGAGCTGAGGAGGTGGCCAAAGATCTGGAAGGCGGCTAGAGGGAGGGTAGTGTGGATGACGTCCCTGGTGGGGGGTCTGATGCCATGCTTGAGGGCTGGTATGGCCGCGCGCAGGCCGGGGAAGATGGATGCCAGCCAGGACAGGAGGATGCAGTATGACGAGACGAAGGCGAACTGCACCAATGTCAGAGTGGCGGGCTTGTCGAAGGCGTTGAGGATGGATTTGGACGAAGTGTTGGTCAGCGCCGACGAGGCGTACCACACGACGCAGAGGAACTGTAGGTTGCAGGCCGGGTGGTCAGTCGCAAGAAGCGGACGATGAGGGGTTATGGCGGGCGGCGCACTATGAGTCTAGGGGAGACGGGGGCCTTGAGGGCGTCGGCAATCTCGTGAGCATTTTGGCTGACGCTGCCGTGCCTTTGCCTGATGGTGCGCAAGGCGTCGCCTATGCTCTTCTGCCTGTCGTGGCCGCGACCCATGCTGATGCCGTTCGGGGCGGCGCCCCATCGCACCCCTCGCGCCTGGCCATTGCTCTCGGACCGGGGTCGCCAGTGGCCGCCGTTGGCGGTGCCGTTTCCGTTGGCGTTGCCGTTGGCGTGGCCGTTTGGTTTCATGGGGCTGGCGGCATTGCGAGGGATGCCGCCGACGTCGAGGTCGGGGAACTTCTCCATCGACGCAGTCTAGGCCCGTGTCTGTGTGTCTGTGGGCGGGAGTCGTGGTCGTCGCGTTGTGGTCGCGGTCCGGTCCGCGGTCAAGGGGTGCGGTCTTGGCCCCCCTTTTTTGTGTGCTGTTCAGATGGGATGGAAAACGGGCGGGGAGTCGGGGTCTAGAGACGGAGCTGCGCTTCGCTGTCGGGGCGGGCCTGGTAAAAGGGAGGGTATCGCAATTGGGCCGCATCAAGAGTTGGACTAGCGGGCTAAAGTACGGTTCGCCTGGATCGAGCGGAGGTCGTCGGCGCGGGAGGAGCACAAGGTTATCGGCGCGCGCCATGGATGGAAATTAAAATCCACTGACGGGCACACGTGAGATGGCACTAGATGACAGGTACCTACCAGGTACCTGCCCAGGGATCTAGTACAGCATGTCCAGTATCCTTCATACTCCAAATGCAGGTACCGTGCCCAGACAATGGACCCCTAGAGCTGCTGCTGTACCACTTGGACGTCCGCGAGCTTGGACTTTTGATGGCGACCCTGAGGTCCATCCAGACTGACGAGGAGCGGCGAGGTCACGCACGAGGCGAGCAGCTCAAGATGCGACCATGCCAGGAACTACCTGGGCTGAAGGAAATAAGCCAATCGCGTTTTGAGCTACACCATCTGTTGCCTAAAGTACACACCGTGTATTTAGAGAAAAGTTACATGACAAAGGGCACTCTGCGCAGCGCAATAAATCTTGCGCCTCAAGACGAGTCGAGACGAGGCGGAGGCGGGAGATGGGGCTAGTCAGATTGTCTGAAGCTAGCGCCACGTCCCCGCCACACTTTTGACATTGCGCTGCACAACCACCAGCCACGAAAGCGGCTCGTGCTCACGCGCGCAGGATTTCTTGTATGGCGCCTCGACGTGACTTTCCCGACAAGGCTGCCTCATCCTTTCGCAAACCACGGTTGTCTTCGCCATCGCCCCAAGCTCTCACGCTTGACAGGATCCCGCTACGGGCGACATTGCTGCATTCTCCTCAAACTTACTACCTTGGTCTGTCTAATCAAGTCTGCGATTGTGCGCGCCTCTTTCGACAACGCCCTCGTCGGGCCACACTCGGGGCCAGGCCCCCGTCCCATCCGCGAAGATGGCGGTCCAAAAAATGACCAAGAATCAGATGCGGAGGGCAAAGAAGAAGGAAGAGAGAAAGGCAAAGACACAGGTACGTCATTGTGACAATGCATCCCGCGTTCCATTTTTAACTAACCTTGAGTGGTAGGCTCCGACCGAGGCCCCAGAGCTGGCGACCGCCGACGGCGCTTCAAACGAGACTCCCAAGGATGGTGCGCCGGCAGAACCGGCGGCGGGGGGCCTTGAGGTCAGGAAGGACTCCGGCGTGGCCGATAGGATCCCCGCTGACGGTCCCGTAGACTTGGACGAGGACGATCCGGAGCTGGAGACCATGTATCACGACATCCTATCACGATTCAGCATCCAACTTGACGAGGACGGAGTGCCCAAGAACGCGAACAACCGCACAAAGGCCGAGGTCTACTACCAATACGACTACATGCCGGACGAGGACGGCGAGGCTGGCGAGACCAGCCTCTCCAAGAAGAAGCGCAAGAATCTGAACAAGCTCTCCATCGCAGAGCTCAAGGCGCTCGTCGCGAATCCCGAGGTCGTCGAGTGGCAGGATGTGTCCTCTTCTGACCCGCGCCTGCTCGTTCAGATCAAGGCCCAACGCAACATCGTACCCGTTCCCAACCACTGGTCGCTGAAGCGGGAGTACCTCTCTAGCAAGCGCGGTATCGAGAAGCCGCCGTTCAGGCTGCCAAAGTTCATCGCCGAGACGGGCATCACCGAGATGCGCGACGCAGTTCTGGAGAAGCAGGCAGAACAGACGCTCAAGCAGAAGCAGAGGGAGAGGGTGGCGCCTAAAATGGGAAAGCTGGACATCGACTACCAGAAGCTTTATGACGCCTTCTTCCGCTTCCAGGAGAAGCCGCCGCTGACCCGGTTCGGCGATGTTTACCACGAAGGCAAGGAGTACGAGGCCGATTATCGCTACTTCAAGCCGGGTGAGCTGAGCGATGCCCTTAAGGAGGCTCTTGGCATGCAGCCCGGCTTCCCCCCGCCGTGGCTCCTCCAGCAACAGCGCATGGGCCCGCCGCCTTCGTACCCGACGCTCAAGGTTCCTGGTCTGAATGCGCCCCTGCCGCCGGGCGCGTCGTGGGGATTTGTGCCAGGCCAGTGGGGCAAGCCGCCATTGGACGAGTACAACAGGCCCATCTACGGAGGTGATATCTTTGGTATCATGGCTGCGAACCCGGGCGCCGCCCAGACGCAACAGCCCGGGGCGCAGCAGCCCTCGGGTGAGCCTGTGGAAAAGTCCCTTTGGGGAGAGCTGCAGCCTCCCCAGGACGAGTCTGAGGAGGAAGAATCGGACGACGAGGACGAAGAATCGGATGACGATGGCGATGGTGGTGATATCGAGATGCCCAGTGGACTTGAGACTCCCAGTGGCTACAGCACGGTGCCTGTCGATGGCCCGAGCGGTGTCGAGAGTAGCATGGCCGGCGAGTTTGACCTGCGGAAACAGCGGCGCGGGTTCGAGACGGAGGAGTCATCGGCCGCCCCGCGGTCGGCCTACACAGTCATTGCAGAGAAACAGACGCAAGCGACGGGCTTTTTCGGTAGCGACAGGGTGTACGACCTGTCCAAGGCGCGTGGCGCAGGCGGGCCGCCTGTGCTGGGCCAGGATGACGACAGCGGCCGCAAACGGAAGAAGCCCGGCGATGTGGACGTGGCGCTGGATCCGGATGCGCTCCTGAGCCACGACGGCATCAGCAAGGACGAGCTGAGGCGCAAGTTTGAAGAGGGACGCAAGGAGGAGGGCGTCGGGTCCAAGTGGCAATATGACGCTGATCTTAGCGAGATGATTGCTCAGGAAAGCCGCAAGAGACAGAAGCTTCAGGAGGAGAAGAAGGGTGGGGGCGAGAAGAAAAAGGAGGCAAAATACCGGTTTTAATTTGGATATGGCCAGGCCCGCTCCGTCTTCCAGCTTTTGTATTTTATATTTGTACCTTTTTTTTCGGCGCCTTGTGTTTCTTTTTTAGGGGTCCAGAGCGATCAAAACCGCCAGTTCAATTCCTCGGGCTAGGTGCCTCATCTTTCTGTCCTCTGGCCTCTCTGACCCAACGGTGATATGGGCTGTGATTGGGATCCTTTGAGCTCATGAGTTTGCGTATGTTGTCCAGCCTTGGATTACAGCCTTGGATTCCATCATTCTCTCACAAAGGGGCTGGCATGCCCGACCATCTCGTACTTGGGGCCCTCTGTTCCTTTTCTTGTTTCTAATTCCTTTGCTCTCTTCTGGCTGCCTTAGTGTGAACCTCGTTTGACCAGGCAGCTAGTGAAGTGACACATTCTTGGTTGACCGCGGATTCTGATCATAGTCGAGATACTTCTGTGTCAGCTGTTACAATACCACGGTGGCTTTCGCCACTGACTGTCCTAGCCATCACCGAGACAGATCATCTGCGGCACACGCTTCTGGTGTTCGGTGCCGGCTTCTATTACATGTATAGGGGCTTCGCACACTCGAGTTCATGCTCGCTCCGTCTGGGATCAATCCCAAATCTTATTCTCTTGTCTCTCAAACCCTACCTTCTCAAATCCCCCCTTCACCAGCATCGCCGCCTCGCGAATGAGCCTTGCTGTTACATGTGTAGTATTACCTGCGGCCACTCAGTGCCCGTTCCTCTCGACTTTGTACATGTTAACTTGGCATCCTCGCCGCCTGCCGACACTGTTAGCCCTTGCGGCCTTCGCGGACTGACCTACCACTCCTTTGCCACTCCTTACCCCGGGTTCCAAAGATGTGCTCGGATAATGGCAAAACCTATGAAGCGCCCGAAAGGCCACGATCAATGCTCCTCAGGAGGCTATTGAAGCTCCTCATCCGGCAGGCACACAATCGGGACCCCACTTGCCAACACTTCCATGGGCGGACATATAAATCTCGTGTCCCGTGAGAAAGAAGCCCTGATTTTGATGCGGTCAACTCAAAAGTTGAACGCTTCTTGGAATCGGGTCTAACCCACTTGCAATTGAAAATGAGTGACTTGGATTTTGCCGCGATGCCTATGTGACCCAACTGCAACTCACATATACAACATCATGCAGACTGGAAGGGGAGGGCATGCGGTATAATTAACCGCTCTGGATATCCATAGACAGGAACTGCCCCCCGGATTAACCTACCGACAACCTCTTCCAAGATTCATATTGACATCCCCCTCAGAACCCGCTCAGGGTGGCCTCAGGAGCATGATAGAAGAGGAACAAGGCACTACAAATAGGCAGTATAATTTTCAACACTCGTAGCCCAGACGCGGCCCATCACACCGAACTCAACATCCCGAGGTCGCGATCGCAATCGACTAGCTAGAAACAACGTCGCCGCGCCGGTCCGAACCGGTACCAAAGCATCTACAACTTCGTCGAGTGAAAGGCAATGGCAGACGAGGCCTTGCCGGCAGCAATGCTGCCACCCAAGCAATCAGAGGACGAAGCAAACAGAGGCCAAGAGAGGAAGACGACACTGAAGCTACCGGGGAGGATGCGGCGCCCCACGGCAGCGGAGATGGAGAAGTTCAAGACGCTCACCGCTATACAGATGACAGAGGCCAACACAGAATATGCTGAGAAATTGCAGGCGGGTGAGGCCGACATCGCCGCGATGGCAGCGGTGTGTCTGCACTACTGGCAGGAGAAGCCGGAGCAGTGGCCCGCCTTGGTGGCAGCGTACCGGCACGGGAGCGAGCCCGGCCTGGAGAGGCACCAGGCATGGAGCTGGCTGAAGGGCAATGCGGACGTCGACAAAATCCGCCAATGCTTCGCCCAGGCGCGGAACACGGTATGGGCCAGAAAAATGGCATGGGCCGCACTGAGGGTTGTCAACCCCACGATCATCCCGAGCCGCAACAAAATCAGGTTGTTCGATCTTTTAAGCAAGGTCAGCTTAGCCAAAGCCATCGCGACGAACATGAAGGAACCCTTTAAGGTGGTGGAGTGCAGGCTCAAGGCGGCGAGGATGCAGGCAGTCCTGAGGAAGGCGCCGAAAGCTGCAGACTTTCCGGATTTCGACAAGCAAACGGCGGAATGGATTTCTGGTATTCTCACATGGGCACAAGATGCGCAAGATCCAGTTATTCTCACAGGCCACCTTAGACCCCCGGAGAGCTACCCGAACCCTATGGCCATCCCGAAATGGGTGGAAGCCAGGAAGAAGGGAACCGATCCGGTGCTGACGGCAGCCTTAGAGGCCAAGCTGGCAGTCAAGACGGCGTCCGAGTTCGCAAGACAGGCGGAGCAGCAGGCAGAGGAGGCAGAGAGAGCGAAGGACAAGGCGACGAGACAGGCCGCCGCCATGGCCGCCGGAGAACGAGCCACGATGGCCGAGGCAGCGGCAGAGCTGTCACGGAAGGTCGCGGAGCTTACTCGTGAGTCGAGGGGCAAGGAAATCGAAAATGCGGAAAAGTACGCAGCCGACGCCAGCGCGAGCGCGGCCCAGGCCAGAGCACACGCGACGAGAGCGGAGAACTCCGTCAAACCTACAGAGCGGGTGCTCAACGGTGTCACCTACGCGGCGGAGCTCGCATCGTGCGTGACGAAGCCCAGCAAACTCGACAGCCTCTGGAAGATCCACCCCAGCAAATACGCGGGCATCATCGACTGCCTCGACAAACACGAGGACATGCTGAACGACCTTACCACCTGGGCGACGACAGTCTGGAGGGCTGTGAGTGCCCCAAAGTCCGTGAAAGAGATGGATGACATGCTTCGTGAGCTCGAGATGGCAGCGGGTCACGCCAGAGCAGAGAAGCACGGGGCCTCATGGGAGATGGAGTTTCTCAGGAACAAGCTCACGGGCGACACCCGTGTGTCAGACGCAATGCTTGCGGTGTACCAGTGCGTCGTGGTGAACCTGATGCCCATCGTCCTGGCGGTGCGACTGGGATGCGCCAGCGGAGCAGACCAGGTCGCAGGAAATCTGCCCTGGGACGACATCCTCGGTCGAGACTGGAAGCAGTACGTCAAGACAAAGTTCTATATGGATCAGGTCCAACTAAACAGCCGCCAGATATATGTGCAGTATATCGAGGAGGGACTGCATCTGGTGAAGCACAAGGAGTGCGAGAAGAGACCGAGGGAGATGACTCCTCTGGAGCGCGCAATCGAGAAAAGCCTGGAGGAGTCCAGGATGGTGGCAAGAAAACTCGCGATGGAGATCGAGTTGCAGACGATGAAGCAGAACAAAACACAAGGAGCGGACCAAAAAGTCAAACGAGAGGACGACTGACGGGGTGGGGCGACATGCCGCAACAGCAGGAATCCATGTACGTGGCGGCAGGCAGAAAGACACTGGACTTTGATGAGGATATCGAGAGGTTTGACAGAAAGGGTAGATGATGGGTCCTTATTAGAGGCACAGGAGGGTCCAGAGACATGTGCTGGCGCACTTGTTACTCCGCACAGACCCTCCACTACTTAGTTGGGTGCTTTGGTTGACAGACTCTGACCGAGGAGGAAGATCGTCGAGTTAGATGCTTTGGGTGGCGTCTTTTGATCGAGGGGGAGGTCGCTTAGTTAATTAGATCCTTTAGTCGGCCAAACTCTAATCGAGGGAGATTACCTCTATCTGAAGCGCCTGCGCCCCCAAGCTCCCTACTGGGAGTTCACGATGCGGCCTCAAGGATGGGGCTTGTAAATTGAAAGCTACTTGCTCGAGATTTCCAACTCCGTGATACCTTGAGTGTTGGAAGTCGCCGGCTCACATCCGGAGCTTTTAGCGAAGCTCCCGGGGTTTGTCAAGAGCCGATTTAAAGCCAAAACCACAGGTCGCTCGCGTGATTGGGTATCAGATTGCTGGTTCTCAAACGGCTCCCTCATATCCTCATCCTCTCGGCCGCGAGGCGGTGACGTGTATGTTCAATGCCAGCGATCCCAGTCCGTCCTTTTGTCTTCATGTCGCATCGCTGCGTGTCATCGTAGCGCGACGCCACACCATACTCATCTTCGTAGATACCGGACACTGCTCGGGCGGCCGGTGCGCCGTTGAGGCCGCGACAACACGAGTCTCGGAGTTGGGTGTAGTAGGTTCAACGGCGGGCAACATAAAGACAAGCTCCTAAGCTTCGAGTGTAACAGGTCGATGGTTCTGTCCCTGGGGAAACATAGCAGACTTGCGGGGGGATTGCATATGGAAGGGAAAGCGCCGCAAGCACGTGGACACCCAAGTAATCATCGCGGGTTTCATTCAGTGCACATTTGTGTTTTCCGTTTCATAGTTGGTGTTTATTTTCGTATGCCTTTACCCTACATCCAGAGACGTACGGAGTGTGCCTGGAGGACAAAAACATCAACGAGGTTTTCATTCTTTCCATCACGCCTTGAACTGTGGCGGGCCGATCCCTGGCCCATACTCGACCTTGTACATATACGGCCTTCCGCCACCAAATAGGCAGGTAATCCCCTTTTCCTCTTCGCGCGACAACAAGTTATTCATGCAAGAACTAAATGTTGCACTGAGGCCGTTGAGGCCTAACTTTCAAAAACTGGCTGGCACATTAGTAACCGCTTTTCACCACAAACAGGACACGCCTGAGAGATTAAGCTATAATAAGGCCGCTAGTAAGCACCAGGATGGAATTATCCTATAAGCTAAAAAAAAAAAAAAAAAAAAGGTAAAAGAAAGGACCATTTCTCGAAGGGAAACTGGCTTCTTTTACATATATAGGGGTTAACGTGGCCCAGTCGTAATTTCCCAAGCCGCGGTCTGTAGCGGTGACCAGGCGCTGGCCAAGCATCAGCCTGCCGTTAGATTGGCCAACCGGAAAGTTGTTATCGCTTTGGAGTCCCTCGTATCATAATGTTGGTAGGTCCAGGAATAAAAGGCGGTGGGGGAAACTGAAAAAAATGCTATCCTCTGATGACGTCGATGGTGGAATAGTAAGAGTTGGCACGCTGTTGCGTGCGCCAGACACCGAGGGCTTGATATATCCATATCAAAACATGAAAGGCTGCCACAGTTGTCTGAATGAAAATTCGCTGGTGGCGATGCTCGCACACTCGTTCGTTGCTGTGTACCAGAAGAGTCCATCTTCACGGGATCCCCGCGTCCGACGCGCCGAGTGGTCTCATGACACCAAAGACCTCCAGAGTGTGAGGTCAGCCTTGAATACTTACAGGTGTCGCGGAAGGACTCGGGCTACGACCCTACGTGGTCAAGTAAAGCACATTTCGGAACAAATGTCATAGCTACCCTACACCCCTCTTTAGTCTATTAACCAGTCCTCCACCTCAATGCCCATACTCCGACCTAGAGGACGGATAACGTCCCAGCCAACATTAGCCCTCCACCTGCCGCCGTGATCTGTTGCATCACCTCCGCCTACACGCGCGAGCAGGCGCAGGCTAGACAGGGTGGCAACGGCCATTGCAACGTCGCCGTCCACTGTGCTTCCGGCACCTTTGGTGTGATAGTCAATGTCTCGGTTGGTGCCCGCCGCCCACTCATTGCGCAAGGCGACGAAGATGGCCAGCATACGCTCGAAGACGAAGGCATGGGCTCCAAGCAGCCTGCGGGCAATCTTGCGGTGCTTGCTCCGGGGCCCGCCGGTGCCGCCCGAGAGGCCGCCGCGCCGCCGACGCCGGCCGTGGTAATGGGTTGAGAAGAGGGTTAGGTCGTGCTTGGTTGCGTTGTGCGAGGCCAAATATGCCGATACCAAGAGCAGACGCGCAGTAGTCGGGAGCAGACTGGAGAGGTCTGTCGCCGCCGTCGGTTGCTCTGGGGCGGCGGTAGTGCCCCTGACCGAGACCCTCCTCTCCGGCGCTGCCGTCGGCGTTGGCGCAGAAGCAGTGCTATCATTCTCAGACGGCTTGTCAATGTCCCCGTTACTGGTGCCATTGGGAAGGGTGCTGCTTCCTTCGCTGGCCCCTTCTGCTGCTTCCGTTGCCGGCACCGGCTGATGTACTGCGGCGATGATGCCCGGTGCCAGTATCTTCTCATCCTGTAGATGAGCACGTGCGGCAACAAGTAGCCTGGTGAGCTCGCGCGGTCCGTGAGTTTCGGCGAGAATCGGGGCGGTAAAGCGCGGCCATAGTGTGAAGCAGGCCTGTTGGAGGGCGGGAAGGGTGCGAGCAGCAGCCCTGCCGAGGGATTCGTAAACTGGGCCGACAAAGCGCGGCCAAAGATCTGCCGCGGCGTCGGCGTCCAGGCCGGCGACGGGAGGCGGAGGGGAGGAGGAGAGTATCTCGATAAACTCGGCCTTGGTGTAGTTCGGAAAGTGTAGGTGCGGCACCATTGTCATTTTGAGCGCGCCAGGCGGGGGACACGTCATTATAAAGGTGGTTGTGAGGTTTGGTATCTAAAGGGCAAGGGCACAGGCAACCATTCAGCGTGGGTTCAGAGTCCCTTCAATGAAAGAAGAGTCGAGATCTTACTATTTCCGACAGGCGGGCGAGTGCTGGGAGCATTGTTGGCGGAGCTTCCCTCTGGCGGTCGATGCCGTCGAACACGAGCACGAATCTCCAGCCCTCGGGGCTCATATCAGGTGACCCGTCCTCGTCGGGCACGCCAGGACCGCCGCCTCCTTTGATCATCTTGGCGAGCTCGACCGTTAGCTGCGAGAGGTTTTCACAGCGACCTGCGGGTTCTGGCCAGCGCAGGGCAGTGGCGACCTTTGCGATGGTGGTCTCGAGCAGGTGGCGGCCGGTAACGCACTCGGCGGAGCTGACAATGGCGTAGGCTAGATCGGCGCCGTCCTCGGTCATGCGCTCCAGCACCGCCTCAGTAACGACGCTCTTGCCGGTCGCCTCGCTGCCGTGGACAACAAGGTTGCGGCATGGGGCGGCATGGGGCTAGATGAGAGGGAGCCAGGTTAGCAGCTGAGCGGATATGGAAGCGAAGCTCGCGGGGGGACAGCAAAGGATAACTCACATATAACAGCGTCGCCAGGGCTCGAATCTGGGGGTCGCGGCAGGGAAAGGACTGTGACAGAGCCGTGAAGACGAGCTCGTCGGGGAGACTGAAGAGAGAGGACGTCATGGCTTTGGCCCTAAGACTGTGGGCTTGGTTGTCGTGTGCATCGACTCGATCGTTGGGTGCTGGCGATAAGCTGTCGTAGTAGCTGGTTGTCGCATCATAGCGCGCACGACGCGTCGAACTCGATCAATCGATTGAAGTCGAGTCGAGTGCAGGGGTCCTCGCAGCACATGGCCGGATCCACCTTTAGGCCCATGGTGTCGGGATTTGGGGATGGGGACTGGACTCCACCACCCCGCTGAGATACCCGCCTAGCTGACTTCACTTACTCACATCGAGGCTTCTCAAACAGTATCTCGCATCACCCTTGACATTTGCGCGTCAGGTTTAAACGAGACAGAGGCTCTACTCACAACTGACTTGACAACCTGGACTGGAAGCGCAATTGTCTCCACAAATATTGCCTGCAAATAGGTAGGCGCTTAGCCCTGCTGGCCCTGCAAGGGATAGACTAGGCTAGGCTGCATTACAAGGATTCGACACTGCCACTGCAGAATGACGCTAGCACTCGTCTAGTTCGCCTCAGGTATATCCCCCCGTTTGTCTCGCATCGGATTTTATAGACAGCAACTAGTTTGCTTGAACGCACCCGCCACAGGATCACTAAAGTCTGCGGGAACAAGAGACTATGCCCGACGAGAAGCCCTACCACGCAAAACGCCCGCATCGCAAGTCTAGGGCCGGCTGCATCAGCTGTAAGCAGCGCCGCGTCAAGTGCTCTGAGGACAAGCCCCGCTGTAGGGCCTGCACTCTGCGCAAGGAGGACTGCCGATACCCATCAGCTACCTCTGCCGAAGCCAGCGGCGGCCACCAGCGCTCGCCCAGCACCGTCCGTTCCGAAGACAATCATGATTCCTCGGCCGAACGGCCCCGGCAGCGCCCGGCAACCGGCACCCTCGTCAGCCCCCCGGAGAGCCCCGCCGACAGCGAGCCTGAGTCATCTGGTTGGGAGCTGCTCGAGTGGGAGCCCGAGCCGGACCCCTTACCAGCCCCTGTCTCTGAGCTCATGCCCCCGGCCACGTTTGCTTCCGGCGTCGACGACATGAAGCTGATGTGGTTCTACACCGTCAGGACAGTAGGTGCCGACCAAGGGCGGTGACTCCACATGCGCACTCGTGTAATGGAAACTAATACCACGTAGTTCACGTCCTTCTCTGTCGAAGCCGGCTTTATTCCGGACATTCACAACATGTTGACCATCACAATACCGCAGTACGCGCTCGGCAGCCCTTTTCTGTTGAACGCGCTGCTTGCCATCTCAGCCTTCCAGATGGACGCCGAGTCTGGCGACAAGATCCCCGAGTCCCGCATCATGACGTACCGCACAAAGGCCGTCCAGGGCTACCGGCGTGCCGTCGTCGAGGCCAGGTCCGAGACCTTCCCCGCCCTCATCGTGAGCTCACTCTTCCTCTGCGTCCTCTCCAGCCAGGACTTCCGCGAGCCCGACGCCAAGCCCTTCTTCATCCTCGACTGGATCGTCGTGTGGAGGGGCATCGGCATCATGACGGAGCTCGTCACGCGCCAGACCCTCGTCGACACGGGCTTGTTCCTGCTCTTCTCGCGACCGCGAACCGACCGCGACGAGGGCGCCATGCACACCCCGGGGAACCTCCTCTTCATGGTCGCCTCCATCCCCGAGGGCGACCCGGACTGCGAGTTCCGCGACTCCTACTACGACACCATCAAGGTGCTGGGCGCCCTCTACATGGACCTCAAGGCCGGCTACGGCCCCGTCATGGAGCTGCGCATCATCACCTTCTTCACCTTTTTGCCCGGGCCTTTCGTCGAGGCCGCCAGGCTCAAGCGCCCGCGCGCCCTCGTCATCATCGCCTACTGGCTTGCCTTCTCCAAGCTCTCGCGCGTGTGGTGGATGCAGGGCATCGCCCGGAACGAGATCTGCCACATAGACCGCCACGTCGGCGACGAGTGGGCCGCGCTCATGCAGGTGCCGCTCGCCGCCAACAAGCTCGACGACGCCACCGAGATCGGCCGGCTCCTTCTCGGCAACCATGCCTGGACCCCGGTCGAGCACTCGCTCTCCGACCTGGCTGCTGACAAGAAGCCAACTCTTGTATATGACGACGGCGGGCTGGCCATCGACGTACTAGCTCTGCGCCGTTTCGGCAACGAGCCGCAGTGACCATATGGGTACTACAAACCTATCTAAATAATAAAGTCTTTGGTAACAATATAAATAAACATTTAGAAGCTAGACCCTTGGATGGTTGGCCTGGCAGATGACAGGCTAGCGAAGATCGAAGCAATCGTCCTCATCGAAGTGGAAGTTGAAGGCATCACGGCCCCTCTATTGTTGGGGGTGATACCCACCACCAGTGCCAACCGGCTGGTTCATCGTGGACCGAGCATGGCTACACCATATCTTAGATGGGTATGGTGTGCTGGACTCCGCTTCCTGACGCTGGGCTCGTCCCACCTGTGTCCGGGCCCGCCTCCTCGGCCTGGAAACATACTTCACCCTTCGCTTCCACGCTTTCCCCCAGCCTGTTCCCTCCCCGAATTCCAGCACATCGTCACCCGGGAGTGTGACACAGTTGGATAGATCTCTCTCTATACTCATGTCATCCTAGTGGAGGGAATGTTAGGGGATCTCAACCCAAGCCCGAAGAGCTCGGGGCGGTGGCTGCCGAGTGCGCATAGAATGTGAAGGCCGGGTCAAACCTGCACAAGATGGCTGCGAAAGCGGCAGACCCTGTGGCCTTCAACAAGAAGGAGCTCGCGTGTGTGCTAGGCTACCAGGAGAAGAATCTTGACAAGGTCAGTATCTGGGCCACAACCAGCGAGCGCCACCTGCCCACCAAGGCCCCACGCCAACAAGGCCGCTGGTTGTTGTGAAGGCCCCCTCCCACCAAGTACGCCATCGCTGGTGCTGCCGTCCTCCAGAAGGCTATTGAGGAGAAAAGGCTCCACTGCCCCATATGCAACTAGGTACTCAGCAGGGAATTAGTACGGCCTCGGCGACCCACAAGAGGACGGCGAAACACAAGGTGGCCACGGAGGCTGCCCAGCTTTAGGAGCGCTCATCGTATGTTTTCTAAGAAGGAAATGTAATAGGAAACGTCGCTACTAGGGTCGCGTACTTCATGCCATCCTAAAATAAAGTTAAAAATGCCTTTTGTACTGTTAAATTTGAAAAGGGGTTCCGTGGCGGTGTTGATTTTATGCTCCTAGGTACCGTTTAGTTTTAAAATGGAAAAGGGAGAAGGGAAAACGAAAAAGAAAGCGGGAAAGGGGAGGGGAAGCTCGTCCTTCGCTTTCTCTGCCTCATTTGCCTGCTGCTTCGCCTGGTATCTTACAAACTCGACCGCCGTTTCGGCTTCCGACCACGCCAGTCTTTTTTCTTTCCTCAACCTCCTACCTGAATTTGCTACACCACCAAACCTTCCACCACCCGCGCCTAATCATAACTCACCGTCAATACTCTATACCGTTGTCGAGATCGCCATATGGGGCGCCGGCTCGCGTTATTGTACTTTACGATAATCGAGATAAAACGGACATGAGCGACGAAAAGATTCAGCAAAACCTGCATAATCCCCGAATCCTTTCACCGACCAAAAAGCCCAAAACCTGTAGTAAGCTTCTTCAACTCCATCGTTGATCACAAATTACTGCTTGAATGGACTTTCACACCCGAAATCCTCAACCTGTCGCCCCCAGCACTATCTCCGACCAACGATGAAGGATATAGGTGGTGTTCCGTCCGCGACGACGTGGTCTGGGCACCACTTGTGCCGGTATATGCCTCTGTACCCGGCAGCTCTAACGGCCATATCCCTTTACGTGCCGTGAACGTGCCCTGTTGCTGTGATTTTGAGGGTATGACGAGCACTGTCATATACATGCCATCCCTCTAGCGAAAGGGAATATGGGATGCCTGCTGAGGTCAAGCTTGAACCAAAAGCAACTATTCAAAATCACCATCTCGCACTCGCAGGCAGCAAAATCAGAATAATTACTTGGATTCGTTGGTACACAGCCCACAAAGGGAACTAAATTGAGCTAAGAAGCTTCCCCGGGACTGACCTTGATCAACGCTATACACAGGTCCCCATCCCTAGCCTCCAAGCCAGCCATCCACCGACTTTTATCTGATATCACAAAGAGGGCCTCTATCCGTCTAAGCGTTCTTCTCCAGATCCGCCAGGATCTTCTCACCCTTCTCACGCGCCGACGCGAAGTTGCCAACCATGTAGAAGGCACCCTCGGGCAGGTCGTCACCCTCACCGTTCAGGATGGCCTTGAACGAGGCGATGGTGTCCTTAAGGTCGACCAGCTTGCCCTCGAAGCCAGTGAAGACCTGAGCTACGGTGAAGGGCTGGCTCAGGAAACGCTGGATCTTGCGGGCACGCTCAACCGTGAGCTTGTCGGCCTCCGACAGCTCGTCCATTCCCAGAATGGCAATGATGTCCTGCAGCGACTTGTACTCCTGGAGGATCTGCTGGACACGAGTGGCGATGTCGTAGTGCTCCTGACCAACGATACGGGGGTCCAGCATACGCGACTTCGAGTCGAGAGGATCGACGGCGGGGTAGATACCAAGCTCGGAGATACCACGAGACAGCACAGTGGTGGCGTCCAGATGGGCGAAAGTGGTGGCGGGAGCAGGGTCTGTCAGATCATCGGCGGGGACGTAGACGGCCTGGACAGAGGTAATCGAGCCCTCCTTGGTCGTCGTGATACGCTCCTGCATACCACCCATGTCGACCGCGAGGGTGGGCTGGTAACCGACAGCCGAAGGGATACGGCCCAGCAGAGCCGACACCTCCGAACCTGCTTGAGTGAAGCGGAAAATCTTAAGGGATGTTAGTTTTCGCGCCGAAGGCTAGGGAGAACTGGGGGGAAAAGAAAGGGCACCAGGGAATAATACGTTGTCAATAAAGAGAAGGACATCCTGTCCCTGGCTACGGAACTCCTCGGCGACAGTCAGGCTAGTAGTGGGTGCTGAGGTGTTAGCTATACTTGTGAAAGTCCAAATTGTAAAGGAGGAAGGATCTGCAAATTTGTGAAGCAAGGGATCAAGGTGTGCGTGATTCGCACTTACCCAGTAAGAGCGACACGGGCACGGGCTCCGGGGGGCTCGTTCATCTGGCCGAAGACAAGGGCGACCTTGGACTCGCCCTCAAGCTGAATGACCGAGGTCTCCTGCATTTCGTGGTACAGATCGTTGCCCTCACGGGTGCGCTCACCGACACCGGTAAAGACCGAGTAACCACCGTGGGCCTTGGCGATGTTGTTGATGAGCTCCTGGATGAAGACGGTCTTGCCGACACCAGCACCACCGAACAGACCAATCTTTCCACCACGAGCGTAGGGGGCCAGCAGATCGACGACCTTGATACCGGTGACGAGAATCTCGGCAGTGGTCGACTGCTCGGTAAAGGCGGGAGCCTCGGCGTGGATGGGCAGAAACTTGTCAGACTTGATGGGGCCGCGCTCGTCAATCGGGTCGCCGGTCACGTTCATGATGCGGCCAAGGGTGGCATGGCCGACAGGGATGGTAATGGGGGCGCCAGTGTCCTTGGCCTTAGCGCCACGGGTCAGACCCTCGGTACCTGGTATTCGACGTCAGAACAGATTTCGCCGCCGAATTTGCGCATCATTTGCGGGCTATGAATAAACTAACCGTCCATGGCAATGCAGCGGACGACATTCTGTCCCAGATGTTGCTAAAGTGGGAAAATGAGCCCTGTTAGCCTAATGCCGATGGAAAAGAGGGGTGGGAAGGCGCGGGGAACCTAGGAGCCCTGTCCGGATGGCGCTACTTACCGCGACCTCAAGGACGAGCTTCTGGTTGTTGTTGGTGGTCTCCAGGGCGTTCAAGATGGCCGGGAGCTTGGCGCCCTCGAACTTGACTGAATGCAAGGAAGTTCGGTTAGCCCAGCTTCCTCAATACCGAAATGGCCACTACCAAAGCTCCAGATACTCGCGCAAGGCTGAGACTGCCTCCACAACACTGATCAGGGAGGTGTTCGCTAACCATCCACGACGGCGCCAATGACCTGAGAAAGAGTTGAACTGCATTAGCTTCCGAAGGGCTCGCTCCCAGTGGTAACGGGGGGGTCTCGGGGACGCCACGGGTCGTTCGGGATTCGGATCGGGCTCACCTGGTAGATCTTGCCATCACCGACACCGGTGGTGCTGGCAAACCTGGAGCCGGCCGTGTACTTGGACAGCCTTAGGCTGGCAGGGCGGAGGGCGCTGCGCGAGACCGCTGGGCGAGCCGCCCTGGCGATGGACGAAATGCCGCTGCGTGCGGGCGAGGCCGGAGGGGCTTTCTGTCAGCTCAATTGGGCGCAATTGGTGGTTTTGCGCCTAACGAGGCCGTCGGGCCGGCAGCTACTGACCTCTTGAACATCTTTTCAGATGGTTAAGAACGACGGGAAATGGGAGTGGAGAGGTGGTGGTGATGGGTTTGTTCAAAGAACTTTCGAATTCCCAGGCAAAAGCTTGCGAGGTTTTGCGGAGTCCACCTACTCGGAAGAAGCTGCTGTCGCCTTGGTGCCTGGGGCAGCAACATTTCCGAGCCCCATCGCGCCTTGGGCCTGAGCGTCAACACGACTTTTCCCGAAAAGTGGACCCCGCGAAACCTCCGTTTTTCCGAATGTTGCGCTCAATGGACAAATTCAAGCTGCATCATGCTGCCGAATATGGACTGACGTTTACTCCCCACGAATTGTTGCAGATTTTTGTCAAAAGGGGTCCACAACAAACTGCCCCTAGATAGGTGGTATACAAGGAATATTGGCCTCAAGCAGGTTCATGAGCCTGCGAGCAATCACAGTCGTCGTGCTATCCATGTAACATCAAATAACTGTGTATTTGCTACTGCCCATATAGCCTTTCCCAGAACCTTTATTTCCCCTACCACCTAGGCAGCCAGTCAATCATGCTCTTCTGCACTGGTCTACACAAACTCCTATTTCGACCTCCTGTTCTCAATCATACCCTCCAGCATTCAGCCACCAACGCCCTGCCCGGTGTGCTTCTGGAAGCACCTAGAGCGAAAATTCACTCCTTTGCCAGAACCTGAAGCGGGTGGATTGGTGTTAGCCTCGAATTTCCGGTAACAAGGAGGCGCAAGGGCAGGGGTACTCACAATGGCCGTACGGTTCGGCAGGTAGATGTGAGTCCAGTTCTTCCTGCCATTCCAATCCATGGGAGTGGTGAAGAAGCGAGTAGACTTGTCGACGCGACCGAATCCGCCATAGGCCTTGTCGTCTGTGTCCAACACAATCTTGTACGTTCCAGGCTGTTCGATCCCGATCCTGTAGTCGGCAAAACTTCGGGTCGTGTTGAAATTGAAGGCAAACACCAAGCCTGCGCGCTCAAAAACGACGATCTTGTCTCCCTCGTGCTTCAACGATATGTAGGCCTGTGGCGCATGCAGCCAGCCGTACTTGGCCTCGGTGGTGTTCATGGCCGCGTCGAAATCGTTGAGGAAGTGGTACCTCAGCAGACTGTCCTCGGTGAGGTTGAGCTGCCGCCTCGCGTACCAGAACGAGTTCTGGTTACCTTCACGTGGGAAGTCCAGCCATTCGGGATGGCCGAACTCGTTGCCCTCGAAGTTGAGGTAGCCCTCGCCTCCAAGTCCATGCGTGATAAGTCGGATCATCTTGTGGAGCGCCATTCCCCTCTCAATAACCGGCGTCAGCGGCGTCATGGTCGACATGTGTGTGTACATCTCAGCATCGCATAAATGCATCATGAGCGTCTTGTCTCCGACAAGCCTGCTCGAACAATGTGAATGGTTAGCGGCCGACATGTACGAGAGAGATCAAGGAGGATCAGCAGCAGGAGCAAACACTCACGCCTGGTCGTGGCTTTCGCAGTAAGCGATCGTCTTTTCGCCGTGACGCCGGTTGGTCAGGGTCCAGCAGATGTCAGTAACATCCCATTCCTCATCCTTCTTCTCCTTGAGGATCTTGATCCACATGTCCGGGATAGCCATGGCAAGACGGTAGTCGAATCCCACTCCACCATCCGCGTCGGGCAGGCAGAGCGTCGGCATGCCCGAAACGTCCTCGGCGATTGTAATGACCTCAGGGTACAGATCATGCAGCATCTTGTTGGCCATCATCAAGTAGACCACAGCTTCCTCGTCGACTTCAGCGCCAAAGTACTCATGATAGCCTCCGGAAAAGCCGCTGCAAATGGTGTCAGTGATTGGTACTCGGCAGCTTCCCCCCACACTTAACACAATCGGGACGGGGAGAGTGACGCCGTCACACATACCTGCCAATGCCGTGGTGGATATACAGCATGCTGGTGACACCGTCGAACCGGAAGCCATCAAAGTGGTACTCGTCCATCCAGAATCTGAGGTTGCTAAGCAGGAACCTCAGAACTTCGTGGTGGCCGTAGTTAAACAGCCGGCTGTCCCACTGGTCATGCCTTCCCTTGCCACCTTCATGGAAGTACTGGTGGTCGGTGCCATCGAACTCGTTGATGCCATCTAGGACATTCTTGGAGGCGTGACTGTGGACGACATCAAGCAGGACCACAAGCCCCATGCTGTGGGCTGTATCGACCAGCTCCTTCAGGTCCTCCGGGGGGCCATAGCGGCTGCTGGCAGCGAAGAAGTTGTTGATCTGGTAACCAAAGCTCGCGTAGTATGCATGCTCCATGATTGCCATGAGCTGGATGACATTGTAGCCCAGAGCCTTGATGCGAGGTAGCATGTTCTTGGTGAACTCCTTGTACGTCGCGACTTTCAGCTCGGGGGTCGATATCCCCACGTGAGCCTCGTAAACACGGACGCTCTCGGGCTTTTTGGGCCGAGGGTGCTTGAAGACATACTTCTCCGCAGCCGGTGGGTTCCAGAACCTGGCGTCATAAGCAGGCGAGACGGACAGGTCCTGTGTCACATACTTGATCCATGCCGGCAGACGATCAACCTGTTGGCCATTAGGAAGGGACAGGAGGATCTGATACAAACGAGAAGTTAGATATATGCAAAGAATGAGGCGAAGCCCAAGTATTCCAGGGCGGAACCCCCATGGGTGGGATCTGATGACCGATTCGTGGGAAGCAGCCAGCGTGGCAGCCTGGATATTCTGTAAAAGGAGAATAAAACGCGGAAATCCATTACGTACCTTGATCTTGGAGTTGTGTGGAATGGCGGGCTGGCCATTGGCGCTGGGTGGAACGACAATCTGGAAGACTCCGAAATCATCCTTCTTCATGGAGTGCGACTGACGATTCCAATCGTCTGAGTTACGCCACACTGTCAGCCATCCGATGGCAAGATATATGCACGGCTGGAGCAAGAGCAGAGACGGAATGGCAGGACTCACTGAAGTCGCCCATGAGGTGGGCCGCAGTGGCGTTTGGCGCCCACTCGCGATAGATGATGGAGTTGTCATCTCGCACGTTCAGTCCAAACAGCTCTATCCCCTTTTCGCAGCAAATAAGAGCTAGGTTAGCAGAGCGCGTCAAAGAATGACAGTGTGCTGGGCCAACGAGGGCGGTATCCCCACCCTGGTGAACTTTTCCATGGACCCCTCGCTCTGCTCGATCTTCTTGGTCCACTCCTTGGCTTTGCCGTGCCGCCTCTTCAGCGCATCTTGGAAGGGCGTGAGCCAAGGGTCGAGCTTGATGGCGCCTTTGCCGCGCAAGAAATTCAGAGGTTAGCTCTCATGTCGCCTGCACGATGAGATGGCTCGCTGCAAATCCGCCACCAAGCGCGTGCAGCGAATGGCGCCCGCGATTCTTGACGGTTGGCGCAATCAGCGACTTACCGAGGGTCTCCTCCACAGCGCTGCCGTTGACAGCCTGGTTGGACGCCATTGTGTGTGCAGCGACAGGGGTAAACAAAGCCAGTCGAGATCAAAGCACTCGTTGATAGGATTGGACCGTCTGGGAGCTGCTTTGACGGGTGATGGGACGACAGGGAGAACAGCGGGAAAGATGGCAACGTCTGTGAGAGCAGATGGGATCAGGGAATTATACCTCACGGCCCCGATGTTTTTTTTCTGCTGCGGCCCAAAGTTGACTGCACGAGTGCCCGGCTGGTGGTCTGGAGCAATGGATGCAACCCCATACAGTGTGGTCGGGTAGACGGTAGGTAGGCTAGGTACCTCGATAGATGGCAGGTACCACCTTCAGCATGTGTAGCAGACCAGCCCGAGAAACTGAGAAGCGATAGCTCCAGAGCTACAGGCTGGGCGATGACGTCGTGGGGATGATCGGCTGGTGGGGTGAATATCTACGAGCTCTGCTGTGCGGCTATTACGACACTTGCGGGCAGGTGGAGAGGCCCTGCGACTGAGGTGTACTGCCATACATGGGTACCTACCTCTAGGTACATCAGACATTTGCGGTATTACGGGCACGCCGAGTGGCGAGAGCTGTGTGGCAGTGGGCACCGATATCCACCAGTGCCACCCGCGGGGCAGCTCCCGCTCCGGGCCTCAACGAAAGGAGATTGATTGAGGGCCAATCCATGTCGACAAGAGCGCGGGGCCAGTGTGAGAAAAGCCCAACGAGAACGTTCCTATCGCGCTAGCGGCTGTTGTCGCCGACATCTTACTGGCCGCTCCCGTATCTCGCTATAGTGAAAATTTTCGCCATCAAGCCGGGCATCCATCCGCTCATATCAGTCGGGTATGGTCTGTCAACCATTGTTTGCAATCTCCCTCGCTAGACCCTTAATTGACCGACCACTCGCCGAAGCCGCTGGGGAGATGCAGTCAGTACCTGTCTTGTCGCCACGCTCTCTGCACCAGCCCGCTTGTGCGCTCCAGCCCTAGACATGCGCAGCACATCTGGTTCCTGCGTGGCACCCTAGGCATGAAATCTTCTTCCTCCCTCATCCATTCCGAATGCTGTTTCGAGCAGCCCGAGCAGTCTATGTGGGCTGTGATGTGGACCGTCAGGGACTGCCCTATGGGGAGAAGCTATATGGCGTCTATAAACAACTCGTGGAGTTGCCCAAAAATTTGACGGCTTCACGCTAGAGAGGGTCATCGTCTGGTCCCATAATGCGGACCTGCCCGATATTACAGTGCGTGCATATTGCTCAAGCCCAAGAGTCTGGAAGATGGAGGGTATGCTGCGGCCCCATTAGCACCCCATGGCATTGACTCCATGTGGGTGGCACTGGGTCAAAGAGCTGAGAAGGGAGAAAGCACGAGTCTGGTTGGCGGTCCCCATTCGAGAGTTGCATCTTGAGCTCTGCTGGCCACGTTCTGCAGTAAAGCCCGCATTGCATGGAGGGATAAGAAATAGGAGAGGGAACGGAATAGGAATACGCCGACAGGACAGGTTAGCGCTGTCGGAAGCGCATTTTATTTTTTCATTTTTACTTTATTTTATTTGCTTCTAAAGTTGGCACATCATCCAGGCCGCGCAACTGGCGGCTCGCAGCGGCCCAGCGCCACGGCCGGGAGCTCAGCTTGTGCAGCCATTGACGATCTGGCCAGCTGCAACCCCCGCATTTGGAATGGCCAGCTGCGAGCCGGGATTAGATCACCTAATCCAGCCCAGCCCCTTGGCCTCGCATGCTCCCGGCTGAGCTGCGACCGACACCGGCCACAAGCCGGCTCGACAACCGTGCTATCCTCGACTAACCTTAGCCTGCACTCACATAAGCCATCGCGCCTCGGAATCATCACCGCCAACTTCGTCCTGTTTCTCCCTACTTCAAGACTACTTCAAGACTCGGAAGCATCCCTACGCGCAACCTCGCCCGGAGTTGCCCAATTCATCATCCACCCGCTCCTGACCTCCTTTGTCCACCTCTGACAGCAAAGGCCACCCCTATTCTGCACGCAGGAGATCGGCCGCCACCCTACCATCGCCCGTCCATCCGGCCACCACACCGCCCCGGGCTCCCCGTATCCGACCCCCCTTTTCCGAGCCAGTATGCGAGGCCCGCTGGCGTAGACGATGTCGGTTTTCGCGAGACCGTCCTTCCTGGCCCAGAAGATCTCCCCGAGCTTGCGCTGGAGAGCGTCCGCCTCACGCGCCTGCGCCTATCACCATCGCCGCGCCTTGTCCGCCTCGGCCACCAGGCGATTTGCCAACCGGACAAGCCACGACTTCAACTCCGGCTTCACAAGCAGCTATGATCCATCAGAAGACTCGGGCCGCGGGCCCATGTTCAACAAGGCCTCCTTTGGAGTGCCCCAGGTCTACCCTCGCGACCTGAAGCGCCGTGTCGACGACTTCGTCGTAGGACAGGACCGCGCCAAGAAGAGTATATGCTCTGTCATATTCAACCACTACCAGGGCCTCCGCCGACGCCACCAGATTGAGGAGTCTGAGAGGCTGTCGCAGGAGAGGTTGGCGCGCCAAAAGTACATGCGCGACCGGGACATGTACGACCGGCGTCGCGAGGCTCACCCGCTTGAAGGTCGGCACTCTTCTGGCTCTGCTTACCAGCGGTATACTGATGACCCCCTCCGTGAAGACGAGTTCCCGGGTCATCGGGAGTCGGTTCAGGGGCTTCACTACGACGCGTCCCCCGTAGCAGAGGAACTGCTTATGCCCGACGAACACGCCATATTGCAACATGTGAAGATAGATAAGAGTAACCTGCTTTTGATGGGTCCCACGGGAGTTGGGAAAACATATATTGTCGAGTAAGTGTGGCCTGGAGCACTGGCCCACCACACCGATACTCCCCGCATCGCTAACCATGGGTTCCAATTGTAGGACATTGGGAAAGCAGTTGAATATCCCATTCACAATTAGTGACTGCAACGCCTTCACGCAAGCTGGCTACATTGGCCAAGATGTTGAAGCTTGCATCGAAAGGCTGCTGATCGAGGCCAACTACGACGTCAAGGCTACCGAGCATGGCATAGTGGTCCTCGATGAGTTTGACAAGCTTGCCAGGCGGGAGACGGTTAATGGCAGAGATGTAGGGGGCGAGGGTGTCCAGCAGGCTCTCCTGAAGCTCGTGGAGGGGACCAAAGTCACGGTTAACGTAAAGGACAACAGGTCCTCGAGGTCCGCCAGCCCGATCACCAGCAACTACGGCACTGGCGCGTCGTCCTCGCCGCAGTCCCCGCCGCAGTCACCAAAGGTCGACCAGTACACGGTTGACACCAGCAACATCCTCTTCGTCTTTTGCGGCGCATTCGTGGGCCTCGACAAGGTCGTGCTGAGGCGGGTTGCCAAGCCGTCCATCGGGTTCGGCGCCGAGCCGTCCAACCGCTCCTCACTCCCATGGGAGATGTACGCCCACCTACCGCACCAGCCGGTCTCGGTCGAGCCTGGGGCCAGCGGCTTCACGCCCCTGGACCTCACGACGCCCGCGGATCTACAGTCGTTCGGCTTCATCCCCGAGCTCATCGGGCGCGTGCACAACGTCTGCGCCCTGACCCCGCTCTCGCTCAACGAGCTGCTCCGCATTCTCACAGAGCCGCGCAACAGCCTCGTGGCGCAGTACACGGCCCTGTTCGAGACGTACCCCAGCCGGCTCTACTTCACCCGCCGGGCGCTGTACGCCATCGCCGAGCGCGCCGCCAAGAACGAGACCGGGGCCAGGGGTCTCAAGATGGAGATGGAGCGCGTCCTCGCCGAGCCCATCTTCGAGGCCCCGACGCACTACGTCGTCATAACCGAGGCATGCGTCAAGGGCACCGCGAAGGCGTGCTACTGGGGCAAGGACGGCCGCCTCGAGGTGGAGCGCCGCCTGAGGGAGGAAGACGACACGAACGGGACCGGCGACGACGGTGCTTCGGATACCTTTGAGCAGTACCGCGAGGCCGGCCAGAGCGGCGCATGAGATATGTTGACATTGAAGATGAGTGCTAGTACTTATTATGAGTTTTGTTTTGGTATTTTTAATCATGGTTTATCGTGGCGTTTTTGGAGCAATTCGCGCCCGCAGAGCACCGTTAATAGCATCGTTTACTCGAAACAGTTAGGTACCTACCTACCTGCTCTTTATGATCTTCTGGAATAGCACAAACAAAAAAGGTAGCATATCATCACGATGGCACAGCGGCTGGATGCATTGCAGTGATGACCTCAAAGAAAAATATCGTCTAGCCCCCGTCGCAGTACATGATATTTACACCAACCACCCTGGGCAAAGATACCCGCGAATCTGAGCATCCCGTCAAAGCTTTTATACATGGGCAAATGGCCATGAGGACGAGCTGCACTTTGGTATTGAGAGAGGGAGATAAATGGAAAATATTTAACGCTTGGCCGGGGGGGACTGGACCATGCCCTTGCCCAAGTACCCCTCGGACGAAATACCGGTGAGGGGATCCGCGTTTTGAGACTGCCGTGGCATCTTGTATCAGCGCACTGCATCTCATGATGGTGGGATTCGCCAAGGCGTGCACATACCTTGAGGTACTCGTTGGTCTGCTCCTGCCACTCCTTAGTCATGGTGGACGGGGCCGGACCGGCCAACGAGCGGATGAGAGCAAAGAGGGCGAGGCTGACGCCCATGCCGACGGCGACGTACAGGGCGACCCTCTTGCCCTCGCCGGGGGGGTCCAGGGCGCGGGGGCCGTGTGCGCCGAAGGCAATCCAGTATGCTGCATTATGAGAGAGTTTGAGTCAGTTTTGGGATCGCCTTCGCACCTGACCCCCGGTGCCTGTTCTGCACGGTCGGGCTCTTGGAACGCATTGCTTGGCTGGCGGGTATTGTACGCGGGTGGTGGTGAGGCGAGGTGAGGAGGAGGGCATCGGTGCATATATATGTCGCGAGCAACCACCCTCTGTGTACTGAACAAATGCACACGCCCATCATGCCGCTTCACGCCCCCCCCCCCCCCCCCCCCCCCAACCGATTTCACTCGATCGACTTACCGGCCTTCTTCTCCTGCAGGCTCAGCTCGGCCCAGTTCTCCTTCATGCGGTCCCTCAGCGCCATCCACAGCTCCGCCTGCTCCTGCAGCGGCATGCCCTCCCATCTCTTCTCGATGTTTGCCAGCATTGGCTTGGATAGGGCGCGGGTGGAGGCGGCGCGGCAGGCCATCGGGGCGGCCGGCGAGGCGCGGCCGGCCTGGAGGACGCTGCGACGCAGCATGGTCGAGCCCGTGGTGCGCAGCATCGCGGCGGGTGGGAGGGAGGGAGGGACGTGGGATTTTTCGAGGGGGGGGAGGGTGATCGGGACAGGGTCTCCGGGCCGGCTCGAGGCTAATTGGGCGTTCGGAGGGGGGAGCGGCGAGGTGGTACGGCGGTTGGCGTGGAATGGCTTCGAGTCTGTTTGGCGGGTGGAGGACGAGCTTTGGGCTCGGCAGCAATTGCGAGGATTTTTGACAGCCAGACAAACCTCGTATGATAGCCCCCCCAAATCGGACCTGGTCTATTGGCTGGATGGGGAAGCTCGGGGTTGCGGCTGACTGACTCAACATGTCAGTCACGTGTTAACCCCACATTCCCCTCGGCTTCCTTGTTGCCGAGTGATCTTATCATGTTGTGAACCTTGATCTCGAGAATCCTGTGATTTCATGTTTAGCTGGAGCAAGACACACCATATTTTGCGAATAATATGGTTGAGGTTGAGGCTTTTCACGACCTACCCCTCATTGCGCTGATCATTACCATGTAGAAATTTGCGATTTTTGCGCTAACAAGAGCCCCAGACACACATCTCGGTCCTGATATCACACAAACAAACACTTGGCACAATTCAATACCCGAGTCTCAGTTACTTGTATCACGACTCTCCTTTCTTCTGTCTAGATTTCTCTTCTGCTGCCTGTCGATTGTCCGGGGTTTTTTCTTTATCCCTGACCTCCTGCCAAGCGTCACTAAACTCATGGTTATTTTGTTACTTCCTGTCCACATCGTCGGAGACTCGGAAATGCAGGGGAATACAAACCTCTGCTTTGTGATTTGCGAGTCGTTCGCGTTATTCTTGGCGGCATTCTCAAGCGGCTCCCGGAAGGTATAGTAGGCTAAGTGGTGGTAGTGCCCTATCGTGTGAGCATCTGAGGAGAGTAGGGGGGACATTGATGCAACAAGAGAAAAATTCACACAAGGACGCACCATTCCAGAGACCAAACCCGACGGCTATTAATGGGAGACCATGGCGGGACAGACTCATAACGAAGGCTACAAAGTCTCTTGTCGAGAGACAGCTTCTGTAATCCAATGTTTCAGGTATGCGTTGTAGTATCAATGTTGGCGTTGGACGGCGCATCTACCCCTGGAAGTTCATAGCCAGTGATGATGAACAGGCGATCTGCAACTGACTTTCATCATCAGTTTGCAGGAAAGTGGAGCTTGGTCCATGTGCCTGGTGGGGGCTGCTCGCCACTTAACGCCCCGGCCGTCAATGACATGCAGTCGCGTCAATTCAGAATTTCAGGCCTTGCAGACGCGTCTTAGTATCAAACATCCCTGCACCTCAGCGTCTCCCGGGTGCCTGCGTTGACTAAATCGGACCAGGACTATGTCTGCTCATTCCACATCTCGCTCGGATTTAGGAAACGAAACTGCCCGAATATCACGCATTCGCATTCGCATTGCTCTGTCAACAAGCGCCGTCCTTTCCATGGAGCCCAGACAGACGTCACCATGATCTGTCGGTCCAATGCGGACTTGGAAGGAATCAGGAGAGGTCCCAGACTCGGACGAGGAGGAGTTCGACAGCCAGAGCTCCCCAGGTAGCCCGACGTCCGCGGCCCCGCCCCCGAACGACGCCGACGATATCTGGAGCATCCCCCCTTCGCCCGAACCGCATCACGCTCCACAGACTCGCAGCCTGCTGGCCCCCGAGGTCCCCGCGTCTCCCGCCGAGAGGGACTCGATTTCACCATGTTCCTCCCCCCTGTCGCCTCCCCCTGAGGATGTCGAGTCTCCCGCCTATACACCACGCCGAGATACTACTCCGAATCCGGAGCATGTCAGACTGCCGACTGCGTCACCGGGCCCGGCGCTGTCCTTGCCGTCTCGAGGAAATGCGCCACGATCTCGGAGCCAGACGTCTCCGTCTCCCCCTCGAGCGCTCCTGGAGGCCACCTCGGCAACCGTCTCGCCCTCGAGGCAAGTCGCCGTCCGTCTTGAGCGATCACTCCGTCCCCGGAAACCGATCCAGGAACACCCGTACATGTTGGAGGATGCGCAATATCACCGCTTCATGAAATCCCATGGCTTCAAGCCCGTTCGAGTTGCTGTCGAAGATGACAACGCCGAGGGGCTTCGAAGGGGCCAGGATGCCGAGTCCCAGGATGCCGAGTTTTCCGCCGAGGAGAGCCAACAGAAACCTGCAGATCCACTAGGAGACACCCAAGAGAGCCAGCCAGTGTATTTTGGCGATGATGCCGAAGACCGGGACGAACTGGCACCGACCCCTTCACCCAGAACATCTTCTCAGACCCGTGCAACATCAAGTGGGCGACCAAGTCCTGCGGACGATACCGACAACACAAGCTTGATAGGTGACGACGACCTGCCCTCGGTGTCAGATTTGCTTCGTCGGCCACAGGAGCACCGTCCGAGGCCCTTGAAACGAACATATTCCTCGAAACTGTCTGCTAGCGCAAAGAGGCGCAAATCGGGACCGCACGGTGATGATGCAGCCAGAACCCCGGCCTTCAAGCCTGTGGAAATATATGACTTGCCTTCCTCGCCCCCAGTCGGCCCGTCACGCCGCTCGGCGGCTACAAGTGCCTCCCGTCTTGTCAGGGCGTCCCCGCGGCCAAGCGCCCAGACAACACCATCTGCGACGTCACCCACACCATCACGGCGGCCCCGAAGCAAGGCGATTGTCAGCCTGATCGATAACGGGGATACTAGTGACGACTCGGCCAGTACTGAGAGCGAGTCTGAGGCGATCCGCCGGAACGTGAAAAAGATTCGCGGGGTGCTTCCAGCTTCCTGGCTCCGCTTAGACAATGTCAAAAGCCACGACCACAACAAGCCGGCTGTGACCAGACGAAGCCCTCCTGGGTCTCCGAAGCTAGCGGCTAAGAGGGGCGTCGCTCTGCGGAGACATGCCCCAGCACCATCAAATCCTCATTCTACAGCACTTGATTTCTTGTTTGACGACGATAACGACAGCGATGACCATAATGATGACAGAATTTCAAACACGGGTGGTCCGGTTGGCTCCTTGGATAAGTTTCTCCTGCCGAGCCGAACGGGTTCAGAACCGTCAACACCGTTGTTTATAGACGATGATGATATCTCCGTGAACGAGGAGGACACAATCGATAGAATGTTGCCAGGGAGGAACAGGAAAAGGAAAACAGACGGCATTTCGGCAGACGGATCATCCGCCAGCCGCAACAAGTCGTCGAGTCGGACAGGCGTGCATGAGAACGCGACCAAACCTCGGAAACGACAGCAAAAGATCACGTCAACTTTCACTTCCAAAAGTCGAGGGTCTGGAAGCAAGTCGACTAGCCGCGTTGGCTCAGGGTTACATCGCTCGTCTTCTCGGAGCCATGGCCTGGGGGCCGGGCACTCTTCCGCTAGACGTGAAAAGCCCCCCCTGTTGAGCGTTCTCGACGTCGTCAAAACCAACGCACCTGCATTCCTCAGGGTAGCTGCTCGGGCTGCCAGAAGGGCCCCCAACCAAGGCAAATCCAGTCCCTCGCGGAAGCACATCAACCTCGGCAATCGCAAAGACAATGTCGATGCCCTTTCTGTTCTGCGAGACTGGAAAGCGGGCAAGATACGGCCAAGGATTCCTGCGAAGACGCCACAACGAAGCCCGGCCTCGGTAACACAAGCTCCGGTACCCCCCCTACGTGAAAGGTTGGCAAACATTCAAAGCAAGACCGATCGCCGTGACCAGAAGATCAGCTTTGTTGCGCCGAAGAGGGTTGTGAAGCGATCTCACACGCAGCCACGTGCCGCAGCCAACAGCGTCAAGAGTGTGTCCACAGCAACCGACAAGGCGCCCGGTGCTGCCATACCACGAACCAGCAGCAAGCTCCGGCGTCATGATTCATCCTCTAGGCCTGCTCAGCTCGAGACCCTTGAGACCAGTCGGCCTGGAAAGTTTGCCTTCCTTGCCCAAAAGAGGTCGTTGGATGCATCGTACCGGAGGAGCAAGAGTGGACATGGGCCCGCTGCCGCTCGCCTCGAACAATACATCGACAGCATTGTGCCTGAGACTGGCAATGATCATGACGAGTCTGCTTTACAGACAGAACCGCATGTTACCCAAGTCGAAGGACCAAAGAACCCCCAACTGCGTCGGTCGCGACTCCGCAAGCAACATGCCCCGCGCTTTGTCGATGTCACTGCACCCCAGTTTCTGCACGCAGCGGACCCTCTCCCTGACGAAGAACCGGCTCTTATCGAAGATAGCCCTGTGGTGCGAAACAACGATAAGCTCAATGGACTGGGGCCCTTTGGGACTCACTACACCCACCATTTTGAGATCTTCCCCCTGGACGATGGCGTCTTCTTTCACGAGACCACATTCATTGCTCGTGGGCGACTTGAGAAGGCCCAAGAGGGCCAGTTCCTTGCAAAAGCTAGGCGACTCCGGTCCAGGGCGTCCTTTCAACTTGGCGATAAAACGCTTCGTTGGGGACCCTGGGATGATAGAACCTCGTCGGAACTAGGGATAGTGGTGGACTCAATTGTCGATCATGTCACAGAGTCAGGTGCCCCTGCGGAATCTACTTTGACGACTCCCATGATAATTGCCGCCTCCGACTTCATCGTTGACTTCGTCGAGGACGCAGTCAGTTTTTCTGGCGACGGTAGCATCAAAGCCTTTCTCTCTCGATCTCTCGAGATTACGCGCGGCTTTATCCAAAGTCTGGAGAAGCGCCTCAACTCGAGTCCGCGTCATAACCGTGGCAAGGGGATCCTTGATATTTTGGCGAGATTTCTTACGTTCGCCCTCCGCTTGCTTCGACTATCGCGGGAGGTACCCGACCTCATGCACCAGTCTTTCGAGATTGAGGATGCACTGAAGAATCTGGCCACTCTGTCCTGCCGCTGCCTGCTGTCTTCGGGATTTAATGTTGTCGATGAGACTTACGTAGATCTCCAGCGGCTTTCCTACCGGGAGCGAGGGATCAGGGCTGACAGAGGCGAGCTGATGTTGTGGGTTGTTCTAATAAGAGTTCTCCATGCTGCCGATATTCGCAGGGGGGGCTTCTGGGACATATTCGGCTCGGTCATCTTGACGCCTGGACTTACCGCATGTTCAGACGTCCAGCAGTTCGAGGAAGCCTGGAGAGCTCTCTTCACTCTTCTGCCCCTGACGGAGTTCAACGACGCGGGCGTCCTCGCTGGTGGGCTTCGCCTTCGTGAGCCTTCCGACGGCTGGGCCCTGCCCCAGGCGCTCCTGAAACGAGTCCTGCAGCTGTACCAGAAGAATCCCAATCAAGCGCCGAGCTTCAACGACTACTGCCGTGCTCTTCTGGGACGATGCCACTATCTGGTGGAGCAATGGGGCTGGCGGAAATGTGCCGGTATCGCCGGACTGGTCCTCGATTTCTTTGGTGCCCAAAGCCTGGCTCATCTTCGAAATGAGGAGGTCTACAAGTCGCCACTATTCCTCGAGAACCTCACAGATAACCCCTCACTTGTCATTGCTCCCGAGGATCGATGCTTCCACATATTCGTCAAGATGGTTGGCCTGGCTATTCGAAGCCTCAGGGGCGCCGGACTGATCAAAGATGTCAAAAATCTTGTGGCGCGAATCCTCCCCAACCACACTCGCCAGTATTCCAAGGAACAGGACATGCACCAGCACGAGCTCGCAGCGCTGCGGAATCACCACGATCTTCTATGCACCCTCATCTGGGCATCCCCCGCCGATTTGCGCCCAGGCGTCCACCTCATCGAGAAGCTCGTCGTTCCTGGCACCTCACACAGAGCTGCCTGCATCGTCAATCTCAGGTCATGGGGCCAGCTCGCACGATTTGTCGTCTTCTCCAATGAAGGGGCAGCAGCCTTTAGGCCGTTCCTTTCGTGGCAGAACAACATGTTCCGGCAGACGCTGGAACAGTACATCAACGCCGAGTCGGACATGCAGCAGCAGCTCCAAGCTCTTGATGAGGGCGCTCGCCAGGATATTGGCGCGAGCATGGTCAAGGGCACGATTCTGGCTAACAAGGCCGGGGCTATGGATGTGATGTACTGCTCGGTTCAGTCTTCTCTGGAGGTGCTCAAGGTTGCGCCCTCGTTAGCAGCAGCCACATACTCTCTCAACACATGTGAGCTCTCGCCGATTGTATTCCTCATCCCCTCTGCTTGTTGTTAACCCGACTGACCCTCCCCCAGATCAACTATCTCAGGTTTTCACGGCGCTAGATATTTCGTCACCCGGATTCGACTGGAATATACTACGAGTTGCCATCGAGACTGTCGAGCGATACCTGGATAGGGTTGATCAAGCTCTTGACCACCAGTATTCCATCGAGTCGGACGGCATTGACGAACATGACGAGGCCGAGGAGGCGATCTTGGTAAGATCTCATTCCTTGGGCCATTCAGACGGGGCCGGGGTATCTATGCTCGGAATGACTTGTTTCTAACTCTGGATTGCGGCCACCAGTTGATCGACCACGTACTCGCCGAGGGCTTGTTTTCAACCGCAAGGAAGATGTTGACAAAGCTTGAGGCCAAATCGTCGAAACGTCCTGGAGCCAAGGAGAGCCTGTGTGCAGAACAGCTCGTGCTTTTGTCAGCGAGAGTAGCGAATCGCTTCCTTCAGAGCGGCGTCACTGTAAGCCACCCAGAAGATTCTCTGGCGCCGCGTCGAGGCACATACTAATACCGGCACGCAGCGTTTGCAAGCGTTCTTCTCACAGGGGAAATACGGCATCTTCCGTGGGGCGCCCCAGAGACTGTCGCACCCACAGAGGGGGTATCTGGCGCTTTTCACCGGAGCGTTGGTCAAGAACAGCATGCTCGACTTCAAGGATCTGGGTCTGACTGTGTTCGAGATCTGGATGCTCTCGGTGGTCAGCCCCTCTTCGGCGACTGAGCACGTTCCTCAACTATCGGAGGCCCTACGGTTACACAATTTTGCCTGGGCCAAGGGGGTGCCGACTCCTACAGGGTTCCGGCTCGACTACCGCACCTGTCGAGAGCTTTTTGCGCATGCGATCTCGTCCATGAGGACTTCTTTGCGTACGTCCAGTGGCAGCACTCAACGACCAGGGCGACAACGGGAGGAGCTGGGCAAGACCCTCAGGTCCGTCATGGACCAAATGAAGCGAGATCTCGCATGTCTCAAGGCCAACCGCAGCGAGCACCTGGACTTTGTGGACTTTGTCCGGGCCATTGTCGCCCTGATCAGGTCTCATGGCGAGGACTTTTGCGCCGTCGACCAGTTCTTCCTCGGGGTCAGTGCAGATTACTCGCCGTCACCAGAAGATCCCCAGCTACATCTTGCGCGCATAATGTCCTACGGAATCCGGCTCGGCGAAGGTGACGTGACCACAACTCCGACGTTGTTCTACTACCTCTACAACAACTTCAAGACGGCGGTCATACGCGACAACCTCGACGGCGAGGTTAGCATCCTACGCCGTTGCGTGGATAATCCACACATACTCCAATTCTTGCTGAGCCGCATGCTGCCTGCGCTAGTGCGCGCGGCGGTAGGCACAACGCAAGCATGGCCTCTTCTCGAGGTCTACTCCGGCGCCCTGAGTCACCTTCTGACCAGATCCTGTGTCCCGTTCTTGATTCATAAAGATTATGCGGAGGATGTGCTGTCTTTCCTCTCGACGATCCTTACAAGCATCAGGACTCTCAAGAGGCAGGTCGGCAGCAATATGCTCGGCGCCGAGCATCTCAACGTTGTAGTGCAGTTGGTGACTTTGGCCAGCAGCCTGCGCTCCTCCTTGACCACATACTTCTTCACTCTGGAAGGCACCAACGCCGAGGCCCTGTCGAAGATCGTCAACTCGTTCTCGCTGTTCTGCGAGAAGGTCGTGAAAGAGCTGGGCCGGGGCGAAGACGCGGGAGACGGGCCTGCCGAACCGTACGACACGGATGCGCTCCTCGGTGGGATCCAGTACCACGATGCCGAGGACCTCGGCATGCTCGCGCAAGATAGGAACCCCCACATTGAGAGCTTCTCACGATACGTCGTGTCGGACGTCCAGAAGAACTGGGCCGTGACGAACGGGCAGATCATGATCCAAGCGCCGGGGAATAGTGCCACTCAGCCCGGGACGCAGGCGGGACAGGCCGTCAGGTTCGAGCCGCTGGATAAGGATGACCTGCGACGCAGGCTCTTGGGACAATGTAGATTGTGGTGCTCGAGAGTGGTGCCTGTCGGCGGGAGGAGGCGGCGACGGTGGGCAGAGCGGACTCGTGACCTATCTGGGCTTTGAAGGAACAAGGGGGTATATTAGAGGAAGATGAACTATATCAAGCGTTCTATGCAAACCATCCGTGATGCCGACGTGATTTGAGGTCGACCCGGAGGTGTAGTAATAGAACAGACAGTTCGCCCGTGTATTCATCGATTTGTCCTTTGTCAGGTGCCCTACATATCTTGGCTAGGCGCATATCAACCTAACAAATTGTTTGGCCCGACTCGATAGGAGATGCCTACCTACCTACCTATATATATATATATATGTGACTCTCTAGGTAGATGTAGTTACTCAGGCGCCAGGAGCCCTGTCGCAGCAAGTAAAGGGGTCTGTTGAGGCTCGTGTTTGTGCACTCCAATCATCCAGGGCAGGTGCGCGTTGTTTGCTTGCTGCCTGGGCCCACCAAGCAACAAACCGCATGCAGCCCTTAAAACGCATCTCCCTCTCACTGTTGGGGCTACAGAAAAAAAAGGCAAACTTTCCAACTACAAACCACAAACCACAAACCACAAAAATCTCCGTCCCTATTCAGGCCCTCATCTCAGCCGGCACTTTTGATGTTGGCATCACCACTTGAGACCCTGCCCAAGCTTATCATATCGCGTACTTCACTCAACTGCCTTTGGCTCTGCTATCAGCAGACTCTCCTCCCACCTGCCCAGACCAGACAAGGCAGTGGAAATCACCGCGCTTGAACCACCAGACCGCCCTCCGCATCGTCCAGCACGCCGGCTATCATCCAGTCATGAGCATGGGTCCAAAGAAGGGTTCAGACGAGAGCGTCGGCGCGTCCAAGCGTGCGACGGACAACGACCTCCGCTTCTTCGAGAGCTACCTCAAGCACATGAACTCGGTCCCGGACGTCTCCTGGGACGAGGTCGCGGCGGACATGGGCCTCGCCCACGGCGGCTCCGCCCGTGAGCGGTTCAGGCAGATCAAACAAAAGCTTGGCTGGGCCGGTCCCGCTGCTACCCCGCGCGGAAACAAGCGCAAGAGCGCCGCGGCTGCCGCCGCGGCCGCCGCTGCCGAGGACGGTGATGACTTCGAGAACCCAAGTCTCGAGACCCCTTCCAAGAAGCCTCGGGCCAAGACCGCCACGGGCCGCAAGAAGGGCAAGGGCCGGACGCCCGTCGAGGATGTGAAGGGCGAGGAAGCCCTCGCCGACGGCGACGCCCAGGGTGACGCCTCTGCTGGCGGCGAGAAGCAAGGCGGCGGCATCGAGTTCGTGATGGCGGGCGAGGCGTGAGCCGCCCCCTCTACGCTTTCCGGCATCTCTAAGTATTTCATCCTTATACCTGCATTGCCATTCTTTATTTTTTAATATCCCAACTACGATGCACCATCGAATCACCCGCCATTTCGCCCCTCCTGACAGCTTCATAATCACAAGCAGAAATGCATGAGACGCGGCACGGAGGACAGAATTGGTAGAGGGCACGGTGAAAGACATGATGGAAGACATGGTGGAGGACTTGAGTGGGTCATGGCGTGGAGGTGATAACAAACATGCAACCCACGCACAAGGTGTGCTTTCATGTAGTTGACACTGGAGGAAACTCTACCTCCCCCCCCGCATGGGCATCAATGCCCCATAATCAACGTACAGACTCGTGTGCAATTTCTCCAGCGGTGGAGCATTATAGTTCCCACAGTTGCCTTGTTGGTGGTGCACGCCGACCTTGCTAGGGTAGGAACTGGCTTCGACTCGTGAACTCGCTGGAAGATGTGGGCAGAAGCGGGTGGACGCGTGCCGTCTCAAACTCTGCCCGTAAAAAAAAGGTGGCGACTGAAAGAGAGCTAGAACGTACCCGAGTGAGCATGTTGACGGACGCGCCTTCTCCATGTGCTTCCATTGTGTCTGCCGTGTAAAAAAAATCTTCCATCCGAGAAATCCCCGACCAGGTAGTAACTGTGCTTGAGTCCGCTGTCTTTTACCCCGCCATCTCACTTCTCGGCCTTCATTTTCGAAAGACAAGCACCACCGCTAACTCATCCTGACATACCAGCTCTACCCCTCCTTCCAGCCCAAACAAAAAGCATCACGAACAAGAACGTATCGTCTCACCAACGCCAAGATGGCACCCGCGCAGGATCCGAGCACACAGGTCCAGTTCCTGGTCACCTGCATCAAGCATTGCACGGCGCCGGGCAGGGTAAGGCGAACCCGAGCGGCGGGTAGCTGTTACCACCTCCAGCATCTCCAGACACTGACAGACGTGGGCTGACGTCCTCTAGGTCGACTTTGCGGCTGTTGCTGCCGAGCTCAGCATCCCCTCCAAGGCTGCAGCGTAAGTGAACTCGCCGCGGGCTTCATCATCTTCATCTTCATCTTCATCTTCCTGCGTAAAAGAGGTGTCACTGAACAAGAACTGATCTCCGCTGACAAACGTCCTCACAGCGCCAAGAGGTATGAGCGCCTGCTCAAGGCTCATAACGCGTGGCCCACTGGCGGTCTTGCTGCCAGCGCTGGCGGCGACGGCCCCGCCAGCACTCCTGCCACCCCCAAGGGCAAGGCGAAGGAGGGCGCTGCTGCCACCCCGCGCAGCCGCAAGCGCAAGAATGCAGCTGATGATGACACTGAGGGTAAGTCCACGACCAAGACTGCCCGGAAGAAGGCCGGCACTGGCGCCAAGCAGGGGATTCCGGTTACTGGCGACGACCTTGATGACGTCCTTGGCGGCGATGCCCTTGCCGGCATTCTTGACGACGACTACGACGAGGAAGAGAGTGAGTCTCCTTTTCCCCAACTGCCCTTTGCAGCGTTGTATGGTGACATTGCTAATTCCGATGAAACAGAGCTTGTCGTCTAAAGCAAAGATACGTTCAAGGTAGTGGTGGTGGTGGTCGAGATGATCTACAAGTTCGCGATGCGCTGGTCCTTCTACCGGGTGACGGCCTACGTCTGCAGTCTGAGGGGAGAGCAGCTGGACGCAGTACGCGACACAAGATTTCCCAGATTAGGGGTGTGGATAGATTCTTGTCTTCGCCCGTCCACTCGACTTATAACTTCATATGATCATTCTTGGGACACGGAAACCACGGCGGGATTTTTTCGTCAGCTGCCCCGATGGATGGGAGGCTCTGAGGGATTGATCAGGCACCAATTAGGTAGCATACATTCATCCGAAATGATGATGAGCAGCAAGCAATTTTGCTCGTGGTTGCGTCGTGAGGCGTCATGTCCATGTGGAGCCTGTCAGTGGCCATCACGTAATACAGAGCCTCAAAACGGCAATTCTGTGGCGCACGGGGCACAACCTTAACCCAACGTCAGTGGGACTTGCTGGGGAATTGTGTAAGTGACCTGCCCAATCGAGCAATGCCTCAACCCAGCGCCCTTCGCTGTCACTCCGAAGAGGAACGAGGAAAAAAATGGTCTATATGCAATGCTATGGCAGGTGTTTCTGCTGTTTCTTTCGCCGTCTTGGGCGGGAGCACATGTGCCCTCGTCATTTGATGGAAACTGATCGAAACTGTGGAATCACACTGTTCGAGCAGGCCTCCTCCCCTCCTGCGTTGCCGAGACGACTGGCCCAACTGGTTCCTCCTTCGCACCTTCCGCATCGCTGGGTTTCTGTGCTTCTGGGACGCTTGGGCCCAGCCGGTCACGGCCGCTAGTGTGCTTTTTCTTCCTGAAAAGCTTTCTCTGTGCGGTTGCCTCAGCAAAGCACAATCACTTGCTGACGCGTTCTTCCTGGTCGCCCTGCCCATCAAGGTCGCAGAGTGACTCGACGAGGAGGTTGGGGGACTGCAGAGATTTCAAACTCGTGGTGGTGTGGGTCCCTCGTCTGCTATTGTGCTATTGAGCCAGCCACTATTGTTCGCGCTGGCACAATAGCCAAGCCGACGACGCTATTCAGGGTATTGAAGCCCTCATCCCGGAGTCAACGCTACGCCTGGCTGCCTCTGCTGGCTGCCCTACTTCCCACAAGATGGACTCCTCCAGCCAGCAAAACCTGGGACCTCGTCTTTCCAACAACAACTTCATCACGAACGGCTTTTCTCGTCAGGTTTCTTGCATCCTTCTTCGTGGAATCACCGCTTCAAGCACCCATCGTTCAAACAATCAAGCCTCCTCAGCCTTCATCGTTGACGACCATCTTCGCGCCATTGGCAACTTGACCCCTTTCGCGCTTCTCAGGTATGATATGACATCTACGCTCTTCCATTTGGCCTCAGATTGCTAACCCGCACCGCTCAGGATCTTGGCTGCTACGAGTGATCTACTCTCATCGTCTGCCACTGCCACAATGGACGCTCGCCGTACCAACAACCTCCGCGCCATGAGCGCCGAGTTGCAGAGCACCGCCTCTCCTCAGGGCCAGTCTCCTGCCCGCCAGCTCTCTATCCAGACCAACGTCGCCGGCACCATGGGTCGTGGCGGCTCTCCTGGTCGTGGCAACTCTCCTGGTCGTGTCGCCGGCTCCCCCTCCTCGTCGCGCAACTCGTCCAGCAGCGACGGTGGCGCCTGGGAGGCGAGCACCAGCACCACAATCTACGTCAACGACATTCTCTACTCCACCAAAGAGATTCGCGGCATGGCTGATGAGATTGATCTCGCCCATCACTCTGGAGAGTTCCCCACCACCCGGTACCTCAACCACAACGCCCAAGCCACTGTTGATGACTACCGCCGCCTGATGGAGCTTCGTGAGGCCCGCGAGAGCAATGATAATGCCCGTGCCTCACTTCTCCTTGTCGGCCTCACCCGCGACATCCGCGAGCGTGACGATGAGCTCGACGAGCGTCTTGAGCGCCAGCGCGTCGTCAACCGCGTCGAGGCCTGCCTCCGCACTGCTCAAGAGGAGGAGCGCCTGTTCCGCGTCATGCAGACCGCCCTTCTGCAAGACAACAACAGGAACGACTTGGCGAGTATTGTAGCGCAGACCGCTGCACAGACTGCACAGACTGGACAAGACCTGCGGGAATTCCAGAATGCCATCGTCAACACCGTCGCCCATTACTCTCTTCATGACTCCGAGGTGATGGATCTCAAGCTTGCCCTCTTCAAGCGCGAAGTCCAAGTTGCAATCGATGCACTGCACACAGATCTGCACACAGCTCTGCCCGGCCTCATTCAGCAGGGCATGGAGCAGTCGCTGCGCCAGTCAAAGAAGAACCGCCGCATCTTCTCTCTCTTCCGCTCCAACAAGTCTCAGCAGGAGGGCAATGCGGAGCCCAAGGGCCTGAGCCGTCTTTTCCGCAAGATGACCAAGAAGCTTGGAGGACTCGGCAAGGACGAGAATGTGGTCGCTACTGCCCAGCCCCCGCTATCGCCGATGAACTCGGTGCCCATGATCTTTCTCGACGAGCCTTCGGTTGTTCGTGCCCCTCTGCGCCTTATCTAGCGTACGGGCTTCGGCTAGAGCAAGCCGAGTGGGGGGCTTTGGTGGAATTGGGGAGTTTTGAGTGCAAGTTTTTGAAGTTGGAGAGATACGGGCATGGTGTTGGTATGGGGGTGGAATCGAGGGGGTAGATATCCTTAGATATCTCAGTGCCACCAGGACGGAGAGTCCTGGGAGGATCCAACGTTTCTCTCTGCTCTTCTTCTCTATCTTCTGTGAACTGTCTGTCTCTGCGGATGCCAACCTCTCACTGGCTTCCGGATAGCCGCACTACAAGAGGTGGTGTGGGGAGAATTGTGCACTCAATAGGAGCAAGTTGAAATAAATGATGGCCATTTCGCCAGATTCAGATATCTGCTCTCCCTATGGGTGAGCTTTCGCCTGATTTTTCGACCGTGAGCAATAATCGGCACCATAGCAAGTTTGCTGGGCTCGGCTTCATATGCAGAAGAATCTACGGTACTCCTCGACCGCCTCAAAGGGCGTGTGATGCAGATAGATTGATATATGTGCATCTAGTTGTCTGTAATCTCTGAATTTCTCCTCAGAGGTCTGTCCAGTCTAATCTAATCTTGCTTGCGGTCTACTGTTTTTCCCCCTACGGCCAGTCCCTTTCGTGCTGTTGGGGGCTGACTTGGGGCCGGTTCCGTGTGCAAGATATCACACCCGCCACAGAGTTGAGGGCAACATGCCCTCCTACCATCGATGGCACGTGCCAAGTCAAGGAGGAGGAGGGCCAGCACGTTACCTGCCCGCACCGTTTGATGCCCGGCGGTCTTGGGCCGCCGTTTGTTTGCTCCAAACTCCTATTGCTGGGAGCATCCGATGTCTGTCTGCCAAGGCCCCACCTCGAGCGCGCCTTGGAGCCCTCCGACGCGTCTGCCCTCCCAATTCTAATATCTCCCACCTTCTACTGCTCCCCCTCCTCCTTTCCCTCGTCTCTTCCCTCTCTCTTCCACAAAGCATTCTCCTCGCCTTCGCTGTCTTCTTCCAAAGGCACGCGAATCGACTTGATATAACTTGCCAACAACCTCCAACTTCAGCCCGCTTGCTCGCTGACTGCACAGATACCTGTCACCATCCTCTTCCCTCTCGCCTATCACCACAAGCTTCCCAACTCGCATCCCAACCCACGCCTCTAGACCCCAGCGTCGTCTCCGGCTCTCCGCAGAAAGGGTGACGGGCCTTCGGGTCTTTTTATCAACGCAGCTCTTTCCTGCGCTGCCGATACCCTTGCGCCTCGGCGCCATATCTTTGTAAAGCCAATCGTGGTTTTGCCCTTCAACCATCTGCCTGCCCTTGTTTTCCCGAATACCTGCACCTCCCCTTTCGACACCTTGATCCGCGTTGCTCTCTAGCAGTAGCGCCCTGTCCGCGGCAATCTTGCTCTTCGGCTGCATTTCTGGCCTTGCTCTCGGACTTTTCAATTCCGCAGAGTAACGTCTAGACGACCTTCTCGCTTCATGTACGCGGCATACATTGCCCTTGGCTTCTCAGCCTCACCCCTCTTCGGCCGTTCGCGTTCCCTTGTTCGGCTTTGAGGACTGACTCTGTGACCAGACAGAAATCCCATACACCGTCCTCGGCTCTTGTCTCTCGCCGGACTGTGTCCTCGGTCACAACTGTCACGCTCGATCTCCATTTCGGAACCGCTCTTCCTCCTACTACACTGACTATACTAGTCTACCTGTACCGCACGAGCACATCAACATCCTGCTCCTTCAAAATGGTCTCTCCAAACAAGAGCTTCCCACCGGTCAACAGAACCAGCAAAGCACGTGGTCGAGCAACTACGGCCGAAGCCTCCAGTACCGAAGCCACCATGAATGGCAAGCTGCCCGCGGAGCTGCCCAAGAGCCAGCAGAAAGCTGGCGGCAGGAAGAAGCTTTCCGGCCCCAATGCCAGGGATGAGTTGATGCTAGTCACTGCAGAGCCAGTTGCGGGACCCAGCGGAACCAGGGGCTCGTCTGCCACTGCACAGCCCGCTGCTACATCGGCAGCCTCCGCGGCGTCCAGCACAACGGTTGCGAACAAACGCAGGAAGGATAAGGCCCCAGAGCGCGTATACACCCACATTCCCCCCACCGAGGAGGAGAAATCGCGCAACGGCCGCCAGGAGGGCAGGAGCCTGATCTCCTGGAAGCGTAAGTCTTGCTCCTCCCCCCTCCCATCTCTCCATCCCTGCTGACGGCCTGCGCGCCAGAACCGAGGATCTATGAGATGCTCATACTCGACATTGTATACGAGACCTTCCGCCATGGCATCGATCTTCCCTGGGGCCAGATCGCCCACCGCCTGCACCCGGGCTCGACCCCAGGCGCCATCCACCAGGCTCTCGGGCGCCTCCGAAACCAGCTCATCGTCGAGGGGCACCTGGTGCCGCCTCAGATCCCCAAGCCCGGCCAGCAGTTGGGCCACAACCCCGAGGTCCGCGGCCAGATCCGGGCGAACGAGCACGGCGACCCGTTCAAGGTCCGGAACGTTCTCTACACCGAGAACATCCCCCATCGCAAATTCAACCTCCCGGACGCGGTTGACTTTGTCAACAGTAATCGGATTAACGCCCCCAGGATTACGACCGTGGACTGGGACTACGCCACCGGCGCCCCACTCGCCACCGGCACCGAGGGCCCCAGCAAGAAGCGCCGTGCCGCCGCCGCCGTCGCCGGCCCTCCCGCCCCGCCCAAGCGCGTCAAGACCGAGAAGCAGGCCTCGGCCGACCCTTGCGACCTGAGCGGCGACGAGGACTACCGCCCCGGCGCCCGCAAGGCCACCACCCCGCGCCGCGCCGCCTCGAAGAAGGCCACCGAGGTCATCTCCCAGACCATGGAGGACTCGGACGGAGAGGCCGACGACCAGGATGCCGAGGGTGAGTCCGTCGACCTGAGCGAGGATGATTATGCGGCGTACCAGGGCCAGGGCCAACAAGTCGACGAGCAGGACAACGAGCGTGATGATGAGCAGGATGACGAGGATGATGCTACGTCGGAGGAGACCGACACTGAGGACGAGCATTACGATGAGGAGCTCCTGCAGGTGAGTTTGCGACTAAAATAACGCGCCCCCCCCTCCTCCACCACGCCCAGGCACTTTCTCTAGCCCCTGATGCTAACACTCAATACCACGACTTTCCAGGAGGAGTACGACCAGCAGCTCCGGGACTACGAGGAAAGCGACGAGAACGATGACCAGAGCATCAACCAGTTCGACCCCGTGTTCTCGACCCCATTCGGTAATGGTCTGTCCCAGGGCGACCAGTACTAAGTCGACCTTCACCTACCTGGACCGGCAGCATCGTCACTCTGACCATGGCAACCTCGCTTGAAGATCACTCGGGCTTGTATGAGATTACTATATCAAGATCTTGACGACGGAGCCGGCATACTTATCTCTCTGAAGCCATCGGCTTCTCTATTTGAAGATGGCAGCCGCGTGTCTCTGAAGCTAGTAGCTTCATCCACTTCGAGATGGCCAGCCTCTTCTGTCGGAAACCGGCAACCTCGTCTCAGGATCATTCGGATTTGTGTTGGACTACTTTATCGATATATGGACTACGGAACCGACAACCTCGTCTCTTTGAAGCTAGTAGCTTCGTCTACTTGGAGATGTCAGCCACTTCTCTCTGAAGCTGGCACCCTCACCTCGATGAGCCGGGCAGCCCCCTGTCTCCGAAGCTAGCAGCTTTGCTATTTGGAGATGGCAGCCTCTTCGAGATTACCCGAACTTGTTTGGGATGACCTCACCTAAGATTAGGACGATGGAGCCGACAGCTTTTGTTACTTTGGTGCCCGCCATTACTTTCCTTTGTTATTTCCTTCCTTCTTTGTTCCCCTCTTTCTTCATCGATGTTGTTGAAGTAGCGCAGAGAGAGGGGTATGTCTGATCACACACAACCAGCACGATTGTCAAGTAGGTTGGCCGTTAGAGCAAAAAGATAACAAGACCAAAAAAATTTGAAAAAAAAAAACCAACAATAAGTGAGCCGCCGAAGCTGCTTAGCAGGTAGCACCCCGTGAACGTTTCTGGCATTACGAAGATAGCCTGCCCGGCAGATATTTCCTGTCCTCTTGTTGCGCTTTGAAGATGGGGAGGCAAGGCGGGGGTCGCATTGTGCTTTTTGTCTTCTTTGTGCTTGCGTCTCGAGCCACATCAGGAGACCGAGATCATTTGTCGATCTGGCCGCGGGTAAGGTCAAGGCCTTGCTTGAGGGGAACTTCATTGACGACGCCAGGTACATGATAGCCCTCTGATCAAAAATCTCTCTCCTGCCACAGAACAGCCGGCCGGACAGCTTAGTTGCTATATGGTTGCTTCAAGCAGTAAACTCATGCCACATTCACTTCCCTTGGTTATTTGAAGATTGGTTCGCGGATGCTAGCGCATACACCGTCATCTCCGGGAACACTTCCCAGTGTGACAGCACATCGGTTGCCACGAGCAAGCCTTGAGTGGAAGTAGATTATATGCCAGGAGAGTCAAGCGGTGTTGTACCGAAAAAAAGCCGGCGTGTTCTTTGGAATATCTCGTAGCTCGTCAATATTTCCAAAATGGCGTCGGGTAATTCCAGCGTACGCATTCTGCTCTTGGACACCACCTCGTGCTACAAGGGAGACACAGAATCCCTCCGAGTCTTAGCAGTGGGCGGTTGGTGCCGCTGTTTATGCCTCCTGGAACTTAAGGAGCGTAGCCTTCTAGCCGCAAGTCATCCCCATCCAAAATAACGAGATATTCGTCTGTAACACCAGTGTCAGTGCCGAGAACCCCACCAGTCCAGATCCAAGTATATGAAAACCTGTGAAGCCAAGAAACGAGCTGGATACTCACTCGCACGAATCTGGGTATGCCCAGCCGCCGCCAGGGCTTCCCTGACAGTGGTGTAGTCATCAAACACCTCCCTCTTGCTCGTCTCGCGAAAGTACCACGCCTGCTGCTTGGCGGTCTGGTACAGGCAGTCGAGAACCAGGGGGCTCACAGCGCGCACGCCGCCGCCGTGGCCCAGCATACCGACGATGCGGCGGGCGAGTGAGGCGACGCGCGGGCTGAGCGCCAGGAGGCCCTCGAGGGCCACTTGCTGCATCTCCAGCTGGCCGGGGGAGCCGACGTTGCCCTCGAAGCTGAGACACTCGGCGCAACTGTGGGCGTCGAACAGCGCCAGCTGCGTGCTGTAGGCGAGGCCCAGCGCCGGCAGCAGCGGCGCCAGCTGCGGGTCGCCCAGCGCGCCCGCCTCGTGGGCCACGGCCAAGGCGAAGGCCGTGGCGGCCCGCGCCAGCATCAGCGACTCGGCGTAGTAGGCGTCGTAGTCGTCCGGCCGGTGGTTGATGTGCAGCAGGACCCGGGAGAGCAGGCTCGCGGCCTGGCATGTGCGGGCGAAGGGGCATGCCGAGTTGTCCACCGCGGCTGAGACCGCCAGTGATGGGCGGATCCTTGGCTCCTGGATATGCTTGGCGATCAGCCTCTTCCTTGGAGACGTGATTAAAAGAGCACATGGGAACGTATGGCCATCGTTGGGGTGATGGTGGGCCTACCCCTGACTCCCAGGATCCTTCATCCATCGGCAACAGAGCATCTGGGCTCGGGCCGAGACACGAGAACGGGCGGTATTCGGGCCCTATGGTGATATATCTGAATTCGATCGCTCCAGAGTCAGTGACCGAGGAACTACATGGCTCTAGCACACGCGGAGCCGATCTAGACACGATCCATACCTGTCAAGCACAATGATTCCCCACCAGGTCCGGCGGGCCTCTTCGTGCTCGACCAACGAGGCTGTATGAGAAACAAGGAGCTTAGTTCCAAGGCACAATCAAGCAAATCGGGGCGAGATGGGGATGCTTCTATAAAAGACAAGCTCACTTCGGACGGGAAGCATCTGAGGTGCGCGGGTGTGGTCGTGGATCCCTATGGCTTGTCCCACCCTGGCACACATGGCCACGCTCATGAATGCGGAGGGATATATGGCATTGGAAATTTCGTAGTATGTCACCAAAAGCAAGGCTTGCAGCAGCCGGATGGAGAGGATCCCATTCGCCTCGAGACAGCTCAGAGCCCTCTTGGTCTTCCAATATAGCGATGCTTGAGTGGCCTCGCCCGTGCTGTAGCCCTCTAGGCTCTGACAGGAAAGACGTATCGCAACCAGAAGAACCTGGGTATCGGCTTTCGGGGGCTGGAAGCTGGCGGCCGCTAGGTCTTGGAGAAGCTTCAGCTTGGAGACTGGGCGCACGCACGCAATACATGCCGCGACGGCTTATGGTTAGAATACCATTAATGACGAGTGGTGTGCAAGAAATCAAGCCAGCCGATGTGTGACATCAAGCTAGCTGGATTCAATCTTATGGGCGAAAACACCGATCATATGAGAGCCCCTTCAAACCTATAGGGAATAGAGGATGGACCTCGGCGAAGTAGATTTGCACGCTTAACTGGACATCGGCCTTGTTTTCTACAAGCTCGACGATCTCGTGCGGAGGCTGGATGCGAGGTGTCTTGGTCACAGTGTTCCTTCTCCTGAACATATACGAGTCGAGGAAAAACAAGGCCACGGCGGGATCTCGTAGGGGCAGCTAGACGGACAGATACTGGTTGGTCTCCAGCTTCTATGTGGTAGCCTGTGAGGCTCAAGCGGCACTGACGGCGCAAGACTCACATGAGAGCCGGACACGGCTGACTGCGGCGAGTCTACCTCGCTGGGGTACTCGCACACACGGCGGCTCTTGAGGCAGAGCTGGCACGACGGAAGCTGGCGGGTGCATTTACGACGCTGACGGCGGCAGGTCGCGCAGGCCTGGCGGGCCAAGTTCTGGGGCTGCTCCGGATCCGACATGGCCGGATTGTATCTACGGAGGAGGGGGCGAGCGGGCTGCGGTGATGGGGAACTTTTTATTTGTGTACGTGGGGAGAAATGCAAGGCCAGCTTCGTTGTTGAGCGTCGTGATTCGAGGCTGCAGTCGTGGTGGCTGACTAAGTCGTCTTGATGCTCGTCTTACACGGATAATCAGTACTACTGCATGGGCCCGTCATATCAGCTTGCCTTTATTCCGATTCCAGCTGCTCAATACCACACAAGACGTCTGGGCTTGTGACTAGCCGGATGTGCGTGGGGATTTGAGGGTCTTTCTGGGATCCATATACTCCTTCTCCATGGACGATTTTAGAAGGGCTATCGCGGGCTCCTTCTTGATCACAACACCATAGTGAACGGATCATCAGCTCGTGGGAATCCGTGCGTGTAGGTTTGATGCATGTTCTTGGGGGTGGGGGCTGGCTTGCAGAGCACGGAATTCACTTGGGACTTCAAGGTCCTATATTTACTGCTAGCACCAAGCAGGTAACTTTGTTTTCCTTTTTTCTCTTTTGTTGTAGGGCCAACATCGGCAACGGCCCCAGTTCCTGGATTCGACGCCCCAAACGTCTATTTTGGCTTTCCCAGCCAAAGACCCACAGAATCTCAAAGAAGAACCGGGGTGTCGGCGCTAGCCCATATACGGCATTAGCCCCCACCTAGCTCGGCCTCCAGAGCTGCTCAACCGAACGATTTTTTTTATCACCGAATTGGAAATCGGCAAGCTTCAGCGTCATTGCTCAGCAAGCAATTTTTTTAAAACCTCCCGTCTTCCCGTCCACCTTCCCCTCCTCTAATCCCCACGAACTCTCTATAGCAGCACCTTTCTGCTGTGACTTTTCGGGGCCCTTGGTTCCGCCTGTCTGTTTCTATTTCCCATAAACTCCTTAATCCACACAATGCAGCGCGCACTAAGCAGCAGGACGCGGGCTTCGGTCCTGTCGTCGGCCGCAAAATACCGCCACACTGGCCTCTCCCAGCAGGTCCGGTTTGCGCACAAGGTAAGGATTGGTGATTGCTTTTCCTACAGCTTCTCAGGCAGCATCTGTACACTGCCGGCCCAGCTATCTGACAAGACCAAACATGGCTGACCTTGCCCCCCACCAAACGCACAGGAGCTCAAGTTCGGTGTCGACGCCCGTGCATCCCTCCTCGCCGGTGTCGACACTCTTGCCAAGGCCGTCTCGACCACGCTGGGCCCCAAGGGCCGCAACGTCCTGATCGAGTCTAGCTACGGCTCTCCCAAGATCACCAAAGGTATGCGCTCTTCTAGACATGTGCCCCGCCCCGCCTCTATAAGCTAGCAGACATGCTAACGTAGCCTTAGATGGTGTTACTGTCGCAAAGGCAATCACCCTGAAGGACAAGTTCGAGAACCTGGGCGCGAAGCTCCTGCAGGATGTCGCCTCCAAGACGAACGAGGTGGCCGGTGACGGCACCACCTCGGCCACCGTCCTGGCCCGCGCCATCTTCTCCGAGACGGTCAAGAACGTCGCAGCCGGCTGCAACCCCATGGACCTGCGCCGTGGCATCCAGGCCGCCGTCGACGCCGTCATCCAGTTCCTCCACCAGCACAAGCGCGATATCACGAGCGCCGAGGAGGTCGCCCAGGTCGCCACCATCAGCGCCAACGGCGACGTCCACGTCGGCAAGATGATTGCCAGCGCCATGGAGAAGGTCGGCAAGGAGGGTGTCATCACTGTCAAGGAGGGCAAGACCATGAACGACGAGCTCGAGGTCACCGAGGGCATGCGGTTCGACCGCGGCTTCGTGTCCCCCTACTTCATCACCGACCCCAAGGCCCAAAAGGTCGAATTCGAGAAGCCGCTCCTGCTGCTGTCCGAAAAGAAGATCTCCGCCGTCCAGGACATCATCCCCGCCCTCGAGATCTCGACCCAGCTCCGCAGGCCACTGGTTATCGTCGCCGAGGACATTGAAGGCGAGGCCCTTGCCGTCTGTATCCTGAACAAGCTCCGTGGCCAGCTCCAGGTCGCTGCCGTCAAGGCTCCCGGCTTCGGTGACAACCGCAAGTCGATCCTGGGAGATATCGCCGTGCTGACCAACGGCACCGTCTTCACCGACGAGCTCGATGTCAAGCTCGAGAAGGCCACCGTCGACCTGCTCGGTTCCACCGGCTCCATCACCATCACCAAGGAGGACACCATTGTTCTCAACGGCGAGGGCAGCAAGGACGCCATTGCGCAGAGGTGTGAGCAGATTCGCGGCGTCATGGCCGACCCCACCACCTCCGAGTACGAGAAGGAGAAGCTGCAGGAACGCCTCGCCAAGCTGTCGGGTGGCGTCGCCGTCATCAAGGTTGGCGGCTCGTCCGAGGTCGAGGTTGGCGAGAAGAAGGACCGGTTCGTTGATGCCCTCAACGCCACCCGCGCTGCCGTCGAGGAGGGCATTCTGCCCGGCGGTGGCACTGCCCTGCTGAAGGCGGCCAGCCAGGCCCTAGGCGACGTCAAGTCTGCCAACTTCGACCAGCAGCTCGGTGTTAGCATCATTAAGAACGCCATCACCAGGCCGGCACGGACCATTGTCGAGAACGCTGGTCTCGAGGGCTCCGTGATCGTCGGCAAACTCATGGATGAGTTTGGCACCGACTTCCACAAGGGCTACGACGCCGCCAAGGGCGAGTACGTGGACATGATCGAGGCTGGCATCGTCGACCCGCTCAAGGTTGTCCGGACCGGTCTTCTCGATGCCAGCGGTGTCGCATCGCTGCTCGGCACGACCGAGGTCGCCATTGTTGAGGCTCCCGAGGAGAAGGGCCCCGCCATGGGTGGTGGCATGGGCGGTATGGGCGGCATGGGTGGCATGGGCGGCATGATGTAAAGCGCGCACGGCCACCGACTCTACGGTGGGCTGACTGACCGACTGACACACAACAGCAGCGGCGGCGGCGGGACGACCAGCCCGCGCACTCTTTGTATTAACACGACGATCTCGGGACGCGGCTACGTGAAGGCATGCATGTATATGGGAGGTAACCCGGTGTTCAGAGTTGACGGATTCTCATTTTCGGCCATTTCCTGCGCGACTTCATCTCCCCTCTATTTCACCTTTTCACGTCTTGCCATGACCCCTGTTACTTATATCCACTCGCCAGCAAGGGGCGCGGTTCTGCCTGACCAGAGCTTCCGGCTGGTGATTTTGTACCATAGCCGTGTCGTGCGGATTAAAACAAAAAGAAGAAAACAGGCAGAAACCAAAAGAGATACCTTAACGTTTGCATATCCCGTTATTCATCCGTTCACCCATGGCCGATTGGATGGCTTAGCTTGTTGATTGGATCGGTGAAACGCCGTTGCTTCTCACGCCCCTCTGAGCTGACGCCATCTTCAGCCATAACTGACGTGAAGGGTGCTGTTGCAGACACGCGTCCTGGGCCGTCGTGACCTGAAAGCTGATGGGCGGCAAATAAGTGACATTGAAGCTATGGTTCAATCGCCATGCTCTTAGACTGGCTGCCTGGCCCCCTGGATGCTGTTATCCGTCTGTCTGCGGGTGCCGGTGCTATCCGTCGCTGGGCATGGATTAATTATCGTCTATCGCAACTGAACTTGGCCCGTCTCACAGCCAACCTCGAGGTTGACGACAACACACCCCGCCAATTGGCGCGCACTCTGCCCCACCAACGACAGCAGCAGCGACGCACCGGCAAGCAGCACAGCCCACCAGGGGGCCACCCAAGGCAACCATAGGCTGGTTTCGTTGCAAGCTGGGAACGGCCCAATCCACAACACCCCCCTCCTCAGCCTTTTATTACCCTGCCTGGTCCCCCGGCCGCATCATCCTCGAGCCAGCACCAAAAGCACCAAACCTCGTCGACTCGATTTGATTGACACTCACCACATAGACCACCGACCGGTATGTGCCTCTCTGGCGGGGTGTCCTCGCTGCCGTTACTCTTGTTTCTTGGCCAGGACCCCCGTCTCTCCTCTTCCCCCCGCCTGTGCTGGCCTCGGTTCTCTACAAGTGGCGGCGCTGGGCCCCGCCTCGACTGCCTGCTGGAGCCCATCTCGTGCCCCTATCAGGCTGCGCGCCGCCCTCTGTCCGCATGGACGCTGCACACACTCTCTCCACGCACGCCATCTTGCCTGACAGAGAAGGACTTGGGCCACATTAAGACGCCAACAGTAGCAGCAGACAGGTGCTGACCTAAAGCAAACCCGATCTCCACCCCGCCGTCTAGTCTAGAATCCGCTGCCGTTTTCTTATCAGCAAACTTTCTCTCCCGCGAACCCCAGCGGAAGCCGTCCAACTCCTCTCCACACCTCGCCTTTCCAAAACCGCGCACAAACATGGTGAGCTTTGCATCCCTGCCGCCTCGCTCGGGGCCCTCCGACGGCTGCCCGTCCGCCGTGCTTTACAGGCTGTCGCAGTGCTAATAAATCACCGTTTTTGCCAGTCTCAATCTGGGTTAGTAGCGACTCTCGTGACCCCACCTCGAAGCCTCTCCCCGTCGCCGACACCGACCATGATTGCCTCCCCCTTCTCCCCCGCCCCACGACGCCCGCACCTCGCCGTAACTGCGCCATAGGGGGACTGCGTCAAGGAGGGTGCGTCCGGTCTGCCTCCCACCAGGAAACTGCAGCCTTGGCGCGAAGGGGCAATCAGGAGGGGGTCGGCGGCAGCTGGCGTGGCTTCGGGACTGCCGCCTGCGTCGGATCCCGTCCATTGCATCGCTGCCGCAGACGCGGAGCCACGGTGACGCAGAAGATAAACTAACATGTGACTGTGCGCCCCTGCTGCGCCTTTGTGGGATGTTCTCAGAGCGACCGTTGCACAGGAGTGCATAGAGAAGTACAATGAGCTCAAGCTCGGCAAGAGCCTGAAGTACATCATCTTCAAACTGTCCGACGACAACAAGCAGATTGTTGTCGAGGAGGCTTCTGGTGACAACGACTGGGAGGCTTTCCGCAACAAGCTCATCAACGCCACTATCAAGTCGGCAACCGTAAGGCCACCCAAGAAACCATGGCCCTGACCTCGACGCGCCCGCATATGGCGGGTATCGCGTCGCTCTCTGGCCTTTTGCTGACCCTCGCTTTCTTGTCCCCCGACAGGGCGCCGTCAGCAAGGCTCCCCGCTATGCCATCTACGACTTCCAGTACAGCCTGTCGTCGGGTGAGGGTGAGAGGTAGGCTTGTAACCCGCCCTCTGGGTCCAGCGCTGGCAACCACACTTTAATCCACCGCTGAGCACACGCTGACGCCACTTCAACCCCGCAGGAACAAGATCACTTTCATCGCCTGGTCCCCCGATGATGCCAGCATCAAGGTTAGTCTCGCTCGGTATCCATATCTTTTCCTTCCCCTTGCCGATGAATCAACGCCCTCCATGTTTCAGTAGTGCTTCTCACTCACAAATTTCCCCAAACAGCCCAAGATGGTCTACGCCTCGTCCAAGGACGCCCTCAAGCGCTCGCTGAACGGCATCGCCTATGAGCTGCAAGCCAACGATGCCGACGATATCGAATATGACTCGGTCCTCAAGGCGGTTAGCAAGGGGCTGGCCTAAGGTGGCTGTTGCTCCCGTGGGGGCTCTCCAGTCTATTTTTCCGCTTACCGTTTGCGCCCACCTACCAAGCAAGCCAGGGAAGAGCCATGGATGTGGCTCGGGAAGGAGCTGGAGGATTGTCCAGGTCAAATGATTGTCAAGTCGGGATTATCAAAGGATAGAGGAGCGGCTGCGTCGAGTTTCTGAGGAGCCCCCTTGGCTTTGCTGCCTCGAGGGGTACTCAGGTCTCTCCAGCTGCCACACCAGAAACGATTGTCTTATGAGTACATTCGCAATTCCGAATGAATGAGAAAAACGACAGCTTCCTTACCAAGACCGGGCGGTGTCTAGTTTTCTTTTCCTCTGCAGCCTTGATCTCAAGTCGAACTTGCCATACGTCCTATCTTAAGGCAAGGTTTTTGAGCTTTGCTATTCACCATATAATCTATCCTTTCCATGCATTAAAATTCATCGGTATCATTAGGGGTCTATTGAGATGTCACAGCCCAGGGGGCAGCGTAATTTCCTACGACCTGTCCTCCCACGCTTTACGAAACGTGCTGGAAAGCTCGTCGACATACGTCTCGTCGCGTACCCTCTGCAGCAAGAAGCCCCTAAGGTCAACCCAGAACTCCTCGCTCTGCACGGCCTCGGCGCCGCTGACGCCCTGTGCCGTGGGTGCGGCAGCCGGCGAAGCCTGGTCCGCCGCCGCCGCGTCCTCCTCCGCCTTCGGGATGGCGGCTGCGGCGCCGCCGAGGACCATGACGGAGAACTCGACAAGGGTCTCATCGTCGGCGGCCACGAGGTCGCGCAGCACCTTGCTGTCGGCCACAGGCTTCTTCTTGTGCAACAGCTTGACCTTGTCGGCGCGGAGGCCGGCCTGGGCGGCCGCGGCGGTGCGAACGTCGAGGACCGAGGTGCCCAGCGGCTGCGACGTCAGCTTGATGTCGAGGGGCGGGTTCCGGAGCGACCGCAGGTGCACCGTCACGCTGCGCTCCTGGCCCGGGTTCGAGGGGCGGGCGCGCTTGCTCATGGGCTTGGGCATGCGTGGCATTATGTACTGTTTTTTTATGTTTGGGTTGGCGGCATGGTTAGCGACATCTCGGCCCACGAGGAAGGGTGCCGAGGAGAGAGAGAGCTATTAGCATCACTTACGGCCGACCGGGCGGGATAGTTTCGCGGGTCCTCGACATGGTCTGGCGACAGCTTTGCCGGCCGCGAGTCCAGCTGTGAGAGGAACGTGCTTGCGAATGCCACCTCGGCCATTTTGGGCGACGCTGCGAGGTTATGTGCGGTGAATGCGGTTGGCGGTTGGGTACCGTGAGCTGCCAAGTCGGTATGAAGGCGCAGTCGAGGGTCGAGGGCAGGAGGGATGGCGATGAATCCAAGATCGTCTCCAACGGCATAAAGTCAACTACTGTGGGTGACACCATCCAGCGTCGCACGCGCTGTCGAATGTGGGGACGGGCGCCGGCCAAGGACCCCGCCATGGAGCACCCCAAGCTCGCTGTGGCTGCAACCGTTGAGGTGCCACTTTTAGCGCCCTCGCGTCGTTCGTCTGGCACACAAACCTGCCAAGCAAGCCGTGAGATGCTTCACTTTTGACCCCTGGCACGTAATGCGACAACTTGAACATGTCCTCAAAATTTCGACATGGCAGATTCTGACCAGCCACGACCCTCCGACATGGCCGAAGGCGAGAAAATGTCCGCAATAGCTGGAGACACTGCCACAACGGCTCCAACGGCCCCCGGGGCAGGGGCGGGAAAAGGTGTCGTCAAGAAGCGCCAGGTGTCAAAGCAGGACGACCAGGTCATGGGCGTGAGTGGCTCGTCTCTCATATCTTCTCTTTCCCATGATTAAGTATCAACAAATCCTCAACTGTCGTCTTCCCGCCAGACCAATAACAGCAGCATCACCTCCAAAAGAAGTGTTGAGAAGATCTACTACCCGGACGAGCCTCACTTCTTCCGCTATTTCGTAAAGCGCTTCCAGCGCCGGGCCCCCGTCATCAACCGCGGCTACCACCTCCGCATGCACCTCATCGACTGTGCAGTTCGGGACTTCCTGGGCGCGCCTCTCGCCTCTGGGAAGAATACCAAGGCTGTAGTCAACCTTGGGTGTGGGAGGTCAGTCGGCCAGTCGCTTGTGGCTCCCCTCTTCCTCCTTCTCTCCCTTCTCCGGCTTGTCCTAGTCTCATACATCCCGTGACGAAACCAGCGACGTGCTGCCATGGCAGTGTCTCACTCGGTACCCGGACCTGTGTGACTCGGCCGTCTTTGTCGACGTCGACTTCTCCGACCTGATCTTGAAGAAGCGCGACGTCGTGATGGAAACGCCTCAACTCTGGAACCCGCTTGTCCCGCTTGAGACCATAGCGGGTGATCCAGTGCTCCTGCGCTCCCGGCGCTATTTTCAGATCGGGTGCGACCTCCGTGATGTTCCATCGCTGGAGTCCGCGTTAGCTTCCGTGGTCGATCTGACCCAGGCGTCGTTCTTGTTCGTGGCAGAGGTGTCCATCACATATATGCCAACCAACTATGCCGATGCCGTTATTCAGTGGGCTAGCACTCTGGGTGACTGTGAGCTTCATCTTCCTGTCTTTCGTCTGTGTCGTGGAAACAAATCGGTGGGATGTTGACGGTGCTGACCTGCACCAGCCAACTTTTGCCTTCTCGAACAAGTACTGCCAGATGGGCCCGAGCACCCATTTGCGCAAACAATGATACGGCATTTCGAGAGGCTGAACACGCCTTTGAAATCCATAGACAAGTACCGGACCTTGTCGGACCAAAGGAACCGCTTTGTGGGGCGAGGCTGGCTCGAGGTTGCGTGCTGCTCGCTTTGGGATGCCTGGTCCAGTGACCAGTTCTTATCCGAGGCTGAACGCTGCGGGCTGGATACGGTAGAGCTTTTTGATGAATGGGAAGAGTTTTCACTCTTTGGGAGCCACTATATGCTCCTCCAAGCCTCAACCTCTCAGGCCATACGGGCGCCATCAGAAGAGACCCCTCCTCATACTAATTCACCGCCTCTACCATCAGTGCGTGCCCGCGTCAGTTTCTCGGAGCAGCAAGGTACCCAAGGGCCGCGGCGTTTCGGCAGGGCCATGACCTTTCCCGACGTGCTAGGCCGGCATCTCATCGCCGACGTCCTTGGTATGGGCTCCAACGGTAGGCTGCGATCTGTCGACCTGTACACCCCTGACGGGAAGACCCAGGAGCCCATTTTGCGAGCCGCCAGCGGCCCTTCTAGCAGGGTATGCCACTCCCTAACAGATATTGGGGAGCACAGCGCGCTCCTGGTTGGTGGCAGGACTTCGCCTTCCAGCCCCATGGCCGATGCTTGGGTTTTCGAGAAGACTGCCAGGAGCTGGCGGCGGCTCCACGGAACTCATGAGCTGCCGGTCCCGCTCTGCCGCCACACGGCCGTCAGGCTCGGTCACTCCAGCATGGTGCTTGTTCTCGGCGGCAAGACTGGGCCGTCTGCGATATTTGATGGATACCTCCTGTACCACCCTGACCGAGGCTGGATGAGATGCCGTGTTGCTAGGTCGTCGATCCCCACACCGGTTTTCGGTGCGCTTGCTTTCTGTTCGTCCAGGGCTCCGCGAGGGTCTACCACGTTTTCGGGTGTGTATGCTGGCGGCATCGGAGAGGGCGGAACCATTCAGGACCAAGTGCTGCTCTGGGAGCTAAATGTCTCTGACATTGCTGTGAGTTTGGCTAGTCGCTACCACGTAATCAAGGCTCCTTCTTTCGGTCAGGCTAACACCCGTAATCCAGGCCCCGGAGTTGCACTTCAGAGATATCGAGAAGGTTCAGCCCAGCTACCGTGCCCTTGTGGCGAGATTCGGCGCAAACTGCGTTCCGCTCGGCCATGGCTTCCATCTAGTGGCCGGGGGCGTGGACGTGTCCGGCCTTGTGCGGCAGGATCACGATCTTTTGGTGCTGCGCGAAGAGTCGCTCACTGGCGATCTAATAGTCTGCCGCTTGGACATATCTGATCCGAGCTTACCCCGTCCCTTGCTCATCGGCTCGTGTGCTGCGGCATTCCCGGGCAGCATAGTTCTGCTTGGAGGAGGCGCTACATGCTTCTCGATGGGAACCTTCTGGACGAAGGGCACATACGCTATCAACTTTCATCCTGGCCATCTAGCGACCTCTCTTTCTCCCTCTGAGAAGCCTCGGAGATGTCTAGACTTGCCTACATCTGACGCCATTGATGAGGGTCTGGACGAGAAAATCGAGACCTGGGGCTGCGCCGAGACAGCGACGCTGGTTGAAGCTGACAAGCCAGCAGCTGCCTCGTTCAAAGCCGTTGAGGCAAGGCCAATCCCTCGCGTTAGGCTCACATCAGAGGCGCAATTTGTCCAAATCGTACGCGAGGGAAAGCCAGCGGTGATGGAAGGGGTCAACATCGGAGCTTGCACCGACAAATGGACCCCTACCTACATGACCTCGGCAGTCGGTGGCGACAGAGAAGTAAGTCGGGCAGGGCTGGCGAGCGTCCTTGTGGCATAGCGAACAAAGCTAACGTGAAGACAAAGGTGGTTGTTCACGAGGCTCAAGGGCAGTTGATGGACTTCAACGCCAAGAACTTTCGCTATACGAATAAAAAGTTCTCGGAGCTCGTCGACGAGATGGAGAGGGGTGGTAGACTTTACCTTCGCGCGCTGTCGAGCAACGAGCCTGCATCGCGACCGGCAAATCTGCAGGAGGACTTCCCCCTGCTTGCCTGCGACTTTGCACTACCGGCCGAGATGGCGCTGGTTGTGCAAAACCTCTTCAGCTCGGTGCTGCGCATGTCGGGTCCGGTGAACATGTGGCTGCACTACGACGTGATGGCGAACGTCTACACCCAAGTTCGAGGCTCGAAGCGCTTTCTCCTATTCCCGCCCGGCGACGTGGCCGAGCTGTCCATCGGCGCCGGGGGCTCTAGCTCCAGCATCGACGCGTTCGCCGGGCTACTCGACGGCGGGCTGTCCTCGCACACGCGGCCGCAGGAGGCGGTGGTGGGCCCGGGCGACGTCCTGTACCTGCCGCCGTTTTGGCTGCACACGGCGACACCGGTGGCGGGAACGGGCGCCAGCGTCGCCGTCAACGTCTTTTTCCGCAACCAGGACGACAAGAGCTACGCGGCGGGCAAGGACGTGTACGGGAACAGGGACCTTGCCGCGTACGAGAGGGCGCGCAAGGACGTGGGACGCATCATTGGCGGCTTCGAAGGCGTGCCTGCGGACGCGAGGGAGTTTTACCTGCTCAGGCTTGCTCAAGAGCTGCGGCAAGGTGTGAACCCTTGAGGGCGAGCACACAGCCCAGGAGGGAGCACAGCCGTTGCAGAGATGGGAAGACAAAACACGAATAAAACCCCAAACTCGCAATTACAATTGCCATGCCAATTGATATGCACCAAACAGGCACTCAACATGCAGCCAGGCAACACAATTGTTTTGGGCTGCCGGGGCTTGATGGCGTTGAAATGGAACATTGCTAGCCAAGGCCAGCCAGCCAATGGAGGCTAACAGCCGAGAGGCTTATCACAGGGCGCAGCGCAGTCCCACTCAGCCACTTACTACCCCGACTGTCATCGGCTCGACGCCAGACCCGATAGGCACCGAAATTACTTGAGCTAAGCACCAAGGCTCCCGTCGGTGTCGGTAGAACCCCGCCCGCAGATGACAGCAGTCGGCCGGAGCTGCATGCATAGTGACATCACGCGGGCTGTGGCAGTTGACCCCACGCGCGGAAACCGGGCGAAAACTAACAAGAACAGCGCCTTGTCCACACCAGACTGCAGCAAACGGCCATCGTAGGCTCCCGCTTAAGACCCGGGCTGGGTGCTGCTCCCTGCAGGACTCGACCCTCCCGACGCGAGCACGTGTGACGGCTGAAGCGGACTGGCGGGCGGGTGGCACTGCCGAAACCGTGCGTGCATTGCGCCGGGCGACTGCAGTCTGAACAAGTCTGGCACAGCGCTCCTTTTTTTTTCGGATGCGCTGCGGCGGTGGCTGACCAAGACTTAAATCTTTTTGTTTTGTCCCTGCTGACAACTTTTTTTGTGTCGGACCTGCATCCACTCTATCCATTCCTCCTCCTCCTACTCCTGTTCCAACTCCCAGTCCAAGCAAAACACTCTTTTTGTCCATAGTAATCACCCCTCGGATTTCAGGCTCACACCCATCCAAGAGCTCTTTTTCTTTTTATTCTTCCTATATACTCCACCCAGCGCGGGCCCGTGGCCATGCCCCGTCACGACGGCCGTGATGATGAGGGGTTCCGCGACAGCTACTACGACGTGGACGGCGGCCGACCCAGCGGCTACCACCTCCAACCTCCAGCGCCGAGCCAGCAGCGGCGCCCCCGGTCCGTCCCGCCGCCCTCGGCCGCCGTGGTCGAGCGCAGCTACATGATGACGCCCGCCACGCGCTCCAACAGCCGGACGCGGAGCCGGGGCCGCGACCGTAGTCGCAGCCGTAGTCGCAGCCGCAGCCACAGCCGTTGTAGGGGCGCCGCCCGGGACTCGCACTCGCGCGGCCGCGACGGGCCCGTCGAGAAGGCGGAGCGGGCTGTCAAGAACAGTTTCACTTCGTCAAACTCGGGCCTCGGCATCGGCATCCTGGGCGCCATCGTCGGCGGGCTGGCGGCCAGGCACGCCAGCGACTCGGCGCCCAAGCACCGCCACTCCTCCAGCGGCGGCCACCACCACCACGGCAGCAGTAGCGGCAGCAGTGAGAGGGAGCGCGACCAGCGGATGCTCATGTCGACGCTCGTCGGCGCGGCCGTCGGCGGCCTCGGCGCAAACGCGCTCGAGCGCCGCCTCGAGATCAACCGCGAGCGGGAGGACGAGGCCAGGGGCAGGGCTGGCGGCGGCGGGCATCATCACCACCACCACCACCATCACCGGCACCACGACGACGAGGCGCATCATCATCACCACAGCCACCACCGGCGTCATCACCACTCCCGCCACGACGACATCGACCACGTGTATGACGACGAGCGTCCCGTGCGGAGGCGCCGGAGCCTGGACGATCCGGAGAGGAGGCAGTACCGCCCGTTGGATTACCGCCCCTAGGGGGTGTCTCTAATTTGATGCATTTTGACTAATCGGGGTTTCATTCGTGCTTTGCTCAACCTTCCCGTCTGTAAACCTTCTATATCCTCTCGAGTTTCTCATAAGCTTTCCTTTGTATCTCGAATGTGTCAATTTCCCCCTTGGTCGGCAAAGCAAAACGCCTGGATATCTACCTAGCCTGGTCATGCCCATCCTGCCGTCGAGCTCTCCGCGCCCACGTTTGGGCCGCGTCAGCAAATCCTCGGTAGCCCTAATGAAGAATGATTTAACGAGACGAGCAACGAATCTCCTGAAAAGAAACCTCCAACCAAAGCTCCTGCGCCGGGAAATTCAAAGCCCCAAATTCCCCCTTTCCTTATTCCTCGATGTTCATACAATGCCATTATACAACGCTTTTGGTTTCCTTTTGATTTCCTGTCTCCTTTCCCTCCCGGGCTCTGTATTATGTAGGAAACGAAAGCGAAAGCTTTTCCAACATGATGTCTCGTAAACATCAGCCATGAATCGTAGAAGCAAGGGGCTGCCAATGCCCCCTTGGATCAAGTCCACTACTTAGGCCCAAGGCCGCGACCACCTCAGAAACGGCGGTAAATAACCTTCTCCTCCATCCGACCCTCCGAGTTCTGGCGGCGATGGTAGGAACCGGGCCCCTGGCCGCCGCGGTGGCGGTCAAAGCCGGGCAGGGCGTCCTGGGCGGGCAGGCGCTCTCCCATTTCGCGCTGGAACTGCCTCGGCGTCTGAGGTGGAGCCCTCTTGGGCGGCGGCGAAGGCGGGCGGCCGTGGTAGTGGCGGTCCTGAATGCCCTTCTCGCGGGCAAGCACCAGCTTGAAGAAGCGGACGGCCTGGTGCAGCTGCATCTGCAGGTGGTCCGGGCAGCCGAGGATGTTGAACAGCTTCTGGGCGTCGAGCAGCTGCTTGGCCATGACGAGGTCGGGCTGGCAAAAGGTGCGGACGCGCATGGCGCGGGCGTCGGCGCGCATCATCTCGAGCACGCCCGTGACGGCGGCGGCCGACGCGCACCCCTCGCCGTAGAACCTGAAGTCGTGCAGGTGCAGCAGCACCAGCTCGAGCTGCGTCTCGACGTCGTAGCGGAACCCGACGACGCGCGGGCGGCCCTTGTGGCGCCACGCCTCGGCCACCTTGTTGAGCGCGACGGGCCGCAGCCGCCCGGCGTTGAACTGCGCCGTGATGTAGGCCTCGAGCGCCGTCGTGACGAGGTACTCGAGCTCGCAGTAAAAGACGCTCTGCTCGCGCGGGTCTAGCGATATGTCGAGCCGCGACACGGC